ATATTTTTGAATAAAAAACAGACCACATTAAGATTCCATGTAATAGGCTATTTCACCATAACCAGTTATGGTGAAATAGCCTATTACATGGAATCTTAACGTGATCTGTTTTTTATTCAAACATATCTGCTCTGAATTTTACATTGAGCTCTCTGGATATCATCCTCCTCGGGTCTACCCATACGGATTACCTAAGTTTGCATAAACTAAATATATATATATATATATATATATATATATATATATATGTGTGTGTGTGTATATATGTATGTAGAAACAGGTATGTGTGTATTAATAAAGGATACAAATTACAAAAACAATAAGGTGGATATGTAAAAAAAAAATTGTGTAAAGTTTATGTTCCAAGGAATGCGTAAGTGAATGTTCATAAATACATGCATGTGTGTATGTATCATGGCATTTCCCAAAGGAAATGCATAGCACCCCCCACACACACAAAGAAGAAAATGCAATCTTCACGAGAGATTACATTGTTGTAATGTCTACTGAAAATGAATAAGAGGATGAGGCAATAAACTCTCCAATATATATAGTAAATTGATAGCTCCCCCAAGTGGTGGTTTCAAAATTTAGGAGGAGATAACTCTGACACTTTCATTCTTATGCACTTATTTAACTGATCAGAAGCATATATATGGGAGTTGTATAAAAATTTATTTTGTCCATATTAATTCTGTTTATTTTCATTCAGTCCTTACACAAGGCCTCTTTGATATATGATGCCAAACTATATTGTCATAAGATAATCTTACACACACAAACTCCCCCACCTCGTAACTTCATCTCTTCTCTCATCAATAATAGGTAAAATAACAAAGCAGACTGGGTTCTTTAGCTTTAGGTGGTAAGCAGTTGTTGAGAAGTACACCTCTAAATTCAAAACCAAGAGTAGTATCAACTCCCACCACTAAAATTGGGGTGCTGACTCTTAATGAAGAAAGAAGCCCACTCAACTAAGAGAGTCTCCAACCAAAATACTGAAATCTCTTACCAATGCACAAGTATTTGTTTTTTTTTTTTTTTTTTTTTTTTTTTTAATCGGAATCACTCCAAGCAAGACAGTAATGCCACTAAAAGAGAAGAGGTTACAAGGTGGGGAAGAATTAGGAACAGAAACATTCATGATGAGCAGAAAGAGAAGAGAGTAATCAGGTAGACAGTAGATAGTGATTGACTTTGTATTTAAATTTTTTCAGATTAAAGTTAACTGAAAAGCAAGGAGCCAGAAGGGAGCTCCACAAGTGAGAAGTGCAAGAAAAGAAATCGCTAGCATAGAAGTTACAGCTACATCAAGGCAGCTCAAATGCAAATTGATGAGATCTCGATACCAGTATAATGGGCTCACTTGAATAATTACCATGAAAGTATTTATACAAAAGTGTGATGCATATAGCACTATCCTTAGTAAAAAAAAAAAAAAAAAAAACACTGACATCAATGGGGTAAAATGTGGAAGGGTTTCTTTCACCAGATGTGAGAAAAGACTTGATGGAGATGAGGACATGTATATTTAATTTTTCCTTTTGGAGTATTTTAAATAAATATAGCTTTTTGCCCTTATTGCAAATCTTTATTTTTGCTTGGACCTGAAATTCCTCTAAACATTTTCTCAGCAATAAATAAACAAACAAATAAAATTAGAAAAAAGTCTCAGGGTAAATAAATTAAAAAGGTAAAAATTGAGAAAAACAAATCCAGTTTCAAAAAAAAAAAAAAGTTAAATTTTTAAGTTCTAATTATGAAATCACTTGGAACAGCGAGCCAAGTTCAAACTCCAGATGCAGTTAGGAAGAGTATGAATACATTTTCTCCATATATATGGGTTAAATAGTAAAATAGATTGGGCTCTCTAGGCTTTGGTGTCAGTTAGGCTAAGAGAAGGAAAACTTTGAACCATAGAGAAAGCCACAGGAAACCAATCGACTATCATTCACAAGTGGTTTCTTGTTGTGTTCTCTAGTAATTCACAGATAAAGAAAATTCTGTGAACACCTAAATCCTGGACTGACATGGCATGGAATAAATAAATAGAATTATTTTAAACTTTAAAATCCCCCAAAATTGTTCTTATCAAGAATTACAATAAAGGAAAATATAAATATATATATATATATATATATATATATATATATATATATATATATATATATATATATATGAAATACAAATACAATATATATAAGAAATATAATACAATATGTATATATATATATATATATATACAATATACATATGTATAATACAATATATATATATATATATATATACAATATATATGTATAATATATATATATATATATACAATATACATGTATATACAATATATATATATATATACAATATATATATATATATATATATATATATATATATATATATACATATAATACAATATATATACACATATAATACAATATATATATACACACATAATACAATATATATATACACACACAATATATATATATATATATATATATATATAATACAATATATATAAGAAATTAATAAATGTGGATTCAGTTATAAATAAAATATAGCTGTAAAAAGTCAATAGGAATAAACAAAAGATAAAAAAAATATTTTTTAAAAAGTAAATAAATATATATAAACAGGAAAGAAAATAAAAATTCAACAAGAATTACATTTACTAACTTTCATTTATGAGGTTTTAAATTACATCACTTAGCATCTTCCACAGTTTACCTTGTCTTTTTTTGTGTGTTCTTAAATTTAAACATTTTGAAAACCTAATGAAATCATATGAAATTTTTAAAATTAATGGATAAATAATAGGAGGAGGAAGGTTAGCCTATTGCCCAGCTCACACTCATCTTCAGTCTTTTGAACAGGAGTAGAGGTTTATCCCCTTGTTTCTTGTTTAGGATATTGGTTCCTTCTCAAAGCTTTTTCATTCTCTTTCACTGACAGTAACCCCTTCCGTCTTCATGTCAATCATAAAAAAGCTTTTAAATTTCATTAAAAATAAGATATTACTATATTTTTTAACCCACAAATAGTTAACCCTTGGATCATGAGCAAGTGTTTGTCCATTTGTGTCATTTAACATGAAGTTATTAAGAATAATGCCAAATTTAATGACATGTAAAACATTTTCAGAAACCCCAATACCATAATGTAATTTCCCTGTGCCTTTTCTATAAATACTTTCATGCTAATTGTTCTGATGAACTTTCCACTATGGTAACTAGACTTTATGAAGTGCTGTACTGATTAGCAGAAAGGTCTCATCAATTTACAGTCGAGATGGCTAGATGTAACCGTAAGTTCTATGCTAACAGTTTCTTCTCTCACCCTTCTTGTGTGTGGAACTCTCTTCTTGCTTCCCAGTCAAATTTGATGTTCAAAAATTTACATGCAATCTCAATCATTATTTTCTGTCTTCTTAATTCTTGTTATTTTACTGTTCACTCTCCTTGATAGTGCTTTTATATATTATCTAACATACAGTAACCTCCATATGTATTAGTGACTTTATTGCCTTACTTGGGGTGAAATGATGAAAAAATAAACTACTATTAACATTTATGCATCACATTTCTTAACTTGAAAGAAGTAAATATTGTTCCCGATTTACTTACCTTGGACACTTTTTCCACATGTTCAGGTTGAAATTTAGGATTGTCTATATATTTTTTTAACCTCTTTAGACTTGCATCAGAAATATGATCTTTGTCATAATCAACCATACGCTTCAGAAATCCAGGTTCACCCAACATGGCTTTTGCGGTTGACCAATCAGTTCTGAGGAAAGAAATTGAAATCACTGATTAATTGTTGCTTTTAGACAAGACAATGGAAATTTTATTTCATACAAAAGCTCACCTGATACAAGGCTCGAGCGCCATTCAATGTAGAGGGATATTTTCATGAAGTGAAGTTGTTTTATTCTAAGAACTCTTTTAGAGATTGCCTTATTTGGATATTTAAGGAATTGACTTTCCTAACATTTTCACATTGGTCTAATGATACAATTTGATCTTGTTTAGTGAGCTTGTCACTGCATGATTCTCACATTTCATCCTGCTATTCAAGAGAAGTTTTCTGCATCATGTTTGTGATTCTGTATCGCAAGTCCACAAGGTTCAAAGAAGTATGGTCTTTACCATGACATTCAAGGCTTCACTTGCTCAAAGCCATTTTTAACCATTGATGTTAGAAAGTGGTTATATACAGCTGACAGTTTAGATATTTCTAAATGCTTTTGGTACCTTTTATGATATCCATATGAAAGTCTTGATCTGACAAGGCTATTTAAGAACATTGTGTTACAGTTTTATGTTGAATAAAGCATTAGAATGACACCATACATATTAGAAATGTTATAAAATAAAATAAGACATATCTTGGCTGATTTACAGGCAAATAAACTAACATACTCAAGAGTGAGAGCCGGATGTGAACGGGACAAGGCCCCATCACAAAATGACCATTATCTTCGTTTACGCATATACCCGACACATGAGTTCCTGTCGAAAAATAAAATAATATTTTAAAGTGTTTCTATTTTTCGACCAATAAAAATGCTTCCCTCCTAATTATACTCGCATTGTTTTTCAAGCTTGTTAAGCCATAAAAAAAAAAATGCCATAAAAGGGGTCACAGAGAAGTACAACAGCAGTCAACAGGAGGCCAGGGAAGAGACCTGTCACGGTCAGGCTGAGCAGTCAGTAGAGTGAGCGCCAGCGTCAACGAGTGTGAACTACTATAAGAGATCAACCCAGACCAAGAGCCAGCTTATGAACTTTACCACAAGGTAGCTGTCCCAAACCAACATATTCCTGTTGAAATTACGTAAATCTATTTCTACTGTTGTCATATTCTTTCTTGCAACCATACGCTTGTCTATAACAGAAACAAACACAATCTGATAGTCTTATAAGACCACTAGCACCGCTCAATGGTGCCAAGCACCATCCCATAGTCTTTTGAGGCAACCAGTACCATCCAGTGATGTCAGATACCACCCAATAGCCTTTTGAGACCACCATTAATTAATTGTTGCTTTTAGACAAGACCATGGAATTTTTAGACAAGACAATGCGTCTTAAATTCCCGAAATGAGTGAGTGGTTTAATCATTGATCTTAGAAAGTCATTGTATACAGCTGAGAGTTTAAATACTTCTGAATGGTTTTGGAAACTTTTATGATATCCATATGAAACTCTTGAGCTGACAAGGCTATTTAAGAACAATATTTTACAGTTTTATGCCAAATAAAGCATTAGAATAAGACACCTGATGTATGAGAACCAGACAATTTGATAGACTTATGAATCTACTAGTACCACCCAGTGATGTCAGATACCACCCAATAGCCTTTTGAGGCCACCAGTACCACCCAATGATGCCAAACACTATCTGATAGGTTTTGCAGAAAAACACTGAAAAATCGGAAATAAATTAAGTAAAAAAAAAAGAAAAATGAAAAAGACAAACTAAATACAAGAAAATAAAAATAACTCTACTATATGCTATGTCACTTAAGGATATGATCGATCATGACTCTCCACATCTTCCTGACTTTTATACCACAAAGCAATGTTTGTTCCTTTACTATCCATTTGCATGAATTCATTAGTTAGGTTGCTCATCATTTTCCTCTGCTCTTCTTGCCTTCAATATGTCCTTTAATTCTAACACTAATTAAAGGGTGATATGAGAAAAAGCAATGTGATGGCATAAAACTAGGGATAAAATAATTCTAATATTGAAACTGTTTAATTGAAAATTTTATATATATATATATATATCCTAAACTTATTTTTTTTAATTAAGGCAGGCTGTAACAAACATAATTATAATAATCTATATAATAAATGCAAATGTCAGTGTGTCACACTTTTTTCTACTTAAAGGGACACAACTCTAACTTTCAATAGCTCATTTCAAATGAAAAAAAATTACTGTTCTCAAATTAGTGTTTAAAAATAAAATTGTCCATGTTTTCAACTTTACTTTTAGAGGCTGTAGCCCAACATATTATATCATTTTGTGATCAAGCTGACTCTGTAAGCTAATTAAAGACATTCTGGATCAAATCCGGATCAGCAATCCTGAAATTTTGGATTCCCAAGTTTTCATTACTGCAATTGTTTTTCAGCGATTTTTACAGGATTTTTTGCAACAAATTTTTTTGTACGATAACAATTTTTATAACTTGGGAATAAATTTGAGAATAATCAAAATTAATTGCAAAATCCAGCAAAAATCACCCATGAAATAAAAATAATTTTTTGTAAAGAAAGTAAGGACCTACCTACATCAAATTGTCTTTAATTTAATTGGCAGCAGAAGAAGTATCATTGAACTTTTAAAAGGTAAGCTTAAATATTAATGCAATACTTAAATGCAGTGATCAATTTTGAGTTCTTCTGTAGTTTATTGTTGACTATCAAAAACGGTAGATTTAGAAATGTGCAAAATAGATTCTGGCAAGAAAAATTGTCTGGCACAACATAGGGAACAAACTTCCCTAGCTGTAGCAATTGATTCAGTATAATCACTTCAGTTCATGTTAGTGGAAAACATGAGACCAAGAAGGCACAAGGTGTTGTTCTCCTGGACGTTAGCATCAGCCATACAGGCAAGCAGAAAAATTTCTCTGTTCTGATTAAATGAAAGTCTTGTTATAAAAGTATACACGTGTAAAGGTAAACAAAAAAGATGGATGGAATAAGATAAAAAAAACAAAGATAAAAAAATAAGAAAAAAAATAAAAGTAAGCAATGAAGACTAAAGAAAATAAAAGCAAGCAATAAAATGTAAAAAAGAATAAATAAAAATAAACAATAAAATAAAAAGTGAACAAACAAACAAAAACCAAAAGACTAAACGAATAAAAGTCCACTAGGTTAGCATCTCAGTCCCACCCTTTTACTATCGAAACAGTTAAATGTAACCACCTCTTCTTACTTCAACAGCTTCTTTCACACTTCCCAGCAGTGGAACTCCCTTCCTCTTACTTGTTTCTCTGATAACTATAATCTTCAAAAATTTAAATGTAGTGTCAACCAACAATTTCTGATGCCTTGATCCCCATTCTTCTTTTTATCCTCCTTTGTTCTTCTATTTAATCCTTCCTCAACCCACATTACACCTACTCTTTTCCTTTACTTACCCTCTTTGTAGCCCCTTGCATACCAGTGGCACTCCTTCCTTGCTTGGGGTGAAATGCCTAAAAAAAAGATTACCCACATGCCTTAGTTCTAACCTTCACACCTAAGACATGCCATGCCACACACATTTTAGTGAACGATCCTCATTCTCTTCGTATTCCATTCATGTGATGTATGTTTCACTCAGTTTCTTCCCACTGACCACTACTTTGTGGAACCAACTCCCAAGAGGATGCTTCCCCAATCATTACAATCTTAACCTGTTCAAAGTTAGGGGTAACCATTCTTTTTATCCTCCTCCGTTCTTCTTTTTATCATTTCTTCAAAAGTCTTTTCCCTTACTTACACACACTGTAGCCCCTTGCATACTAGTGGTACTCACACCTTACTTGGGGTGAAAAACTTAAAAAAAAAACAAGTAAGCAAATAAAAGTAAATGACCAATCTAAAAAGTAAACAAAAACAAAACATAAGCAAGAGTATATAAAAGTAAACAATAAGAGTAAATAAAAAGCAGTTCAAACACAAAATGTATGTGCATCAATCTGGTCGCCATTCCTCAATTACATAGTGCCCTGGAAGTAAACCTCAAACCAGCTATACTGAACATTCCATATTGTTCGAGCAGTTGTGCAAATGTATGTGTGTCATGGGTGTAAGTAAACATGATTCTTTAAAATGTCAAATGAAACCCCTTACTTATAGGACGCCCTAAACATATTTAGAAACAACTGAAAACTTGTATGACCCTAAAAAATAGATAAAAATGTTGCTTAATTTGCCAGGGAGGTAATAGAAGTCCTGGGTATCTATTTCCTGGGTGGGATAGAGGTGGGTGTAAGAAATAGTGGGGAACGGAATAAAGAACCTAATCTTTTCTATTCCTGAGTATCAAAAGAACTCAAAGACAATAAACTAGCAAAAAAATGCTTACCCAACAGCGGTAATTTTTTTTTCAACAAATATTGCTTACAGATGTTCAAGAGGGTTACCTATTAGTCTTAGATGCCAAGGGGAGATAATGCTTTTGTCAGAAGGTACATATCTCTTGGCTTCTTTAATTGCCATACAAGTAACCATTTCAATAGTGCCAATTTTATGGCCAGCTGTTATTGGTGTCACTGGCATGATAATTGTTACATAGTTAACACTGAAGGAAATAAAAAAACAAAACAAAATGAAGCTGAATACGAAACAAAGAAGAAGAAACCTAGAATGGTGTCAGCTGTCACAGATTACATTTGTTTTTAATTAGGTACTTTTCACTTAGTTTGTATTCATTCTTTAATAATTCCCACTCTTATCTGTTCCTGTTCATCCATCTCTGAACCTCACTAGGTGCCCTAATCTGCTGACCTTGAATTAAACTAGAAACCTAAGTAAACATTAATATAGCTGCCTTACGTTAGCAAACTTGTCTCATAAGGAGTTTGTTCCTCACTAGGTGCTTTACATGGCTGACCTTGAGCCAAACTATGAAGCGCAGTGGTTAGCAACCTTGTTTAACAGAGTTTGATCCTCAATGACTGCTCTAAACTACTGGCCTTCTTCCAAACTAAAAACAGCTTAGTAAATATTAATATAGCTGCCTCACGATGAAGCAGTGGTTAGCAAATTTTGTTTCACAAGGTGTTTGTTCTTCACTTGGTCCCCTGCACATTTCATCTTGTGCCAGACAAGCTAAACTTTCTTTCAGTTTAGATGCCTTGCCATAAAAGCTGTAGTTAAAAGGCTCATCTCGGAAAGATTTTGATCCATATTGACAGCCCTACATGTCTCTCCTTGTGCTCTACACTTTGTTTAATAAGTACTATTGAAGATCTTTTTGAAGTAATAGTTATTAAGTTAGTATTTCAGACCATAAACATAAGAGGGAGTTTTATCTTAACTGGGTGTCTCACTAATCTGTCCACTTGCTGACTATGCTAAAAGTATTTCTGATCTAATTGTTAATTCTCAAAATGTGTTTGTGTGTGATCAGACATTGTTTATGCATTTCCACAGTATTCATCTGATTTCAATGAAATTATTGTGTTTGATAGATAATTCTTCAGTGCCGGTTTTGAGTCCAAATTGTTTGCGACAGTGGCTCTCCACTACTTCCTGTCCATTATAATTCTCAGCAACGTTTTACTATTTACTGTTCTTGGATACATATCTTTCATACAAACTTTAATGAAAATTGTTTAAATTATTACAATAATATTATTATTATACAGTTCCCTTTTTAAGCCCCCCCCCTTCAAATTGTTAACCCCCAGCCCCCATTTGGAGATGTGCCTCAGTTGCACCTAAATGTTGTTACTAATATTGATTTTCGGGTGGGCTGACTTTAAACTTAAACTGCTCCAACTGAATGACAAAACTTCCTAGTAATGAAAGACCCATTCAAAGATAAGTCATACTTCTAGTGTGTATATATATATATATATATATATATATATATATATATTCAAATGAGAGAAAGAACAGATGGAGTAAAATTCCACTGTTCATAGCATTTACTTTTAAAAACATGCTCAATACAAAGTAGAGCAATATTTCTTATAATAAAAAAATAATAGGATATTGCTTTTAGTGGGTTTCTTCCTAATATTATTTACTACATTTGTATGGGATGTTGTATATGCAGTTTTGGTCCTCTAATTCTCTTATGGAGCATCCATCATTGTAAGATGTTTACATATAATAATATGTAAGTCTATACTATAAAGTCTGTTCTCCCATCTTAGAATTAGTATAAGATAGATAGGAAGAAGTTTTGAGAATGGATCAATCAAACAGACATGAAGAACAAATTTTATAATTCAAACAGTTTGAATCATAATTCATTTTTGATTCCAAAACAAATCAAATTTGTGTATAAACCCAATACATCTGAATATATCAGGCTACTCAATAACCAGTTGTGAATTTTTAAACTTGGCAACCAATCAGAGAGAACTTAACTGCATGCGAATGAATAGATACTCACTAATGAGATTAGACAGCAATATGTGACTATCACAATCACATTTTACACACAGGTTTGTTTGTTTTTTGCAATTCATTGTATCTCTCAGGTATATATCACACAATCTATGTTTGGCTCCCTGTAAATTGTGGCTTTTTCAAAAGCTAAAAATCACCACTGAAATACTTTGGATGAGATTAAAGAGAATGCAGGTGTTGGTGAGCACAAAGGAGAACTTTGAAAGTGTGGGGGGACGACACTGGAATTAGTATTTGAGAACCCAAAGAAACACATTGCTCTTAATAGGCTACATTTTTGTTACTTTTTATTTACTTCTGGGAAACAAAAATCATCTTTGCAAACACTTCTGGAAAAAGACTGCTTTATTTTTTATAAATTAAAATCTTACAGATTATTGCATAAAGTATGAGATTAAATTTTTCAGGTTTTTCCATATTATTGACAACAATTTTAAATATAAAATGTTTTGAGTAAAGCTAAATACTTACCTTTGATTCATAAGAATGCACACTGCCTCCAAAACTGTTTGCACTAATTCTGGTGGATTTGTGAAGACACGGATTTCTGATATATCTTGTTTGTCTAAAGCATCCAAAGCCTAAAGAAAATCAAAATGCAAAAATTTAATATGTGAGACAATTTTAAATCCAATATCCCCAACATAGTAGGTAATTTTGTCAATATTTCACTATTTGTTTACATTACCATAAAAAAATATTGAACATTAAAATAATAATCAACTCTTACAGCATTCATACTTATCAAAAATTTTATTCACAGTTTTTTTTATTGGATAGAGAGACAACATTTCTATTGGACATTTTTACCATTTTCAAACTGAATTTATTTCTGAATTTTACTAGTTTTAAGGTAATACAAATTTCCATTCAAAGTATTATCTCTATACACAACCTAAGTAGACGATATATATTCTGGTAGATTTATGCTTAGGATACAGGCCTTTTTACTTATATCTGGTTTGGGATATTACCATTGAAGGCCACAAAATTTGATTATCTATTGATTATTGCTTAACTCAAGGAAAATATTTACTCAAATGACATTATTGATATCAGTACTAGATTGGTGATAAGGTCTCATCATTTTGCAGTTGAAATGGCTAAATGTAATTGTAAGTTCTATACTAACAATTTCTTCTTTCACACTTCCATAACCTTTTTATGGCTTCTTGCATTCCCGTTAACGTTGACCTTTAAAAATTTGGTTGGTTGGTTTGTTTAGTGGCACATCAACCCCTTATGGGACATTTAATGCTGAAATGTAATTTTCTTTGGACCATTAATAATTTCTTTTACAAAAATGTATTGCTGTTATTTTTATTATAAAAATGTATTTTCATACTTTAATAGTGTTTTGACCTCAGTTTGGAGGTTAACTATTTGCCCAAAGTTGTGACCATAACAGGTGGTACTGTCCTGGGTCAGTATGGACCTGGGGACAACAGCAATTAAGACAGGATGCAGTTAGATATAGTTTATCATCGTTGAATACTTAAAGAAGGTTACAAACAGACAAATGTGGTACTCAGGTGAAAGGAAAAGTAACACAGGCATAGATGAAAGGAAGAGAGGTTTATTGTAAAAGAGAATACACTACTGAAAGACAGGGAATTGGTTAGCATGCTAGTAATTCCTGAAGCAATTCTGCCAGGTATATCCTGTGCACACTATATATATCTACTGATATGGTTAGTCCACAATAGGTGATAGGTAGAGAGAGACATTCCATTACAACAATCATTATACCCAGGATGGCTTAAAAAATTTAAATGCAATGCCAATCATTATCATTAGTCTTCTTATCTCCTGTTCTTTTATTGTTTTCTCTCCTTAATAATGTTTCCTTTCTTATTCTATCACACTCCATAACCCCCTTGCATCTTAGTGGCTTTATTACCTCTATTGGGGTTAAATGTTTAAAAAAAAAAAGATAAATATCACAAAATAAAGAGCTAATTTTAAAGGAAAACTGCTATATGGAGAGGTTACCCTATTTCTCAAACTTATTCAATAGCCTCTCTACAACCCATTATTATTCTGAACTTCTATTGTGAATAGCATGTTTTGCTGACCACATTTGATTGGTTCGATTCAAAAAGGATTATCATATTTGACAGCTTACAAGGCTCACTTTTTTTTTACTAAAACTATCTTTTAAAATTCCCGTATGTCTTATATGCCATATGTAGGCTTACTAATTTCACTAATTACTAATTTTTTTTTATTTTCCCTGCTGAAACTGGGGTGTGTCTTATACATCTATGCTTCTTATCTGCCATCAAATACGGTAAATAATGTCTTGTAATTTTGCTGTTTTCATTTTTTATAAGTAGAATGTTAATGAATTTATATATATGGTGGTATGTGAGACACATTTAAAAAAATATCATTTTGCATTTAAAATTGAGACCTCTCATAGGCTAATATTATTCCAATACTCATTATCATAGGTCATAACTTTACTTCAGACAATTCTACATAGCTCAACTCCATAATAATAATATTTCATCAAATGATTGATTTCTTTTTTACAGTTTATGAACCATATGCTGGTTATTTAAAGCCAGAGAATATTTTTAGATTCCAAAAATTTTTGGAGATAATAATGATTTACTGATAGAAGTCCTGCTAATTGGCTGATAGCTGGGGGAGAAGAGGTGGATTTATACCTTTCCCAAGGGTATTTGCACATAAGTGAATATAACGAACCCAACTGTAATTGGAACTCTGTTCTTAGATTTTCAATTCCAAAACTTATCTATTACACCACCTGCACATCCAAGCTTACAACACCTGGAATTTCCAAATGGTCAACCATCTAGGTACTGACCAGGCTCAATATTGCTTAGCTTCAGTAATCATATGAAAACCAGTGTTTCCACTTGATATGGCTGTAAGCTTTACTCAACTGACATTGGTATTGGTATTATAAAAGGAATTATCAAAATACTGACAACAAACATTAGTATCAGCTGATCCATCCTACATAAATATGTCTCAAGACACTATCATTAACTAAGTTGAAACTACAGAAATAAGGGATGTGATGAAAGGAAATATTTGTGACCGTCCCACGGCGTTGGATCGGCCTTTCGGGAACCAGACCATGAAGGTCCCTTGTCCCGGAACGAATTCTTCGTCGACATCAACGAGGCAGGTAGCTAGAAGCTAATCTCTGAGTCGACTTCACCCACAGTGAACTCCCTTGCCCATGCTGTGAATTTGATCTCAAGGAAGCCATGTGGGTTTTCGCTAGGTGTCTCTCTGCCAAGTCGAAACAATCCGGACACGGACGCACAATTGGGTAAATGAAATGGCACCAAATATAAACAGAACAATGCCTGAGTAAGTTGTAGAAATGAAAGTCTTTATATACAGAGGAATTCAGGGTACAATCACCAAATGTCTTCTTCCCAATACCTGTTCCTAACAAGCTGACCACGGAACGGAAGTCTCGACTAATTTCTTTAAGGGGTGATTTTCAAGTTTTCTGGTTGGCGTTATTTCTTCACTCCGGTTGGAGTTCTTGGGTGGTGTTAGTTATTCACTCCAGTCAGAGTTCTTGGGTGGCGGCAATTCTAAGTGTCTTTGTTTTTCTTCACACCGAAGCCTCACAGAAACTTCATGACATCACTCCTTTTCTCGGCCCCTTCTTTCTTTCCAAAATACCAAATTAGTTTCCCAGGAAAATTCAGTTTTTTTTTTTTATATTTCACCAATTAGCATAACCTTTGAACCTGCCATAGATAACCGAATAAGCAATTTCCTTATGACACACGTTTTGGCTTTGTTCAAATTTAGAATTGCCAAACTATCCGGCCTGTTTAAATCCTGATAACAAAAATCACTTCCAACTCATTCCGTTGGGGGTCAGAGGGCATCCATTGTTCTGTGTTGACACATTTTTTTGGTTGACAATCCACAGCTGGAAAATGCTTTCTCCTTGATTAAACAGTCCTGTTTCATAGCTGTCGTCAACAGTTGATTGAACCCCACAACCTCATCCGATATGACTGTTTTACTTTGAGAATACCATGACTCTTGTGATAATTTTACCTGCACCTAATTCTGGTTCAATTATAACTCCTTTCATTAAAAAAAAATATTGTCCTTTTTTTTTTCTCTGTTCAGAAACAGAATAGAACATCACCTAATATAATTTTCTTCTGTTTGGTCTCAAATAATCAATAGTATAAACTAATGCAATTTCTTCCGTTCGGTCATGCTAAATATTGTTACATATTATTAACAGTAAAACACTAACCTGGGAATCACCACAATCACTAACATAGGAAACATAACATTAAGCTGCAGAGAAAAATGCCTGTCATATGAAATGGCCAAAGAAGAATGTAGGATATTCTCTCTATTGTGATTTCTTGCTTTCTGCTCTACTGCGAGCTTGCTTTTATATACACTAAGATTTCATGCTACAACTAAAGTGCTTTTGCAATGTATTGTAATGTACTGATGGCCTGTTTTAGAGCATCAAATGTTTAAATAAACTAGATTTTTTCCTCTAAATATGCTCTGGTGAAATGGGGGTGGATCTGGTATGCTTGTTTGTCTTTTTTTTTATCAAATATGGTAATTCTTATATGAACATATGAATGTTTGTTTGAAATAAAAGTATCTATATTTGGCACATTCTATTCTTTTAAAATTCAGCAGTTTCTTAGAATTACTAATGTGCTCCTTAAAAACATACTCAACCGATGAAGCTGAGTAAATGATGACTTTCATATATATTGCATTGAAATGGCAGACTACTGGATGATATGCATGACTCCAAACCTGTTCAGAATTATCTAAACTGTGAACTGCATATAACCACTGTCTGAGATCAATGATTAAAATGACTTCAAATGAATGAAGCCTGTAGGTCTTAGCAAGGGCCATAATCTTAGAATCTTGTGGACTAGTGTTACAGAATCACAAATATACCAAATAACAGAAACCATGTCCCTTGAGAATTTTCAGCAACAGCAAGAACTAAATTAACACATATAACTTGAAGAGAAAATAATGACATAATGAAGATGCCAGCATTCTGCAATATTTCAAACAAATGGTTAGGAAGGAAACCCCCGTCAGTACTGGAAAGAGCAATAACAGCAAATTTGAGAAACTTATTTTTCTGGAACATTGTTTCAAGTAAAAGATTTTATAAATTTCAGCTCACGGTAACACTGACTGCTTGATCAATGAATGCTAAATGTTTCCTTATAAGAAAATTGCTAATATTACCATTAGAGATGAGGTGAACAGATACTACACTTTGATCCCAGCCCAATGGCCAGGGAGTGAGGAAATGTGTAATTCAAGTAGCATTGGCTGCTCAGTCAATGAATGCTGAATGTTTTCTTATAAGGGAATGGCTAATATTACCATTAGAGATGAGGTGAACAGATACTACACTTTGATCAAAGCCCAATGGCCAGGGAGAGAAGAAAAACCTAACTTTCATAGGATTGGATTTTTGGTTAATGAAATAGCTAATATTAGCATTACCAAACAACCTTATAATAATATAAAGGCCATTTTCTGTCTGATTACTAGGAAAATGTTTTTAGAAACAATCTAAAAGACAGGCTTACAGATAATGAATATTGGGTAAATAAAAGTAAATTTGATAAATTATTCTTAGTCTTAAACATTTTATCTTCAAATTGTATGATTCAAATACAGGACTAAGCTGAAAAGCTGACTATGAAAGAATGATGCCGAATCTCGGAAATATTCCATGCATTAATTCCAGCTCTTCCTATTAATATCTGCAGTGTTTCTTTCCATATAAAGTGACATCTGGCTGTTCAAAAAAGACTTCAAAAGTAACTAGTAGCAACTTCTCTTAAAAATGGACAAAATTTGGCATTGTGGTTTTTTCAAGTATCTGGAGAAAAAAAAATGGGTTTAGTCCCCAAGGACATTTGTACTGACATGGTTACTACATTAGGGGATGATGCTCCAGCTTTATCAACAGTGCAAAAGTGGGCAACTGAATTTAGGAGGGGAAGGGATAGGTTTCAAGGTGACCCAAAGTCTAGATGTCCTGCAACAGCCATCACCAATTGATTGTTTTCACCACATGGTGATAGATGACAGGCAATTGACTGTAAATCCAATAGCCAATGCTATTAGCATATTCTGTGAGAGAGTTGAGAAAGTTCTGCACAATGAACTTGTCATGATGAAGGTTTCTGCTCAGTGGGTGCCATGTCTTCTGACCAGCTGATCAAAAATACACCAAGCTGATCACATCATGGAAAAATCTGGCACTGAGGCAGATCCAGCTAGCTTCCTTGGACATTTCCTAATCCAGGAGTGTTTGGTTCATCACATTGCGCCAAAGTTTAAGAGAAAATTGATGCAATGGAAATACTCCTCCTCACCTGCTCTAAAGGCATTCAAGGTTTTTTTCACCTGCAGGGAAGGTGATAGCCTAGATTTTGGGGAAACAAAAGGCATTGTAAAGGGAATAGAACAGCAATTTCTTGTTCAAAGGGACATGGCTTGATCAAGCACCTGATACAAATGAGAAATTGGCAGAGTTTAAATACAGCTCCTGGATTGAACCACTTTTAATCAGAAGGGTTGCCAAGCCTCCTATTGCTGATTTAAATGCAATTAGCACCACTTTAAATCTAACATTAACATTCCATACAACTTGTGGTTGTTAATACTCACTTTGATCGCACCCTCCAGTGCAGGCAATGCTGCATCCAAATCACTCTGAGCTTCAGCTGCAATATTCTGTGTCTCTTCAGCTTTGGCCTTGGCAAGAGCTTCATCTGCAACCACAACTTTTCTGACCTTAAAAAGAGAAGAGTTACATTGTAACATACTAGTTGCTTTTGGGGGAAAAATAGACATATATAATAACCCTATTGAGTTAGATTGACATCACCATCAGCAATCTTTTTTTTTTTTAAGTCAAATTAGCCATGAAATTAATTTTTCAAAGGTTGCATGATATGCAAGTATATACAATAATTTCCATGTTATCTTCCAGTGATATAGCCTTATGCTTAGCATTAGCACTTGTATTGGGACTTTTCTTCAGAGTTATGCATGAAAATGCATTCTAAATCCCAAGTGAAATTTAATTGAAAGGACATCAATGGCAGAACATAGATGTAAACAATCCTGAATTCAAAATTGATGTTACAGCAGAAGATAACGCATGATTGCTGTATGCTGGACATGCTAAATTTTATAACTATATATATAACTATATATATATATATAAAATAAAAATATATATATAACTATATATATATATATATATATATATATATATAAAATAAAATCATATATATATAACTATATATAGTTATATATATATATATAAAATAAAATCATATATATATAATATATATAGTTATATATATATATATATATATATAAATAAAATCATATATATATAACTATATATATATATAAAATAAAATCATATATATATAACTATATATAGTTATATATATATATATAAAATAAAATCATATATATATAACTATATATATATATAAAATAAAATCATATATATAACTATATATAGTTATATATATATATATAAATAAAATCATATATATATAACTATATATATATATAAAATAAAATCATATATATATAACTATATATATAAATAAAATAAAATCATATATATATAACTATATATATATAACTATATATATATATAAAATAAAATCATATATATATAACTATATATATATATATATATATAATAAAATCATATATATATAACTATATATATATATATATATATATAAAATAAAATCATATATATATAACTATATATATATATATATATATATATAAAAAATAAAATCATATATATATAACTATATATATATATATATATATAAAATAAAATCATATATATATAACTATATATATATATATATAAAATAAAATCATATATATATAATATATATATATATATATAAAATAAAATCATATATATATAACTATATATATATATATAAAATAAAATCATATATATATAACTATATATATATATATATATATATATATAAAATAAAATCATATATGTATAACTATATATATGCATGTTTCATTAAAAACGACAGACAAGGTACTACAGTTGAGCTTTTTATTTAATTTTTCTTGTGTTCTGACAAGAGCTTTCTTTTCCGGACACAGGGTTTGTAAGAACTGTTCGAATGTTCTATATTTCCGAGCGCTTTCGGCTATACCTTTAGCCATTATCAAGGATGATTCGATTATCAGCTTAGTAGAGTGTGTGCTTTCTCTGTATGTTCAGTGTGTGGTAGTAACTACCACACACTGAACATACACAGAACGCATCCTGCCTGTTTTTCTTTAATATATATATATATATATATATAATATTTTTAGATTTAAATATGATTTTATGTGTTTATTGTTCTTTTAATGTTTTGCTGTTTCTAATATTTTTAACATCTGACATAAACTCAAGTAAAACAACCTAAGATGAGTTTTATTTTTCCATATAATATTTAAGAAAATGTGACATGTCTTCAAAAATGATATAACTGAAAACAATTTATGCTGAAGTATAACTGTATACTGACATATCATGCGACTTTTAATGACCTAATTTTTAAGCTAATTTTAAGGGGGGGGGGTTACATCATATATGAGATATAAAGTAACATATGTACTGCTGGCCATTAACCAAATTATATATCTATTTACTGTTGTCAAATTAACCTCAAAATAAGATTTCAAATGTCATATGATGCATGAGTATATATGGTAAGTAATATACAGTAAGTAATAAATAGAGAAGGGTGCAATGTAGTGCAATGGAAAATGGCTTACAATGAGAAATTGGAGAGCTGAGTTCAAATTCATAGCCAGGCATGAATCCATTTCTCCATCTAACTATGGGTTAAATAGCAGGAAAAACTGAATCCTATAGCCTTGGTTGACAACCAGTCTACCATAGAAAGAGACGGTAATCTACTGTGTGAAACTCTTCTGCTTAGTCAGTCATGAATTGGACACATGACTGCCCAATATCTGTCTATATTTCTGAGATGAGGTATTATGTACACTATTTACATTGTTCGGACTATCATCCTCAACTTTGTTGCCATATTTATCACAACGTTTTGGCCATTGCACACTCCAGCCTTCTTCAGGTGGTTGGAATGTTGAACTGAATCCTTTATTTTGCTCGCTGGGGTAGTTCCACATGCCATGTCTAATGGATTACAGTTATCAGTTATCTCCTGTTAATTCTCCTCTCCAAGTTCTCCACCATCTTAGCCAGGTATTGAACTCACACTCTTTGGGTCCTGTCACTGGATCTAACTAACACCTATATCAACTGTGCCATGTGTCCTCAGTTCAATACCTAGATAAGGCAGTGGAGAACTTGGAGAGGGGAATTAACAACAAAATGTTGTGATAAATACGGCAACAATGATGAGGATGATAGTCCAAACAATTTAAATGATTGCCCAAGCATGTATCAGGTATGGCACTTAACTGACTGAATAGAGTGAATGATTGCAGCCTTGATAAATTTGTTTCATATATCCTGCCTATATAATGGATTACAAATGAATAAAAACAGAACAGGTAAAATTTGAAAATACTCACAGCATCTACTTTTTCTTGATCAAGGACCAGCTTTTCCATAATTTCAATTGTGTGGGCAGATTTCATTTTTAACTCTGGTTCCAAAGCAACAAGTTCCACCTTCATTTTGGCAACCAATTCATTTGTTTCCAAGAGCTTTATCAAACCATTCTGAACTCGCTCCCGGGAACTTTTTATGCTCCTTTAAAAACACAAGAAAAAATCACAAAGGCGAAACCAACATATGAATTTTTTTTGCATTAATGTTCAATCTGTAAATGCCCCAAGAGCCACTCAAAATAGAGGGTGACAGAGTAAGAGGTAATAATCAGGGTTTATGAGGATATATGGGAAGGTAATGGTTAACCCTCGACTAGAACAGGCTAAGATTGTACTTATTGAGGAAGCTTCCTCTTGGGAGTCAGTTTCACAGAGAAATGAGAAATAGATCTAGTTTATTCATGTTGTTAAAATAATGGAATATTATTATTAAGTCCTTATTAGTATTAGATTGTAATATATCAGTTTTTAGATATAGTTTATTTTAATGTATATTAATTCTGGGATGTGGATCAGTTTATTACTTAATAACAATAGAAAATCAATGTCCAGTAGAATTAATATGAGTTATTTCATACTTTCAAAAATGATTGCATATTTTATTAACCCCTTAATTATTAATAGTAAGGTTTTAAATTGTGATCACGCAATCACAAATCCCATGACCCAGGGGTAGCACATGTACTGCAGCCACAGTAGAAATGGTGTTTCTTGGGTAAGTTAGCCTGAGAGAGCCCAACCCTCTCCAGGCAAAAGTTTTGAATACAATTTGCAGCAATGGTTTCCCAGGTCTCAGGGTTGATGTTGGCCTGTGTCAGGAATGTCAGCAAAGTCAAAGAGAATCTTACAAGGTCATTCACATGAATTTGATTTTGCTGGACAACTCTGTACGACAGAAAAGCCCACAAATTTGGCCACAAGCATCTCTCTTGTGGCTCAATGGGGATTGAGACAAGTGAGAGCTGGCAAACCTGGTTGCATCGGGTTGTCAGATGCTTGGTCTCTCAAGGACCACTTTGGTTATACCAGCCTCACTGGTGCTGCCCTCTTCCACTGCTTTGGCCATTGTGTAGATCTTTGCCTATTTGGCTGTTGGTGTCTTCAGGGGTTGGTCACGTTCAGTCTACTCTCTCCTATGTGACCATATGGCGATGAGTAGCACTACAGAAGTTGAATCTCCAGATGTCTTCACTCTTGGGATTGCTGGGACATACTAGCACTCTAATATAACAAGAAACAGCCATATATATTTTACACTGGATGTCGAAGTGAACAGATTGTTATCAAATGTATCAATTTGACTTATTATTAATTTAATGGCAATAATAGAGATGAATCAATAAATAAAAAGAGTAAAAGCATAAAATTATCATTAAATATATTTTTTATTATTGTTGCTAAAATATTTGTTGTAGCATGCCTACAGACAACAATGTGTATGTCCCCATTCACATAAATACAGTAGTAAAAACTGTATGTTGGTCTGCAGTTGGAAATTCATTGTGGAATTCACTTGACTCACTTCTAGCAGTTGACTACTACTTCTATGCACTGCTGGCAAATCGTATGAGTTGTTCTTGTCCTAAGTATTATCATTCATTACCAACCTTTGAGTGATTATTCTATTCAGTAACCTTCCCTAGGTTACAACAATAATAAAGAAATTCACTACTGAACCTATATTTAAAAAAAAAACGTAAGCAAAAGAAAATAATGTTACAACTTGAAATGCTTCCTAAACATGAAAATATGGCCTAATCAAAAAAAAAAGTCATGTTACTGCAATCAATAAATAAAAAAGGGATAAAATAATAAAATTATTGCCAAAATGCCATTAAAAGTATTCAAATGATAACGAGAAAGAAATTGATGATACTGAACCAATAGTCAGAGATAAACAAAAATATTACAATTGAAAATGCATTCAAAAATTAGGGATTAAATCGCTTGCAGATACTACACTGATCCCAAAAAGAAGTGCCAAACTATAATCAAATAATTTTTTGTGATTACTATGAGCCCCAAAATGCACATTACAAATTGGAAATACTAAAATCAAACAAGTACAAACATTTAAATATCTGGGAAGTGTTCTAACAGAGGAAAGAAAGTACAACACATGAAAGCCAAAGGCACATTGAAATAGTGAATGATACATTCCAAAAACCAACCAGAGTATTAAAAAACAGAAAACTTCATCAGAAATAAAGGAAAGATTACAGAACTGTTACGTGATATCTGCCCTCCTATATAGCAGTGAATATTTGACTATTTCCTTAAAGATGAAGAAGAGACTTGAAGCAAGAAAACATGGTTCTATTGAAGGATGCTGAGGATATCATGAACTGAACATGTGAGCAATGATGAGGTTTTAGAGAAAATGTATATAAACATCAGGAAGAATTAAGATTTCTGGGACACATAATGAGGAAGGAGGGCTTGAAAAATCTAATACTCACAGGACAAATTGAGAGAAATAGGAAAACAATGCATAACATACTTGATGGGCTTAAGTAAATGGAGGACATAACAGGGTTTAGGAGGAATAACAAAAAGACAAAATTTATTAAGAGCTACAAAGGACAGTAAATTTTAGAGAGAAACTACCATGGCCACAAAGTGAGTCACCAGTTTATAAATTGATTATAATATATAATTGATCCCCCACTTTATATCCATATTTTAATTTCTTGTTTGTTTATCAAATTCTGATTAGGTATGAATCCACCTCTTATCCCCCCAGCAAGGTAAGAAACCTGACTGGAATTCAAACTCAGTACTCTGATTTCTCATTCTGAGCCACTTTTGATTATACCACCAACACATCCACCTTCACAGATGAAGAGTAGACAAGGCAAAAGTAACAAAGAAAACAGTGTTGAACTGCTATGTAATATCAATCATGGCATCAAATGCTGGGCAAATCCTCCAAGGATGAAGAGGAGACTTGAAGCAACAGGGACATGGTTCTACCAACGAATGCTATGAATACTATGGACAGATCATGTGAACAATGAGGAAGTCTTAAAGAAAATACAAAGAAATGAAACTTATACTTACAACCAGTGAGAGATAAATGAAATTTCTAGAATACATAATGAGAAAAGATGGCCGTCACAGTATATTGACAAGAGAAATGAGACAGGGAATAATTTACTTACTTTGTATGAATGGAGGGCAGAACAAAGAGGGATGGTGAAAATTTAATTAGAGCAAGGAAAGCTGTGGAGAGCTATGATCGCTTACATAGTGGGGGGACTAGTCATATAAACAAAAAAAGATGCTTGTATATTTCATAAAGAGTAACTTAAATTATTTAATCTAGCAACAAATCCAAAGAGTACTTAACATCAGAAAATGACAACTGAAATTTCTAGGGCACATAATGGGAAAGGGGGCTTACAAAATTTAACACTCACAAGGTATACTGAAGGCGAGAGGGACAGAGTAAAACAGCACATAACATACCTCAGGAACTTGTGTAAATGATTGTCAGAACATGGATTAAGAGATATGGCAAAAAGACAAAATTTACTAAGAGCTACAAAAGACAGGTAATTGTGGAGAGCCATGATCACCCACACCCTGAAGGTACATAGCACATAGGAGGAGGAGGTGGATAAGGATCGTTTGTAAATGGTTGATAGAACAGGATTTAGGAGGGATAGAAAAAAGGCAAACTTTATTAAGAGCAACAAAGGACAGGAAATTGTGGAGAGCCATGATCCCCAACATCCTAAAAGAACACTGCACATAGAAGAAAAAGAATGCTTTCCAATATCTTACCTGTTTCTTCCATTCAACATTGACAGGTAGAGATTAATCAGCTCCAGGTAACTTGTCGGGGTAGTATAGTAATGACGTTTCAATTCATTATAAAAGCGTTCGGCCATCGTCGTGACACTTGTATGGATCTCAACACACATGGTGGCAATTTTGTCCTGGAAATGAAAACATGGAATAATCCATGGCCAGAAACATTTAACAAAAAACTTTCATGACGAACAAGAAAATCAAATACTTCTGTTCTTGAGCAAGATAAGGTCAATAAGTAAAGAGCTTGAAACACAGTTATTAGGTAGATTTTGATCTGAATTGTTCACCCTTGTCTTGCATCTAAGTTATACTAAGAATAAAAGAAAAGAGGGAAAAAGGAAGAAAGAAAAAAAGAAGAAAATTACCATCATTATGTGCAAAATGCATTTGCATTTTGAGTATAAATCAGATAAGCCAAACATTCAGCAAATATGTGTCAGGCTACGAACTTATTGACTGACCTTCCACTGTGTATGCATATTTTTGTCTAAGAGAAATGCCAGAAAGTTCTTGATCAAACCCAGTTCCCAAAATTTGACCAAATAACAGAACATTTTAATTTTTTGGTGAAAGGACTTCTTGTCTGGATCAAGAACTTTTCACGTCTCCCTCACACACATATATATATATATATATATATATATATATATATATGGGGGGTGCAGGCATGTAGAAATATATGGGTTGATGTGCATTATGCCCACAGGGAATGTTGGACTCAATGCAAAGATGTCTTTATTCACTTGAAAATTTCATGCACAGTCATTCCTTAATATCTATTCTTGCATCTATATGGTTGGCCAGAGGAAAAAGAAGAAGAGGAAAAAGAAGAAAAGGAAAAAGAAAATAAAATAAAATGAGAAAAGAAGAAAGAAGGCTACATACCACTAAAGCCAGAGGTTTTAGAAGTTTCTCTGGTTTAAAAAAAAGCCATATTTGTTTGAAGCAAAACTAAGACTTACAGTGATATATTGTGATGATTACACTTGACAAGAAGCTAATATCTTAATCACATTTTCTTTACTCAATTTTCTAAGTCTACCAAAAAATTAGTCCGTGAACTTGAAAGGATCACAACAAAAACTAATTGACATATGTCTAAATTGTTTAACCAAACTTATTTGAATGAAAATATGCTGCCTAAATATACACATACACACACACACACATATATATATATATATATATATATATATATATATATATATATATATAAAATATCAGGCTGCCCATTTCCTCAGGGTATCAAATGCCTGTTGCAGACACCAGCTCAGGCACATTTCAACAACTTCAGAGCTAATCTGGGGTCTATACTGCACCTATGTTGAGTGGCCCCTATATCCAATTTCTGGATGTGAGTGCATAATCTGGCAGGATCAACAACGGAACAAGGCCAATATTCTTGAACTCTCGGTCACAATGACTTACAACTTTGTTTTCACAATCATCAAAAAGTTCTGTAACTCAAATTCCCTCACAAGGTGTGGTTTTCAGTCACTTCCTAATGGTGATCATCTTACGAAAACAATATTATCAAGAAGTCACTTTCTGACAAATTGACCATGGATTTCCGTGAATTGAAATCAGGTCTTTTGATTAAAACACCGTCATTCTAACCACTCAACCAGGAGCCAAACAGAGATAACAGAGATTTTAAAACATTTTATCAAGTTTTTGTTTTTGTTAAATCCAGTCATAAATATTCAAATTATGTAAATGGAGTTTACTGACCTTCATTTCTGTTTTTCCAAGATCTATTTCCTCAAAGAAAGATCTGGCAACACTGTAAAGCGCTTCCTTTGGCCATTCTGTTAACCAGTTGATTGTGCAACAATTGACTAATGATGGAAAAGTTCGACAACGAGTTCGGAAAGAATTTCCAACAGGACTCATACACAAGACAATGTGAAGATTATTTCTGAAAAAGACAAAAACAACTCAATAGAAATTATTCCAACATTATTAATTTCAAAGAGGTGTTTTACTGCAACAATTTATCATTCAGTCCAGACATGTTTATTATGTGAAGCCAATGCAGTACTTTCTGATTCCCCAGGATAAATAATGTAGTCAAACAGATTTCTTTGTCACTAAGCCATTGACATTACCAATTTGATAATGGTCACTGTTTTACTAAAAGTCTTGCAAAAATATTTTTCTGTGAAAACTCTTTACCAGCTAATATCTTAAGTTTAAAAACTGGATTTTGAGTAAAAAACAAAGTTATTTTTTTACAAAAAGGATGGTGTTTCCCTTTAGACCACTATTATTTTAACTACCTTCACTCCTAGGCAATGTTAATGTTTTAAAAAGTTATAATTAGAATTGTAATAAAACCTAAACATATGCAAGTAAATTTATACATTTTCTTTGTTTTTGAGAACTGACAACAAAAATAATAAACACTATTGTTTATTTAATCTATTTATTCATTGTTTATTGCAATGGTTTGCAAAATATCAGTTAATTGCCAGTCGATACAAATTTTATAAAATGGTAAATTAGAATTTCCTTATAGTTGGTTCATATATTTTAATAATTTAGTAAATGTTTATAAATTTATGAATAAAAAATTCTTTTCATATTTCTTTATAAATTGGTAAATGATAAATATTGTATTAGTCTTAATACAATTGTATTAGTTTTTAGAATGTTGTAAATATAAAATTATTCTTGTAAACAAATAATCCAATAGTGTTTAATATTTTTCTTGTAAATTCTGAAATAATAATGAAGGTTGTTAAAATAACAACTGTGACAATGGAAAAACCATCCTTTTAACACACCATTTTTTGTGAGCATGAAGGTCTATGTTTGCCTTTGATTTTATATGAATTTTACACAACAGAAAACTCAAGAGCCACTCAAGATAGAGGGTTACTATTAAAATGCTTATAATGAATGAGGTATGAGATTAATGTTAGAGGAGGGTTGATTGATTTTCGTTTTTATGGTTTATCAACCTTTTGCAGGTTATTTAAAGACAGAAAATATTTTTAGATTTTTTTTTCATAATTTGGAGAAGATAATGGTTGAAGGATACAAGTATTATGAATTAAACCATAGCTGGGGAGAGAAAGAGTGAATTCATGACTTTCCCAAGGGTAATTGCATGTGAATATAACAAACCTGACTGGAATTCAAACTTAGCTTTCTGGCTTCCGATTCTTAGCCACAGTTAATGACAACCAAAAGCAAAAGTTCTTTGTTTGTTAAGGATTTATTTTCATTTCCCAGGTTTCAGGTACATATTTAAATAGAAATTGTCCAATGTCTGTGTATTTTCAGTTTTCATAAGCCATTATCAAATTTTTAGGGTTTTTTGTGATATTTTGATTTCCTCATTTTTAAATATTGAATCTTCACATCTTGCATCAGCCTTTTTGAAGTATCACATCTTCACATGACAATTCATACTATTGTGTCATTTTTTATTTATGAAAATTTTGATTGATTGTTTATGGATTATCAACCTATTGCAGGTTATTTAAAGCCAGCAAATATTGAGATTTTAAGAAACTTTTGTAGATAATGACTTTTACAAATTAACCATATAACGGAGAGGGAGAAGAAATGGATTCATGCCTTTCCCAAGGATATTTGCACGTAAGTGAATATAACAAAGCCAACTGGAATTGGAACTAAATTTTCCGATTTTCAATTCCATGCCATTATCCATTAAACTGCCTACACATGCCAACTTACAGCATCTGGTTTTCCCAAATTCATGGTGCCATTATATCCTATTTAAGTACAATAGACTGGGTATTTCTAAATTACAAAGTATGTAAATGAACAATGTATTGCCAAAATTCTTCCTGCAAAAAAACAAAAAAATATCAAACAAGAAAAGTAACCACCTGACTCTGTTAATGCAGAAGTCATAAATTTGGTCCCTGCTTCCTTCTGGAATCCCAACTTCCTTGGCATCTGGACGACATGCTATGATTAATTTTTCAAGATCTTCAGTGGCAAGAAGATTTGGAACTTCTCCAGAATTCAAAATATTGTTTATATCTTCTAAGAATTCTTCCACAACAATCTGAATAAAAAATTATATATTTTTGATTGCGTAATCAGTGATGTAAATTGTACAATTTTTTTTTAAAATCAGGTCATTCCAAGTAAGGTGATAATGCCACTAAGATCCAAGCAGGCAATGGGAGTGAAAGAGAATAAAAAAAAAACATTGGAAGGAACTGGAAACCCACTTCTAAACAGGAAACAAAGGAGAAACCTCTACTCCCATTCAGAAAACTGGGGACTAATGTGAACAATGTTTGACAGGCAAACTTATATACTCCTGTTTGTCATAAAAGTCAGTACAATTAGGTTTCTTATTTGGGAACTAGATTTATTAATCTTGGGTTGCTTAGGTTGTCAAGCTGGTTTATCAATTCTATGAAGTGGAAGGAGTCCAGTTGAATAATGCAACAATATTTGGAATATGAACCAGCTAAGTAGGTGTTCTGTCAAACTTCCTGCTTACAATTGGAACATGGCCGAAATGAGGATAAACGTGGCATGGCATGTCCTAACAGTAAAGGTCTGGACTAGTAGAACTATAAAATGGAGCTCATCTGAGTATTTACCATGGAAATAGTGACAGATTGGTGATAGGCTTGAAATATTGCATCAGTTGGGAAAGAGACAGCAGAGAAAACAATGTCTAACTCTGCAAGATCATGTAATTGATTTTGAACTCTGTCAAGGCTAGAAAGGAAAGACTGAGCAGCTCCAACCCAAATATGTCAGTGATACTCCATTTTTGGTCTAACCTATTTTCATCTTGCACTATTGTTCACCCAATAAAAGGCCTAAGAGTCACTCAAGGTAGAGCATTGATGAATTGAGTTATAGGTATAAGAGGAACTGTATGAAATGTGAATATGTATGATAGATAATGTTTGACCCTAGACTTGAAGAGGTTAAGATGGTAGTGATCAGGGAAGCATCTACTCAGAACTCTGTTCCAAAAGGCAATGGCTCTTGGGAAGAAGCTGTCCAAATGGAACTTCCTTCTTACAGATAGAATACAAAGGGAATGAAGATGGTTTGCTCCTGTGTACATGACATGGTCTTTATATATATATATATATATATATATATATATATATATATTCTTGAGACTGTATCATGGCAAGTCCTAGCTGTGAAGGTCTGAACTGGTGGAACTGAACAATGGGGAGCTCATATGAACATTTGCCATGAAAATAGTGATAGAGAAGTTATAGGTTTGCAGCAGTGCAGCTGTAGAGAAAGAAGCTGCAGAGTGAACAATGTCTTCCCCCCACAAGATCATCGAAATGATTCTGAATCATGTCAAGGCTAGAAAGAGAAGACTGAAGTGTTGTGTAATACCTAATATCTCGTATGGCAGTGAATACAGGATAATTTCCTTCCAGAAACTTACAGCAACACAAGGGTTCTATTGATGAATGCTAAGAATACTATGGATAGAACATGCAATCAATGAGGAGTTTTAAGGAAAACAGGAACAACAAGGAAATTGATGCTTACAGAGACAGCTGAACATTTTTGGGACAGTTAATGAGGAAAGTAGGCTGAGAGAATTTAAGTCACACAAGATATACTCAAGACAAGAGAAGCAAGGAGAAGCTGCATGGAAGAGTTAATAGTTAAAGAGTCTGTGCTAATAGATGGCAAAACAGGGCTAATGAGGGATGGTGATGTTACTCAGAGCAACAAAGCAAAAGTTGTGGAGACCCATGATCACACTTATCCTTAAGAAGAAAACCAGAGTCTATATAAGTTAGAACCAGATAAAATACTATCCAGTAAAGAAATATTTTCTACCTGTGTGTCCGTGAAGAGAAACACAGTGTTTTCATTTTTGGCTCCTGCCATATCGTAGAGTTTTATCAGATCTGCATGAAAGGAAGCATAGTCATATCCTCGGGTTAACTCAATTTGGAAACATCTGTAGTTGCAGATGTGAGAAGCCAATCTGAAATCAAAGAGAAATGCAAGAATAAAGGATACAGAGAAAATTACAAAGACAATATAAGCTACATGACATCAAGTCAAGATACAAAGCTTCGTTTATATTGCTGTGGGTTTCCCCAGTGACTGGGGTTGGCAGCAGTTGGCTAACTCTCGCTCCTACTTTTCCAAGCATCCTTTCGTCCTTTGATGATGAAATCCATCAGAGGATAAAACAAGAAAAAGTTTCCTTTCATCTTATATATATATATATATATATATATATATATATTAAGGCATTAAAAACTAGAAATGTTGTATTGCAGGCCATGATAAGTTTAAAATAAAACACACACAGTCGACCGGTTTCGTCCCCTCTCGTCAGAACTGTTAACGGGGAATTTAGATTATGAGGAAAAAAGAAAAAAGTCTGTCATGGGTGACATGAATGAATGGACAGGGAAGGAAGGAAAGATAAAATTATACCAACCAAGCTGCTAGAAGCGCAGAACAGCAAGTCCAAGCAAACAATCTCTTTGTTTGCAAAGAGAAGGCTGCCTGGACCTGATGTAAAGCGATTCCAACACCTTGAGATGGAAAAGTGAGTGCGAACTGGCCAAGACGGAAAACCAGTTCACACTGAAATCCATCGCACAAGTTGGATTCTTTATAAAATGATCCGCAATGGAAGACCCATAAGTGTTACGAATGGTATCGCCCAAAGAAAATTTTTTGTTTAGTATTATCGCAGGTACGTGTTGTTTAATTCTCACGTCCAACCGCTGTGTCGTTCAACGTCTTGGTTCCATTGACACTCATGATTCTACATTGACTTCTGAAATTCGATTTCAGAAACGTCTTGTCAAATGGGTAAAAAGTGGTGTTCTTTCCTCTAAAATGGCGGAGGAATTGAGACCGTCTGGTTCTATTCGTCCCCGTCTATATGGATTACCTAAGATTCATAAGGAGGGTGTCCCGTTGAGACCCATATTATCGATGATTGGGTCTTCACAGCATAAAGTCGCAAAGTGGCTTGCTATAATGTTGCAACCAGTGTTGCAGCATTACAGTTCCTTTTGTATTAAAGATTCATTCGGAATTGTGATGCCACTGATGGATTTATGTGTTCCTTTGACATCTGTAGCCTCTTCACTTGTGTTCCTTTATCGGAGACTATTGATATTTGCAGCGATATGTTATATCGCAGTGATTTGACTCCTCCGAATATACCTGAAGAAGTGTTCGTTGAACTCATGAAATTTGCCACTATGTTTGTCGATTTCAGTTTCGACAATATCATGTATCGTCAGATCGATGGTGTAGCGATGGGTTCCCCTTTGGGTCCTGTTTTGGCAAATATTTTTGTGGGTTTTTATGAAGAAAGCCTTTTGTTAAGTTCTGCCTGGGACCCAAGGTTTACTTTCGGTATGTTGATGACACTTTTTGTGTGTTCAGCCATGAATCGGAAGTGGATCAATTTTTTTCCCTACTCAATGGTGTTCATCCTGCCCTTAAATTTATTAGTAGATAAGGAGGTCAATGGTTCATTGCCCTTTTTTTAGATGTTCTTGTTCAAAGAACTCCTTCCTTGTTTATTACCTCTGTGTACAGGAAGTCTACTTTTACAGGACTATATACCTGTTGGGACTCTTTTTGTCCCTAAACAACAAAAAGATTAATTTGATTAGGACCCTGACACATAGGGCGTTAATGATCTGTTCGGATGACACCTTGAAACATGAAATCAGTTGTTTAACTGAGATCTTTGTGAACAATGGTTATCCGTTGAACATTGTTCAATCGGTTATTCGAGATGAGACCGCTAGGTTCAACAAAATCAAACCTGCTTCAGTTGGTAAATGTCCGGTCTATCTTCGTTTACCGTGGTTGGGTAGGATTAGTGAATCCTTCGCCAAGCGTATTTCATGTAGTTCACGTGAGTGTTATTTTGCAGCGAACGTTCGTGTTGTTTTCAAACTAGGTCTGTACTTCCATCTATGTGTAAAGATGTTCTACCCCCACCATATTAACTCTGTTATTTACTATTTCAAATGTAGTTGTGGATGCGACTACATAGGTAGAACGACACAGCGGTTGGACGTGAGAATTAAACAACACGTACCTGCGATAATACTAAACAAAAAAAATTTTCTTTGGGCGATACCATTCGTAACACTTATGGGTCTTCCATTGCGGATCATTTTATAAAGAATCCAACTTGTGCGATGGATTTCAGTGTGAACTGGTTTTCCGTCTTGGCCAGTTCGCACTCACTTTTCCATCTCAAAGGTGTTGGAATCGCTTTACATCAGGTCCAGGCAGCCTTCTCTTTGCAAACAAAGAGATTGTTTGCTTGGACTTGCTGTTCTGCGCTTCTAGCAGCTTGGTTGGTATAATTTTATCTTTCCTTCCTTCCCTGTCCATTCATTCATGTCACCCATGACAGACTTTTTTTTTTCTTTTTTTTCCTCATAATCTAAATTCCCGTTAACAGTTCTGACGAGAGGGACGAAACCGGTCGACTGTGTGTGTTTTATTTTAAACTTATCATGGCCTGCAATACAACATTTCTAGTTTTTAATGCCTTAATACGCTTTTTGTACCGTTTCTAACCTATTTAAATATATATATATATATATATATATATATATATATACTACAATTCAAAACTTTAAAACAATCCCCAGAATTAGCATGGAATGAACTTGACAAAAGAGTGAAAAAAAATGAAAAAGAGCTCATGAGTCATGGAAAAAAGAATGGAATAAATTATCAAATTTTTTGCAGGTAGTCTAACAGTTCTTGTTCTAAATCTGAACTTTTGGACCCACATACAGCAAAATCAATGAAAGAGTCCACTATCTTTTTGACAAATTTGGTCAACAAACGAAAATTGTTATGGATTTATTTTCATTTCGCAGGTTTCTGATATAATTAAATACATATATATATATATATACATACATACATATATATATACATATATAGTTAAATTTCCAGATGAATTCTGTCGACAAGACGGATTGGTATCAAATGACAATTAGAAAAAAATCTCACATTTTGCTGATGCGTTTTGTCTTCCGACATTTTCAAGGCAAATTTGGATTTTTAATGTAACTATAACAACAAAAACATTTCGGTTTCATTTTTGCCTTGAAAAAGTCAGAAGACTTAAACTTGTCGACCAAATGTAATTTTTTTTTTCCAATTGTAATTTGATACCATATATATATATATATATATATATATATATATATATTTAAAGAGAAATTTTCACTGTCTGAGCATTTTCAGTTTTCATAAGCCATTATCAATTTTTTGGTGCTGTATTGGTTTCCTCATTTTTATATATTGAGTCTTCACACCTTGATATTTTTTTTAAAGTATTGCATCTTCACATGACAATTTATACTATTATCATTTTTTTAAATGAAAATTTTGATCAATTGATTTGTTTTTTATCGGATATCAACTTCTTGCAGGTTATTTAAAGCCATAAAATATTTTTAGATTCTTAGAACTTTTTGAGTCAATAATGAGATTTACTAATACAAGTTCTGCTAATTAACCCATAGCAGGGAGGAGAACAGGTGGATTCATGCCTTTCCTATAACATTAATTTGGGGTTATATAAAGAATGAAATATTAATTTAAAATTAAGAGGAATAGAAAGGGGTTTAAAAACTTTAAACTATAGATAAAAAGTGTATTTGTGCATAAGTGAATATAATGAAACCAAAGGAAATTGGAACTTGATTCTCCAATTTCCAATTCAGAGTCATTATCCATTATACCACCTGCACATCCAAAGTTACAGAACCTGGTATTCCCAAGTGGTTAACCATCTAGGTACTGACCAGCTTCAATGCTGCTTAACTTCAGTGATCATACGAGAAGTGGTGTTTCACTATGATACAGCATTAAGCAACAAAAATCTTATATATAAAGTACAGTGTATGTGTGTTTGTGCCTGTGTGTGTCCAAGCAATTCCTTCGCTACCACTGGTCCGATTTAATAATTCATAGCTCATTCAAAAGCCCTATAAAAGTTAGGCACAAGGAATGATTTTTGTTTAGCTCAGATTCAGGTTTACCAGATTATGCAAGGTTAAAAATATATATTAATATATTATACTAGCCATTATCATTGTTTTCATGGCTCAAGGGGAGTAACTCTTATTTTCCTTTTGTATCCAAAATTGCAGCTAGCTTAAAAGCCGCCATATTGGGTGGAAGCTCCTGTGGAGGACTCTTGGTTTGGCCATCACCAAAATAGCTAGGGAGGAGTAGATGAAAATAATGGCCAGAGAGAGGAAAAAAAAGACACTTCTGTCTTCCTCTGTCTTGCCATTTTCTTCAATAATTTATCATCCATTGACTGGTTTGAAAAATCCTTGTAAATTTTTTTCAATTTACAAGATGAAAATGATCATTAACCTAATGTAATCTTAATCCCTATTGTATAAAATATATTGCTTTGTTTAATTAAAACATTAAGTTCTATGTGTAAATCAGTTTTAATATTGTATTAATAGGATTCATTTGGATTATATACTAACAGATTATTACCAATATGTATGTGTGTGTATATATATATATATATATATATATATATATATATATATATATATAAATAGTTTTATAAAGTTTCAACACGGCAATCGTCAGGCCTGACGATTGCATATAGCAATGAAACAGACTGTCGCTCTAGGCCTGACTTTATGTTAACTTTATTTTTACACACGCTCTATCTCTGATATTGAGCACTTTATTCCATAAATATAGCACACCTTAAGACTATATTTTTTATATATATATATATATATATACATATATATATATATTATCATGGCATCGATTATATATATATTATCATGGCATCGATTGGTCTAGGCAGGTTTTTTTTTTTTATTATAAGAGATTGGCAGTTGCACATGCAGTACATCTCCTCTTTTCATGTCACCAATTCACAACCGATTGAAGGTCCTTTTCGAGACGCATGGCCAGGTTAGTTTTGTCAGTGAGACTAGATTTGTTTTTGAGGAAGGAATAAATTGTGGTGTCATCCGTGTAGATGCCAACTTGGGAATTTATGGCGTCCGGAAGGTCATTCATGTGGATAAGGAATAGAGTGAGGCCTAGGATGGAGCCTTGAGGAACACCTGCGTTCATGGGATAGGAACTGGAGGAGAATCTGTTGAGAATGACCTTCAATTCACGATTTGACAGGAATGATTGTATTAGGTCAAACAATCGACCTGTAATGGCATAACCCTGGAGCTTGTGAAGAAGGCCGGCATGCCAAGCCCTATCAAACACTTTGGAGATGCAAGCTTCCCCGTTATTTTGAAGAGCTTGGTAAACAGTTTCAGTGATGGCCGTAAGCACATCAGCTGTAGATCGAACAAAGGAAGCCATATTGCTTGTCTGAGAGCAGATCATGGGATGTAAGGTGGTTAACCACCTTGGTATTGATTGGGGATTGAAGACTTTGCGAAGATGGGTAGGAGACTGATAGGATGGTAGTTAGAAGGGTCAGAGGGTTCTTGAAGACAGGAACAATTGAAGAGGACTTCAACAGTCAGCACTTTTTCCCCCTAGACCAGTTGCCATTCAAGGCTATAAAACCAGTCTATCATTATATATATATATCATATATATATATATATATAATATATATATATATATATATATATATATATATATATATATATATATATATATATATATATATATATATATATATATATATATATATATATATATATATATATATATATATATATATATATATATATATATATATATATATATATATATATATATATATATATATATATATATATATATATATATATATATATATATATATATATATATATATATATATATATATATATATATATATATATATATATATATATATATATATATATATATATATATATATATATATATATATATATATATATATATATATATATATATATATATATATATATATATATATATATATATAAATATATATATATTTATATAATAAATATATATATTATATATATATATGTATATATGCAGTCCATATATATATATATATATTAGTATTTTTATATAATATATAATAAATATATGTTATATATATATATATATATATATATATATATATATATATATATATATATATATATATATATATATATTATATATATAAATAACATACATATCATATTAATCCAGTAGCACGACTGAGTTTCATGCACAACATAATATTCACGTGCTGTGTATAGTCTGACTGTTACATAATTTAAATTTTAATAAAAATATCTGGTTAATGCAATGTTGGTGCAGTCCATATATTATATGAGGATTAGTTTTTTTTATCGTAAAAAATATTTTGCATTTAAAATAAACAGATTTATATTTTATCTATATAAAAAAAAATTATTTAAAGTTGTGAATATTAAGTATAAAAGGGCGATAACTGGAATTTTACCCCCACCTGCACAAAAAAAATATCATTAAAATTAAGAGAGGAAAAAATAACAGAAAAATGACATAATTTACATTAAAAATTAATCTGGAGCAACGTATTTCAACAGATATTTATTTTTATGCCTAATTGTGACCATTAATTCATTTTTTTTTTTTTTTGTTTAATAAAATAGGGTTACTCAAGTATTTCATGATAACTAATTTTTCAATAAATCATAAATTACATCTAAGCATTTTCCCATTATAAGATTTGTATTTTACTAAAATATCCCATGTAATAATGGGTTTATTACCATCATTCTTTAACTGCCAGAAATGTTTGGAGAGAGCAGTGCTGTTTATGTATCTTGCATTGCCCAAAGTTATTTTTTGTAAGAAATCATTTTTGAGATCAGGTTTCATTGATGTATGTATTTTTGGTAATATTTTTTTTCTCAAAAATGTATTGCTGGTATTTTTACTATAAAAACCTATTTTGATACTTTCATAGTGTTTTGGCACCAGTTTGGAGGTTCACTATTTGCCTATAGCTGGGACTCTAAAAGGTGTTACCACCCAGGGCCAGGGTGGACTTAGAAACAACAGCAATTAAGAGGTGAGGCCATGCTCCTCAAAACCTTCTGATCAGAAACTTTGCTGCCGAATGTAGCTTATCATACCCTGAATGTTGGCTTTTTGTGCTATATCGGTTTCTTTATTTTCAAATCTCACATTGCCATGTGTTTTATGTGGCTGTGTCATCATTTTTTATTTTAATGAAATATATTTTGTATGTTTATTCCTGAGCTTAATATCATTTTATTGATGAATATAAGAATGAAGACATAAAAAGTAAGATGAAGTGCCAAAGAACTAGAAACAATCTAAACTTAGTAAATATTGACATTTCCTGTCAGAGTTAATTAGTAACACACACCTGGTAAGAGACTGTTTTCCTGTGCCCCCGACACCAACAAGCAGGGCGTTTCCTCTTTGTTGCCTCAAAATCCGAGCAATTCTTGTTACGTGTTGTACAGCATCGAGAAAGAAAACTAATTTCATTTCTTTTGGAGACTGCATGTTGAATTCATCGAGATACTGAAAAAAAAAAAATATTAAAAATTCATACATGATTGTCTTTTTTCAAAGATTTATATTTCCTCTTTACAATTTAAGTCTAGTGGAGTAGGAGGCATGGTGGAGTAATGGATAACAGCTCGGATTGAAGAATCGAAGAACTGAGTTCAAATTCCAGTTGAATCCATTACATTCACTTATTTGCTAATACCCTTGGAAAAGGTATGAATCCTCTTTTCCCGCCAGCTATGGGTAAATAGCAGGACAGACTGAGTTCTATAGCCTTGGATGGCAACTGGTCTACCACAGAAAGAAATGGCAACCTATTGCCTGGTCAGTCACATATCAAAATGACTGATATTAACACAAATGGAGTCTTTTACAAAACAATACACTCAATGTATTAACCGCTTTGGAGTAATGGATAATGGCTCGGATTGAGGAATCAGAGAGCCGAGTTCGAATTCCAGTCAAATCCATTACATTCACTTATGTGCTAATACCCTTGGGAAAGGTATGAATCCTTCTTCTCTTCCCAGCTATGGGTAAATTGCAGGACAGACCAGGTTCTATAGGCTTGGATGGCCTAATGTGCGAAAAAAAATCTGCCACATCAATCATGTATCAAAAGATACATGATCTATCACGTATGGCATATAACTGACTGATATGCAGAAACTAGAAACAGGGAAATTTCATTGGAAATAAAAAAAAGAAAAAGAAAAAAAGAGTACTGGACTGTTACATAATATCAGTACTCCTATATGGCAGTGATGGCTAGGCAATCAAATCACACAAGAAGAAGAGACTTGAGTTAATGAAAATATGGTTCTACAGATAAAAAGCATGAATCTATTTTCTCTCCGGTTATGGACTGAAAAGTATGGCAGACTTGGCCCTCTTACCTTTGGTGGCTGCATTATAGGAGGTAAAACTAAATTCAAACCTGAGAAAGTCCATTTGGAAACTATGTGGAATATTGTATGCTATTTATTACTGGTACAATCAAAATATGTGGTGGCTTCTACATAAGCCTTTACCACAATAAGAAAATTATGATTTGTGTGGTTTATCTAATGGTTAGTTCTAAACTAAACCTGTTGGAGCATTTATACACACACGTATATATATATATGTATAGGGGCACCTTGAGTTGGTGTAATGGTTAGCAAGCTTGTCTCTCTAGAACAATTACTAATGAGTAATGAGTTCAATCCTCACTGGGTGCCCCATACTTTTGGCCTTGTGCTGCATCTAAGCTACACATGAAAAATCACTATATATATATATATATATGTGTGTGTGTGTATAGGGTGCACTAGGTATTTGAAAACACATCTTTCATTGGCCATAAAAGGAAGACCTAATTTAATCTGATGTGGCATAAAACAAATTTTAATCTTTAATTTCCCATTCAGATGTATCAAGAGCATTAACAAAGCAGCCTCCCCTCTGGGACAAGAATGAAAAAGGCATACCATGCTCATGTCATAAGATGTTTGTTTGTTTGTTTAATGGCATATCAATCTTTTATGGGTCATTTAATGACAAAATTCAATTTTCTTGAGAGATGGTGTAATTTTTTTCTTTACAAAAATTTGTTGCTGGTAATTTATTCATTGATTTAAAAAAGTCTATACTTTCAGTTTCTTGATTCCAGTTTGGGGATTCACTGTTTGCCCATACCTGGGACCCTAACAGGTGCTACCACCCCAGGTCAAGGTGGACATGGAAACAACAGCAATTGAAAAAGTGGTTCCATGCTCCTGAAAACCTTCTGTGCAGAGGTCTTGCTGCTGGATGTAGTTTATCATCATACCCTGGACATCATGACATAAGCTACCAGCCATAATGGCTCAGAGATAACAAGTTTTCTTTTAGTAAGTCAGTGAGTGGATGAGTGACAGTGACACTGCATGAACGCCATGCCAAATTCATGCCACCCTTTTTCATAGAGCGTCTCAGAGCCAATAGCATGAATCTGTGGTTCTTGACACAGTGATGAAAACCAGAATTGAGGGCATAGACATACATATTGCAGCAGGAGATTGCTCTGTCTTGCCTGACACATATGGAGCAAGATATGTATTCTGGAGAAATCTTTTGCTTTCCAAATGCGCCTTCAGATTTCAGTATTGCATTTTCTATCCTCCATTAAGATACTTCCTAGATTGATTGCTCTTCTATGGGCGCCTTATGGATCTGGAACCGTAATTGACATAACTTGTTAACTAAAATCTTAACTTGTATTTTTGAGCTGATATTATAGTTAAGATATCTGAAAGTTAAGTGTCACCATGTTGAACATTTGTGTATAATTTTAGTGTTATGCATGATTGCTACTTTGGCAAACATGAATATTCGTGCACACCAAAAAAATAGAGTCAAAAAGATGGTCTTTTCTATGACACAGCTTTTATTTTAACTTCTCAGAAATGTTTATTGTTTTAAAAAGCAATGATTAGGATTGTAATAAAACATAAGCATATGATCAAAGTTAATTCCTACATTTTTTTTGTTCTTGAGAATTTATAACAAAAATGTTAAACACTATTTATTTATTAGATTGTTTATTTACAAAAATAATTTTATATTTATAACATTTTCAAAACTAATACAATTGTATTAAAACAAATGCATTGCAATATTTGTCATTTAAAAAAAAAATATGAAAACAATTATAACAAGCAATATTTATCATTTATAAAATATAATACAATAATAACAATATAATAATACAATTAATAACAAGCAATATTTATCATTTATAAAAAATATGAAAACAATTTTTTTATTCATAAATTTATAAACATTTACCAAAATGAGTGAACCAACTATAAGTAAATCCTTTGAATTGACTGGCAATTAGCTGATGACTTTCCAACTATTCCAAACAATCTAATAAATAGTATTTATTATTTTTGTAAATTATCAAGAACAAAGAAAATGGTTTAGGATTTATTACAATTCTAATCATTGCTTTTTAAATCAATAAACATTGCCAAAGAATGAAGGTAAATTAAAAATGGTGTCACTATAAAAAAAACATCCTTTAGACACTTCGGTTTTTTTTTTTGCAGGTATGAAAATCCATGTTTGCCAGGATTATACCTATGTACAGTCCAGTGAGTGTGAGTTTACAATATTCATATAAAATATGAAAAAAAAAGAAACCAAGGACATTTACCAATTTACAATTTGTCTGTGCATTGGATATTCCTGCCATATCTGGTGTTGTGTTCCTACTACAAATCTAGAGATTCTTGACAAAATTCAAAGAAGGGTCTGTAATGTAATCGATCCTAACCCAGGATCTCAACTTCAATCACTTTCTCATGTTTCTCACAAGATGACTTACCCATGAATATTTTCATAGCAACTGTTCTTATGAGCTTTCCTCTTTGGTGGCTTGACTACATGAATTTAAGTTTGTTACTAGATTGACAACTAGATTGGTTACTAGATTGGCAATTGTATTTTACTGTTGAACTAGCTAGATACAACAATATATTTTATTTTAATAGCTTCTTTTCTTGCACTTCTTGCCCAATTTCTTACTTCCCTACCAACTACTATCTACAAAAATTAAAACATAATGCCAATCACAGTCTTCTGTCTTCCTAAAATCTATTCTTTTATTGTCCTTTTTTCTCATTCTCTTTCACTCCCAGTAACCTCTTGTGTCCTAGTGAAATTATCAGCATTTTCTTTCTTCCTGAAACCTGTTTTTTATTGTACTTTCTCCTCAGTAAAGTCTTCTTGTTCTTTCTCACTCTCAGTAACCGCAATGTGCCTGAGTAACTTATCACCTGGTTTCAGGTTTCTTGCTTCCCTGACAATTTTCAAAAGTCTAAATGCAATGTCAATCACTATCTTCTGTAATCCGGAAATCTGTTCTTTTATTGTCCTTTCTCCTCACTAAAGTTTTCTTGTGCTCTCTCACTCTCAGTAACCGCAATGTGCCTGAGTAACTATCACATTCTCTTTCACTCCCTGTAATCTTGTGTGTTTTAGTGACATTATCACCATCTTCTGTCATCCTAAACCCAGTTCTTTTATTGTCCTTTCTCCTCAACATCGTCTTCTTGTTCTCTGTAAATCTCAGTGAGCTCTTATGTATTAATGGCATTATTGCTTTGCTTGAGGTGAAAGGAATAACAACAAACAAAAACTTATATATATGAAAAATAGAAAATATAACAATCTAAAGGTAGTAAGTGTCATAAAATATATCAATATTATACAAGATTATCAAATGGGAATATATTTCTCCTGCAGTGGGTGACAAAATATATAGATATAGTGCTTAAAAGGCCACATTTTTCAAGAAAGGTCAGATTTCCAATTTTTCTCACCTCTTGTAGATTGGACTGGATTTTGCGTATGTCAGTAAATTCCTCATACAGTCGATCTTCTCGCTCAGTTGTCACAGACAGAAAATCACCAAACAGGATTGGATTTTCTCGTAATGTTTCTGGATCAATAACCTGAAAAAAGTAAAACTTACTATAAGAACAAGAAAAAATAATTTGAAGATCTAGAAAATTATGGGGTCTCTCTAAGTCCCTGTTGACAATCATATAATTTTATATTTTTGCCACATTTTTGTTGGTATCAACAACAAAAAATACAGATAATGTATATTAGTCTTGTAAAGCATATTTTCATTCTTTTCATTATTTCTTCAACCACACATCTGAGCCTTTACAGACATCTGGCAGACTCTTCTTCAGCACATACATCAATAACTTGATTAAATAAACAGGCACAAAATATTTCCTGTATATCCTCTTGGTATCATTTAAATACCTGAAGTTTTTAAATTATATCTACATTTTGTCTAGTCTGGATTGTTCACCATCACTCTACAATAGTTACTTTGTATAGGTATTTACTCAGCTAGTATGGCTCAATGCTAAAATAAAGGAAATGTGGAAAGAAATTATAATACTGTACAAGACTAGTTTGTTAACCATTACTCTATAACAAGAATTCACTATAGCAATGGTAATACTAACCATTTCCCTATACAGAAACATTCGGTATTCATTGACCAAGCAGCCAGTACTATTTTTGTTTGAAATTTTATAAAATCTTTCTCTTAAGATACATTTTCCGAAAACAGGTGTCTTGAGTCCAGTAGCTGTTATCACTCTTTCCAGTATTGATGGTGATCTCCTTCCATGACTGGGTGTGGTTGCAGGGCTGTTGCACAGTTGAGCACCTGAACATATATCTGGATTGCAGTCTTGGGCAATTAAACTGGGCTGGGCCCATCCTTCTCTAGGGCAAACACAGCTGATATCCTCCAACTTGAAGGCTCACCTTGGTCACAAACATGTTATTGATTCTATCAAGGAAACCCTTCATTCTGGTCATTGACTTCAGTCCAGGAAAACCTACACCCAGCAATGCACAGGCTGTATACACAGCTACGAAGCTCAGTCTACACAGGCGTGCTGGATATGGCTGTTGGTACTAGGAAAGGATTGATAGGTTTTGTTTCTTTAATCAGAAAAGCCTGGTGGGGGAACCAGTTTAACTGCTGATGAATGACCATGTAACAGATAGTACTCAGTTACATGGAAGCAGGAGCACTCAAAGAGTGAACTGACATAAAACAGATATATTTACCAAGCTTAAATTAGACTGAAAAATTATATCACTCAGCTTATTATTCTGAGTTATTCTACAGAATAAATACAGAAAGTGATTATCTCCCTTTGGTGGAGATAAATCACATGGGTCATGTGATGGCCACTCAGTGACATCACTTCATACAGTGACGAAAGTGACTCTCATTTTCAGTTTGTTTATAGCAGACAAACCAAGAAGTTACTTTTTTTAGTCTGGGCCTCTTGGCCCAGGCTCAGGTTAAATCTGGCTCCTCCAGCAGCTTAAAAGCACATGTCACAATTTCACTTTGGGAATATATCTTCCCCGGATATAGAAATAAACTCAAGCTTGCATTCCCTTGTTTGGGAAAACTCAAAACTCGCCATTTCCCACTTCATGGAATATATCCTCACCTGGGGCATAGGTGAATCCAACCCATTTGGATCTAGAGTCCTAAACATAGCTTCTCCAGAAACACAGAAGAACCTCCATACTATATATGTAAGACCCTTCCTTTTTGTTTCTCCTTACACTGTGCTTTGCTTTTTTTCTTAATTTTCTTGCAATTTGATATACTGTTCTCCATGTGGGACATATGTGTGTGTGTGCCTGTGTGTGTGTGTCTGTGTGTGTATATATATATATATATATATATATATATATATTTTGTGTATTTAGGCAGCATTTTTTCCTTGAGACATGTTTCATTAAATAATATAGACAAGTGTTGTCTATTTATTTTATGTAAATTCTTTTTATATCGTCTGATAAGCTTAATAACATTATCATTAAACGATTTTTGCTTCCAGTGACTTTATATGCATGAGTTTGTCGTTGCTTGGAAATCTTCCATGTAAACAGAAACAGACTATCATCACTGTCTTGTCCATGTATTGCTTAATATATTGTAATGTAATTGTCATCTTTGATAATGGCTTGTGTAAGCCGAAAGTTTAGATTAAAAAATATGTATCAATATTGTGATTTTCTTTCTTCGTTTAATGATAATGTTATTTACATAAAATAAATAGACAACACTTGTCTATATTATTTAATGAAACATGTCTCAACATATATATATATATATATATATATAGATACACCTAGTGAGCCAGACAAACCTACCTAGGTTTCACCTAAACGGATCGTCAGTGAAAGTAAGGCTGCTCTACGGTTGTATTGAGCTCTTTTGTTAGTTAGTTGTTTACTCGTATCGGGGTTTTTTCTTTGGGCTTCAGACCTGCATCTGTGCGATTTTTTTGTTGGCAGAAGTTCATGTTTGTAGCTCTTTCTTTTTTTAAAACCTTTTTTCCCCCCTCGAGACTGATTTGATTATTAGCAAATCAAAAATTTGAGGGTTTTTTTAAACAAGTCTAGTTATCTATAATTATATATATATGTATATATATATATATATATATATATATATATATGTCTTAGTGGTATGAAAGTCTCTCAGCAAACAAGGCATGGTTGTTATTCCTTTTTCTTTCAGCCATTCCATTCGTAATAATATGGTGTTATTATATCATGGATATAATAATGCTCATAATGGGGAAAATATAAATGGGAGAATAAATCCTTCCTCCATGTCTCTACTGTTCAACCATTATTTCCCTAAACGTGGTTAAGATGAAAATGTTATGTTTTTCCCATTAAAAGTTAATGTAAATTTTTTAGTTTATTATTAAGTTTTTGACTAAATTTTTTTCATCTTCTTAATTTTTGGCTTATTTTTCTTGCAATTTGATTTCTTACAGAAGGTGCAATGGATATCATCTCAAAATAAGAAATCAGAAAACAGATTTTTAATTCCAGTCATGTTCATTACATTCACTTAGATATCCTGGGGAAAGGTATGAATCCATCTCTCTTTCCTTAAGGATTAAATAATAGAGAAAACTGGGCTCTTCATTCTCAACTGGTAACCAGGCTAGGAGAAGGAAAAATTTGAACTCAAAAACCATATACTATATGCAGGGTCATGGAATTCACAATGGCATTGAGCCTGACTGCAGTCAGTCTTATAATGATTTTGATTTCATTGACAATTTTTATATTCTACAAATATCAAAACATTTACAGCAATAACAGACATGTGCATTTTGTGGTGTGCTGCACATTAGCTTAGATCCACATGTGCATATTGTGGTGTGTTGCACATTAGCTGAGATCTACATGTGTATCTTGTGTGCTGCATATTAGCTGGGACATGTGTGTGTCTTGTGGTATGTCATGTATTGCCTCAGGTACACATGTGCATCCATTTTACAGATTCTATTACAATAAAAACCTTCCTAGTGTTTTTAGAAAGTGGATTTTCAGAGCTGTTTAAAAAAATGACCAGGGCAAATAAATATATTACATGGCACGATGGAAAAAAAGCAGCCAGTATCAACAATGCCCATTAATGTTATTCATATATTCTAATAAATTTCATTTTATTTGCCAAAAATAAATCCTAAGTCGTCTCAGTTTTTTTTTCTTTTTAATCCATAATATTCTTGGGTTGTAGGGTAACTACACATACAGTAGCTGCAGTAGCAGTGCTGTTTCTGAAGCAAGACAGTTTGTTAGAGCCCAACCCTTTCCTGATTGGTTTTTTCCTTCTCCTAGACTGGTTGCTACCCAATACTATAAAACCAAATCTGTCCTGCTGTTCAACCCATAGCTGGAGGGGAAAGAAACATAGGTGAATGTAATGAACTCAAGTGAAATTCAAACTCAGCCCTCTGATTCCTCAATCCAAGCCACTATCCATTACTTCACCATGTCCCCATCAGATAGCACCTCAGATAGCAATCTCTAATGGAAATTAACAAAAATATAGATGACATTAAGAAAGGCTCAAATATCCAATGTAACGGTGAATGCCTCATAAATTTAATTTTATTTACCAAAGTAAATCATTAGTAGTCTTACATAGTCATTTTTAACAAACAAAAACCAAGATGGCATTATCTAACAGAGGTTCCTTGCTTTGAAACCCTATTGAGACCCAAGCTCAACACAGGCCTCAAGTGGAACATGAACTGTGACTTTGTGGAACAGACTTCCATGAGGATGTTTTTTGAGCACTACAATCTTAACCTCTTCAAGTCAAGGGTTAACCATTGACTTTCTATATAACCCCATAAAATGCAATTATCCTTCTCTTATGTGTATACAGTAATCCTCTACTTTGAGTGGCTCTTAGGCCTTGTAGTAGGTGAACATTAGTAAAAAAATAAATAAAAAGCAGTGGAAATATGGCGTAAACAACATGGACCAAAACCCAAAAATTTGCTTTTTATGAAAATATGACAACACATGCAAATTTAGTTGATGAGGATATTTTTAAACATGAAAATTAAAGGAAAAATTTTCATTTTTTTATACTTTGAGAATTTTTGAGATTAATATAAAAATCTAAATTTTAAAGATTACTATAACTTAACATCTTAGCCTCCTTTTTTTTCTGCTCCAAAATTTCTCTACTCTGGCATAAGCTGTGGATATGTACCATAGTCTAACTCCATAGTGCAGAAAATATAAACTCAATATACCATACCTCACCAAAGTATTTACTTGCTATTTCAGACATGATAGTGTAGAAATAGTCTTTGTCTTGTGTATTTATCAATCTATCATGAAAGACCCGCATAGACTCATGACAGAAGAGACGAAAAAGTTTATTCCCATCTCGAACATTGATTGGATCGCACTGCAAAATTCCTACAGGAAGAAAACCAAGAAAAAAGAATGAGATTTCATTACTATTTATTACTTTATTGTCATTACTTATTACCATTTATTTTTTTATTACCATTACTTATTACGATTCATATTTATTAAAGTTTTTCACATCTTATTTGTGTTGTTTTTTATTACAACACTCAAACTGGAACAATGTAAAAGAATATTTTTTTTAAACTTTTCACCTCATGCAAGTTAGTAAAGTCATGAAGACAGGAGTTACAGAGTGTGAAAGTATAAGAAAAAAAAGAAACATTATTAAAAAGAAAGAAAAATAGAAGAGTAATTGATATTGCATTTAAATTTTTGAAGATCAAAGTTGGCTGAAAAGAATGAGTTAGTAGATTTTATAACAAATCAATACTTGTTGGGTTGGTGGATTTTATGATGTATCAGTACTTGTTTGAGTTATTTAATGCTGAAATCTTTTTTTGTGATACTTCTGATGATAGGTAGACACAGATCACAATTATTCTTGAGTCTGCTAGCACTCATCCAGAATGTTACCCCTTTTGGTGGGTGCAGTTGGTACACTAAGCCCCACTAACGGGACATACTAAAAAATTTCATTAACGAAATGATGTTGGTCAAATTTTCAATATATAATCACATTTATATGATAAATATACAATGTAAAATTAAGCCTGTAATATCTGTTTTTATTGGAAATATTTACAATAATCATTTTAGTGATTTTATTAGAGAAGCTGAATATATATATATATATATATATATATATATATAGAGAGAGAGAGAGAGAGAGATAAGGAAATAATAAATAATTTAATAAATGCCACACTAATAAGAAAAGAACATTACTTATTATGTAGAAAATACTTAGGACTCATGATGAATATTTTCTTATCAATAAACACACACCAAACAGACTTTATTATTTCACCAATATTTATAAAATCCATACTTAACGAATCTAAGATCAGTCTACCCACAATTGGTGTTCCCTAAATGTTTTCACTCCCACACAAAAATTCCCCCAGCCAACATAAGCCAAAAAAAAAAAAAAAAAAAAAAAAAAAAAGGCCCACTAGATGCACACAAATTATTAACAAAATCATGCATAGACTAACTAGAATTATGATACACAAAGACAAAAATTATAAACACAAATGATATCTGACAAGGCAAATACATGTGAGGTCTACTTAATGGATGAAAAACAAAAATAATTTTCTTTACTGCTCCATATTTCATTTTCTGATAAAGCTTAAATAGAAGCAATATATGTTAAATCTGTAAACATGTCCTATTTGTTCTTATTCTATCATTCTCTCAGATTTTTAATTATATATATATATATATGTTTTTAAATTAGGATATAGAAATCCCAACAAAGTTTTAACATTTGACAAATGTAAAAGTTTCATGAAAATAAATTTCATTGAAAACAAATTTGACTACATGTTTCAAGGCTTCATCAGATCCCATAACAAAAGAATGAAATGTGTGTATGCTTAAATAATTATTTAAGTATTACCCATTGAAGTGGAACTTAATTGAAGCTTGGAATGAAATTTCTCTTGACACTATCCACAAAACTACTGCCTCCTCCTGGTTACCAGGCTTACAACTTTGTGTTGAACATTCAGGCAAACATTTCAAACATCTATGATGATTGTTCAGTTTGTGCATGAATCATGATAGCTAAATAAATTTCTTTCTGAATTTATTGCCTTTTGATTGGGCACCCTGTGTGTGTATATATATATAAAGGGTATTTCATTCATTTTGATTAAAGTTAGTAGTAAATAAATCAGTGTTATTAGTGAAAATTTATTTATTTTTCTATTGGATCATGTTATTTAAGTCATGGCAGTTATGTGTGAAAAATAATATTGCTCAATTGTCCACCAATATATCTGCATATATATTGATATTTAAAAAATTGTATTTAAAAATCTGAGTACCTTGAGAAACAAATATTGTAAAGTTTCTGAGTGATTGAAACAATTTTTGAAATTGCAAAAAATTGATGGCTAAGACCTGCTATGGCAGATTCACAATGGTAAATTGTCCCTATTAACTATGCTGATTCTTATGGTCCTGCTCAGGATTAAACTCACAAATTTGGATAACAAATTCCTGAAGATATGAGATTCCTACACCTCATCTTAATGTTCTAAGCAATGGTAGTAGCCTGTCTCTCTTACTCACAAAATGGATATAACCTTTAGGGATTATTTAAGCTTATTGACATTTTTCTGGTGAAGTCCTGTCACTCAGTTTATTGAGTAAGATCCTGTTTTAACAAATCCTATTCCCTTCATGTTTCTATAAGGAGCAAGTTCCATTCAGACAACTTCTTCCCTAGAATTGTTACATTGTTGAACAAACTACAAAGAAGATGCTTCCCTGACAGCTACAATTTTAGTTTCTTTAAATCCAGGGTCAACCGATATCTATGCTACATGTCCTCATAATGTGCATTTTTTTATTTCCTCCTCCCTTGCTTAGAACAATCTCATTCAATAACAATCTACTTTGAGTGGCCCATGGGCCTTGTATTGAGTGAACAGTAAATAAAAAAAACAAACAGATGATTCTTTAATGATCCACCATCCATTTGCTGAAGCAGACTAAGTAAGTTATGTGTTGTTCCTCTGCCTTCAATTTGTCCTGTGAGTATCAGATTTTCCAATCCCTCTTTCCTCATGATGCACATAAAAAATTTCAGCTCTCTTTTCCAGATAAATTTTCTTTTTGTTTCCATTTTCTCTAAAATATTTACTCACATATTTGCTCCATGGTATCCTCAGCATCTTCCTGTAGAATAACATTTCTGGGGTTCATCTGTGCGAAGATTTCCAGAATTCACTGCCATACTGATATTACATAACAGTTTAGTACTCTTTCTTTTGTTTGTAACAAAGTTTTTCTGTTCCTTAATACTTTGATTAGCTTTTGGATTACCGCTTTGGCTGTTGGAATGTGCCATTGGATTTCAGTGTGACACTTTCTGTCCTCTGTTAAAACACTTCCCAATTTTTTTTTAATTTTTGTACTTGTTTAATTTTGGTATCTCCATTTTGTAATTTGCATGCTAGGCTGTCCCTTTTGCTAACAACTTTGTATCCTATCTTCTTAAAATTGATCATTAGTCCTTTCTTCCCACTTTCCTTTACTACCTTTTGTAAGAGTTCTTTTAATTTCTTTTCCGTATCGGCTATCAACAGTGTGATCTGCATACCTTATGTTGTTAATAGATTCCCAAAAAGACTTCAACATCCACAAAGCTCTTGCATGGGATGCGTGTAACAAATTTCACAAGATTTGGTGCTCAAAACTTCCATTATTCTTAAAAGTCTAAACTTTAGAACATTAATTGAACCAGTCCTACTGTATGGATCAAAAACTTTGACATAATCTGTTCATCTTGAAAGATGCCTGGATGGAACATATACAAATCTACTGAGAAAAATCCAGAACATCAGTTGGAGATCCCATGCAACACTTACAATTTATGGAGAACTGTAGTGAAAGAGATAATCAATTACTCAAAAAAAAAGTGTGTCCTGTGTGCAATCTGCAGAAGAAAAATTACCAAAAAGTAGTTAGCAAAAATCTACTTCAATGACTAGAATCTATGCTAATGTTCTCCTCTCCCCTGAATGGCATGACCAATCAGAAAGATCTCTCGATGAACCAAAGCTGTTGTTTTTCGCTTATAAAGGCAGAAGATTTTGTGAGCTGGTGAGCCGAATGCATGTTTTTGCTCGTGAGAAGTGAAGGTTGGATGTGTGACCCCATTTTGTCATTTCTACTTTGCTTGTTGGACTGTTATGACGGGCTATCATTTGAACTGCAATTTGGCTACAAGTGTTGCAGCTGAGAAACAAGAAATCTATTGCAGTGGCTACTATAAGTTGACAGTCTTTTTTTTTCTTTTTTACCACAAGAACTGAGACAAATCTCTCTTAAGCTCAAACAAAAATTATTAGTCTGCCAACCAATTCCACAGAGTAGACAGGGAAATCATCTCATCCTTACTCCTATGGCATCCTCCTGTAAGTGTCTTCTCACAAAAATTGACTTTCCCAGAGCTTGGGACTCAGGGTTGGACATTGGGGGTCTGGGAACAGCAATGCAGGACTGAACAGTGTGGAAAAGGACTGTCAATGGAGTTCTAACCAACCATAGGGTGGTCGAAGGAGGATAATGATGTTAAGATTGTGGCTGCCAATAATGAATCCTGGTAAGACTTGTAATTCTCTCAAAATTGCATCACTGCATAGGTTGAATAAATTTGGTGAGAACCACATTCTTAACTTTATTTTTGTTGATTTTTACTAATGTTCACCTACTACAAGGCCGAAGAGCCACTCAAAGTAGAAGGTTATTGTGTGATGTTCTATTAGCATAAGAAAGGGCAATAAGATCTTGGGGTTATTCAGGAAAAAAAACAGCTAACTGTAGACTTGAAGAGGTCAAGATTTAATTAGCAAATAAAATATCAGAGTTCAGTTAGAGAAATTAATAGTGTGAAAGTAGACTTTGGAAAGAACCCAATACTAAACAGGAAACAAGAGATAAACCACTACTCCTTTTAAAAAGACCAGGAGAGAAGAAAAATATTTAGTCAGAGCTCAGTCAGAAGCATCAGAAGTATAGATTTGGAATAGACTTTAGAAGGAACCAGCAACCCAATCCTAAACAGGAAACAATGGATAAAATTGCAATTCAATAACAATTGAACTGTTTACTCTTTCTATTTTGATATACTGTGTGTTACAACAACATTGTCCAAACCGTGTAACAGCAAAATTGTCCAATTGTTAGATTAAGCATTGAACCATTGTCTCTTAGAAACGATTAAAGATATCTTACTGGAATTCTCCAAAGTTTTTATAACAATATTGGTGTCTACAATAAGCAATAAGAATGTATAACTACTCTCCAAGCTTAACAGAATAATCGTGATGAAATCGATCATAAACAAAAATGGCATGTTCATCATTAATTAATAATAGCTAAGGATCGGAGGCTCATGAAGGATTGAAACAAAGTTTTATATATATATATATATATATATATATATATATATATATATATATAATTCCAGGATTATTTTCCAACTTATTCAAGATTATCTTTGCTCTCTCTAACCTAACTTTCTGCACTGAAATAACAAGGTGCTTTACAGGTTTCATGCCCAATTTCATTTTCAAGTTTTTTGTTCACTACTTATTGGATTCATTTCTCACATACCAAACATCTTATTAATTGAGTTGGATCTTTTCTAATTGATGTCTTTAGCTCAAAGTTGAAATGATGATCTTCTTCCTGTTGTAACCTCCTGAACCATTTTCCTCTCTACTGTTAATCCCTGTTCTCTTGATGGTTCTTGAATGAACCTTGAAGATGGAAGCCAGAGTATGAATGTTGGTATCATTACTGAAGGCCTGAATATTCTTTTTCCTCTCACCATTTGGGAAGACAGTGGATCCGAGACAAAACAATTTTAACCTGCTCTCTTTTTAGCTGAATAACTCAAAGGGTTTTTCAGTGATTCTAACAAAAAATGGTGTCAACATGACTAAACGTCTTATCTGAAAACCTAGCAAAAAAAAAAACTCAATTAGTTTAGTGGGTTTTTAGATATTAAACATTTTGTGGGATGGATAATTATGCTGTCACATGATTTGGACAATTTTGCTGTTACACCCGGTATCTACTGAATTCATTTTCTATCAGTGTGCAGGTTGTTTGCTGCTATTTTAGGTTCTGGATTATTCTATCTTTCTCAATTCAATCACATGGATTACAGGATTTGTAAGCCATCTGGATTATAAGGTGGTGCTGAAAAGTTCTTGGCTTAACTCACTTCCCAAAATTTGACTAAATGATAAAACATCAGGTTATTTTTGAAGAGTTTGTTTGGACCAAGAACCCTTCAGTATCCACTCATATTCTGGGTTGGGTATTATCAGGGGACTGATGCAGAGGAATTGTTTAGGCATTAGTTTTATACTGCTCACCCAACCGTCTGAGTATAAAAGGATGAGGTTTCTTTTTTATTATTATTATTCAAAAAAAGAATGTCTTACATGACTGGAAATAGACTATTTTGTTAAAAATACAAAAAAAAAAAATAATCCTCTTCCTTACCCTGTATGCACTTTGACAAATCTCTTAAATTGAAAATATAGTGCGACTTGGTTGGAGTTGGAAGGAGGTCTGTTTTCATCCGGTTGTAAATGTCGATGGCAGCTGTTACGATGCTGTCTGTCAAGTTACGGACGGCTGGGGTGAAATCTCGCAGGAACCCGTTGAGAATAGACTAAAAGGAAAGATGAAAGTAACAATTATTCCAAATCAGAAAAAAACTGAAAGAAAGAATATGTACACAAATAAATACAACAAAGGGAATGTTGAAATATGGGTTGAATTACAACATCATGTATTTTCCGTCATATATGCATGGGTTCTTATCTGGGGGTCATCTAGGGATCATTCAAACAAATAAGGATATGTGGGTACCAGTTTCAACAACCCATTGGCCTACTCCCAAACCGTGATCTTAATGTGATAATGTACAGTTTGATTTTGGGGGGTAAAAGAAAAACAAACATATGGTATCAAATTGCATTAGTCATACTAACAAGTTGCAGGAAAAGAAAATTGGTTGATCCAAATAAAAACTTCATTCTATTTCTTTAGAAATTACTCTTTCTGGTGGTATTAAAATTTCATAAAATATATCCAATAAATTTTTTTTTTTTACACTTCACCCTGTACAAGGCCCAAGAGCCACTCGAGGTAGAGTGGTTGAATTAAGATGCAGTTTGTATTGGATAGGAGCAGAAGATAATGGTTAGCCATAGATATAAACAGGTTAACATTGTAGTGATCCTTATTGGGTCATTTAATACTGAAATTTTATTTTCTTGTGATTTTTGGTAATTTTTTTTTTTTGCTGGTTGTAATGTATTTTTATATTTCCATGTTTTGACCCCAGTTTGGGGGTTCACTATTTTCTCTAGCTAGGACCCTAACAGGTGCTACCACCCCAGATCAGGGTGGACCTAGGGACAATAGCAGTTAAAAGGTACTTCAAAACGCCCAACCTCCTGATCAGTGGCCTTGCTGCCAGATGTAGTTTATCATCATATCCAGGACGAAGCACTTATTGTAAATCAAGAAATTATTAACAGTCATAGAATGATGGTTCAAGAGTTAGAAAAAGAAAAAAAAAGGAGATTAAATACTCATTAAAAATTAATGACAATGGTTCATCTAAGAAATCCAGATAATTTAAAAACTATTAACTATTTGATGTAAAAACAGGAGAAATAAGAAATACTAAGAAAATAATTAATCATTATTGACAATGCTTCATGTAAATCCAGATAAATTAAAACTATTACTATTTGATATGATATAAAGTGAAATAAGTTTTTGTGATGTATAGTTGCAGGAAATTTTTTTTAGATTGTCAGAATTTTGGAGGGTGGGGGAAGATAATAATGACTTAGTGATACAAGTCTCACTAATTAACCCATAGCTGGGGGAAGAAGAGGTGGATTGATACCTTTCTCAAGGGTATTTGCAAGCAAGTGAATATAACAAATCCAATGGAAATTGGAACTTGACTCCAATTAACAATTCTGAGCCATTATCCATTACACCACCTGCACATCCAAGCTAACAGCACCTGCTATTCCTAAACGGTCACCCGTCTAGGTCTTGACCAGGCTTGTCATTGGTTAACTTCAGTGATTGTATTCATTTTCTAGAGCTTATCAACCCTTTCTAGGTTATTTAAAGCCAGGAAATATTTTTAGATTTTAGAATTTTTTATTTTGGAGATAATACTGGCTTAATGATACAAGTTTTACTAATTAATCCATAGCTGGGAGTAGAAACAGTGGATTCATACTTTTCCCAGGGATATTTGCATGTAAGTGAATATAACGAACCCAATAGGAATTGGAACTTGGCTCTTCGATTAACAATTCCGAGCAGTTATCCATTACACCACCTGCACATCCAAGCTTACAGTACCTAGTATTCCCAAGTGGTCTCCCATCTAGGTACTAACCAGGCTCAACGTTGCTTAACTTTTATGATCATACAAAAGCCGGTAATTCAACATGATATGGTTGTAGCCTTTTCAGTCAGTGTAGATATTTAATAACCTTTTCACTGGATTCTTCTTTCATGGGTATAAATTTTCTATGGTCTGCTATGACCAAACTTTTTTTTGGTCCCATGTTCTTTAATTTTGACTTATTTCTTGAAACGTCAAGTCTTCTAATTTCAGGCGATGAGCTATCATTAAAACTTAGCTCAACTCCCACACTTGCCATAAAAAGGTCCGTTACCACATTTTCTCCTACTTTAGTCGTGTTTTGTTGTCTTTCAATTTCTCAGTTCTAATATTTGCTTCAAGGAACCTCAACCCTATGTTCACAAAATCAGGGTCTTCAAGAACTAACGGGCATCCTATTAGCAACACAATCGTTGTGTAATAGTAGTATTTGCAAATCACTTGAAAAAAGTAATGCTAATCAAAATTTAGTAATAATTGAATTTTTCATATAAGAAATTTAGGCCTGATTATTACTGTAAGGTGTAAAAGTGAAAGAAATAAAATAAAAGAAATACTAATCAAAAATTAATAATAATTGACAATGTTTCAACCGTAGAATGAAAAAAAATTTTTTGACTAAAATTCTTGTATTGGAAATGTTGAGAAATAGTCAAGTCATTCTTACCATAAACATATGCTGTAAACTATTTTCTGAAGGTGGAGGAATAGACAGCATTGTAAAATGTCTCATTAGTCGAGGGGTAACTGGATTACGACCACCGCCTGGAGGGGCACAGGCAGCAGACAGTGTAACATCCTAAAATAAATCGAGTTTAATTTAGTTCATTTTTTATTAATTAATAATATTAATGAAAATAATCTTTAGCTGCAACTGAACATTTAATCTCAAAGAGAAAGGACATGTGCCACAAACAGGATTATTAAAAATATATATTTCATGCCTGCCACTTTGGTGATTTGAATGAAATATGTTATAGATTGGAAGAAGGCTTTGAGAGAAATGACAGTGGTTGGCCCAGATGAAGACAGACAGACAGTGGCAGGTTCAAAAAGGCAGCAGCAGGACAAGACAGACAGATAGCCAGACAGCGACAGACCCAGATACATGGATGGACAACAGGCTCATACAGAAAGACAGACAAGAGACACAGACTGACAGACAAGAGACAGACTGACAGACAAGAGACACAGACTGACAGACAAGAGACAGACTGACAGACAAGAGACACAGACTGACAGACAAGAGACAGACAGACTGACAGACAAGAGACAGACAAGAGACAGACAGACAAGAGACACAGACTGACAGACAAGAGACAGACAACAGACACAGACTGACAGACAAGAGACAGACAACAGACACAGACTGACAGGCAACAGACAGACAACAGACACAGACTGACAGGCAACAGACAGACAACAGACACAGACTGACAGGCAACAGACAGACAACAGACACAGACTGACAGGCAACAGACAGACAACAGACACAGACTGACAGGCAACAGACAGACAACAGACACAGACTGACAGACAACAGACACAGACTGACAGGCAACAGACACAGACTGACAGGCAACAGACAGACAACAGACACAGACTGACAGGCAACAAACAGACACAGACTGACAGGTAACAAACAGACAACAGACAACAGACTGACAGACAATAGACAGACAACAGACTAACAGACACAGACTGACAGACAACAGACTAACAGACACAGACTGACAGACAACAGACTAACAGACACAGACTGACAGACAACAGACTAACAGACACAGACTGACAGACAACAGACTAACAGACACAGACTGACAGACAACAACAGTCCAAAGCAACATTGATGCTTCCTTGAATGCTACAAAACTTCTTCAAGCCATGTGTCAATCAGCATCTTCCTCATCCTTATAATCTTCACTTCCTACCACTTCCTCTTACACTGATATCACACCTCATTCATCATTATCATTTATCTAACCTGACTAACTCTCGAGTCTGTCTTAGGTGCACTTTAGTATTAGGATAAAATACTCAACAGTGATATGCCACTGAGTGATCTTTTCAACTGTTTGATGATTGTGAGTAGATTCTTGAAGTCTTCTACAGGGTATTTTCGAAAAAAAAAAATTGCATCTTCCAGTTCTCCTACAGTCTAGATTTCGGTTCCCTGTGACCCTGCACTTTTTCCAAAGTTAAAATTTGTCTTGAAACACCAAGGGAGAAGACAATGAGGCAGCTGATGGTAACTTAAGATAACTTAATGTGTTTCCAAGAGTAGAAAGCAGAGTACCTTGATCGGACTAAGGCACCAGAAACGAAAGCAGGCTATTTTTATTAATATTAAATGGCCGGATATTTTCTGGAAAAAACTTCTAGAAAAATAAAAGGCTGATGCCCAACACCCACATGAATCATTAAAAATTTCCTAATGTGAAAGAGAAAAAAGATTGGATAGTCAATATTCTGAATGCAAGGAATTCATTCAATTAGAATCCAAAATTTGAATCACCAAATGTCATGTGGTTTAATTGGATGAAAAAACACTTATTTTTAAAAACATTATAAAACAACATCCTTTCTATGATCATATTATTATTTGGAATAATTTGGTTATAAAAAGTGTGATAAGGTTGTTTGTGGCTAAATACTGGTTGTGGCAATAATTATACAACTCATGAAAAAAGTTTGATCTTAAACTGGACTTAAAAAAAATAAGTGTAATATACTTACCAGTATTTCTTTCCAGCATAATCTTTCACGGTCATAAAGACCCCCAAAATCAAGCAACTGGCGTAATAGTTCAATTGGTGGTTGAGATCCATAAGTGTCCAGTTTAGGCATATTGAGGTCATCAATAAAAATGATGACACGTTTGTCAATAGGGGCACCTGAAAAAATACAAGTAAACAAAATTCATTAAATTTATTTATGAATTTAAAATTTAATTTTCAATTAATCAGATTCCTTTATCATCAATATTATGGGTCATGACCTGGCATCTCAGTTTCACTCACTTTCTTACCACCATAAAGTAGCTTCCCTGTGCCTTTTCTATTAATGTTATAATGATAATTCTACAAATGAACTCTTTGCTGTGGTACTCAGACTTTCTCAATTTAAGCGCAGTACTAGATTGGCAGTAAGGTCTCATCAATTTACAGTTGAATAGGCTAGATGTAACCAAAAGTTCTATGTTAACAGTTTCTTTTCTCGCACATCTCACTTGTGGAACTCACGTCTCCATACTTTCCAACTGACTTCAAAAATTTTAATGAAATATCAGTCGTTATCTAATATCTTCCTGATTACACTTCTATTGGTCTCGCTCCTTAGTAATTTTTCTTTTTTTTTTTTTAATTCTTTCACACTCAATAAATCATTGTGTCTTAGCGGCTTTACTACCTTGCATGGGGTGGATTTGATTTAAAAATCTATCTTTTTATAGTAAACTGTTTTATTATTTGAAATGTTCATAGAAATTGGCGTGTCTAATATAGAGACAGTTCATATATTTATTTAATAATACTTGATAAAATCCAAAGAATAATTGGCAATATTATGGGTTATGACCTGACATCTCAGTTTCACTTAATTTCTTCCCACCATAAAGTAGCTTCCCTGTGCCTTTTCTATTAATGTTATAATGGTAATTCTACAGTAATTCTCTGCAGTACATAGACTTTCTCAATTTAAGCGCAGTACTAGATTGGCAGCAAGGTTTCATCAATTCACAATTGCATTAGATAGATGTAACCATCAGTTCTATGCTGTTTTTTCTATCATACATCTCACTTGTTTAATTTTCTTCCAGCTCTATGCTTTCCAGCAAATTTTTATCTTCAAAAATTTAAATGCAATGTCAGTCGTCATCTACTGTCTTCTTGATTACCCTTCAACTGCTTTCCCTTCTTAATGTTTCTTTTTACTTATTCTTTCACACCCAGTATGCACCCCCCCATGTCTTAGTGACTTTATTGCTTTACATTAAGTGATATGATTAAAAAATAAAAGAATAAAATACTTGATAAACATTCTGGGAGAATATTGACTGAAATAAATATCGCCTAGTGCACCATGGTTGATTTACATACTTAAGCTTGCCATGTATGCAAATCACTTCAGCTGATAAAAAAAACACTGGCAGTGAACAAGTAAGCCTTCACATTTCATCTCAGTAGTGATGTGAGGCAACAGAAGTATGGTTCTACAGTAGGATGCTGAGAATTCTATGGACTGAACAAAATGAGGAAATTTTAATGATAATGGAAACGAAAAGGATGTTTATACTTAAAAATAAAGCCTTATGGCGATATCATCCTGAAACATTGGTTCTTGTGCAAACACCAAAGTTAAGCAATGTCAAGTTCGGTCAGTGCCCAGATAGGAGAGCACTTGGGATTTATCTTATTGGTCTTGACATCGTGGCTTCAGTCCCTTTTCCCACTGCCATAACGTAGCTCCCCTGTGTCTTTTCTATAAATACTTTCATGGTAATTGTTCTGATGAACTTTCCTCTATGGTACCTAGACTTTATGAAGTGGAAAGATCTCATCAATTTACAGTTAAGATGGCTAGATGTAACCATAAATTCTATGCTAACAGTTTCTTCTCTCACACTTCTCACTTCCCAGTCAACTTTGATCTTCAAAAATTTAAATTCAATATCAATCGTTATCTTCTGTCTTCTTAATTCTTGTTCTTTAACTATTCACTCTCCTTTATAGTGATTTTATATATTATATAACATACAATAACCCCATGTGTGTTAGCAGCTTTATTGCCTTGCTTGGGGTGAAATGATGAAAAAAAAAAAAAAAAACTTCCATTAACATTTATGCATCACATTTCTTAAATAAATATTGTTCCTGATTCACTTACCTTTGACACTTTTTCCACATGTTCAGGTTGAAATTTAGGATTATATAATTTTTAACCTCTTTGGACTTACAGAAATATTATTTAATTTAATTATTTATTTTCTTATAATTCACCATATGCTCCTCCTTAATAGTATATCACTCGGTAACCCCTTATGTGTTAGTGGCTTTATTGCCTTGTTTGGTGTGTGGAATGATTAAAAAATGTGCCCAAAAATGCATAAGTGAAACACCTTGAAATTTAAAGAAGAACAATATATGAACATGAAAGGAACTTCGAATTAAACAACACAATCAATGTCTTTGCATGCCAGTAAAACCCTTCATAATCCTGCATCTATAAACTAACCCAATGCATTCTTTCTTTTCTTTTCCAATTTGGATTCAATCATTTCTTGCGTCCGTTGGCTGCTGGTCTGAGCTGAAAAGTTTATAAACACTGGAACATAATCAGCTTTTTCAGAAATATTGTTCAGGAGTGTACGAGCAATCACTGACTGAAATAGAAAAAAAAAAAAAAGCAATGATATAACAGATGATATTTTAATATTTTAAATTGTTTTATTTTTCATTCTTTATCCAATTTAAAAAAAAAATATATCTTTGTAAATATTTACAAACTTTCATTTAGTCTGGTATATGTGGCAAAATAAAAAGAAAACAGCAACCAGCAAGTAAATTCAAGCTCTCCCAGCTGGTATTCCAACCTCGAGTCGTTCCTTCTTGAGTTCTGTCTCAAAATCGCACTAACAGACTTTTCCAGCCACCAACCATGAACGTCACCCAAAGAACCTCCCCCCACTGGGAAAAATTAGTTGCTTTTATATTTGTCCATATACCCATAATCCCTAGCGTCTTCATGTGATCCCATAATTCATTGCGTCCCTGTCCCATAATGCATTGCATTTTTATTGCATAAAAATGCAATGCAAGTCCCCCCTCATTCTTTTATGTTATCTGGCTGATTTCTTGCTTCCCTGCTATCTACAATCTTCAAAACTTTAAATGCATCATCAGTCGCCGTCTTCAGTTTTCCTGAACAATGTTCTTTTATTGTCCTTTCCTCACTTCTCATTCTCTTTCACTCCCAGTAACCCCTTCATTCTAATGGCATTATCACCTTGTTTTGGGTGAAATTATTATATTAAGTTTTAAGTTTTATAATTCATGAAGTATATTTGAAAACTACCATCCTCAGGTATTTAATTGAAGTTCATATGCCTCCCTGGTTTATTGAACAAGAGTAGAAGTTTATCTCTTGTTTCCTGTTTAGAATTAAATTTGTTCATTCTCATTCCCTCCCTGTAGCCTCTTGTGTCTTAGTGGCATTATTACCTTGTTTGGGGTGAACAAAATAAAAAAAAATTATGGATCACCACCTACAGCTTACAGGTGGCCTCACTGAGTGGAACTTACTTCTCTGCAGAGGTGCAGTTGGTGTATTGTACAGCCTCAGCTGACAAGGCAAATAACTATCAGCAAAATAACTCAAAATAAAAAAAAATTTAAGACAATTTACAAACCTTCCCAACACCAGTGTCTCCTGTAAACAAAACAGGGTGTTTAACTTGCAAAAGCTTTTGGAGAAGGTGGCCATATCGTACTGTATCAACAGTTGGGACTAAAATTTCAAAGAATGGTACATTCTTATCATATTTGAAATTTGGAACTATTTTCTCCCAGAATTCCAACCGACGAGATTCAAAGTCCACATAGCAGCTCCACAGGTCTCCAGTGACTGGAAGCTATAAATAACAAAAAAAAAAAAAAAAGACAGAGAAAATTAAATGAGCATTTTGGTGAAATTTTAAGGAACATTAACATTTCTATAATGATCATAGGGCTTAATTACATTCCAATAGTAATCTATATGAAAAAGTGTTCTATAAAAGAGATGCCTTCAAAGCATCTACACTATCAATCATTATTTATTCTCATTTACTTCAATGCATACCGCCTTCTCTTTCATTCATATTACCTTTTTAACACTGATCTTCTACCTTGAAAGGCTCTCTAGTTTTTTCTTTTAAAAGATATTTTTAAACCACACACAAAGATTTGTATGTATCTCTTTTCTTTATTCAGCCTATGAAGATCCTTTGTTGGAATGTAGGCCTCCTCCTGATTCAGTGAGGAGTAATGGTCCATTAACCTACACCACTGGACCAACACGTGTTGGTAGTGGGCGGATATGGCATGTTTGAAGTTTTTGATTTATGATCACCTAAGGTTGTTTGCACGTAAGTGAATGTAATGAACCTGACTGGAATTGGAACTAAGCTCTCTGATTTCGCATTCTGAGCCACTATCCATTACACCAGCTGCACATCCAAGCTTACAGCAGCTGGTATTCTTATCTCTATTAGTTCATTTTCCCATTCAATATATTACGTAGACATGCAGCGAAGAAAGGCATTAATTATAGTCCTGATTTGAATAAAAAGAGATTGATAGCAAAACTGTATTGGATAAAGTGAATTGAGCATGTTGTTTACCTTTATGCTTCTTTTAGCCTTATATGGAGTCCTATGTTCAGTAGGGTGGGGCTAAGCATCAACAGTCTCTACATTTTCATATATAAAAATACATTTACTCGAGTGGTTTTCCAAATTTGGTGTTGTCCGACTCCCTTTTGAGAGATCAAGTCACCCCTTAACACCAACTCCCATTACACCTCACACTATAGCTCAATATAAGTAGTGTTAATCTCTCTCTTTTCCTTCTCTTACTTTCTCAGTAGATAGCCTCAGCCTGCTCCCAGGGTGGGTGTGACAATTCCAACTTCCAGATGGTGCAGTGAAAACAAAAGGGATTTTCAGTCATTAAACCTTTTCTATCAACTTAGCCCATGCTGGGATCTCTTGATAGAACAGACCACTTAAGAATTGAAAAAAGAAAGAAAAATTACTTCCACTCTCCTTAAAATAAAAGTTTATCTTTTCTCTGTCTATGGATTTTTTTTACGATCCAACAGACCACACAGTCTTTTTGTCCATAATCACTTCAAAATAGTAATTAATTCCTTATCACTTGTATCCAAAGAAATCAGAATTAATGTTTGGATATGAAATTTTTTCTGGATGAATTCACAGAAACCATAATGACAAATGTGTCCAGTTGGTCTCTATCTCTGTGAGGATACTTCTCTTCTGGGTGGCTAATTCAAAACAGATGGTTTTTCCTGACCCTTTTTTTTTTGTCCAGGAATGTTATTTATTTCAGCAACCACTCTTTATCAAACTTGATCTCTTTATCAACAATAAATGTTTTTATTTTATCTGACATCTTTGTGGATGTTTTAATGGTCTCTTTTCTTATTGGTGGGAAGTGGAGAAGGACAGGTAGTCTTGGTTTTGCTCAATCTTACTGAATTCCATCTAGTCAAACTTGAGTTTAATTCTCCTTGGAATTACTTCAAAACAATTTTTCAATACATTTCACTTTTAATTTTCTTCTAAACTTTTCAATCTATCTTTCTGCAAATTTCAACAATTACCATCCAGTTAGTAGACTCTCTCCTCTTCCTTTCTCTTTTTTGTTTGATCAACTTCTGGATATTTCTCAATTTTACATACACACATATATATATATATATATATATATATACACACACACTAACGATCAAAAGTTGGGGACAACTCCCTGAATTATTTCTCTAAGTTTATAAAAAAGGCTAATTTTGCATATTTCAGTAAATAAATTCACCTATTGTGTATATATGCAAACCCTTATATAAAACTAAAAACAAATTTTTCTAGAAGCATTTTAAATTTATTTGCATAGGCTTTAGAAACGTGGATACAATCTGATATTTTTTCCTATCTGTAGAGCAGAAATTTACAAATATTTGAACTCCACTGCTTGTTAGAGGTTCAATTCCATGTAGATTGATGTGTGATTGAAATTACTTTTCAGAAATCATTAAAATGCTAAAAACTAAACAAATAAGTATTGAAAAAAAAAAAGAACTCAAGTGGAAATTCTTTCTACAGAAGGGTATTCCAAATGTCAGATTGCTAGACAATTACAGATATCAAAAAATGGGGTGCCTTATTGTCTGCAGCGACATGCTGAAAGCACTGCAAATATTGACAGAAAAAGATCTGAAAGACCCAGAGTATCATCTATTGTGGAGGACAGGCACTTGATGGTGTCTAGCAAAAAAAAAAAAAAAAAAAAAAAAACTGCTCCCCAACGAACTGCTGAATTTAATTCTACATATCATTATCCAATATGTGTTATGATTGTTAAGAGAAGACTTCTGTTAGGCTTAAAGGATGTATATCAGTTAAGAAACATTCTATTAAAAAAGGAAAATAAGTTGAAAAGATTAAGGATTGAACTTTAGAAGATTGGGAAAATGTAGTATGGACTAATGAGTTCAAATTCGAGTTCTTTTGGTAGTAAATGAAGAATATCAGTCAAACGAACTCCTTCTGAACAAATTAATGAAAATTGTATTGTGCCAACTGTTAAGCATGGTGGTGGTGGTGCTGTAATGGTTTGGGGATGTTTTGGAGATCAGATTGCTGGAGGCTTTGTTCAAATTAAAGGCATTATGTGAAAGGAAGTGTATCATTCAATATTGCAGAGGCATACAATTCCTTCTGATGGATGCATTATTGGACAAAATTTTGTTTTACAAGATAATTATCCAAAACACAGCTCAAAACTGTGTACAAATTATCTAAAATCAAATGAAGATAAGGGAATTTTGCAAATCATGACTTGGGCCCTTCAGCATCCAGATCTTTCACCAAGTGAACTAGTCTGGGACGAAATTGATCGTAAAGTTCGAAGTGAACTGCCTAAAAATAAGCAAGAGTTGTTTACACACTGCTTGGGAATCACTTCCACCAAAATATACTTTTACAAGTTACTAAAAAGTATACCAACAATTTGCTCTGCAGTAATAAATGCTTGTTGTGGATTCTTTGATGAAAATATAACATAAATTTGTTTTAATTGAAATTATAATTATTTTATATTCATTTTGATTTCAATTATTGCATAATTACATGCAAACATAAAAAAAAAGTAAATTTATTTTTTTAGAGTTAAAAAAAAAAAAAAATCAATGTGGTACTAAACTTTTTGTCAGTAGTATAAATTTATAACCTGTCTGTCTGTTAGTGAACTCCTCCTACAGTTTTGGAGATAGATCTCTATAACCATATATATTCTGAATGTGCATAACCCAGGGTACTTGGGTAAGTATATTTCATTTTGTTCAAACGGGGGTCCCCGGTGTCACAACCCCTCCCCACTAAATTCCCCCCCCACTAAATTTAAATTTGAGCAAGGGAATTACTCCTAGGGTACTTGGATAAGTATATTTCATTTTGATCAAAGAGGGTCCCCAGAGAGCAAAAACCCCCAACTGAATTTTTTTTTTTCCTTTTGATTTAAATTAGATTTAAATAAGGGAATGACTCCTAGCCAAAATATAGAAGGAGAAAGCCAGAAGATGGAGGTCACTTTGGCAAAATGACTGAGTAATATTAAAATGCATCATTTTTCTCTACAAATTACAACAATGATTTAAAATCAATAATCATTTTCCTACAAAAAAATGTGTGACATGCAGCAAGACGTGGGAATTAAGCTAGTATATATAATCGGTTTCTCAGGATTATTATTAATTTCTTTCTATGGAAATTCTTCAAATCAAATAAGAAACCTAGCCAACCAAAATGAAATGTAAAAAAAAAAAAAAAATGAATAAATAACACCAAGTATATAGTGATTTACTAAGTGAAGCTTAGATGTGGCATAATGCCAAAAGTATGAAGCTGCTAGTGAGGATCAAGCTCACTAGTCAGTAGTAATTGATGTGGTAAAATAAGCTTGCTTACCATTACAGCATGTTGAAAAAAAACACCATGTATATAATCTAAATTAAAAAAAGATTTTAACTCTATTCACTATTTATTATTTCCCTGTATCTTCCCATTTTCTCCCTTAATCCTTTCAATCTTCATTGCCTATTCATGTCTTTACCTGTTACATGAGCATGGGTGACTTTCAGATGCAAAAACAGAATAAAGTATGAAAAATACAAATAAAGTACACCCTCACTTTTATCATTCTTTTGCTCTGTGTGTCCATAAAGATTTATAATGTATCATAATTTTTTCACCTTTTGCACATTATCTTTTGTTATCCACCCAATGAACGACTCTCTCATTTTTTTTTCTGTCTCTCATAAGTAATTTACATTTTTTAAAACCAATTGTAATGATGACAACACCATCCTAACCAGTAATCATACATGGCAGTTATAAATAAATTTAAAGCACATAACTGACATCATACTTTAGTTTTTCATTGCACAGGGAAAATGTTACTCTTCTCCATGACATTGCAAGACCATCTCCAGAAAGAATAATATAGGAAAAAAAATTTATAACTCACTTATGGCTTATGGCCATATCACATTGAAACAATAGTTCCCATATAATCCACAAATAATATCATCTCTGCTACTGCCACCACCACCATCACGATCATCTCCGCTACTGCCACCAGCACCACCATCAACACTACTACTACCACCACCATCAACACTACTACTACCACCACCATCAACACTACTACTACCACCACCATCAACACTACTACTACCACCACCACTATCATCTTTGCTACCACCACCACCATGATCATCTCCGCTACTGCCACCAGCACCACCATCAACACTACTACTACTACCACCATCAACACTACTACTACCACCACCATCAACACTACTACTACCACCACCACTATCATCTTTGCTACCACCACCACCATGATCATCTCCGCTACTGCCACCAGCATCACCATCAACACTACTACTACTACCACCACTACTACTATCATCCCCACAATCATCTTCACTACCACCACTACCACAATCATCTTCGCTACCACTACCACCACTACCACCACTATTACCACCACTACTACTACCACCATCACTACTACTACCACTACTACCATCGACACTACTACTACCACCACCACCACTACTACTACTACTATAAACTCCGCTACCACCTACCACCACTACAATCTCCGCTACCACCACCACTATCATCTCTACCACCACCACCATTGTTACATAGGAATAAAGTGTCAGTGCCGACACTTGAGTTTGAACATAGATCACCAGTAAGCAAACACAGGCGATCCCATTATTGAATTAAGTAAACCACATGACCATCAAGGAAACACATAAGTAGGAAGTCACATGCTGTCTAAATGTTCTCTATTTCTACTCTATCCTCTATTACTATACAGACCACTATTCATTATACTATTTCTCTATATGGATTACTATACAGTGGTTACTATTCAAGCGAGTATTAGTAGTGTGAGTGCTGTTCTAAGGCATCTGACACCAGTATTGTTCAATGGTGTTACTATAGTTGTATCTGTGATTACAAAGTCTCTACTACAATGGGCATTACAAAAGTGACAATGAGTATACATTGACATCACAAAAACCATCAACACTACTAATACCATCTCCACTACCAGCACTATCAGGTTTACAGTCACACTAGTTCCTGTACAATCCCTGAAGTCAAGCAATGTTGAGACTAGTCAGTACCTAAATGGGTGACTGCTTGGGAATATCAGGTGCAGTAAGTCTGGATGTGTGGGTGGTGTAATGGATAACAGCTCAGAATTGTTAATTGGTGATCCAAATTTCAATATCAGTTGTGTTTGTTACATTCACATACACACAAATAACCTTGTGAAAGACATGAATCCACCTTTTCTCCCTCCAGCTATGGGTTAATTAATAAGATTTTTATTGCTAAATCATTATCTAAAAAAATAAAATCTTACAATCTAAAAGTAATTTCTGGCTTTAAATAACCTGCAAAGGGTTAATAAACCACAGAAAATGAATGAATCAATCAATAGTACTCAGTCTGTTTTATCATATCTGCCATATTCACCTGACATCAGCATTAAGATGCTGCTTTTGTGGACCAAGTCATTGGCATTAAAATGCTGCCTTAGAGGAATGAGACATCACTATTAAAGCACTGCATTAGAGGACTCAGGTATGAGAATTAAAACACTGACCAATTATTACATCTTTTGATTGCTGAAAAATGCTTTGATGTTGGAAAACTTTCTTTAACGAAAACAAAATTCAAGAATTCATTACAAATTTTTTACATCAAAACCTGAAGAGTTTTGATAAAAAATGATCCTAGAGCTTCCAGATAAATGCCAACAAGTCATTGCTATTAGTGGTGAATTATTTTTTTTTAAGAATAAAATTGATAAAAAATATAGTAAATATTTAAAACAACCTAATATTTTTCCTTTCTCCTGATTTCTTTTTCCTTTTTATTTATCATTCTTAACTTCTATCTTAAAAATGTATATTCTAAAAATGAATTGTTATTCTTAAATATTTCCATTTCAGGAACACTATTTTTCACTGGCATCTGCATTGATCAATCACATTTCCCTCACATGCAAGTTGTCTGTTAACATAACTTCATGTGTACAATAAATAATTGCATTCCCATTCTAAAATTAAAACCCATTTCCAATGTAGGGAAGTATTTCTCAGGTATAATCAACCCCAAATGTGTATTCCAAAAACAAGAATGAAATTTGAAATTAACCTACTTTGGCATCTCCATTATTGTCGAAAATGTTTCGAATGAAAGTGTCAAAGGCATCCCAATTAGAATCGATAATATTTCCTCCAAGTCCCCAGAGAAAGCTGAAAATGAAGCAAATGCAGAGCAATGGATTCAGCTTGGATGTGTCCATGTAAAAGTTGATGGGTGTCTCACTGTAGAAGAGAAGAGATTCCAGCAGCTTACACAAAGATGTCACTTTGCATATGTCAGACTGCAAAGAAGAAGAGATAAAATTAGACATAAAATATCTGTATTCTATTAGCAATAATGACATTAAAGTATTAAAATTATGGGAATGAAGACATTGCCTTAGAGTACCAAGGCATCAGCATTAAGGCACTGCCTTAGGGGAGCAAGACATTGCTATTAAGGCACTGCCTTAGGGGAGCAAGGCATCGTCATTAAGGCACTGCCTTAGGGGAGCAAGGCATCGTCATTAAGGCACTGCCTTAGGGGAGTGAGGCATCGACATTAAGGCACTGCCTTAGGGGACCGAGGCATCGACATTAAGGCACTGCCTTAGGGGACCGAGGCATCAACATTAAGGCACTGCCTAAGGGGACCGAGGCATCAACATTAAGGCACTGCCTAAGGGGACTTGAGGTATGAGATTTAAAATATTGACTTGCAGTTGAATCATCCTAAAAAGAATTGTAACGATAATGTTCATGGCAAAAGAAATTACCTGGAGAATTGTCTGCACACAGTTTTTCTTGATGAACTGAAGGCCCTTCTCAACGTATCTAGCAAACATATCCATCAGATAGTCGGAACTTTCCTCTAATAATTTTTCAGTCCATTTCTTTAACCATTTATGGACATACGGCATCCATTTCAGCTCCTCAGGGTCAATATATACCATGCCACATCTGCAGAACGAAATGAAAGATTCACTAGCATTAATGCATAATAATAAGTAAGAACAAATGTGCTTGTTTTTGGGGTGCTACAATGTTTCCTTCAAGAGGTCAAAGTTCAAGAGCAACTATTTGTAATGGTGATTTTCAAGGCAGGGAAGTACTGTTTTCTCCACTTTCTATTTCTCCACTTCCCAGCCTTGACAAATGAAATGGAGTATGAATTGTTTATATATATATATATTGTGGCTGTCCTCTCGGTTTCAAGCGTGACCACCTCCTTTATTTCATGTCCTCACCCCCCACTCCCATCCCCTCAAATTCCATGTATTCGCAGGTGACTCTTCAGGCCAGCCAAACTGCGACAAATTTTGCGACAGAATTGGCATACCCGATCAATTTTGTGTACAGTGACATTATTCGGGTGCACACTAGGTTTTGCACATTTACACAAATGGCTTTTGAAGCCAGCAAAAGATAGGCACAATTTTCCGCATATGTCACAATTAATTTGTGGACCCGGTGCTGGACCCTGTTCGCCTTTATGAATCAGATGTTTGTAGGCACTTTACTGCATACAGCTATTCTCAAAGGACTCAATGCTTTCGTGAATTATATAAAAATAATAATAGTTGGGCACTCATATTCGAGGATACCCGTCTACTATGGCGACTAGCCAATCACTATTGCCGACTATCACTTAAGCACATTTGTGTTTGCTCAACACCCACAGAGCCCACCTGTTGTTTATACTGCAACTATGCTGAGTAGACCTTAGTTACAGTTTCTGGGAAAGTGTGTGTTATCTGGCATGATCAACAATTTGAACATGGCCAGCACGCTGAAACCATCAGTCACAATGACTTGTGACTTTGTGCTAGCATAGCTATCGACAACCCCAAATATTACGTCTACCCAATTTCACTCACAAGGCTTGGGTCAACCTGTGCTATGGTTTTCACGCACTTTCCATATGTGCTGCATACTCGGATCGGACTCCCTCCAGACTGATAACATCAGGAAGTCTCCTTCCTGACAAATCGACCATGGTGAGATTCGAGCCAGGGTCTCATGGTCAGAATGCAAACATTCTAACTACTCAGCCATGCGCCCATTATATATATCAAAATGTGTCTTTGGGCAGCAATCCTTTTTTTATACAAGTTTCATTAAAAATGACTGACAAAGTACTGCATTAAAAAATTTTATTCAATTTTTCTTGTGTTTGTATATTTTTTTATATATTAAAAATGACTTTTTTTATATATTAAAAATGACTGACAAAGTACTGCATTAAAAAATTTTATTTAATTTTTCTTGTGTTTGTATTTTTTTTTTTTCTGATCATAAAGTTCCATATATCCAAATGCTCTTGGTTATTTTGCTATTATAAAGAATTTTTGTTTTTTGGAGATTGGGTATTTTCAATTTTTTATATATGTGTATCTATAATAGTGAGAAAAACAACAATAACAAAAAATTTTAATATGAGCTCTTGTAAAAAATGATTACTGGGATATTAGGCTTATAAGTCCAAAAAAATTAATTCATGGATATCCTCAAGGGCACATGGTCCAGTGTATAAAAACATTGGTTGAAGTTATCCGGTAACTTGATCCAAAGTGCTGCGTTTTTTCTGCCACAGCAGAAAAAAAACTTGGCATGTGGAACTAGAACAATCTCCCTCAGCAGACTAAATAAAGGGTTTGGTTTGAAATTACAACATATATTACCTGAAGAAGGCTGAAGTGTACAACGTCTGAAACATTGTAAATATGACAATAAAGATGAGAACAATAATGAAAATAGTTACATTATCTCATCTCAGAAATATAGAAAGATTTTGAAGAAGGCAAGAATGTACAATGGTTGAAACATTGGGAATATGACAAAGATGAGGTAAATAATGTAAATAGTTACAATACCTCAGAAATATATACAGATGTTATAGGGGGAATGTTTTTTTATTTTCTTTTGTAATGTTGGACGGCTTTGCTTGTCACTTTTGCTATGTCAAGCAGAAGCTCATTATCACTTCCATAAATGCTTGTTATATTTGAGACTTCATAGACACCATTCCTAGTAGTAATGCCTTCAAATAATATCTGTACTAGTAATACTTGTTCAAGTAGTAATTGCCAAATAGTATAAAGATCAAAAGAGAATCATCATCTTCATAGTAGTAGAGTAGAGAGAGTGAACATATAGCAATAGAGAACAGATAAGAAGAGTGAACAGTGATCATACAGTCATTACGCTACTTCCTATTTATTCACTTCCCTTATGATCATGTGATCTACTTAATAATGGAATCACCCATGTTACTCACTGGCAATCTAGTTTCAAACCATATCTTATAAAACATTTTCCAAATACAGTCAGCAGATTGTGGTCATGTTTATTTTCTGCTAGATTTTAGATTGATAGGTGATAGTCATTTTAGTAAAAATCTACTGTATCATGTATCATATATATTGTAGAAGACTATCTTTTATTTTCCAACTCTGACAATAGCAATTTTAAATATAGCAGAGAAATTACACACCTGCTAACAGTTGCAGGTGATGCAACAGCCAAATCTTGTACTTCAAAGACCATGTGTATATAAGGTGTCAGCTTGATTCTTTCACTATTTGCCAAACACAGCATTTTATTGTCATCCAGCACAGTGTTCATGTTTTCAATCCAGAGAGCATCCACTGGGCCATCACAGATCACCCACTGATGATCTTCGCTTGTATCCTGGTAGGGAGGAAAAAATAAGAAAATTTAAAATTGTCCTAATATAAAACTATACTGCTAAAAATTTGCTATATATCTGTAAGTGTTCAATATCAGCAATAAGGTACTTGTCGCTATGAATAAAATGCAACTGTTAGATTCATGCATTATTTACTTTATTAGGATTGTTATCCTCATTTTCATTGCCATATTTAAAAAAATTTTGGCCTTCATCAGGTGATTGGAATTTCAAACCAAACCCTTTATTTCGTCGGTTGGAGTAGATTGTTCTAGTTCCACATGCCATGAGTTGAGTTAAAGAGAAATAACTGAGACATTCGGAAGAGGTGTGGCACATGGAACTAGAACAATCTACTCCAGTGGATGAAATAAAAGGTTCAGTTTGAAATTTCAATCACCTGAAGAAGGCCAGAGTGTACAACGGCGAAAATGTTGTGAATATGGCAATGAAGATGAGGATAATAGTCCAAATAATGTAAATAATGCAAGTAAAATAAAACCTCAACTCAGAGATATAGACAGATGTCAGATTCATGCCTTAAGCAGTGTGAAACTGCCACATCACCATGCAGTATTGATTTTATATTCAAAAGCATTGAATATTGATGTGTGCAATATTTTTCTGCCATAATTTCTAACAAAGCAAAACATTTATGAGTTATATGGTTGGAATATGTTCCACTACTATATACCTTTGACAGTGCAGACTAAAATACTAAAATACATGGCATTACTTTTGTAGAGGCCTTGTGTGTGTGTTTTAAAAACCAATTTCTTCAACTTTGATGTGTTATATTTGACTATATACTTTCTAGCTTTTACTAATAGAAAACAACATTCCTGTTTGACATCCAATGGTTAGTATACTGATGATGATGTATGCTATGCTGATGACATAGCTATTCATAGTTGGGATAAAAATTATCTTGAAAAAAAAAAAAACATCAGCCTTTAACAAGTCTAAATAAGACTTATAATAAACCTTTTCAAAACAGAAACTATGATCTCCATTTGGAATGAAAACAGTGATGACACATACTCTGAATCCATCATAAAAATTAAATTCGATATAATAAATGCAAATGTCACTGTGTCACACTTTTATAATTAAAAGGACCCAACTCTCTAACTTTCAATAGCTCATGTTACAGAAATTTTGGATTCCCAAGTTTTCATTACTGTGATTGTTTTCGATCATTTTTACATGATTTTTTGTGACAAGCTTTTTGTACAATAACAATTTTTATAATTTGGAAATAAACTTTGGAATAATTGAAATTAATTGCAAAATCTAACAAATGTCACCCATGAAATAAAATTGTTTGTAGAGAAAGTAAGGACCTACGTACATCAAATTGTCTTTAAATTGAGTGGCAGTAGAAGAATTATCGTTGAACTTTTAGAAGGTAAGCTTAAATATTAAAGTAATACTTAAATGAGGCGATTAATTTTGAATTCTTCTGTAGTATATTGTTGCATATCACATACAGCAGCAGTTTCCTTCACAAAAAGAAATCTCCGCCAACACAGGACCAGATTGCAATCAAAAGAGCCAAGGCTGCAACAAGGAAAAGAAAGCCCCGTGCAAATGAAAACCCAGAAGAGCTTCCAATGTTGAGAATATGCAAAGACTTAGGGACTCTCAAGCTTTTGAACAAGTTGAAGGCTCAATCAAGAGCCCTCTGCAGGAGCCAGCTTAAATGATTATGTGGAATAAATACTAAAAACTTCACATATCTTGATGTATAGATCAGTCATAGAAAATTTCATATAGAGAGAAGGAAATTGAAGATAGGACATGACGAAATAGGGACAGTTTTATCCAATACTACAATTGTTTCATTTTCATCATTTCATTCCAAGTAAGGATATAAAGCCACTAAGATGCAAGGAGTTACTGAGTGTTAGAGAATATGAGAAAAATAAAACATTAAGGATATAGAACAATAAAAGAACAAGAATTAAAAAAGATAACAATTGATATTGCATTTAAATTTTGAAAGATCAAAGTTGACATGAAAGCCAGAAGAGTGTTCCACAAGTGGAAAACGGAATAGAAGAAAATGTTAGCATAGAACTTATGGTGACATCTGGACATTTCAACAGTAAAATGATGAGATCTTGCCACCAATCTGGTACTATGCTTAAATTTGTAAAGTCAAGATACCATAGAGGAAAGCTCAACAGAACAGTTACCATGAAAATATTTATAGAAAAGGCACAGGGAAGCTACATTACAGTGGGGGAAAATGGACTGAAACCAAGATGCCAGGTCAGGACCAATAACATTACAGATTCATATTTGGATTTTATCAAGAACCTCTAAATACATAGTTGAAGCACCAGAGCAGATATGACAGCAATATTCAATTCATGGATGAATTGTAGACTTATAAATGATGAAACATTGCTGCCAATTTAGTCTTTTCTTTTTATGTGCCATGTCCCTTCAGGATGTAGGTTATCATGGCTCTCCACCTCCCTCTATCCTTGCAGCTCTCAACAAGTTCCTTCCCTCTGCTTCCTCCTCCAGACCATGTTCAGTCATCCACTTGCTTAAGCCTGCCGGGTATGTCACACATTGTTTTCCCTTGTCTCTCTCTCTATTTGACCTGTGAGTATCAGATTCTCCAGGCCCTCTTTCCTCATTATGTGTCCTAGAAACTTCAGCTGCCTCTTCCTGATGTTAAGTATAAGCCTCCTCCTTGTTTGCAACCTCTCTAAGACCTCATCGTTACTCACACGCTTGGTGCATGATATCCTTAGTATCCTTCTGTAGAACCACATCTCTGTCACCTCGAGTTTCTTCTTAATCTTTGAGGAAATCATCCAACATTTGCTGCCATAAAGAAGAACAGATGTCATGTAACAGCTCAGTATTCTTTGGTAACAAAGAGAATACTGAGCTGTTATGTGACAACTGTCCTCCTTTATTCTAGTACCGTACTTAAATTCATAAAGGAAAGTTCGTCCGAACAATGTTCATGAAAGTATTTATAGAAAAGGTACAAGGAAGTTATGTTACAGTGGTGGGAAAGGGACTGAAGCCATGATGACAGTTCAGGACCAATAACATTGCAGATTCTTCTTGTGGATTTTATCAAGAATTGACAAATATATAGCAGGAGCACCAGACCAGATTTAGCAGTACTATTCAAGGCAAGGACAAATGGCAAACTTATAAACATGTAAGATAGCTTCTGACAAGAAAAATTGTCTAGCATGACACTGTACCAAATTTCTTAGCTGCAGATTTAGCAACTGATTCAATATACTTTTTCCACTTGAAGTCAGCTGAAAACATTAGTCCGAGAAGTCACAATGAGTCACTCTCCTGAAGGTTAGCATCAGCCATGCTAGCAGAAGATAAATATGGTCTCCAAAATATCAAACTAAGAACATGATTAATGTTCTTAAATAGCCATGTCAGATCTAGATTCCTGTTGGGAACAACAACGAAAAGAGAAAATAATATAATCAATATGTTGACTTTCCACACTACCTTAAACAGAAAGTTAGGAAGGAAATTCCCATCAATGCTAGAAAGAGAAATAACAGTGAACTTGATAAGTCTAAATTACTGAAAACCCATACTAAGAAAAAGATTTTATGGATTTCAACTGACAGTAATGCTAACTGCACCATCAATAAATGCCAAACATTTTTTTTGTATATAAACAGTTAATTTCACTATTTCCATAAAATATTTGAGAATAGATACTTGCTAAGCTTAGTCGATAAACAATTGGTTGGTTGATTTTGTTTAGCAGTATATCAATGTCAGTGGCTTATTTAATGCCAAAATCTAAATATTTAGAATAATTTTATGGTTTCAACTACAGATAAAATGTATTGTTGGTAATTTTACTATAAATATATATTTTTAGTAATATCAAAATGAATTGTTGGTATTTTTACTCTAAAAATGTATTTTTATACTATCATAGGGTTTCATTTTATTTGGTGGGGCCACTATTTGCCTCTAGCTATGTGTGTTGTGGTTTTTATGGATATCAGCTTAGAGTGAGTACTTGGGGGAGCCAAGTTTGAATTCCAGTTCAGTTTGTTAGATTCACTTACGCACAAATACCCTTGAGAAAGCTATGAATCCATCTCTTCTACCCCAGCTATGGGTTGAATAGCAGGACAGACTGGAATCTTTAGCCTTGGTTGGCAACCAGTCTACTGCAGAAAGAAATGACGACCTACTGTAGGATAAAATCTGTCTCATTAGTCATCTATCGAAAGATGCATGATCACCCAAGCATGTACCACATGTGGCACTTAACTGACTGACTGAGACTACCATGTGGACCTGTGAACAACAACAATTAAGAGGTGGTTCCAAGCTCCTCAAAACCTCCAATCCCTGATCAGATGCCTTGCTGCTGGATGTAGTTTATCATCATACCCAGGACTGAGCTTAGTTAAGTATGTCACAAGGCCATGAGTGAGACAACTGGTGAGGATCGGATTCACTAAATTAGTTAATATTTAATAGAACATTCTTGTTAAACTAACTTTGTGCCAGATGGATGTTGAAAAAGGACTCATAAAAATAAAAATAAACATACATTGCAGGCTATCCTGACTGTGAGGGCCATTAAACCATCATGCCATTCCATGGTGAGTTTACTAACTCCCCCATACAATTCTTCCATGGTGATAGATTTTGGATTCAGAATATAAGTGTGGACAGGTCTGTAAAAGGGATGATTCTCGCCTGAGTTATGAAGATTAGTTAATGTATCGGCCAATATCTGAAGAAGAAAAAGAAAAGTGTTAACAGAGACACATATGTGGACAAATCAAAAAGGGACAAATATATATATATATATATACATATATATATATATATATATATATTATATATAAAAACATATTAAATATAACAGACAATGAATGTCTATTACATCTGATCATGAGCCGTTCTAATGTTCGAATGTTTGCTTTAATTTCTGGTGAAAATAAAGACAAAAAATGTCTAACATTTGGATATTTTTTTATTGACTTGGTCCTAAACTTTTGGCTTACGTGAGCCATCCTCAGAGTGGTTATACAGACATGAAACAAAGATACCCACCGTCAAAGATGATATTTTGTTATTTTGACAAAACTGATATGTGATGATAAAAGTCGCAGAGTAGCAGACGCAGATCGTAAGTTTAAGATGTGATTCTATGACATGTCTCCTTGTTCAAGGAGTGAATTTTAGGGACTTATAAACCTAATGCCTTAGTAATCATTTTTTTACCAGAGTTTGGCAGATGTCTACATAGGTTTTTCTCAGGGGTTAATTTGTTTTCCAGTTCCATTTTACCGGCAATAGTTTGATCTGAGGGTTGCCAAATTAAAATTGTATCTCTTGGGACTGTTTTCATTGGTTTAAAGATTTGTTGTGCCACCATCGAGAAACAAGGTATTATTTTTCATCATGTCACCCCAAGCAAGGTAATAAAAGCCACAAAGATGCAAGGGGTTAATGAGTTAGCAAATAGGATAAAAAAATATTTTTATTTTTAGGAGAGAGAACAATAAAAAAAAACAAGAGTTAAGAGATTAACATTGCATTTTTGAAAATCAATGTTGACTGTAAAGCAAGCACCTGGAAGAGAGTTCCACAAGTGCAGTAGAAGAAATTGTTATTATTTACATTATTCAGACAACTGTCCTCATCTTTATTGCCATAATCACGGCCTTTCGGCTGTTGTATACTCCAGCCTTCTCCAGGTGATTGGAATTTAAAAGTAAACCCTTTATTTCGTCCACTAGGGTAGATTGATCTAATTTCACCTGTCATGCCTCTTCCAGGTGTCTCAGTTATCTCCCTTTAATTTGTTTTGGTTCACCACTGCAGTATCCCAGTATTGAACTCACAACTCTTTAGTTCAAGTTATTGGATCTAACCAATATTTTTATCCACTGGGCCATGTGAAAGTGATTTCTTTTGTGCTGTATCAATGAACTTTGGTCTATCCTTTCTTTGGTGACTTGCATATTCTCCAGACTATACAAAATTGATTTACTGTTCCTCTTTAAGGACTAATACTTAAATGTCTTTTATTGATATTAACGTCCATGTGTTTTTGCTACAAACTCTATTCGTTTTGACCAGGACTATCTTTGCTTTGTCCTTTCATTGATATTATTCAGTCATTAAAGTCTATGAGATATTTTCAACTGCAGCACAACTTCTTTCACCAGAAATAACACCAAAACCCAAACTTTCCTTAACATTACTTTGGCACTAACGTTACTGAGTTTCTTTCACACAAACTCAATCTTTCTTTGAGGACTCTACACCAAATCCATGAATACTTCTGAAGGACCATTTTGCGTGCATTTGTTTACCCTCCTTTTATTACAAGGACATTTTAGATTAATCATTTTCATGATGGTAAAGTAACGACTCAACTGATAATAGCAGATAGGAAACGTGAGGAGGGTAACCGACAAAATAGTGTCACACGTCCAACCTTCTCACGAGCAAAAACACAGTCCTCAGAAACAAAAATGCACCTGCTTTATACAGCCAAGGACTGACCCTGAGTTACATGCAAATGACGAGACAACAAGATTTCACGTTAACTGTCCGAGAATGCCTGGCATAAAACATGGGTGCCTCCATTTTGGTTCTTTTTACCATCAGAGCAATCGGAGTTTGCACGACGCACAGATTCGCGGGCATTTCCAAGGTAGGCCATTTCCAAAATTTTCCCCACAATACCTTGAAAGGACTAATAAGCATAATTTGATATTTTTTTTCACCACATCCGTAAAAATTATTTATCCTTTTCACATAAATATCTTTTGTATGTAATTTTGGTTTTGTTGCCAAAATAAAATTTGGCTTTATTTCAATCAAATCCTATTGCTTTGTATTCAGTTCCTTGTCAACTTAGTACCTTTTGAACAATTTTGTTTGTGGACCCTTTTTCACCAATATGCAGCCAATCACACACTTCAACAAGTCAGGATCTCACACACCTGCAACAACTTATAAATAGGTAAGATAGATTCTGTCAAGAAAAATTGTCTAGCATGACACAGTAAACCAACTTTCCTGGCAGTAGACCTAGCAATTGATTCAATATAATCTTTCCATTTCATGTCCTCCAAGAATGTTAGTCCGAGAAGGTGCAACAAGTCACTCTCCTTGAGGTTAGCATCAACAATATTGATGGAAGGCAGAAAGGGGTCTCTCAGATGATTGATAGAGAGAAGTTTAATTTCAGAGGCATTAAAATTAACAGGCCCCAGTTCTTGCCCCAGTTAACAGCAGATTGTGGGTCATTTTTTAGATCAGTTGCCAATTTAATCTTATTGAACTTATCAGAGTTACTATTAATACAAGAATAAATATTTGTATTATCAGCATAGATACCAAGTTGAGAACTGGAAGGTCATTGATGAAAACTAGAAACAACGTAAGCCCAAGAATAGAACCCTGCGGGATGCCTGTATTAATGCAAAAAGATCTAGAAGAGTGGCCATTCAAGACAACTTTCATTTCATGACTTGATAAGAAAGACTGAATCAGTTCAAAAATTTGTCCAGAAATACTGTAAAGAAGACTGGTGTAGTGACATTAAAGATAGTACAGCTCTAAATAAAACTTAGCAGCAGCAGCAGCTCTTGAATGTAAAAACATGTAAACCCTGAAGTAACTTTCTCTTTCCGGGGTTTTCCCTCTTGCAAACTGCTGACATGAACTTTCCATGCTGAAACTAAAAGGGCTGTGAAATGCTTCACATAAAACAAAATTCCCACTATAACATATTAATGCATCTTTTGTTGTGTATACATTTTATGCCTAACAAAAGAAAATCTTGTTTTTAAATTTTACTTTTGTTAATTTTGTTTTAATAAATGTTATCTTTACATTATTCGGACTATTGTCCTCATCTTTGTTGCCATATTTATCACAACGTTTCGGCCGTTGTATGGAGCATACAATGGCCGAAACATTGTGATAAATATGGTGCCAAAGATGAGGACAATAGTTCGAATAATGTAAATAATGTACATAATGCCTCATCTCAGAAATATAGACAAATGTCATCTTTGCATTGCAAATAAATTGGTCTGTTATTTTGTGTACATACTCTTCTTCGCCACCTTTATTTCATGTACTATAAAATGTTCCCTAAAGAAATTTTACGCATTTAATTATTGAAGTAGCTAATCACTAAATTGGTATTCCAAATCCTGTCTAATCCTTTTGAGATATCCAAAGCAACAGACTGAGTTTCTGTCTATATGACTGTGAGTACACTATCCCATGCAGTGGCGCAAAGAAATATAAAGGGGAGACAGGCCGCCCCCTTAAGGTAAGGCTTCAAGAACACCAGAAAGCTGTAACACAAGGGAAAGTGGAAAAATCAGGTGTGGCTGACCACATATGGAGGGAAAAGGGAGATCAACGTCCTCTGTGGGATCAGGTTGAGATCATAGACAAAGAACACCATTAGAAAATTCATAAACTTAAGGAATCAGAACGTATGCTAGGCCACAAAAATCTCCTGAGCCGACCAAGCATAGAAGTGAACACGATAACAGCAAAAATTGCAATATGAGCTCTGGTAAAAACATATGATAACAGCAAGAATTGCAATATGAGCACTGGTAAAAAAATTTTGCTGAAAACATTAGGCTTATAATATCCAGAAATTCATACACAGATACAAGGACACATGGTACAGTGGATAAAGGCATTAGTTAGATCCAGTGACAAGACCCAAAGAGTGTGAGTTCAATACCTGGTTAAGGTGATGGAGAACTTGGAGAATGGAATTAAACAGGAGATAACTGATAACTGACATCCATTAGACATGACATGTGGAACTAGAACAGTCTACCCCATTGAGCAAAATAAAAGGTTCAGTTCGACATTCCAACCACCTGAAGAAGGCTAGAGCATACAACAGATGAAACATTGTAATAAATATGACACAAAAATGAGTCTGAATAATGTAAATAGACTGAGTTTCACTATTCTTATCTTTAAGCAACAATCATTTGGCACTCAAAAAGGGAAACTAAAGATGCTTACCTGATAAATTGTGGTTTTTCCTCCTCCAGTTGGTCCAACAAGCATGACACCATGTCGAACAATCATGGTTTCATAGAATTCAATTACTTTCTTTACCATAGAGTCAAGAGGATAGAGCTGCTTTGTTTTCATCACTTTTGTGATTTCCGCTTGAAAGTTACCATAATCATGAGCTGGTATTTCAATTCCAGGGAACAAATCTTGGAGAATAGCCTGCAGAAGAATACAAATTACAAAATATTTAAAATATTTCTTACCTATTATTAGAACATCACAACACTTAACAAGTCCCTTAAGCCATTCAGGTTAGAGAGCAGCAGCAGTGGTGAACTGAGGGCAAGAGTACATCCCCCTGTAAGACGGTTTTTAAGTCCAACACAAGAGAGGACAGTCTGCCTTGCTATTTAACCTAAAGTTGGATTGATTTGTTATTTATGGCTTATCAACATTTTGAGGGTTATTTAAAGCAGAAACATTTTAGATTGTAAGAATAAAAATCTTTTGCCAGTGATTCTTGCATTAATATTTTTTGAGAACCCATAGCTAGGCCAAGATAGATTCATGCCTTTACCAAGGGCATTAGCAGGAAGTGAACAAAATTGACAAAATTGGTTTTATTTCCCATTCCAAGAGCCATTATCTGTGCATCCATTATTAGCACACAAACTGTTTCTATAAACTGTGGATCCATAGACAGGATGCTCACGTCACCCAAGATGTCACGGCCAGGGTGCTCACATCACCCACGATATCACAACCAGGGTGCTCACATCACCCACAATATCACAACCAGGGTGCTCACATCACCCAAGATGCCACAGGCAAGGTGCTAGCATTACCCAAGATGCCCTAGGATGTTTATGTAATCTGAGATAGCTTAGATGTTTATATAAAATGTGATATTACAGGTAAGATGCTGATCTAACTTTGATGATATGTGGATGAGGTTACATAAGCATTTAATCTAGCTTCTCACATTAGTGATATAAAAATCAGGAAGAAAGGTATTGTCACTGTTCAAGAATTAAAACACACATTATTGATAAAATAGAGCTATATAATTCAAATATATTGCTAAAGAATCTTTTTACTATAGAAGTACACTGAAAATCAACAGGAGAGGTATTGTCAGTGATCAGAAATTAGGGTAAACACTAGTTTAAAAGCTACTCTATTGGGTGGCATTTAAGCTAGCCCCTAATGAGGGCTCTTGATTGGGTCTTTGGCTTGTTCAGGAGTTTGAGAGTCCCTAGGTCTTTGCATATTCTCAGCATTGGATGCTCTCCTGACTGCCATTTAATCTGGGTTTTCATTTGCATAGGACTTTCTTTTCCTCACTGTAGCCTTGGCTTTTTTAATTGCAATCTGGTCGTCTGTTGGCAGAGACTTCTTTTTGCAAGGCATACTGCTGCTGTATGTGATAGGCAACAATAAACTACAGAAGAACTCAAAATTAATCACTGAATTTAAGTATTACATTAATATTACCTTTTAAAAGTGCAATGATAATTCTTCTGCCACCACTTAATTTAAAGACAGTTTGATGTGCGTAGGTCCTTATTTTCTGTACAAATAATTATTTTTATTTCATGGGTGATATTCACTGGATTTCGTAATTATTTTTGATTCATCATGTAATCATGTAAAAAAAATGCTGAAAACAGTCGGAGTAATGAAAACTTGAGAATTCAAAATTTCTGTAACATGAGATATTGAAAGATAGAGAGTTGTGTCCCCTTAATTGAAAAAGTGTGACACAGTGACACACTGACATTGGCATTTATTATATAGAAGAACAACAAGAATATGAGCTATTGAGAATGGTGTCCCTTTAATTGAAAAAGTGTTGCACATTGATATTTATTATGTAGATTACTAAGAGAATTAGGCAGTTATGCATATATAGAGTGATCCAAAAGTTACTTTGTTGAAATACTATAAAATAAAATATAAGTAGTTACAATAAAACAATAACAAAGTTAATAAAAATACATAAAATTAAAAAAATGAAAACTAAAAACTAAAATGCCTATGAAAGCTGAAAAAGTCATTAAATTGATTACCATTTCTCCTCCTTTTCTTGTTTTCAATATGCCCTGTGAGTGTTAAAATCTCTGGACTGTCTTTCTCCATTATGCATCCCAGAATTTCAACCGTCTCTTTCTGTAAGTTACTTCATAGATTCTTAAGATTTCCTCAAGGTTCTCTATTGCTTAAAGTCTCTTCTTCATCTGTATAGAGATTGCCCAATATTCAATGCCATATAGACAAGATATTAGATAACAGGTCAGCATGTTTTTATTTGTTTCTAAGGATATTTTTCTATTGCTTAGCTTCTGCCAGGCATTTTCTACTATTCCTGCATATCTCTCATCGTTAACAGCTGTTTCATTGTACTTTCTGTCGTAATTTCTGAGATGATCAGTTATTATTTACATGCAGACTATTTTCCTCATCTTTGTTGATGTTATCACAACATTTTGGCCATTGTTCCCTCTGGCCTTCATCTGTGAATTATTGATCTGGTTAACCTACAGGAAATTCTTAATTGAATCCTTTACTTAATCTACAATTAAGGCTCTAAGTTCTAGACTCAGGATTGTCCAATATAGTATTGGTTCATGAATTTGGTGACATAGTAGTTGTGAGTTCAATCCCTGGGCTAGGCAGTGCGTGCTGATTGATTGTTTTTTTTTTTTTTTTTTTTTTTTTTACAACTTAACACTTTGCATGTTATTTAAAACCAGAAAATATTTTTAGATTGTAAGAATTTTGGGGAGATAATAATCATTTTCTGATACAATTACTGCGAATTAACCCAAAGCTGGGGTGACTTTTAGTGGATCTCTAACTTTCACAAGAGTATTTGCATGTAAGTGAATATAATAAACCCAACTGGATTCGGACCTTGGCTCTCTGATTTCCAATTTTGAGTCATTATCCGTGACACCACCCACACATCCAACCTTACAGCACCTTCCCAAGCAGTCACCCATCTAGGTACTGACTAGGGTTGATATTGCTTAACTTTAGTGATCATAAAAGAACCAGTGTTTCATTGTGATATAGCTGGAAGCCTGGAATCACTGGAAATAGGGTATGCAATAATTGAGCAGTGCTAAATAAAAAATGGGCGAGATATTCTTAGAAATGCACAGTGGAGCAAGAACAATCTACTGTTGTAAATTAAATAAAGGGTTCAGTTCAAAATTCCCTGAAGATTCCTTGGATCAACAGACACCTGAAGAATGCTGGTGAGTACAATGGCCGAAATGTTGTGATAACAACAACAAAGATGAGGACAATAGTCCACATAAAAATAATGTATACATTCTGTCACTAACAGACCTTGCCAAAACAATGTCAATAAACACATATTTTTGTCAGATTTTTCCAAAATCCTACACAAAGAATTGATTTGTTTTTTTTTTACAGTTTAACAACCCTTTTTGAATTAATTAAGGCTGATATGTACATTGGATTGCAAGAAGAATTTTTTTTTCTTTTACAAATGAATACTGTCTATATCTCTGAGATGAGATATTATAATTATTTACATTATTCAGACTGTTATCTGTTGTCGTAAAGAAAAGATTGTCAACTGATAGTAGCAACTGCAATAGATTTCTTGTTTCTCGGCGGCAAGACTTGTAGCCAAATCGCAGTTCACACGATAGTTCGACGTAACAGTCCAACACACCGTAGAAATGACAAAATGGGGTCACAAATCCAACCTTCACTTCTCACCAACAACAACGCGTGTTCGTTTTTCAGCTCAGAAAGATCATCTCCTTTTATAAGCGAAAAACAATGACTTCTGTTCACTGAGAGAATTTTCTGATTGGTCACACCATTCAGGGGAGGGAAGAAAATTAGCATAGCTTCTAGTCATTAATGTAGATTTTTGCTGACTACTTTTTGGTAATTTTTCTTTGGCAGATCGCACACAAAACACAAACTTTTTTTCGGGGTACCTGATTATCTCTTTCACTACATTATCCTCATCTTCATTGCCATATTCACAATGTCCTCAAGGACACATGGCACAGTGGATAAAAGTTTTGGTTAGATGCCATGACTAGACCCAAAGAGTTGTGAGTTCAATACCAGGTTACAGCAGTGGTGAACCAAAATCTTGGAGAGTTGAGTTAAAGTGAAATAAATGAGACATCCGGAAGAGGCATGGCACGTTGAACTAGAATACACCCGTGGATGAAATAAAGGATTAGGTTCAAAATTCCAGCACCTGAAATGTTGTGAATCTGGCAATGAAGATGAGGATAACACATAATGTAAATAATGTAAGTAAGTGAATACTGCATTAGCAATTTTTTTGAGAATAACAAAGATTTTTATAGATACAAGTTTTACTATTTATCCCATAGTTGGGGGACAAGATACATTCATACCCTTCCCAAGAGTATTTGCACATAAGTGAATACAATGACCCCGACTCAGCACTGATCTCTACATTCTGAGCTGCTATCCATTACACATCCTCCCACACAAAATAAAACACAAATCAAAAGTACAGATTACCTGGAAAAGAACTGCATCTTCTGCAAGAAACTTTGGTAGGTTGCTGTCTCTTAGGGCTCGGATGAGGACAACATCTTCATTTTTGTCTGGGTTTTGGCGCTTGAGGGATCCTGCCATCACAAGGACTGATTTGACAGCCCTCATGCCAAAATCATAATGGTCTTGCTGAGATAACTGCTCACTACAAAGTTTGTACATCTGTGTCATCTTTTGGGCAAGGGTCTTAGATGATTCAAATCCTTCTGAATATAAAATGACCTCTGCAATCAAACCTGGAGGAATAAGAAAAAAAAAATTTAACAAAGTAAAAAGAGACTAAGTTTGTCGCTTTCAAGAATTATAAAAATTTCAGTTTTCCCATTTATTTTTCAGATGAATCAGAATTCTTAAGTTAACATTGCAAGTTCTACAATAAAATACTAATGGAAATTCCTCTTTCACATCATTAAGTATTTGAGAGTTATAACTTTATTTTAACAAAATATTGCAATAACAATCAAATATAAATACAGGTCATTATTTAAAGAAGTAAGAGGATACAAATGAAAAGATTTGAAATTGATATTTTTCAGTTAAATGCATGAGAGCATTAGAACCTTGTATATCTTCCTCCCTTTCTTCCCTTTTCTTTATTTCCCTCCCTCCCTCTCTTTATTTTCCTTCCTCCCTCCTTTTCTTTATTTTCCTTCCTCCCTCCTTTTCTTTATTTTCCTTCTTCCTTCCCTTTTCCTTTATTTTTCTTCATTTTCCCTTTGGTTTTTCTTTTTCTTTTTTCTATCCTTCATTCTTTTCTTGCTTTTTATTTTTTATTCTTTTCTTTCTTCATTTTTCTTTTCCTTTTTTCTTCATTTTTCTTTTTTTCTTTTTCTTCATTTTCTTTTCTTCTTTTTCTTCCTTTTTCTGCTTTCCTTTTTTCTTTTCTTCATTTTTCTTTTTTTTTCATTTCTTCTTTATTTCTTTGTTATTCTACATCCTCTTCCTGGCTAAGATGCTAAACTACGTCCAACAGATCAGGAGGATTTGAGGAATATGGAACCACCTCTTAATTGCTGGTGTTCCCCAGTCCACCCTGACCCGGGGTGGTAGCACCTGTTAGGGTCCCAGCTATGGGCAAATGGTTAACCACCGTGAAACTGGGGTCAAAACACTATGTAAGTGTAAAAATAAGTTTTAATACCAGAAATAATTTGTAAAAAATTATTACTATCAATACAATTTTGATAAAAAATATTACCAGCAGTACATTTTTGAAAAAAAAGAAAATATTATCAGCAATATAATTTTAAAATATATATATATATATATATATATATATATATATATTACCAGCTATACATTTTTGAAGAAAAAAATATTATCAAAAACAGATTTTTTGAAAAAAGAATATAACCAACAATAAAAATTTTGTTGGCATTAAATAACTGTTGTGGTATACCCACCTACAGTACAATGAACGCTTCCTCCTCTCATAAATACTAACTTGAAGAGTCTGTTGGGGAGCAGAGATGCAGTGTTAACCTACCATTCAGATGTACACCTCTATCTGCTTATTACTAACACTCTTGCTTTGTATATATCTGTTATTTCAATACACTTGTTCAACCTACCTTCATCTTCCATGTCTTTCTTTCTGGACCCTGAACAGGTCACAACAATAACCCATTGAGGTTTATAAGCCATAAAACAAGCCAAACCAAACCAAAACTATAACCAGGGGTAGAAGTGAATATTCCGAACCGAATTGGAATTGGAACTTTGCACACAGATTAACCATTCCAAGCCACTATCCATTAAACCACCCACACATCAAACCTTACAGTACCTGGTATTCCCAAGTGGTAACTCATCTAGATATTGACCAAGCTCAATGTTTCTTAACTTTGGTGATCATACAGGAACTGGTGTTTTAATGTGATATGGTCATAATCAAGAAGATTACTGAGCACACAGTCAGATACCAGAAGAAGGTATAACAGCAGAAACATTGTAATTGTAACAATGAAGAGCAGCATATTGATCTGAATAGCAAAACATAATAAAACTGACACCTGAAGAAGGGCAGAGAGTTTGGTTGAAATGTTGTGACTATTTCAATCAAGAGAAGAATGTTGACCTAACTAGCAAAGCATAAAATGAAATTGACACCAGAAGATGGTCAAAGGGTACAGCTGAAACAAGAGTACAACAAACAAGGTAAGTATGTTGGTCCAAATAGCAAAGCATAAAAGAAAACTGAAACCTGAAGAATGACGGAGAATCCAACTGAAACTGTATCGGAATGTCCCACACTCCCTATCATATATGCAGACTGACTATATTGGTAGATATATATAGTGAGCACAGTCTATACCTTGTGGACTTGCTTCAGGAATTACTGATTCCCTGTCTTTCAGTAGTGTATTCTCCTTTACAATAAACCACTCTTTCTTTCATCTACACCTGTGTTGCTGTTCTTTTCGTTCGAATACCACCTTTGTCTGTTTGTAACCTTCTTTAAGGATACAACAGTAACTATATGAGCCAAGATGATCATGTTATTCCAAATAGCAAAAGATAATAAAACCAACATCTGAAGAAGGCCAGATTACAGTTGAAACATTGTAAGCGTAATAACCAAGATGAACATATCTACCCAAATAGTGTGCAATAATGAGAATTCTTCATTGCAAAAATTCTACCAAAAGTAATAACTCTATGTATTTTCACGGCTATAAGAAAAATATTTAAATCCATAAATTTCTGTTTTCTGGGATTATAGGTAGTTTGGTTATGGGCATGTCCCAAGACTGATAAATTTTAATAATAACTAGCAGTAGAGCCCGGCGTTGCCCAGGGATGTAACAGTAAGAGATAGATTAATCGACCATCATAAAGACTGAAAAATAAAATTGACAAAGATTATTGTTTAAGGTTGACAGACACGCATGTCTTAATTAGTTTTTTTTTTTTTTAATGAATTGATCAAACCCAAACTCAAACAAAAACATTGTTTTCAATTGTTATGAGTCTACCGATTGAATGGAATTTTATTATAAACAATTGTCTTGTAAATGGAATTTTTAAAGCATTCTGAATGTAAAAATAAAGAAAAAAGTGTGCAAGACAATAAGAAACACTACCTGCCAAAAAAAAAGTGAAGTTTTGTTGAAATCAGTCGAAAAATGTAGAAAATCCGATCCCATATATAAACGAACACACACACAAACAAACAACCTGGGTTTTATAATAAGTATAACTCAATAACTCGATATTAATAAGTATAACTCGATATGAGTTGTCCCCCTTTCATTAATGCCTCTTAATCGTGTTTTCAAATTGATTTCGTGCAAAAACAATTGTGTTTTTCCAATTTTGGCACTGTCAGAACCACCCAAGGTAATTTTACGTAGTCCTGTGAAGTTTTGTTGAAATCAGTTGAAAAATGTAGGAAATCCGATCCAATATATAACGTACAGACACACACACACAATCTGTGTTTTATAATAAGTAAGATGACAACAATAATCTTGATATGATAGAATATTATTTTGATACTGACGGTAATCAGGTACCATCATGGAAATGGGTCTGAACAGGGCCTTTAGGTTGTCTGGTAATTCTGTCCGTCCAGCATATCCGGGGTTCATGGTAATAAAAGCAGCACAAGATGGGGTCAGCCGAATTTCACGCCCTTCAAACATGAATCTGGACACCTGAAAAATTAAATGAAACAATTCTTATCTCCAAATGCAAAACTGTTCAATAATATAGCAGAAAAATGTTTTAATATTTTCACAGATTCTTGCGAATTTCCTTCCAGCAGAAATAGTTGGTGTTCAAGCTCAAAGAAAAAAAAAACAGAAATTTAAATGCTGATTTTCAAGGCAGACTTCTTTTCTTTGAAAGACTGGTAAAACACAACTTGCAAGTTGAGAAAATGATAGTAAATCAGCTAAGTAGCATGGATTTTTAATAAAGAAATTGTACTTATATTAGAATCTCATTTATCTTGAGCTCCCTGTTTGGATTATGAGGAGCTAACATTATTTACATATGGACTATTGTCCTCATTTTGTTGTCATTATCACAACTAAGTCAGCTGCTAAGAAAATTGGTTCACTGTGTCATGCTAGACAATTTTTCTCTCTTGAATCTATCTTACATATTTATAAGTCTACTATTCGTCCATGCCTTGAATATTGATGCCACATGTCGTCTGGTGTTCTTGCTGTATATTTAGAGATTCTTTATAAAATCACAGGAAGAATTGGCAATATTACTCTCACCTGACATCTCAGCTCTAGTCACTTTTTCACTACTGCAATGTAGCTTCCCTGTGTCATTTCTGTAAATACTTCCATGGTAATTGTTTCAAAGAACTCTTCGCTATGGTAACTAGACTTTATGAATTCAAGCATAGTACTAGATTGGTGGCAAGGTTTCATTATTTTGCAGTTGAAATGGCTAGATGTAACCATAAGTTCTAGGCTAAAAGTTTCTTTTCTCACACTTCTCACCTGTGGAACTCTCTTCTGACTTCTTGCTTCCCAGTCAACTTTGATCTTCAAAAATGTAAATGCAATGTCAATGTCTTCTTAACTCTTCTCCTTTTATTGTTCTCTCTCCGTAATAGTAATTTTTTATCATATTCTCTGATACACATCAATCCCTTGCATCTTTGTGGCTTTATTACCTTCCTTGGGGGGAAATAAGTAAAAAAAAAATACCTTGTCAATTGATGGTGGCAAAAGAAATCTTATCTTTAAACCAATGAAAAATGTTATAAGGGATATAGTTTTAATGTTTTCCCGGCTACATCGATCTTCATAAATTCAAATGCAATGTCAATCATCTACTGTCCTCTTGATTACTCTTCTATTGTTTTCCCTCCTCAATGTTTCTTATTTTTCCACACTCAGAAACCCTTTGTGTCTTAGTGGCTTTTCTACCTTGCTTGTGGGGATATGATTAAAAAGACAATCTCAAAGGTTCAAGTTTAGTGAGGTTGATTCTAACTGGGTGTTATATATCTGTAGTATTATATTTTTGTCAGTAAAATTTAGTAAATACTCAATTTGCTTGGAGTAGTTATTAACAACATACCTTTACAGCTACACCAAGATTAGTAAATTCCAATTTAAATCAGTGTGAAAAACATTAGAAAATTCTTTTTAATTTTTCATTCTATTCAATTAATTCAATAAATCCAATTTTTTTTAATCATTTCACCCTCAGCAAAGCAATAAAGCCACTGAGATAAAAGCCTTACTAATTAACTCACAGCTGAAGGGAGAAGAGGTGGATTCATACCATTCCTAAAAGTATTTGTTGTTAAGTGAATATAACAAACAGGAATTAGAACCCGGCTTTTTGATTTACAACTCCAAGCTATTATCCACTACACCAGCTGCACATCCAAGCTTACAGCATCTGGTATTCCCAAGTAGTCACCCATTTAGGCACTGTCAAGGCCCAATGATGCTTAATTTCAATCATTGTATGGGAACCAATGTTTCAATATGAGGCGTTCATAAGCCTGATAGTAGTGGTGGTAGTTGAAATAATGGTAGTAGTAGTGGTGGTGGTAGTAGTCGAGATAATATTAGCAGTATTAGTGGTTTTAGCTGAGATAGTAGTATTAGTAGTGGTGGTAGTAGATAATGGCAGTGGTGGTAGTTAAGATAATAATAATAATAGCAGTGGTGGTTGTGGTGGCTGAGAATAGTAGTAATGTTGGTGATAGTTGAGATAATAGTAGCAGTGGTGGTGATAGTTGAGATAATAGTAGCAGTGGTGGTGATAGTTGAGATAATAGTAGCAGTGGTGGTGATAGTTGAGATAATAGTAGCAGTGGTGGTGATAGTTGAGATAATAGTAGCAGTGGTGGTGATAGTTGAGATAATAGTAGCAGTGGTGGTGATAGTTGAGATAATAGTAGCAGTGGTGGTGATAGTTGAGATAATAGTAGCAGTGGTGGTGTGAGTTCAAATAATAATAGTAGTGGTGGTTGTGATGATAGTAGTCATAGTGGTGTTAGTGGTAGAGATGAGAGTAAGAGTGCTGGTGGCGGTAGTAATAGTAGTGGTGGTGAGGGTGATAGTATGCTGTGGTGATAGTAGTAGTTATAATGGTGAAACTACATGTAATCATAGTAACAAGAACAAGTTTTAAGTTAAATTCTTAGATGAATTATTTAAATTAGTTCTTTAAGACTAGTTTTTCTTCCATTTTTATTGCTTTATTATTTTATTTTTTTTATTATTTCTAATCAACACTGATTATTAAACAGTTTAAGAAAAAAATCTAGAAGACTATAAACATTCTTGAAATAGGTAAATTGATATTTCAATGCAAAATTAAGTTTTCTAAATGTTGGAAATAAATTGAAAAGAATCTTTATAAAGTTAACTTACTTTGGCAGATTTGGCATTTCGAATTGTGATTAGTTGCTGGGCAATGACAGATAACACTTCAATATCAATGCGATTAAATTCATCAAAGCAACACCAGGCACCTGATTGTGCCAATCCAGAGAAGAAACGACCCATCATCTGAAAAGATATTTAAAGTTATAGGTTGAAAGATCATCAAAGAATAGCAAATCAATATCAAGGAGATGAACACTGGGAGAGGCTGAACCACTAGTAATTATTAAGACATCCAACTATAACAGGGTTTCTCAATCCAGATGATATCACATACCAGTAGGCATTGTCAACTGTTGAGTGGGTGATGAGCAACTGAATAATAAATGGAGGGTGGTGAGGAAATTAATTGTAAATGGTGGGAAACGAGCAACTGGATTGTAAACGGTGGAAGATGAGCAACTAGATTGTAAATGGTGGGCAACTGGAAAAGTTTGTGGACATGATAGGAATTTGAATATTCAACAGGTATTTCAGCATATGCTACCAAAAAAGATATTTAATGAGATATACAAAAGAACCTGTATAACTCTCCCCTAGTCCCAAAAACAGGAGGGCTAAATAAGAATAACTGGGTCACATTCCTAGATAAGTTATATGTATCCCCAAATATTTAGGTATTGTCTATAGTTAACAATCAAATTGTTATTCTGATGAAATAACTTTTGGGGGGTGGATAGAAATCAGATAAGGGAAGACCAAAAACAACAACAAAAAAAAAAATAAATAAATAGTTGCTGAATTTTTATTAGTTACTAATTGTATATATTCTTTATAATTCTATAGAGAAAAATAGTATAATTTTTTGCAAAAATTTACAAAACTAACTTTGACCATTAAACTGAATTTTATATATATATATATATATAATATTATCATACACAGACAGACTGTTTCACGGCTTATCAGTTGCCTCTAGTGAGGATTGAAACCCAGATGAATTGGCGTCAGTCAGAGAATCTACTCCTAAGCCGTTGGCACACAGCAGGGATGAAGGTGAATTTAAGTGTATTTATTTTTAGATAAACATGTCAATCACTGAGAGAACTCAATTCGTTTTATTAAAGAGTATTGCATTAGTAGCAATAATAGTCACTGTTTACAAACTCATACTTTTTCTCCAGAGAGCTCAACAGAAATAATTTTTGAGAAGTGTATATATTTGTATATATATTTTTCAATGGTCAAGTTTGCTTTCATTTGTTCTTTAATATGGTATTAGCAGCAGCTGCAGAATTCAGCATTATTTATTACAAGATAATATCAGTTTACAAACCAGTAATAAACTTTTATCAAACAATTTTGATATGCTTTTGAATATTTACTATACAGAGGAGCAGTTGAACATTTTTCCATGTGAAACTGGGCAACAACCAAAATATATTTGGAAACCCCTGCTTAAGAAGAATCTCAAATATAAAAACGATGACTTTTATTGCATCCAACAATGGTGTTGTTCTTTTGGCATAAATGCCATCATTGGTCAAAGTTCCTCATGTTAAAAGTTTAAAATCACAGGCATTATTAATTTTTTTTTTTAATCACATTCACCCCAAGCAAGAGAGTAAAACCACTGAGATGTAATGGATGCCTGTGTGTGGAAGAGTTAAAAAGAGGAAAATTGCTAAGAAGCAAGAACTAAAGAAGAGAAATCAGATGGACAGTAGTGATTGAAATTGCATCTAAATTTTTACAGATTAAAGTTGGCTGGAAAGGATGGAACCAGAAAAAAGTTCCACAAATGAGAAGTGCGAGAAAAGAAACTGTTAGCATAGAATTTATGGTTACATCTAGCGAGTCCAATGCTAAATTGATGAGACTTTGTCACCAGTCTAGTACTGTACTTAAATTCAAAGAGTCTAGGCAACATAGCAAAGAACTCATCTAAACAATTACAATGAAAGTATTTATAGAAAAGGCAAAAGGCGGTAACCTTACAGCAGTGGGAAAGCGACCAAAGCCAAGACACCAGATCAAAGCCAATAATATTGTTTATTCATCTTTGTATTTTATCAAGGACCTCTAGATAAATAGCAAAAGTATCAGACCACATGTGGAAGCAATATTCTAAGCATGGACAAATGATAAACTTATAGATGTTTAAGAAACACTCTGGACATAAACATTGTCTAGCTCGATAGTGAACCAATATTCCTAGCAACTGATCTAGCAATGGATTCACGATGATCTTTCTACTTCATGTCAGTCAAGAACTTTAGCCCTAGAAGGCACAATGACTTTAACAATGATGTTAACCTCTCCTGGAGGTTAACATCAACCTTGCTGATGGAAGTCAGAGAGAGTTCTCTCAAATGATTAAAAGAGAGCATTTTAGTTTTGTAGGTGTTAAAGTTAACAAGCCATCCTTTGCCCCAGTGAATTACAGACTGAATGTTGTTTTAGATATCAGCTTCTATTTTGACCATATCAAACTGATCAGACTATTGAGACCAGAGTAAATGGTTATATCATCAACACAGATACCAAATTGAGAGCTGATGCCCCTGGAAATTAGTAGAAAAGGATCTAGAAGAGTGGCCATTCCGGATTATTTTCATTTCATCATTCAATAGGAAAGCTTGAATCAGTTCAAAAATTCGTCCAGAGACACTAACTTTTCAACTTGTGAAGAAGACCTGCATGCCAAACCCTATCAAAAACCAACACTAAAGCCCTTGTCTTGAGCTTGATAGACTCTTTCCTCAATTATCATCAGTACATCAGCAGTTGACTTGGAGAAATGAAAGTCATATTGCTCGTCTGAAAACCAATTCAGGATTGCTTAGGAGTTTCACAAAAATAGGTAAAAGGCTAATAGGTTGATAGTTGGAATGGTCAGATGGTTCCTCAGAGTTCTTTAAAACTCAAACAAGAGATGAGTACTTCAAGCAGGCAGGAAAGCAAGAGGTGCTGAGGTAGTTGTTAGAAAGTTTAGAGAGAACAGGAGCCAGTTCAGAAGCACACTTCTTAATGACTATTACAGGAATATCATCAGGTCCACATGCTTTGTGGGGATCCAGTTTAGAGATGATAGAAGAAACCATAGAAGGGATTATATATCAACATATCACTCAACAGAAAATCAGTTCTAGGTGAGAAATTAGGCAGGGATACCCTAGATATGTCAAAAGTAGATTTTAAGGAGAATCTACATATGAAACATTCAGTATTATCAGTAGAAGATATTAAGACCTCAAATTGATTGAAGAGAGAAAGAATAGAGAATTTACACTTATTTAACACACTGTTATAGAGCCACCAGTAATCATGAGAGCTGAAGTTTTTAGATGCAATATAGTGCTGCATCCTCTCAGAAAACAGAAACTTACATTAATTGTGAGTAGCAATGAATAGGTGTCTCTTTTGATAGGAGTTGTTGTGCTGGTATAGCCAAAAATAGTGGTTCTTTTGGGCTATAGTGGCAAAGCATGCTGGCATGAACCATGAAGAAGATTAAGATTTCACCTGGTATTTCCAAGGAAGAATGAAAGAATCCATCCTGACTTTGACCCAAGAGGACACCTCAGTGGCACAATTCTCAGTTTAAAAATGTCATTTCAGGGGGTGGGCATCTTGAAGAAAATCAAGGAGTGATTTCCAAACAGCATGGTCTTATGAATAGGTTAATGATTAACAGAGGATTGGAACAACATATCAATAGATACTGATCAGAGTTTTGAAAAGAAAAAAGTGTCACCAAGCTCGGCAAGAGTAAAGTGAGGAGGTGAGAAATAAATCAAGTAGAGAAGCCTGTTGCTCAGGTTCACTAGAGAAATGGGTAGGAAAATCAATGAAATGAGTAATGAATTGGGCAATGGAAATATTCAATGTCTAAATACTGGCAACATTAATAAGATGGTTAAGCCACATCATAATTAGAGAGTATGTGTGTTTAAAGTGCAATGAAAAGTAAACAAAAATATGGATGATAGCATGGATCCTGAGTTAATTTTAAAAGATACATCCATGCCTTGGAAATGAAAAAATGTGTCATGTGAAACAATGGTTATATTCAGTAATGAGAAAACAGTCACTACATTTTCTTGTATTATGGGGACGTAATAGTAATTCTAAGCTGTGTTGGATCAGATTTATTAATAATTTCATGTAATTCCAGCGAACACATTGTCAAATAGGTTAAGGTTTTGATTTGGTTTAAACTATTTAACATTTTTATCTACTAAGTCATTGTCCCATGGAAACAGGTGAGCAATAACTGAACAGTACTAAATAAAATAAGAACTAGACAATATCCCTAAACATGAGCAATGGAACAATCAAAATCTACCCCCACAGATTAAATAAAGGATTCATTTCAGAATTCCCTGTAGGTTGCCCAGATTAATATTCACCTAAAGAACACTGGGGGTCACAACAGCCAAAACATTATGATAATAACAATAAAGATAAGGACAAAAGTCCAATAATAAATAGTGTAAATAATAATACTACATCCCGGGAAATTTAGAAAAGAATTGGTTTAAACAGTTTTATATAAAAAAGCTGCAATTATCTTAAGATGTCTTTCTAATTAGATTTTCATAGAATGATGATGTTATCTACAAGCATTTTTCTAATGAGGACTTATCAATGCATATTAGTGTTTAAGTGATTGTTTTTAGGACCAAAATTTCCAACATCATGTGTGGCTGTTTATTCACTAGAAGATATTTTTTTGTTCTTGATCTGTAAACATTAAATTATTTTCCTTAATTTTACAAACACAATGTTACAAAGATTCCAGTTTTTACAAACTTGTAAAAGAAAATCATTTTTTTCAAGAATTTATCAGTTTTCTCACCTTGTAATCAAGTCCATCAGAACAATTGAAGACAACACATTGTTTGGCTAATGATTTTGCCAAATCTTTAGTCGTTTCCGTTTTCCCAGTTCCTGCGGGTCCTGCTGGTGCCCCTCCAAGGTCAAGTTGCAAGGCACCCATCAGACACAAATAGCAGCGGTCCTGAAAATGCAATCATTATAAATATTTAATTGCTTCTTTTTTAATTATTCAACAATTATTATAAATACTTCATTTTTCCATTAACTTAATGATTCAGCAATCATGGCTCTCCACAACTTTCCGTCCTTTGTAGCTATTACTAAGTTTTGTCTTTTATACTATCGTTTCTAATCCCTATTCTGCCAGCCATTTACACATGCTTGTAGGTCATGTGTTGTCTTCCTCTATCCCTCTTGCTTTCAATCTGCCCTGTGAGTATAAAATTTTCCAGGACTTCTTTCCTCATTATGTACCTAGAAATTTTAACTACCTCTTCCTGATGTTAAGCATAGGCGAACTGAAATAACATAACAGTTTAGTACACTTTTCTTTGTTTCTAATGAAATTTTTCTCTTTCTTAATACTTTGCTTAGCTTTTGGAAGGCACTTTTCATTATCACAATGTACCTTTGAATTTCAATATTGCACTTTTCATCCTCTGTTAACACTTCCTCAAATATTTAAATTTTTGTACTTGTTTGATTTTGGTATCCCCAATTTGTAATTTGCATTTTTGGTTGCCCCTTTTGCTAGCAACCATGCATTCTCTCTGAAAAAATTAAAACAATAAAAAGTAGTTTAAATATATCTCCAATCCTCTTTTGGAATTATTTTTATACATAAGAGAATTATTCAAGCTTGCTTTGATTGGTCAATAATTGACTAATATTTTTCTATTGGCCAATCAAATACTGCCTAATGAATTGCTTGTAGAAAATAAGGATTTAAAAAAATTAATAATTGATAGTATCAGTGGTGGTTTTCTTAGAAGTAAATTAGGTCTTCCAATTTGATATAAAAAATTCTCTGTTATACAAAAGTTAGCAGAACATCACACAGAAATTTGAGTTAGGCATTAACAGGAAATCATCCTATCAGCAGAACTTGTTAAGTGCTAACCTTTTCAACTGTGAAGTTACATTGCGTCTGCAAATGGTTATTATTCTCTCCTCCACTATCTTTGAAAATTATAACAAAAATTAATTAGCTCTTTCTCTCCTTAGACCAAATTCTGAATCCTTGCTTGCTAATTATCAGGCCATGAAGTCATTGAGCTCATGAGAGCCACATGGTCCCTCCTACTCTCACAGTCTTGGCAGAGCATCAAAACATCCACCACTAGACTGATCTGTTAGAGGTCCTGGAAGATGGTGTCTCTTCAGTGGCTATGTGGTTTGCCATAAGGTAGTCTCCAGTCTGTGATGGTAATTTGAACTGGTAGATAACTTTGATGGGATGGTCATCAGGTAAAATTTGATTACCAGTTAATATTTAACACTACATTTCAACACCAGCCATGATGTAACAGACCTGCATAAATTTTCCCACTTGGACCCCAACCCACTCAAACTTCTGGATCTGACATGGCAAATCAAAAGTAAAACCTGATTGCAAGGAGTTCTGAAAATTAATTAAGAAAGACACAGAATAAAACAATTACAGAAAATAAATCCCAAAGTCGTTCGAACAATTAGAAGCTTAGTCTGGAGAATTTAGAGATAAAAATTATAACTGGTTGAGTTGTTTTCATGATGAGGCATTTACCGTAAGTGGTGTGATGACAAGCCGAGATGAAGCACCAAGGTATTCATAGCCATAAGTGTATTTGGAATTGGACATGCGGACGACACAATTGTCTTGTTCCAAGTCCCAATAATAACGCAGCTGCTTTTGCCACTCAAAGCTCTTTACATTCACAATCTAAAGAAAAGATAAAAAAAAAATTGTTGAAAAACAGATACAGAAAACAACACTGTCAGAAATAACAGCAAACCTCTATACTCACTTGTTTTATTTGAATAGCAATTAGCGGTGAGATTAGAGATTTAATTTCATTAAATTGAGATCACTTTAAAACTATCTTAATGTTTTTTTATGAATCAAGATCGCAACAAGACAATTGATCAAATTTTTCAGAGATTGCAGTAAAACTACATTAAATATGTTTTTTGAAAAGAGATAGCAGCAAGGTTATATATTAAGACAAAATTATGACATTGCTTAGTTTTGTAATCTCAGATAATATTTGAAAAGCCAGAGAATTCACTAGTTGAAATGTTATTAAAAAAAATAGAGAAAAAGATACTAGACTAAATAATTAATAAAATAATGCTTCATATTGTGATTTGCATAAGTCCTTTTTGTGAATGGACTAACTTCTGTAGAATGCCAGAAAATACCAGAGGTCTGAATTAAATTTAAATGTCTATAAGGAGCCTTTGTTCTAAGAGGAGTTGATCTGTGGTACCTTCAATATATACTAAGTTCAACCTAAATGATATTGTACGTTTTGCACTGTGTCACACCAGAGAAATTAAGAACATCAGAGAGTTGACCTAAAAGACATCATAGTCACCAAGTGCAGCTATAGTGGTGTAGGACTTTGGAGTTAAAATGAACAGTTGGTTTACCCATGAAGGTTAATGGAGGATGGTAATAATGAGAAAATACATGGGTAATTTTAACAAAAGATAAGGAATTTATTTATGATTTACACATTTGAAGTTGTATCAGTAGCTCATTGCAGAAAAATAAATAATAAATTTTTAAAGTCCATAGTTTCAGTGAATTGTCATGAAGAGGAAATGTTCATACAACAGATTAAATGATCTAGCACAAAATAATATACAAAATATGTTTAAGACAAACGTAAGAGAGTTTTTTGTTCACAGAAGGGAGCAGGAATTTTTTTTTTAAATGATCATTCTGTACAAGGTTCAAAAGGTAGACAGTTGCAGAGTAAGAGGTAAGAGGTACAATTTATAAACATATGTGAGGAAGATAATGGTTACCCCTAACTTTGAACAGGTTAAGATTGTAATGATTGAGGAAGCATCCACTTGGGAGTTGGTTCCACAAAGTAGTGATCAGCAGGAAGAAACTGAGTGAAACATACATCACATGAATGAAATACAAAGAGAATGAGGATGATTTACTAAAATGTGTGGCATGGGATGTCTTAGGTGTGAAGGTTAGAACTAAGGCATGTGGGTCATCTTTTTTTAGGCATTTCACCCCAAGCAAGGAAGGAGTGCCTCTGGTATGCAAGGGGCTACAAAGAGGGTAAGTAAAGGAAAAGAGTAGGTGTAATGTGGGTTGAGGAAGGATTAAATAGAAGAACAAAGGAGGATAAAAAGAAGAATGGGGATCAAGGCATCAGAAATTGTTGGTTGACATTACATTTAAATTTTTGAAGATTCTAGTTATCAGAGAAACAAGTAAGAGGAAGGGAGTTCCACTGTCAGGAAGTGCAAGAGAAGAAGCTGTTGAAGTAGAAGAAGCAGTTATATTTAACTGTTTTGACAGTAAAAGGATTAGACCAAGATGCCAACATAGAAGTACGCTTAAATTCATGCAGTTGGGGCACCAATGAAAATAGCTTGACAGAGCAGATGCCATGAAAATATTCATAGAAAAGACAGAAGGAAGCCATATTACGTCATTGAGAAAGTGAGTGAAGTCGAGACCCCAAGTCAAGACCGATCATATTACATATCCGTCTTTGGATTTTGTTGAAAACCTTGAAATGAACAGTAGGGGCACCAGAATATATATGGCAACAGTATTCAATGCATGGATGAATGGTAGATTTATAGATGCAAAAGATGTAATTGCCATAGAGACAGGGACAAAGTAACAAGAGGCTTGTAATGTATTGTCTGTGAGAAAGAGGTTTTAAGGTGGAAAATAATTCATCACCCAGAAGGCTACATAGATTCATTTGGACTGCCTGGCTATGTGGCTGGTAGTATTGTTTGATTTGTGTATTTAGTACCAATGAAATAGAATGATCCAGTTGTTATATAATTGACTATTTTTCCATGTTTGTTTGTTGGCAGCAGCATCTCTTTGTGTTTGCTTGTTAACCATATCAGTGTCTCTATACCTGCTTGTCAACAAAGTGTCTCCTTACCTGTTTTTCCACCAAATCAGTTATGATGTCTCTTGCATGCACATCGATGGTGATTAAGGCACACAAAATAGAGCGGCTCAGTAACTCCAGGTCTCCCCTGACAATTGCTGCAAGTTTATTCAAATTCTGAAATTAAATTCAAATAATTAAATGCCATTATTCAAACTTTTGGGGGTTTTTTTGGCACTGTTATCAGTTTCTTTTTCAAAGATTGAGTCACACAGGTTCATTTTCAAATATTGTGTTTTGCATGTTCATGAGATGAAAAAACAAACAAGTTTTTGATAAAGGTTGACAATAGCTGAAAGTGTTCAGACATTGCAAAATAAACTTTCAAATATGAACCTGAAAAAAAGAAAATAATCAGGAACATTGTAAAAGACAATAAAAAATAATTCACAAGAAACTTTAGTTGTTACTTAACCAAACTTGTATAAATGAAAAATTGCTGAATGTATTCTATTTTCCTGAAGATTGAGTGAGCATAAAACACGAGCGGTAACTCAACCTGTTCTTCATTGATGTTGGGAAGCATGTTTTGTTCTGTTTAGATAGTCTTGGCATTTAGAACTTTAATTTACTCTGTAGGTAGGTGTTTTTCTTTTGGTCTTCCTTTTTTCTTTAGTGTCTTTAATTTTCATTAATGATCTTCCTGATGGCATTAGTTCTCAACTATTCAATCCTCCAGATATACAAATCCACAATTTGCCCTTGCACGGAGTATTGCTGCCATATATGGTCTGGCGCCCCTTCTGTTTGCCTCGGGGTTCTTGATAGGCTCCAGAAGCGGATATGCAATATGGTTGGCCCTGCCCTGGCGTCTCGTCTACAGTCACTTTCTCACAGACGCGCCGTCACCTCCCTCTGTCTGTTCTACAAATACTTTCATGGAAATTGCTCCGAGGAGCTGCATTCGCTGGTTCCCAGACGTCATGAGCTAGCGACCTACGAGACTGGCATCCCACTCTCACCCCTTCACTGTCGAAACTCCTAAATGTAGCCGTCTCTTCTACTCTAATAGCTTCATGTCTTGCACCTCTCGCCTGTGGAACTTCCTTCCCTATTCCACTTTCCCTGCGAGCTATAATCTCCAGCTATTCAAGTGTAATGTCAATCGACATCTCCAGCTGCCTTAATCTATCCACTACCCTCATCCTTTCTTCTATCACTCCTATCTGATCTTGCTATAAATTTTCTGTAACCCCTTGCGTCCTAGTGGCTTCCCGCCTTGCTTGGGGTGAAGTGCTTAAAAAAAAAAAAAAAAAAAATATCTAATGCATTTCCTCCTGTCTTGATAGTAAGTCCAATCAGCTCAAATTGGTGACTGATGTCAAAAACGACCTTCAGTCTGTAGTTAATGGGGGCAAAGAATGGCTTGCTAATTTTTTAATGCCTCCAAAATTGCTATCAATTATCTGTCAGACATCTTTCTGCCTTCCATCAGCATGGCTGATGCTAATCTCCAAGAAAGTGACATTATGCCTTCACAGGCTTACATTCTCTGTTGATATGAAGTACAAAGACTATATTTAATCCATTGCTAGTTCAGCTGCTAACAAAGTTGGTTCACTGTGCTAAACAGTTTTTCTCTCCAGAATCTATCTTACATATCTATAAGTCTACTATTCATCCATATCTTGAATATTGCTGTCACATATGGTCTGGTGCTCATGCTATATATCTAGAGATCCTTGATAAAATCAAAAAATAATCAGAAATTTTATTGGTATTTATCTGGCATCTTGGCTTCATTCACTATCCTACCACCATAAAGTGGTTTCCCTGTTCCTTTTCTATAAATACTTTCAGGGTAATTGTTCGAATGAGCTCTACACTATGGTGCCTAGACTTTATGAATATAAGCGCAGTACTTGACTAGTGACGAGTTGGTTGGATATAACTGTATGTTCTGTGCTAATAGTTTCTCACTTGTGGGACTCCCTTCTAACTCCATGATTTCCAGAAAACTTTAATCTTTAAAAATTTAAATCCAATGTCAATCGCTATCTGCTGTCCCCCTGATTACTCTTCTTTTGTTCTTGCAACTTAGTAATATTTCTGTTTACCAATTCTTCCATACCCAGTAATCTCTTGTACCTTACTGGCATTATTGAGCATTTTTGTTATTTGCATTTTATCCTCCTTTACTGTGATGATATTTTTTTCTACCACTGACCACTTTTTTGTCACACTCTTAAATGTATTCTGGTGTTTTTTTTTTTTTTCAAATTCCATTAACATTAAAAAATATAAAAGAAAATGGTATAAAAATTTACATATTATTTTTATACAAATTTTTGAGGGGTAGTTTTAAGTTGATATAAAGTGATGGAAAGGGAGAGGAGGAGGACAGCCAATAAGATCGAAATTAGAGAGGGAAGGGAGAGATAGGAATATGCTTAAATCTATCTTTATTAAGATATGTAAAGGTGGTGGGGTAAGATGACAAACATATTGACCTATTTAACAAGTCCTTTCACAGGAAAAGGAAGGAAGACAAAGAAAAAAGTGAGGAAAAGAGATAAGACATAATGAGAAATAGATCTGAAGAACCAGGAAAAAAAATCTCATTCCTGAGGAAATAAAATATAATCTATTGACTATTAAGATTGTCTGTATTTTATTTAACTAATATTTGTTCTGTTTTTACATTGAGCTCTCTGGATTATCCATACAAATTACCAAACTATATATATATATATATTATATATACTCCTTGAATTGATCTTGAACAAATATGCTGAATGATTAGATTTTGTATTTGTAATCCTATTTTTCCATTTCAAACCAAGTAAATTTGTTACAATTAGCAATTACTAACAGATGTAGCTTCTTTTTTTCTTTTTTTTTTTACTGTTGAGAGTAACATTCCTCTGCCAAATAGATATAAGATATGATCTGAAATAACAGTCACAATTTCCCTGAATTTCAAATGTGGAATTTTTTTTTTTTTGTTAGGGGTCTACTCCCCCATTGCTTACAATACCTGGTGTTAAAAATTGTTCCCATCTAAACACAGACCAATGCTGCTTAACTTTGATGATCAGATGAGGAGTGACACCTAAGATTATCGGATGTCACTTGATGTTGCATAAGCGTATGTTGAACATGCACAGTAAAAACTGGGAGTATGCATGCTGTGAATCCCAAGAGGTTAACTCTTTCTCTTTCATTTTGAGCCAAGGTTGTGATAGGACACTAAAATTAGTGCTCCATACAAGAAATGGTTTAAAAAATACATATCACTCACTCTTTAACTCATTAACTGACTAAGTTCAATTTTTTCTTCATTCTTTAGAGGAACTTAAAATTCCTTGAAATTTTATCTACACAAAATTATTTCACTCCTTTGTTTTTTAGTTTTTGTTTGCCAACATACATCTCAACTTCTAATGACAATCCTTAACCAAATAACAACAGGTGCAAAACCTTCTAACAACAATGAATAAGAAGTGCAAAAAGACAAATAACAATATTAATAATAACAACTAGTGAGTACAAAAAATAGATCTGTTCAAGTTTTTTTTTTTTTATCTAGCTACAAGATAACCAAATTTAAAGCAATAAAGACCTATTTGAACTGCAAGGGAAACTTTATTTGGGTTAAAGGTATTATAATAATCCTGAATATATAGTTCAAGCAAATTAACTGCTTACAGACAGAAAATGTATTAAGTACAACCAAAAAAACATAAAACAAGGATCCATCTTTTCCTTCTCTTATTTAACATATTCAGTAATGCTATACTAAAAGAACTAGGAGTCCTACCAGGATTTACTATTGGGGAACATGATCTGAATGTAAGATACATGGATGCTACTGTATTGATGGTAAAGATTTAAAAAATCTACAGGAATTCATAGGCAAGGTAGTAAGGAAAAGCAAGAAGAAAAGACTAACCATTAATTTTAAGGCTGTAAGGTCATTAGCAAAAGGAACAGCCAAAGATGCGAGTTAAAAATTGAAGATATCAAAATAAAGCAAGTACAGAAATTTGGAAAGTGTTTTAATGGACAAAAAAAAAAAAAGATATGACAGAAATACAAAAGGACATTGGAATAATAAAAAATGCCTTCCAAAAGCTAAACAAAGTATTAAGAAAATGGAAAATTCCATTACAAACAAAAAGAAAATGCTGAACATGAAATATCAATCCTCCTATACGACAATTTCCTCACAAATGAAGGAGGATGTGGTTCTACTGAAGGATATTGAGAAGACATTGAATGGTGCTTTGAGCAACAAGAAAGATTTTAAGGAAAATGGAAACAAACTTAAAAGAAGGCTTGGAGATTTTAAAACTCAAAGGACATATTGAAAGCAAGAGAGACAAATGGAAACATCAAATGACCTCCCTGACAAGCTTGTGTAAACAGATGGCAGAACAGGGATTGGGAGAGATAATAAAACAAACATTACTTAAAGGATAGGAAGCTGTGGAGAAAATCACCTCACAGAACACCTTACCATCATTTTAATGTTACACACCATTATTAGTGAATTCAATCCTCATTTTAGTACCTCATCTTTATGATATTGTAATATGCTAGGTGCAATAACTTATTCCTCTCGCCTCACCATGGAACAGTTGTTAACAACCTTGTTTTCCAGAACATTACAATAATAGCAAGTCCAGTCCTCATTGATACTCTACAATTATGGCCTTGTGCCATATAACCAAAAATTTCTGAAAAAGAACCCTCCACCCACTATTTTTTCTTGCAGACTGTACACAACCCCAAAAGTCTGTAGAATAGATAAGTTAAAAATTGCGTTAAAAAACAGTTGGTAACAATCAGAAAGATACATTTAGTGGATACACAAAGAAAGAAGGCTTAGAGAATTGAACACTTACAGGGAACATTGAAGACAAGTGAACTAGAGAAAAACCTACTTGATGAGACTGTATGGATGGCAGACAAAGTCCTACAAAGAGGGCTTTCAAGGAGCAATAATTAAAACAAATGATGGGAAGTTGTGGACAGCCATCCCTGAAAAGAATGTAGCTCAGAGAGACAATAGATATCATTACTATCCATGCACAGCATACAAGGAAGCTTAATCTCTATTTGAAAGTTAGTTTTTGGTAAGAAGCTTAACCCAACAGACAAGCAGAATCAAGATTTAGTCTTTTCACATTTTCTGTCATTGCATTCATTTCCTAGAAATTCTAGCCAAGCCAATACATAGGCAGTTTCATAAAAAAAAGTACTGACCTTAAAACACTTGTCTTCAAATATTTTCATTCCTTCCAAGACATTTTTATTCCTTTCTAAAATGTCTGTCACATCCCGACACCACATAGTCTGTGAGACAGTTAAGACTACCTGTAAAATAATGAAGGTTTAAGAATTTTAAAATTCATCAAATATATCCCCCATCATCCTTAGAAAGGAAATGACCTATGTTTTCACTGAGAAAAGTTTTTCATTGTTAAAATATCTATAAAAAAAAGTTTTTAAGCAATGTTCAATTATACTATTAAAATTTGGCAAACATTCATGCCCTCAAAAAGTTGGAATGTCAAGCAATTTTATTGTAAGCACCTTTACACTTTGTTCCTTGTTTTAAAAAGTGATGATTAGAATTGTAATAAAACAAACATATGAAAGTGAATTTATACATTTTCTTTGTTCATAAGAATTTACAACAAAAATAATATAATACTTATCTATAAGACTGTTTACTTACACAATGGAAATCCATTTCACTTACTTCATTGATAACTACAATATTCAAAAATTTAAATGCAACATCAACAGCCATCTTTCTGTTGACTTGAACTCTGTCCATCTTTTATCCTTTCCTCAATCCCCGCTATACCCAGTCTTTTCTCTCACTTTCACTCTGTAACCCCATGCATACTAGTGGCACTCCTGCCTTGCTTGATTCAAAGGGTTAACTGTCCATTTTTACAGCAAACATAGCTTCTCTCTATGTAAGTATTGATTGTCTTTTTATGACTTATCAACTCTTTGTGGGTCATTTAAAGCCGAAACAGATTTCAGATTGTACAAGGTCACTTACAGTACTCAGCATTCCCAAACAGTCTTCAGTACTGACCAGACATGACCCTACTTAACTTCAGTGATCAACTGAGAACTAGTGTTTTCAGCAGAATTTGAAGGTAAGATTACAATAATAGTCATAAATATAAATACAGATTATTACTTAAAAAAAGGAAAATGAAAACATTAAAAATAAACAAGGTTTTCCATTTTTACTGAAGCAGATGTTAAGCCCCACAATCATCTTATTCTTTCTTTTCCCTTTGATTTATCTTTTCTTCTCTCTCTTCTCACAATCAAACAGAAGTGGTCAATTATAAATCTGAACTAATAGCAGAACATATATGCTAACTACCTCAGGAACAAACAGAATTATAAGATGATTTTAAAAATGTTGAGATAAAAAAACTACCACCAGAGAATCAGCAATATAAATCAGATAGATTATATTGAGAGTCAGCAGCCATTCCTTTTCCATACAGAGGGAAGGTTGCTTGGACTTAATATAAATGGCCTTGAGAATTCTCAAATGTTAATCTGCATATGCTCTTCTGACTACTGTGAAAATATTTCTGGTAAAAGACAAGGCCCAAATCGTATTGTTAATTAAGTGCTCAGCAACTGCACAACCATATATATTCACAAGTATATGTAAATTTTCTTAATGCTCTCTATGAATCTTAGCCAGTACATACTGATCACTCCTTGCCTTCAACCTCTTATTAGTTCTACCAATATATTCAACATCACACTGGCATTTAAAATCATGACTCACCAAAATAACATGAAAGCTGGGCAAAGATGCAACATCTTTATGAATGGATTTCAGTATCTGTTGGGATTGTTTTTTATGGATTATCAACCCTTTGTTGATTATTATTTGGCTTGTGAATGAATATTGCATTTACAGTTTTTTCAGAATAATTTTTCTTGATACAAGTCCTACTATTTAACCCATAGCTATGGAAGGAGAGAGAGTCATACCGTCCCCAAATGAAGGTAATGAACTCAACCAGAATTAAAACTCAGTCTCCAATTTCTCATTCCTATAGCTTAGGAAGTGAAACCAAGCAGTGGATTGGTAGAACAAAGCCACAGACTTTGAAAAATATGTCTAGCAAATCTTTTACGAAGCTTTCAATTAACTAAGTTTTGTCCCTTGTTCAACTTCTTTTTCTCTTTCTGATGAAGGCCAAAGAGCACAACAGGCAAAATTATGTGACAATAACAACAAAGATAAGGATAACAGTCTGCATATAAATAATGTAATTAATGATAACTTCTCATCTCAGAAATATAGACAGAAATTCTTTTTTTATTCAGAATAAAATGATGGCTAATCACCACCACCAAACAGTTGTGTTATATTTTCTACTAAAAGAATGTAAAAGCAGTTGAAAAGCAAAAGATAGGGAGTTTGCATCCTTTTCTTTTATACTGTTTCATACAGTGCCACCTAGTGAGTGTTGGGTGTAAGGGAGCTTATAACTGTGTAAATAATTACAAACCCCCTAATATATATATATATATATATATATATATATATATATAAAAAAATACTCATAAAAATGAGAAACAGCAAGACATGGAAACAGCAAAATGAGTATTATTTATTATCTGGTTGTTATGTGGTGTCTGGGACACGAGAGACAGTAATACTGAGTAAAATTGTGAGTTTAAGATAAAATTTAAATCAAATATAGATCAGAATCTAACAGAATGATAATATAAAGTATAAGCAAAATGTATACAGTCTTTCTCGTATGATTTTTTTATAGTTGTGTGTCATGAGTGACAAGATAATTTAGTTGGAAAAATACAAAATGTGTCTGGGGTTTTCTTACTTCAGATTTCTGTTGAGTGCTAAAAGATATATGTTACTATTATGACCTGAAAAAGGAAAAGGAGTTGAAATTTTCATTGACACACTTGTTAATGACCCGTCCATGTGAACTGCTTGTGCAGTAGTGTGAATGCCACATGCTTGCATGTGTGGAGAAGAAAAATTGATCGATTTTCATTGGTTTAAAATGAGTGAATTAATGATAATTATAATTGTTATAATTATTATAATTGTTTTTAACACTATAATTAATTTTTTTTTTTTATGGACACGACAGTAGAAGTCTCTTAACAGACAAGGTAGAGTAATTCCACAAAAAATTGTTGGCTCTTGTACAGCCTGTGTATATTTGTCTCTTAACATTTTAGATTTTAATTTTGAGTAAAAAAACCTTTAATACAGCTGCATGTTGGAAGAGAATGAAACAAAGAGCAGTTCATATAAAATCTCATGTAACTAAATTTTATTAACAACATAATCAGACTTTGAATATCATTTTTCTTTTATGTTGTTTATTTGAGAAACGCACTTAGTGACATATTATGCAGTACAGGAAGAAAAAAGTAATTTTTAATATATACTTATTTTATTGTTGCTCGTACCTGATGTCCATGACTAACAACCCATTCTTCCCGAGATCTCTGGTTGTAATCAGTAATTGCTGATTTTATCAATCGACGGATATTCTGAAACATCGACTCTTCAACTTTGCCAAGCCATTCTTCAACATTGCCTCTTGCCTTCAAACCCTGTTTAAAATTTTAAAAAAAATATAAATCAGCAAAGAAAAACACACTACTGAATTTGACTGGTCCACTTCTCTCATTTATTTGTTGCATTTTGTCCAAAAACAGACATGATTGAGAGATAAAATATAGTTTATCTCTCAATCATGCCTGTCTTTAGATAGACAGCAACAAATGAGAAATGCTTGGTTCTTGTAACAGCACCTTCCTCATTACATCAAAGCGGGAAGTTGGTGGAATATTGATGCCAACACAATGTTGGTTGCAAGGACAATTTTTGGCTTTATCCCATGTGCACATACTTGGGCTCCCCTCTTTAAACCGGCCTTGTGCCACATTCTGTCATCCTCACCAATATCAAGTGTAGTATCTGTTCACATCTCTCATAATAATGATAATAAGTTTGCTTATATGGAAACATTCAGCATTCATTTACCAAACAGCCTACTAGAGTTACAATCTGGCCATCAGGCTGGGATCAAAGTGTAGTATTTGTTCTCCTAATCTTTAATAGTAATGACAATATTAGCTGTTTCTTTATAAGGAAATATTTGGTATTAATTGACTGAACAGTCATTTGAAATCTTTCACTTAAATCAATTTTTCAGGAACATTTGTTTCTCAAGTCTAATGTGATTGCTCTTTGGTCAGGGGCTTTCTTCCTTACCTGGAAGATCAGCATCTTGATAATGTTATTGATTTGCTGAACAATACTTCATGTATAATGTAAACTGTTACTCTGCTCTTATTCAATTCTGCAAATCTGTCAATTGCCCACCTTGCCAAAAATATTTCTAATTGTAATGGTAATATTAGCTGTTTCCCTATAAAGAAACATTTAGCATTCATTGAATGAGCAACCTGTAACACTTTCAGCTAAAATTTATGAAATATTTCTCTTAAAATAATTTTTCAGGAAAATAAGTTTCTCAAGTCCAGTAGCTGCTATCACTTTTTCTGGTATTGATGGGGGTTCCTTCCTAATTTTTTTATTTGAATTTGTGTGGAATATCAGCATCTTGATGATGTCATCATTTTCTCTGAGTTATATGTGATATCCATTTTGGTTGTTTCTGCTGTTGAAAGTCCTCAAGTGATGTGGGTTTTATTATTTGGTACAGTTCTCTGTGACTCTATAATACTAATCCACAAGGTTTGAAGAATGATGGTCCTCACTAAGACCTTACAGGATTCACCTGATTGAAGTTAAAAATGACTTCAATCAGGTGAATCAATCATTGATCTGAGAAAGTAGTTGTCACAAAGATTAAAAGTTTGACCTTTGTGGGTGCAGTTTAGGTTCATGTAGCAAAAAATAAATAAATGAGGTGGGTAAAAAAAAAAAACAACTTTGGCGTTCACCCGGCAGACTGACTCTTCTTCCTCACAAGGAAAATAGATTCCAGTGATCTATTTCTTCGCCACCACACTGGGCACTTTTCAGTTGACAAAGTCACATCTCCTTCACCTTCTTTTTCCTGTCAACCCACTTGTCAGACTAGCAAATGTAATCTGCCCCCAAAAACATACCCCTGTTTCTCTTAGCACCTTGCTTTTTATGTCTCCTCAAGTAGGCCAGAATTTGCATATGTGCAAATCCCATCTCATAAATTGTGCCCCTAAGAACGGCCATATTTTCTTTTCAGCACTTTGTGCACAAGACATGTCCATGCTCGTTTCCATCTCCAGGGTAAGTCATTTCTTTCATCACAACACCTATTACTACGACAGTTCACAAAATAATAATTAAATGGTAATAACCTATCCATAATTTGTATTATTGCAGACTGAAATTATTGGCACATTCTGATTTTTTTAAAGTTTTTTCCTTTTGTTTAAGATTATTTAAAATTATATATTAAACTTTTTTTTTGTTTTCATTTTTACTCATACTTATATTTTTCAGAAAAACCTTTTGGAAATAATTACAATAAATGTGTTGTAAAAGTTTTTCTGAAAAATATAAGTATGAGTAAAAATGAAAACAAAAAAAAAAGTTTAATATATAATTTTAAATAATCTTAAACAAAAGGAAAAAACTATATGCCCCAAATTACACAATTAAGAGTAAATTTTATATCTTTTTGGTGACCTTTTACTAAATTAACACAAACATCTATGTTCCCTGTTGTTGCAGATAACTTGATCTTCTTCATCTTTTCAATTCCTTCCCTTAAGTTTTTGAATGGATTCAGATTAGGGGTCTGTGAAGGTTATGCTAAAACTTTTCTATTCTTATCCTAAACATATTTCTAGATCAAGTTAGAAATCTGATTTCAAACAACGTTTCAATTTCAGAATTCTCTGAATTTCAAACTGACAACTGATATTTCACAATCTTTTCTTTATTAACTCTTTACCAAGGTTCCTGTTTCTTTTTTAGACAAACACCCCCAAATATTTTTCTTCCTCCTCCATTTTTCATTGTAGGGGCACTATCTGTTTGTGCTGGAGAAAGACATGTCTTATTTCAAAACCATGGAGAAGGGAATGGGAAACTATTGATCTGAGAAATCAACTGCCAACAAAACTTGAAAGTTTGAATTTTGCAGGTGCAAATGTTTGAACTTTAGAGGCACAAAATAATAATTAAATTTTAACAATCTATTCTTAATTTTTATTATATTGTGAACTTTTATTAAATGTTGCAGTTCACTTGGTTTTCTGGCTCTTCCACATCTTTTCAATTCATCCAATAAGTTTTTGATTTGATTCAACTCTACAACTCTGAGTTAAGTCATTTCTGGATCAATTCCTGGCCACAGAAGAGAGAAAAAAAATTGTAGAGTTATCAACGGGAATTAACTAATAATGAAATATCCAAAGGTATGGCATGTGGAATTGGAACAATCTACTCCTGTGGACTAAAAGTAATCGGTTCAAAATTCAAGATATCACCTGAAGAAGGCCAGAGCGTACAATGACTGAAGCATCATGAATATAGCAAGAAAGATGAGGACAACAGTCAGAATGATGTAATAGTTACAATACCTTATCTCACAGATCCTGAGGAAGGTCAGAGTGTACAACAGCTGAAACATCACAAATATGGAAATAAAGATGAGGACAAGAGTCAGAACAATGTAATAGTGTAAATAGTTATAATACCTTATCTCAGAAATATAGACAGTTGTGATGTATTCTTTCAATTCTTTTTCTTTTATCAGTGTTCCTTCCTTTAATTTTATAGCCTTTTGATGAACAGACCTTTTGTCTTTTTCCTTTATTCTGTTGTGACTACCAGTTTTATTCATTTTGCTTATCCTTTCTATTTGCACACACTTTTCATTGAGTCATTCCTCTTTAGCCTGCTTGCATTTGTGCCTAATTTCTGTGTATAGAAGTCTGTACTATTTTTCTAGTCCTTTACATTGTTTGTTGCCGCTTGTCAATCATCTTTAAAATTTCATCTGTTATCCACTCTTTTTCTTACCTTGTTTTCATTGGGGTGATCTCATTTGCCAATATCACTTGTGCATCTTTCAACATATCTCACTTTAAATTTGTAGTCTTGTTCAAATCATTTGTTTTCAATTCTGTCTATATACATCTCCTTGCTACTAGGGGTTTTCAGGATTCTGTCATATTGCCTTTTAGGTGTTGTTTTGGTCTTCTTTAATTTCCATAGTTTTACTCTGACATAGCATAGGGTCAACTCCCACAGTCAACACTTGGCTATGTTTTACAGTGTAAAACTGAATTTCTGAAATATGTTTTGAATCATTATCATAGATAAATCACTAAGCACATTTCACTTTCAGATTGCTAACAATTTCAAATTGGTATCTGATATTTCACAATAATCATCTTTTCTTTACAACATTAACTCTTACCAAGGTTCCTTTTAACTGATAAACACCCCACCACCAAAGCCATATTCTCCTTCCTCCATTTTCCATTGTAGTGACAATGTCCTTTGATGTAGGAGAAAGCCAAGTCTAAATTCAAAACCAGAAAAGGCAACAGAAAACCACTCCATTGGGATTTGTCTACCCAGGTTTTGGTTGTTATCCGAGAGTCAAGATATCAAACAGTAGAAGCAGAATGTCAGTTGAAATAACATTTACATATTATTTTCAGAAATTTACGATAGCAATAAAATGTTCAATTTTCCTTGCAGTGAAGTTTGTTTTATAAAGTAATTAAGTGTTCATAGTACCGTGTGAAAGGTGTGGATAGACTTACTTTATGACAGTCAGCCTAATGTGTCAAGAACGTCGTCAGCTGCTGACTAATCCCTTCTATTGTGTGTGTGTGTGTATATGCACATGTAGATCAAACTAGCCTCTAAAATGGTTTTGAACCTCGGGAAGCAGTATCCTTCTATCTTTATATTTGTAAGAGGACTCAAAATCTTGCGAAATTCTTTCCCTCAAATTTGTGAGAGTGGTTAAAGGAGTTATTATTGTTATTATTTTCTAAATGATCCCAAAATAACATGTGGTAGGTCTACAACTATGTACTCTGAGTATTTCAGCAGTATTTGTTGTTTATGAAAAACTTTCTGATAGGATTTTATTGGTTGAATATATATATATATATATATAGGATTTAATTTCTATAACTCCACTATGCTTCCTAAGAAGTCATGGCAATTTCGGTATAATAAAGAAAAAAAGAATCTGCAAAAAAAAAAAAAAAAAAAAAAACAGGATTGCCTACATGGTGAAAAGACATGGCATTTAAATAGAATCATGTCCACATTTCTAGAATAAAGTATGGTTTAATGTTTTCTAACAGTTACTAAAAACATTGTGTAAATATTATTAAAAAATTCATTATTTTGTATTTTATAGCAAATATTATTCTGAAGTCATTGAACAAAAGTGATAATTCAAAAAGAAAAAAATTCTAAAATAGAAAGTAATAATTCTAAAAGAAAAAAGAAAAATTCTAAAAGAAAAAGTGATAATTCTAAAAGAAAAAGTGATAATTCTAAAAGAGAAAGTGATAATTCTATAAGAGAAAGTGATAATTCTAAAAGAGAAAGTGATAATTCTAAAAGAGAAAGTGATAATTCTAAAAGAGAAAGTGATAATTCTAAAAGAAAAATTCTAAAAGAGAAAGTGATAATTCTAAAAGAAAAATTCTAAAAGAGAAAGTGATAATTCTAAAAGAAAAATTCTAAAAGAGAAAGTGATAATTCTAAAAGATACAGACATTTCTTTTCTTTAAGAGTTTTTGGTGAAAGCCAAAGAATTTTTTCAATACATTGAGATAAAAATAAAAAATATTGTAACTAACTTTTCCAAGTCCTATTCTTTCTCCTTCAGGGGAGATCATTGCAAGTATGTCATTGGTGAACTGGATTTCGGACTGGGCTTCATCACCTTGAAAAAAAAAAAAAAAAAGGGGGCAACAATCATAAGAAAAATTAAATACATTTACTGTTTCTGCAAACGAAGATATCAAAGGTAGAATTAATTAAAAATATTTCAAGACTTTCTCTCACTCTAATGACTGCAAAGTAAGAGTAAATTATTGTTTCATGTATATATTTACGATTAAGCAAATACATGCATGAAACAATACTGAAATTTATTACATATTTTTTTTTAAAAGTAATACCTGTTTTTATTTAATTGTCATCATCATTATTTTCATGACAAAGTGCACTTGTTGCATCAGTGTGCAGCTAAGAAACCAAATAGCTCCCTCTATTTGTCTCAATTGTATAACAATGTCTAATTCTCTCAATGATCTTCCAAATTCAATCAGTGATGCTGCCAGACCATTTTTATATATGTCTGCCTCCTCTTCTTTTACCTAAGGTGGAACCTTGTCATGTGGCAGTAGAAAAATTGTTGGCTCTTAAAACGTGGCTATGCCATTTTACCATGCGGCTATGGTTACAAGGTCTTCCAACAGGCTTGTCTATTGATTGGCAGTCTTTCAGATGGTCTCACTTGTAATGCCATCTATGTAGAAAATGGCAAAGACAGTTCTGGAGAATCTTTCTTGGATTCTTTGCTGCAATTCTTTTGTTAGTGTCCAAGATTCACAGACATATAGAAAGATTCAGAAGTTTGAACCTTAATTTCAGGCAGATGTTCTTCTCTTTCCAGAGAGTTTGGCAGTTTTGCAAAAGCTGCCATTTGTGCTGCTCTTGAAATTATTTGATTACAACAGAATTAGTAAAAGCACAAAAGCATACCAAAATATGAATACAAAAGTTTCAGGATTCTAATTCTCTGAATGATCTTCCAAATTCAATCAGTGATGCTGTCAGACCATTTTTATATAAGTCTGCCTCCTTGTCATGGAACCTTGTCATGTGGCAGTAGAAAGATTGTTGGCTCTTAAAACGTGGCTATGCCATTTTACCATGTGGCTATGGTTACAATGTCTTCCAACACAAAAATCTTCAAAAAGCTGCCATTTGTGCTGCTCTTGAAATTATTTGATTACAATAGATATAGTAAAAGCACAAAAGCATAACAAAATATGAATACAAAAGTCTCAGGATTCCAAATGTATTATTTACATTATTCAAACTATTGTCCTCATTTTTGTTGTTATTATCAGTAAGAAAAGAGAAGCCACAATGAATGCAGTCATGTCTAACAGCAGCAGTGTGCCAGCACCAGGAAGATTAGGTTTAAGGCTCCAAGATCTAAAGTCATGATTGTCTCAGAGATTAAAGCATTGATTCATGGATTTGGTGACATAGTAATTATGAGATCAATCCCTAGGCCAGGTAGTGCAAACATGCTCCTGTGGAAACAGGAGTTTACTAGAGAAATTCAAATGTTACTTGATTTACTTTCAGCACTTCAACTGTTTTCATGATTAAACCTTCCTGGAAGAAAAAAGACAATTTGCTTTTTGTTCTCTTCTTCACTCACTCTCATGACTGCAACTGAATGTTCATCATATATGCTCTTGAGTACTAAAGCAGTGTTTACCTTCTAGTACCCCCTTGCAGGCTCTGTTATAGTGAAAGGGGGTACTAGAATTTTGTATTTCATTTAGTGGGGCAAACATAATCAGGAGAGTGGTGAGTATTTATCCATTGTTTTTAAATTTTAAAAAACTATTCAATATTGGTAAAAAAAGGAAATATCTAAAAGGTATCTAAAGCAGTGGGAATCTAGAAAACTTTTCTTTACTGCTTTTCCAAACTTCCTGTATGGATGATTGTGGCTTCAATGCAATTACACAGCTTCTTAATAAACAAAGAAACCACCTGTTAATTACAAAATGAAGAGATCTGTGATTACTTTTAAGCAGCATGGAGCCTAAAGTAAGAGCCTTAGCCAGTAAGCACCAAATTCAACCATTGCATTGAAAACACTGAGATAAGCTATCAAATAAAAGTGTTTTTTTTTACTGTTTTAATCATTGGCATTTATAATAGAAATGAAAACAATTTTTTTTTTTTGCAATAATACCGAAGAAAGTTGAATTCAGTATTCAAAATTTGACAGGAGAATATTGACAAAAAAGTTTGTGTGCCATGGCACACTAGTTGAAAAAGGTTAAGAAACACTGACCTAAAGTAAATGTTACCGCCTGCTCTTGGGCAAAACAATAAAAAAAAACACTCATGTTTTCTCAAGCTGCATTTTCTCTTTTTGCTTTGTGACTACAACTTTGGTATACGGTAGTCTCCAGCTTGATTAATAAAGGTAACTGTGTTGATTTTACATGACGAAGAACTGTCACATCAAGACATAGGATTTAGATGGGGACTCATTGGGAAAAACCTTTAGAGAGGACAGAGGTGTAAGAAATGTTTTACTTATACAATCTGACAACACAGAGATGAACAAGATGATTCAACAAAAAAGAGAATGAGAGGTTTTTAAAAAAAAAAAAAAAAAAAAAAAAAAGAAAAAAGAACTGCTTACCTAATTCTGCCATTTTTTCTGGACTTGGTGGTATGCTGATTTGTCCAAACTCTAATTTTGCAATTGCATCAAAACATTTGCGTAAATGTGGTTGAACTGCTTGAGCATTTCGGGTCTGAGCCAAAATTTCCAATAATTCATCATTGGACAAGAAATAAAATCTGAAAAGTAAAAAATTAATCTTTTACCATCGTCAACACTGAAAAAATGATGAGCCATCCAATCAACTAATGGAGCTGACAAAAATTAACGTTTAATTTTCCTCTTTTTTAATACTGAAATTCACCCAATACAAGGCTCAAGAGCCACTCACGGTAGGGGATTACTGAATGAGGGATGTGATAAGAATGTAAGAGGAAGTAGAAAGAAGTGGTTATAATAAGGTGGATAGAATTCAATTGACCATTGTTTTGAGGAGGTTTGGATTGTGGTATTCAAGAAGCATCACAGACAATAGAAGAGAGAAGAAATAAAAACAGAGAGTGGCTACAGTCAGAAGATGGAAGGGTGAAAAAACAAAACCGAAAGAGAGTGACTTCAGTCAGAAGATGGAAGGGTGAAAAAAAAACAAAACAGAAAGAAAGTGACTTCAGTCAGAAGATGGAAGGGTGAAGAAAATGAAACATGAAGATAGTAACTTTATTAGCTGTAAACATCTAAATTAATGGTTTTAAAGAATGTAGATGAATGAAAAATAAAATTGAAATGGAACCATAGGAAAAGGTGAGAAAGAGCTGCTCCAGAAGACTGTGTACATTCCTAAGGAGAATTGAAAACCAAATTTAAATAATATATGAAATATAATATTTACTGGAGTGGTAGTGAACTTTTATACCCAGTATAACTTGCAGTTATCACCTTGTAAATCAGTATGTTAAATGTATTTTAACAACTGACAAATTTTGTGATTTTTAAGTAAAATTTATAAATTCTCACCTGGAGAATACAATTCTCTTTGATTCTAAATAAGCCTCCAGACATTTGTGTATGGCATCAAGCAAAGAATTGTTCACTTGAAACGCTTCCAAAAGGCCTGAAAAATTTCAGTAAAATTAAGTTAAACAAGTTTTTTTATGTGAACAGTTGAATGATCAAAAGAAGTTTTCAAATTTCAAAATTATGCCTCATCTTTCATCATTTATTTATTTAATACTTCCGATTGATTCTATGTGTGATTATTTCTTTGTATGTAAATTATATGCTGCCTAATGTTTTATGTTTATAAAAAAACTATCGATCCGCAGTACATAAAAAATTCCTATATAAAAAAAAAACAAAAAAAACTACTACTAAGACATTACACTATATTATTGAACTATATACTTAGTTCATGACATAAAAACTGAATACACTTATAAAAATAGAATACATGGATTTAACACATCACAAGAAATATTTAAATAAAATTCTCACTTAAAATTTTGAAAAACTTAGCGTTGCGTCTTTGCACGTTCCGAGATCTTACACAACCATCAATAATAGCAGATATTCAAAAAACATCTTTCGGTCGACATACAGGTATATCGTCTTCAAGTTTTTGATTTTATAAGGAAAAAAACACATGCCTGATGATTAATAGAAGACTATTCGTAAGTACTAGCATTTTAACATCAAATAAACTGAAAACTACAGACAACAAGTTTATCAACGAGGATCAACTCGCACTATGGATGAACAGTATTTTAATGCATATATTATGTTTTCTAGCGATGGATGTCGCCAATAATCGCATTAATACTTCTGATTGATTCTATGTGTGATTATTTCTTTGTATATATATATATATATATATATATGCAGGGTATATCAAAAATACTTATACAAACTTTGGGGGTGGGTTAATGACACCGAAACAAATGGTCCATATAAACATGTCCAAAAGATCATCATTGTACCTCAACACAGCAACTCATAACACATGTTCAAAATATCCCCTGCTTGCTTCGATACACTCATGTTTAACAGAGAGACGTTGATGCACATGAATGCACACATGCAAATATAACGTTTATTGACTGAAGATGGAAAACACGATTTTCCCTGAAAGTTACAAACTGTGTCAGCGCTATTAATAGGAAAGAATCTAGAACAATGACATATGAAACTTGAGATGGCTGATGGATAAAGAATAAATTTCAAATCGGTTTGGCGAGGACTTGTTTATAAACAAATGCAAAAGGGCAGGAGGCAATGTTTAATTTGGGTCATTAAAAAAAAAAAAATAGACGAAAATAATATTTTTGATAAAAACATATTGAAGTAAATTGGACTGGGGAGGTAAGATCAGTGTATGTTTACCGCTAACGAAATCTGATCTAAACATAAGTTGAATTCGCTGAATTTGGTCATCAAAAAGACAATTGAAATGAACATAGAACTAATTAATTTTATCCACTAAGAGATTTGAAATAGATCTGAATTTAAACTTTGCTTATGGCGACACTCATGTTAAGCACGTGAACAACCTGGCTTATAACTTTCAGTTTGCTATATAAACGCGAGTTTTGCTGAGTTGGGGAGACTTGGGCGTTAGACAAGAGTGACGTTGAGAGAGAGAGAGACTGTCGTTGCAGTGAGTCTGTCCAGTGGTGAGTCAGAGATAAGGACTTCAAGAAATATAGTCGTCATTGTAGCAGTCGTATTGAAAAGTCGCTGAAACTTAACGTTTGTCACTTACGACAACCAACTGAAAAGCTACACTTCCACGTAGGGCTGAAATTACGAGTCACATATCCTCCCAAGTTGATTTGGAATGAGTTAATCACACACACACCTCTCTCTGTTGGTATAATTGGTAGAGGAGTAGTCCTCTTTTCTTATGTTAATTGCTTTTCTATCCTTTCTGAAAACTCTTTCTACTGTTGTTGTTTTCTTATATAAAAGACATCAATATTTTACCCATTGTTGTTCGGCTTCTGCAGATATTATTTCATTGTTTGCCACATACTAATTTTCCTGCCACCCACCCTCATAGCCATGCCTACATCCCCAATCGACCGCAAACGTATGGACAACACCCTGCTTAATGGATCTAAAAACTAACACAACGTGGGCAGCAGGCGGAACTTGGCCAGTGACTGGTCGAACAATCTACAGGTACTCAGGGAGCATGCGGCCAGCTATCCCTGAATTTGGTTCAGATCGAGTGGGCGCCTCAGCCCAAAGAGGAAGATGCCGGAGGTTGAGGGACTGAAGGGACGAGTGGTAGACATGCACCCATTCATCGGTAGCAGCTAACACTTGGCCTGAGTGGAATACTGTCTTTGTAAATCTTTGGGAGACCGTATATGTAAGGTAACTTGATGTAATGTTGTGACAACTGCCTGTATGTCTTAGGTGTGAAGTGGTCCTTCTTCTTGATTAGGATCTGCAAAAGTTTTTGTTCTGTTTTCATTGTAGGGTCTTTCTTTGCTTTACTGTAGCTACCATTCACTATGATGGTTTCCAGTTTTTCTGTATATTCCAATTTGTCCATCACTACAGTTGCATTGCCTTTGTCAACTGGTAGTATGATGATGCTTTCATTCCTCTGTAGAGTTCTGATTGCCAGCCTCTCCAGTTTCATGATGTTTGATTTGAGTGGCTTTGCTTTCTCCAGTGTCTGTCTCACTTTCCATCTTAGTTCATCTGCCAAAGCTGTGGATGCCACTCTCTGAATCATTTACTAGTAGACATAATCGAACTATTAATCAGAAAGTCACTATCATATGTCCAGAACTCTATCCACTTCATGGAAATAATCAAAGATGCTCCCATGCAATCCAACCACATGGGGAGCCTGGACATGGGGAATTTGTTCACCAAGGTACCCACAGAGTAGGCACTCTTGGTAGTCAGGGACAGACTGGCCTTGGACTCCTTCCTAGGAGAACGGACCAGTATACACCTTCATACTCTGGCCACACCAGGAAGACATCCAGCTACTACTGGACCATGTGAACTCAATAAGATCATCCATACAGTTCACAATGGAGCAAGAAAATGAAAACAAACTTGCATTCCTGGATGTACTAATATCTCAAACAGAGCATGGTTTCAAAACATGGAGAGAAAAGGAGATCACCGACCCCAGTGGGATGAGATTGAAATAACAGACAGAGAGAATCACTGGAAAATACAAAAACTTTAGAAACCAGTACATATGCTTGGCCACAAAAATCTCCTGAGTCAACCAAGCGTAGAAATGAATACAATATGGAAACCAGTAATAAGGAGTGCTAGAGAAAAGCAATGAATAGCAACAAAAATTGCAATATAAGCTCTAGTAAAAAATGCAATAACAACAGAAAAAATTGCAATATGAGCACTGGTAAAAAATATATGCTGAAATATTAGGTTTATAAGTCCCAAAATTTCATACACAGAGCCCAGTGGATACAGATGTTGGTTAGACTCAACCCTAAGAGTTGTGAGTTCAATAGCAGGTCACAGCAGTGGTGTACCAAAACTTGGAGAGACATCCAGAAGAGGTATAGCATGTGGAACTAGAACAATCTATCCCGGTGGAAAAAAATAAAGGATTCAGTTCAAAATTCCAGTCACCTGAAGCATTGTGAATATGAAGATGAGGACAACACAATGCAAGTAATCATAATACCTCATGTCAGGGATGTAGAGAGAAGATTTCTCTAATATTTAGGCTGGTCAACAAAAAGAAATATACCATTTAGTAAATAAAAAGATTAGCTACTAAAATACAAGTATCTCCTAAAAATAACATTTAAAGTGATATATATATATATATATATATATATATATATATATATATATATATATATATATATATAATAGTTGGTAATTGAATGATAAAATTTGCCAGACAGAAAAGCCATTGTGACACAAATGTGTCCATTTCATTTTTATTCAAATTGTATGTTTATGTACATTTATGTGTGAATATATTTTAATTCAATTTCAGATCTAATGATATTATGACAACATTAAAATCAAATTTAAATAAGTCTACTTATAAATGACAATTTCTGAAACCCTCAATAAAATTTTATTATTATCTGATTTTGCTTTTGTCTCCAAATTTATGATTTTATTGTGCAACCATGTGTGTCAAGACTTAGCGGAATGGAAATATATTCTTCCAATGTCATATTTCAAACTCAGTCAAACTGTATGTAAATAGGGAGACTGGGGTAAATAAATCTGCTGCAACCCAGATGACTAGGATCAAAATGTAGTAACTGTTCCAGCCCCAACATCTCCCCATCAAGCCAACAGCCAGCCCATGGTTCAAGTCATCAGCAGCCGTTCCAGCTAGCCAGCTTGCCATCGGCCTCCAGCTCCCGCCACAGCTATCCTCTCCAGTGGCAATGATATACATTAAATTGTCCTTTTTATGACAACACTTTTCCGCAACTACTAAAACTGTCCTTTTCAGGACAATGTTTTTCTCACTCTCGACATGAGCATGTATTGATATTTTCCTTCTCCTTGCACACTGTAATCTTATTTTTGCTGATGTAATTTCTTTAACAAACATAAAATAAGCAACATGGATTTTTTCTTACTCAAGTCTTCATTTTGTTTGTTGTCTTCCATCATTCAATATATATATTCAGTGTGTGTGTGTGTGTGCGTGCTTGTGTATCCATTAAATGGTACAAGAAAATCTAAGTCACTTATACACAACATATACATGCACATATGTGCATGCAAAAAATCACATGCTGTGTGTGATGGACAGAGAATCAGATTTTCTTCTATATAATAACTGCGAATATCAGTGTGTCACACTTTTTCAGCTTTACTTCTAGAGGCTGTAGCCCAACGTATCCTATCATTTTGGAATCAAGTCAACTCCATGAGCAAATTAAAAACATTCCAGGACAGATCTGGACCCACATTCCTGAAATCTGAGATTTCCAAGTTTTCATTACTGCCATTGTTTTCAGATTCTGCCATCTTCACTTCTACTGATGAAAACAATTAAAAGGTACACAACTCTACACAACTTTCAATAGCTCATATTCAAATGAAAAAAATTACTGTTCTCAATTTACAGTCTTTCAAAATAAAATTGTTCATGTTTGCAAGTTTGTCCTGGAGGCTGTAGCCCAACATATCATACCAGTTTGGAATCAGGCCAATTTCGTGAGCAAATTAAAAATGTTCTGGGTTAGATCCAGACCAACACTCTTGGAATTTTTGGATTCCTAAGTTTTCATTACTGCAGTTGTTTTTGGCAATTTCTTTTTTACATGATTTTTTGTGACAAATGTTTTTGCATGATAACAATTTTATAACTTGGAAATAAATTTGGGAATATTCAAAATTAATTGCGAAATCCAGCGAAAGTCACCCATGAAATAAGAATAATTGTTTGTACAGAAAGTAAGGGCCTACATACATCAAATTGTCTTTAAATTAAGTGGAAGCAGAAGAACTGTCCTTGAACTTTTTAAAGGTAAGCTTAGATATTAATCCAATACTTAAATGCAGCGATCATTTTTGAGTTCTTCTGTAGTTTATTGTTGTCTATCCTATCTACTTCTCCCTACCTGTGATGAAGTCCCAATCAAGAGCCCTCCACAGAAGGTAGCTTAAATGCCACCTGATAGTACAGCTTTTAAGCTAATTCATAATATAGCTAGTTATAATAAAGGACAAGATTAAAAGATTTCTGCAAAGTATTTAATTCCAATAAATTAAATAAGCACCCAGAATGTTTTGGGTTTGAACTTAGGTCATGTACATGAGGTAAAAAATCTGATAAATAACAGGAGGATGAAGTCACTGAAACCTTTTCTTGAATCCTGTTAATAAGCACATATGCAAATCAACTAGTAATACAATACCAGAAAGAAACATGTTCCCTATAAATATAGGGACTCACCACAAAATGAGTCTTCCATGGATCTAACGTAGGATAGAAAGCCACAAATTTTCTATTCTGAAGAGAAGAGCCAAATTGGATTCTTGCCTTTTGACCAGCTCTTCTCTCAACTAAATCATCTTACTCTACATGTTCAGGAAAAACGCAGATGTTTTCTCTGGCCAATTAGTAGTCAATGATGTTATTATAATAGTTGAGAGGTAATGTTTAAATAGTGTTTAATATTTTTGTTATCAATTCTCAATAAACAAAAAATATGTATAAATTCACTTTTACCATATGTTTAGGTTTTATTGCAATTCTAATGATCACTTTTTGAAACAAGAAATATAACTGGGGAGTAAAGTTAAAATAAGTGGCGTCATGTGAAAAACTGTCCTTAGGACACTTCATTTTTGAATGTGCAAAGATCCATTATTTACATTGTTCAGACTGTTGTCCTCATCTTTGTTGTCATATTCATGACATTTCAGCTATTGTATGCTCTGGCCTTTTCAGGATCTGTCAATATTTCTGAGATTAGGAATTGTTACTATTTACACTATTTGAATTGTTTAGACTGTTGTCCTAATCTTATTGCCATGTTCATGATGTTTCACCTGTTGTACGCTTCAGCCTTCTTTAGGTGATTGGAATTTCAAACTGAACCCTTTATTTCATCCACTGGGGTAGATTGTTCTAGTTTCACAGTCCAAACAATATAAATAATGTAAATAATTACAGTACCTTATGTTGTAGCCTAGGGAAGGTTACTGAATAGAATAATCAAACAAAGGTTGGTAATGAACAATAATACTTAGGACAAGAACAACACATATAAGATTCACCAGCAGTGAATACAGGTAGTAGTCAACTGCTAGAAGTGAGTCAAGTTAATTCCACATTAAATCTCCAACTCTAGGCCATTTACAGTATTCACTACTGTATTTATGGGAATGGGGCATACCCATTATCATCCATAGGTATGCTACAACACCTTATCTCAGAAATATAGACAGATATATTTTTGTAATATTTTCTGGCTTTAAATAACCTGCAAAGGGTTGATAGGCCATAGAAACCAGATCAATCAAAATCTTTTTCATCTGGCATTCACTGCCATATAGGAAATTATGTATTACATATCTGTTCAGTACTTAAATAAATTCTGTTAATGCTGTGACTTGTCTTTTCTTCTTCCAATCTTATTTACCTACCAATTAAAATCAGCATCTAATAGTGAACTGTAATCCTTATAAGGTATGTACTCATTCGTAGGCAGGGTCTGGGGGAACATAAAATTACTTCAAAGTAATATTCTAACTAAATATGACAGGTCAGCGGGGTGGTCCGAAAGTATTGTCACCCTTTACCAAAAAGTAATAAGAACATTAGAAGTAAAAATAATACAGTAATACAAAGCACATATACTGGGTTCAGTTTATTCACTTTCACTGATGTTTGTCACACATCTCGAAGGTCTGTCATCATTTTCGTGGCACAAAATAATGTGGTGCCATGTCTTGTGTGATATTTTATGAAGCCGTGCTTTGTTGATTGTTGCAAAGTCTCTCCGAACAGCGTCCTTGAACTGATTGGTATTTTGGTATTGTTCATGTGAAACTCTCTCCTTGATATTAGAGATACAGAGAGTTGAAATAGAAAATTATATTGGGGGTGACAAGACTTTCGGACCACAATGTTATGCCACTAGCAGTTTGTTTTTTTTTGTTTTGTTTTTCTGTTTAGTGTATACTACTCCCAAATTCCTGAGATTTCCTTTCAATGGAGGTAGTCTAGTTACTATGTTGGTACTATACAGCATGGCAATTACTACTACAAATGGCATCACCTGAACATCATACTCTCAGAAGCCACTAAGTTTAAAAAGAATAATATTAAACAAAATTCATTAAGAGGTTGTTTCTGAAGATGTAATATAAAAGAGAATTGGTGCATAATGAAAAAGAAAATTTTAACTTTTGCTAACCTGGTTGAGTTGCAGCTCTCATAGCTAGAGGAACTTTTTGAACTTTTCTCATGATGTCTTTATAGGATTTATCTACTTGCCGGAACATGCGATCCTCCGATGGCAATTGGCGTTGAATATCTGAAGCATTAAAAATGCTTTCAAGATAAAGCCAACTCTTTTGGCATGCTAACCATTCATCCTACAAAGATAAAAGAAGCAAAGAAAAAAATTAATATATTTTATAAGAACCATCCAGTACATTCCTTGACTTCTATAGAGAGTCACACTGGTGTCATGAGTGAAGATTAAGAAATTATCTAAATGAAAACAAAGCAGAAGTCACATATTGTTCAGACAGAAACTTGATGTTTAAATATTTTGTTCCTATGGCAATGCACAATTCCAGATCAATCGAATAGATTTATTATAAAAATTCTGTTCTCAGTTTCTGTGAAATTAACCTGGTGTCTTGGCATTCCATTTCTTTTTGAATCCTGCAGAAGATTTGAAAATAAAGAGAACACTGTGTGCATTTATACAAAACCATTTCTGGCATTCAAGAAGTTTGCTTTATAAGTCAGGACTTCTAATGCATGACATCACTAATATTTTGAGCTTGCATTTCAGTCAGTTAAGTGCCATACGTGATACACACTTGGATGATCATGCCACTTTTGATCCATGACAGACTAGGCAGAAGATTTTGAACAGTAGGTTGCTGTGGCTGTTTCTGCTGTAGACTGGTTGCCAACCAAGGCTACAAGACAATCTATTCAACACATGGCTGGGGGAGAAGAGATTGATTTATGTTTTTTCCAAGGCTATTTGTGTATAAGTGAATGCAACGTACTCGACTAGAATTTGAACTCAGCTCTCCGATTTCTCATGCCAAGCCATTATATCATACCGCACATCTTTGCATTTAGTAGTATATCACCAGTACAAGGTCCAAGAGCCACTCAATGTAGAGTGTTATTTAGTGAGATTGTTGAATGAACATAAGAGGAGAAATTAAGTGCAGAGGACATTTAGGATGGATAACAGGTGACTCTAGACTTGAAAAGGTTAAGATAGTAGTGACCAAGAAAGCATCCTCTTGGGATTCTGTTCTACAAAGTAGTGATTTTCAGGAAGAAGTTGTCTGAGTAGAACTTGGAAATGGTGATAGGGAAGTGATATAGCAGTTATATCTCATTGGTGGGAAGGAGGCTGAAAAGTTGAAAATAAGGCTGCATAAACACTTTAGAATACTGTCATGTCTAGAAAATAAGGACTGGGCAGATGCAGCCTAGACATGGCAGCAATAGCCCATGTGTGATTTGATCTGACTTGTAAAGATACAGCATGGTAGGAATAGTCAGACAGGTACTTTCTGGAGTGGTTCAAGGAACAAACCATGGATTTTTTTTTTTCACCCCAATAATGTCAATAGGTTGCAAGGGATTATTTAGAGTGAAAGGAAATCAGAAAACTTTACTGAAGAGACAGGACAATAAAAGAACAGAATTCAGGAATATAGAAGATAGATTGATGTTGTGTTTAAAGTTTTTGAAAATTGTAGGTAGCAATGAAGCAAGAAACTAAAAGAGAGTTCTGCAGGTGAGACGTGTGAAGAAAGAAACTATTCGAATAGAACTTGCAGTTACATCTAAGCTAATTCAACAGTAAAACAATGAGACCTAATAGCCAATCTAGTAGTGCGATTAAATTCATGTGGTTGAGTTACCAATGAGGATAGCTCATTAGAAGAACAGCCATGAAAATAATTTTTAGAAAAGACAGACAGAAACCACATCATGCCATTGGGAAAGTGATTAAAATCAAGCTGCCAGGTCAGGATTGATTACAGTCCTTTCTTTGGATTTTGCCAAGTATCTTGACATATATAGACAGACCATCAGACTAGATATGGAAGCAATATTCAATGCAGAGACGAATGGTAGATTTATAAATGTGCAAGACGGATTCTGTCAAGAAACATTGTATGTCCTGACATAGTGAACCAATCTTCTTAGCAACAGACCCAGCAATTGATTCAATATAATCGCTCGACAACATGTCAGTAGATATCTGTCATAGTATTTGGATTTATCCTCCATACTTCCGTCATCTCAGACCTTCACAGCAAGGACCAGCCATGACATGTTCCTGGTGTCAAATAATCCCATACCCTTCATATTCCTATGAGAAGGTGTAAGCAGCACTCAGACAGCTTCTTTCCCAAAACTGATAATTTGTGAAACAAACTCCCACGAGGTTGCTTCCTGTCAACTAGAATCTTGGTTCATTCAAGCACAGGGGCAATTGATATCTACCGTACACTTCCACATAATATGCACTTCCTACTCCCTCCTTTCCCTCCCTTACAACAATGTAATCATATTAAAAAAAATAAAATAAATAAATCAAACCACTGCACGCTCCCACCCCCAAACAAAAAAAGAACATGTAAAATCTGATTACTAGAGTTTTTCCAAATAAGTCCAACTGACGCTGCCATTCTTCAACCCTTGATTTTATTGGTCCAACATGATGAGAACTGATCAGTGTTGCAATGTTTATGTTGCTGTCATCCCACAGTTGCTGAATGTCATCAGTGCCACCAAGAATGTATGTATCTTTGTTGTCTTTGTGCTGCAAAACAATGAACTCTACGGTTTTCCATGATTCTTCAACCTGAAAAAACAAATACAAATTGACATCATTAGGCAGAGCTTATAAAACAAATTAGTTATGAAATGATGTAACATTAAGGAAGAAACCCAGATACCTGCTTACAAAATGTTTCCATAATATGTCCAGCTAAATTTCAAACAAAAGTATTAAAAACATTATCTGTATGTAACTAATGGAACCCAACATGCAAATTACAAATTGGAAATACCAAAATCAAACAAGTACAAAAATTGAAATATCTGGGAAGTGTTTTATCAGGATGGAAGGTAATGAAGTAAAGGAAGAGGAAAGGATTAAACATCAATTGCAAGAAGATGAAATGCATGTTTGCTAGCAAAAGGAACAGCCCAACATGCAAATTACAAATTGGAGATACCAAAATCAAACAAGTATAATTTAAATATCTGGGAAGTATTTTATCAGAGGACAGAAAGTGTGACACTGAAATCTGAAGGCACATTGAGATAGCAAAAGAGGCCTTCCTAAAGCTAAGTATTAAGAAACAGAAAGATTCTATTTACATTATTCGGACTATTGTCCTCATCTTTGTCGCCATATTTATCACAACGTTTCGGCTGTTGTATGCTCTAGCCTTCTTCAGGTGGTTGGAATGTTGAACAGAATCCTTTATTTCACTCACTGGGGTAGACTGTTCTAGTTCTACATGTCATGTCTAATGGATAGTTTTCAGTTATCTCCTGCTTAATTCCCTCTCAAAGTTCTCCACTGCCTTAACCAGGTATTGAACTCACACTCTTTGGGTCCTGTCACTGGATCTAACAAACACCTTTATCCACTGTGACATATATCCTTGAGCAGGAGATAACTGATAATGGATATCCATTAGACATGGCACATGGAACTAGAACAGTCTACCCCAGCGAGCAAAATAAAGGGTTCAGATCAACATTCCAACTACCTGAAGAAGGCTGGAGCATACAACAGCCGAAACGTTGTGATAAATATGGCAACAATGATGAGGACAATAGTCTGAATAATGTAAATAGTATACATAATACCTCATCTCAGAAATATAGACAGATACAGAAAGATTCTGTTAAAAACAAAGAAAGGAGTACTGAACTATTATATAATATCAGTCTTCCTATAGGATGCTGGACAATCTCCTCACAGATGAAGAGACTTGAAACAACAGAAATGTGGTTCTGCAGAAAAATGCTAAAAACATTATGGACATGTTCAATGTGAGCAATGATGAATTTTTAGAGAAAATGGAATGAAAAAGACATTGATAGTTATCAGAAAGTGATAGTTGAAATTTATAGGGTACATAATGAGGAAAGATGGCTTAGAAAGTTTTATACTCACAGGACAGATTGAAGGTAAGAGAGGCAGAGGAAAAGAATAACCTTCTTAGTAAGATTGAGTAAATGGATGGTGGAATAGGTTTTAGGAGAGATAACAAAATGACAAAATTAATTAAGTGCTACAAAGGACAGGAAATTGTGGAGAGCCATGATCACCTACATGCTGAAGGAACACAGCACATAGAAGAAGAATGAGCTTGAGTAAATAGATGCTGGAGTAGTGTTTAGGTATGATAACAAAAAGACAATTTATTAAGAGTTATAAAGGATAGGAAATTGTGGAGGGCCATGATCACCCATGTTCTGAAACAACACAGCACATATAAGAAAAATAATAATAATATTAAGTAAGAAATTTAACTATTTGGGAAGTGTTATGATAGATGATTGTCATAGACACCGATAAAAAAAAAACAACTGGACCCTCTAGACAAGGTAGGAAAAGAAAGCATGAACAAAAGACTAATTATCAGTTGTTAGCATGATGGACAACCCAAGATGCACAGTATGAATTGAAGACATCAAAATCAAGCAAATATAGAAATTTAACTGAAAAGTGTTATAACAAATGATGGAAAAGAGACACGGAAATCTGAAAGTATATTTGAATAATGAAAGATGCTTTACAAAAGCTAAGTAATAAAAAAAAAAACAAGAAAGATTTTATTAGAAACAAAGAATATAATGCTGAAATATTATGTCAATCTTTCGATATGGCAGTGAATGTGGGACGATTTCATCACAGATAGAGAGGAAACTTGAGACAACAGACGTGATTCTACAGAAGGATGCTGAGAATACCATAGGCAGAACACTTGTGAACAACAAGATAATTTTTGAAGAAAATGGTAACAAAAAGAACACATATATTTAGAACAAGAAAGCGACTGACATCTCAGAGACACAATAAGGAAAGATTCCAACACATCATGCTGAAGGCAATGAATACAGTAGGAAACATTGAGTAACCTTGAATGGTAGAACTGGGGGTGATACTAGAGGGACATATATTGCTAAGAGTTACAAAGAATAGGAAACTGTGGAGAATCATGTTCACCCAACCAAGGGGACACAGCACATAAAATATTGAGTGCTCAACAAATGTGGACTTGTGCCAAACAAACCTAAGCTATCTAATTACTTAATTAAAGCATGACTATATTGGGTAATAGTCGTACTAGTAGTAGTGCTATTGTACTGAATGTCTTGGAAAAAAAAAAGTCCTGCCTTTTTTAGTATGAGTTCCAGACTGTACTCAGCACTGGCTTGGCCAGATATTTCTTCAATCTCCTCAGCTTTCTGAAAAGCTTTCATTTCCATCAGTTTGCCAAGGGTCAGTGGATCCTCGGGTACAAACTTGTAATCCAGGATGTTTTCAATCTTCTCCCAGTGACGAGGTTTCAGAGTGTTGTTCCTTAGATCTGTGATTGTGTGAAGCTAAAAAGAAAAAAATAAATGCAAGACTAATGGAATCAGAGAAGTTCCAAGAAGCATCATCAATTTCATACCGCACTAACATTGCCATAACTGTTCTTTGTTTCATTCCATTTCCATTCAGACTTTAATTAACATCACCAAGAGACAGATGCTTTAAAGACCTACCAACCCAATGTAATATGCACAGCAGCAGATTTAGATGGGTTATTTTACCAGCACACCAACCCCCAAAGGTCATTTCCCGCCGAATCGGGTAGTTATAAGATTTTTTTTTTGTAGCTATTTTCCAAACAAATTATTTTATAAGTCATTATTATATAAGGGCAAGGATATAAAATTGGTTTTAGTTGCATTTTGTAGCCAGGTGTTTATTCCGTTACCTTTTTATATTTTGGAGTAGAGTTTTGATATTTTTAAAAATTCTAGAATGGCTTTGGGTTCGACACTTTCAAAGAGGGCCCTATGACAACAGCATATCTTGATTTCTAAAGTTCATGGTGGTACTTGAAAGATGAGTACATAATCTGGTCTTGTTATTTATGTCTCTGTATGATTGCATGGGCTTAACCATGAATACATTTTTAAAAAGGTTTGTTTTATGGTATATAAACCTTCTTCAGGTTATTTAGTAGGTTTGGTTTGAACCAGAGTCAAAAAAGTAGACATAGTTACAATAAAAGGGTGAACCCTTTTTGTGGGATGCAGTTAGTGTATTCTTGACACAAACCAACATAGTTTTTTTAACTAATTACCTCATCTCAGTGACTCCCTGATGCTTGGTGCTGCTGGCACCCCGCTTTTTATGTTATTCCAAGATGGACAAAATTTGCATGTGTGCAAATATCGTCTTGTTTTGAACGAGATAGGTGTGCATAAATTGTGTCTTCAATAGCAGCCATATTTCTTTTTATCATCACTTTGCAGGCAAGACACGTTCGTGTTCGTTTCAAATTCTGAGGTAAGTCATGTCTTTCATCACATTTTGTACATAATTTCATACTTTTAGGGAAAATGTATGTTTTTTATACATATATAGTTTGTAGATGATAAAAATAATATGTTTGTTCATTTGGTCACATTTTAGAAGGTCACTCAGCAGCTCATTGTATTAGACTTGCTAAGCTGTAAAGTTTCTGTAACATTGACAATGAGTGTAACAGCTTTTTACTACTACTTCCTGGGTGGGTAGGATAATTTTGGCACAGTAGTTTATCAAAGGACTTACACACCCACATATTTCTCTGCTAAAGTCTGCAACATGCCTGTGCCAAAACTTTTGATCAACATATCTGGCAATGAAACAAAGCACAAAAATAAAATGGATTAATGGAAGGGAGTTTATATATATATATATATATATATATATATATATATATATATATATATATATATATGTGTGTGTGTGTGTGTGCAGGAAAAAAAAATATATGAAAAAAAAAAAATATATATATATATATATATATATATATATATATATATATATATAAAGAAAAGACAGAAGGAAGGAAAGAAATGAAAAAAAATATTCTTTCCAAGGATGCTAAGTTATGTAATCTAATGTCTAATGCCTAAACATTTCAGTTAACCTGATGACTATCTATGAGCATCTTTAAATTAAAAAGTTTGAGTAACTGACAAATAGATATTTTTTGCAAAATAAAATCATTACATTTGCCTTAATAAAGTCAGGCAGATGATGAAATGTGTCGACTAAGTACAGTTTTTCCTCTTGCCTTTTACATATATATATATATATATATATATATATATATATATATATATATATATATATATATATATATATAAATGAAATGAACTGGTAAGACTAGAGGCCAGGTGTATGCCTATGTAAAGGTTTCCCATAAGTCAATTTGTATATTCAGCAACAGGCTGGTCCCAAAGATTGCTTGAAGACATCCAACTTGTAAACCTGTACAGGTGCACACATTCTATAAATATTAACTTTTAAGAAAAGTTTTTAGCCCTAATCACAAACCTTTTCCCGGATATTCTCAACATCAGCTTTCAGTTTTGGTAGCACAGAATTTGGAGGCAACCCTTTCTCCAGCATTGTCACCGTTTTTATGTATCGCATCGTAGTATTGTTAAGCACCTCAGAATCCAAAGACTCAAATTCAGCCTGTAAGTCAAAATAAGAATAAGTCCAAAATGAAACTTGTTCTGGCTTTATTGATTTATTTGACAGCATAAAAGACACAGAATGAGTAATAATAATAATATTAAATCATTCTAGCATCTAATTTTAACCATCATGATGAAAGAGAAAAATTCATGAAAAAAACAGTTATAAGCCATAAAGCTATTTCAGTAAATTTAATGGAACAAAATTAATGAATCCAAAAAGCACAGACAATGCAATAAAATGCAAAGAATAATTAGAAAAAGGATATCACATGTAACTTGATGAGAAAATAATGAAATAATCAAGATGATGATATTCCACATTCATTAAAATAAAAGATTACAAAAGAAACTCCCCTAGATACTGGAAAGAGCAATAACAGTTGATTTGAGAAACCAATTTTCCTGAAAATTGTTTATAAATTTTAATTAACAGTTGTGGTGTGATTGATTTTGTTTAGCAGTGTATCAATCTCTATGGCTTATTTACTGTCAAAATCGAAATATTTTATACACAATTTTATGGCTTCATAAATATATCATATTTTATATATTCATATATTTTGAACACAATGTTATGCCTTCAACTATGCCTTTTGTACATAAGTTTAACATATGTTTTTTAGGTATATAGTTTATAAATAAAATATATTGTTGGTAATTTACAAAAAATTCTATTGCTATTTCACTTCAAAAATGTACTGGTGGTAATTTATTAAATAAAAATGTATTGGTGGTAATGTATTGGTAGCAATTTTTTTTTTAAATAGAAATATATTAATGGTAATTATTTTAAATAAATGGTGGCAATTTATTAAATAAAAATTTACTGATAGTAACTATTTTAAATAAAAATGTATTGGTGGTAACTTTATTATAAAAATGGTTCACTATTTGCCCATATCTGGAAACCTAGCATCTGCTACCATCCCAGCTCAGAGCGAAGCTGGGACCAACGGCAATTTAGAAGTGGTTCCACACTCCTCAAAACCTCTAGTCTCCCAATCAGAGGCCTTGCTGTTGGATATAGTTCATCGACCTATCCAACACTATAAAGCAACAATACAACTGGCTGCTTGGTCAATGAATGCCAAATGTTACCTTATAAAGAAACAGCGTACATTATTATTGTAGTAGTAGTTACTTGTGTTAATGTTGCTAAAGGAACTCAGAGAAATAGTTGGTCATTTCTTATGATTATATAAATATTGGATATATATAAATATTGGATATATTTGGGAAAAATATTTCATTCATACCTGTTTGGTTAAAGAATAACAAAAGATCTTTGTTGAGGATATTTTTTCCTATTTTTTTTTTTTAATATTTCAGAACATTTTCCTGGTTTCCAGTGAAAGTTTTGGTTGATTAGATTGCAACTGAAGTTAATTCCTGGAAAGAATGAAAAGCCATTGCGGGAGTATCCTAATGTAATTGTGTTGATCCTTATCTATGTTAGTTTGCATGATCATCACACTCTTTTAATACCTCAGAAATAATGGACTATTCAGTTTTAATTGTGTGGAAAGACAGGGAAAAGATACCACTTGGTTTCATGTGGAGAGAGAATAAGCTTAATCTGATAAAAATAGATACTTCACTTTGATCTTAGCCAAAAGGTCAAGAAGCAATTATATTTTCTTGCCACCCAATACTGACAGGATGTGACATGATTGGTTTAATATAGGGAGTGATAGCATGTGCAACCAGGCCAGGTCCCAAAATAGCCAAGCACTGGCAACCATTGGTTACTCCGGCATAGTTATTACGACTGACCCCACCCTTTTTTAGGCAGCTGTTTCCCTGAGACCAGACACGTCTCAATTTTCAGTTGCTCTCTGTTCAAAGACAGGGATAACTGAGTGATGAAATGTAGTTTATCCACCCAAGAGCAGATACTACACTTTGATCCCTGTCAAAAGGGTCAAGTAGTCATAACAACCACAATAAGTCACAATATCAAACAACAAAAACCTGGTAAGGCTGAGCTAGCTAGATATAACCATAAATTCTATGCTAACAGTTTCTTTTCTCATACTTCTTACTTATGGAACTCCTTTCTGTCTCCATGTTTTCCAGGCAACTTTACTTTGTAAAAAAACTGAAATGTAGTCTTTATCTTTATCTGCAGTCCTCCTGATTACTCTTGCTCTGTTCTCACTCCTTAGCAATGTTCATGTTTCTAACCCCTTGCATCTCAGTGTCTTTACTCTCTTGCTTGGGGTGAATTTGATAAAAAATAAAGGAATCACTAAAAATCTATTTATCATAAATAAAATAACATCATCAGCTGAATTATTTTAAAACTAGTGTACCCATGCCATCAAAATTGACAGCAATGAGGAACATATTATAAGTAATATGTATTATATTTTAAGTAATTTTCATTTAATCCAAGAACAATTTGGTAATTTAAAATAGTTTGTTGTTAAGTCTAATAATTGAACAGTGTACAATTTATAAATACCCAAGGAAATATATCCAAATATTATCCCTATAAATGTTACATATTTACAACCAAAATTATGTTTACTGCAAAGTTTCCAAAGTACAATATTTTTTGTGTAAACTTTGGAAGGACTGAGTAATCCTTAACAGTCCATAGATTCAATCTATAATTTCAGAGTCTGCTTAATTGACATCCTACTAAGAGCAATGTATTATCAGATATTTTTTTTAATTTTTTTTTTCTCAAGCTATTATCAAATTCCACGAGATATGCTCTGAATTGTAACACCAAAACTACATTAAAACTATCTAATTATTTAATTGTATAAACTTTTAATTGCTATCATAAATAATATAAATTAAGGATGTAGTGTGAATAAAAAAAAACTCTTTCGATAACTAATGAATTATTACAAGAACTGTTCCTGCTAATGTTTTTTTTTAATTAAAATTTTTAAAGTTTAAAATGAATTTCTAAAAATAAATAGAGAATTCTTGAAGATATATGTGGCGTATTATATATACAAACCCTATCCGATAGCAATATCATTACATATCAACAGGATCAAGTTTTCACAGCACTGAGTGGGTCACCGTTATTGTTGAAGCTTAAATAAGCATGGAATAATACAACACAAAATGTACGTTAACAAAATGTATTGAAACAAAGAATAGGTACACAATATTTACAGTTAGTTTGGTATATTCTTGGGAAGACTGTTCCTGCATAATGGGTTGACTAAATCGCAGTCGGGCAGAGTCTCTGGATTCAATTTCTTAATCTCTACTATCTTCCCCGTCTTCCGGTACCAACCCATATTTATATGGTCGGTAGTCCGCTTATGTAAATTAGGTGTATCATACAGAACAGTTATTTTGCACACTGACCTTCAATTGTGACACACAAAAGCAAAGACATAAATATATATGTGGTGTATTATATATATAGATTATTATTAATAGAAATCTTTGTAAGATGGAGATTTGTCTAGTTATAAGTTTCTCTTTGAATGTAGCTGAAGTGCATCAGCCACAAGATAAAACCTTGTGTGATTGTGAATAAAAACAAAATAAGAATCTGAGTAGAAGTCATGTTTTTTGGGGGTTTTTTTCTGAGATGAAGTATTTCTGAAATATGAACCACTTCACTAATTGTTTGATTTTTTTTTTTACTTACCACTATCCAAGTTTCAACATAAGCAGCCCATTCATCACGTGATCTCCACAAGAGTTCCTTCATCTTCAGTTCTGAATGAACTCTTCAAGTTCTTCAAATTTGGTAATTTCAACCTAACAAAAAAAAAAAAAAAAAAAACGAAAAGGAATTTTGTTGAAAAATAAATGCAAAAAAAAAAATCTTACACAAAAAATTTTTTGAGTAATAATTTCTTTCTTTTATGTGCCATTTACTTTCAAGGACATGGATCTCCACCATTTCCTATCCCTTGGGCCCTTAGCAGTTTTTGTCCCTTTTCTAAGGCTCCCTGCATTCCACCACCCAAGCTCAGGTAGTTGGCCTTCCCCAATCTCTTTCCTTCTTTCCAAGCCCTCCTTCCTAATTATGTATCCAAAGAACTTCAGGTATCTCTTCCTGATTCTAAGCAGAAGTGTTCTTTTGATGCCATTTTCTTCAAGACTTCCTCATTACTTCTATCCTCGTTTCCTTGATGAGATTTTCTGTATTCTTCTGTAGACCTCTATTTCTGTTTTTCTTCATTCGTGGAGAGATTGTTCTGCATTCACTGTCATATAAGAGAATTGATATCATATATAAATCCAGCACTCTTTTCTTTAATTCTAATGATTTTTTTTCCATTTCACAGCACTTTGCTTAGTTTTTGGAAGGCATCTTTTGCAGTAGATTATCTAGAGAGTCTGTCTTGTTATTTACCCATAGCTGGGGAGAGAAAAGATGGATTCATACCTTTCCAAAAAGTATTAGCATGTAAATTAATGTAATGAACTTGACTTGAATTTGGACACAGCTCTCTGACTCTCCAATCCAAACCATTATTTATTACAGGAAATCAAATATTATTAGAAATGCTGAAAGGATCAATGAAAAAAATAATGGAAAATGCTACATTTTAATTGCTGTATTTACATTGTTTGGACTTTTGTCCTCATCTTTGCTGCTATATTCATAATATTTCGGCTGTTGTACCCTCTGGCCTTCTTCAGATGATTGAAATTTTCAACCAAACCCTTTATTTCATCTACTGGGATAGATTGTTCTAGTTCCATGTGCCATGCCTCTTCCAGATATCTCAATATCAGTTATATCCCTTTAATTCTACAAGTTTTTGTTCACCTCTTCTGTGGCCAGGTATTAAATCCACAACTCTTTGGGTCAAGTCACTGGATAACTTCAACCAACACTTTGATCCACTTTTATCCTTGAGGACATCCGTGTATGAATTTTTGGAACTTATAAACAGTCCACACAATGTAAATAATTACAATACCTCATCTCAGAAATATAGACAGTTAATTTCAGTGTTTAAAAAAAATAAAGGTGATCAAATGAAACATGTATTGACTAAAATAATATTGATAAAAGATGAATATCTAAAAATCGCTGAGAACAAACTGGGCAATAGTTACAAATCTTAATTTTATTTTACACACCTTAAAATTCTTTTGATAGGATTTAAATTTGAAGGCCTTTTTGGTCAGTTCATTCATTTTTCCAAGAAGTTTGCTTAATGTTGCTTTTACTTTCTCTTTGTCAGATTCAACCTCGAGTATAGCACGGTCCTGAAAATAGAAAGAAAAAATTACCTTTTTTTTCTCTTTACGAAATGTGACATCAATTAGAGTCTAACAATTGAAGTTTATGGATAAATCTGAAGTAATTACTTCTAAGTGTCATATTCCTCTTCTCCCCCAGGTCAATAACATCAATAAGTTACCTCCCTGGCAAATCAACTATAGTGAGATTCAAACCTAGATTTCATGACCATCCTAACTTCATTCAAGCATGTTTGATTGAATAATCTGGATATCTCTCCAGTTAAATTCACGGATCAATTTCTTAATGTTGCTAAGGAAAACGTCATAGTTTTTTCATTTCTTTTATTTTCCCCAATTTATTTCAATCTCATCCAAGATCATCTTCAGAGATGAATTGCTAAGACACAAAATTAATGTAATTGATAATTGTTAATTTTTTTGGTAAATACACATAAAATACACTGTTTCACAATAATCTGCAGGTTGAGTATTTTAAAATATTAATATTAAAAAATATAAATTAAGTTACCTCCCTTAGATACATTATATTCTTAACAGTTAATTTTTAAAGTGAATATAATAGAGGGCATTCATACGTATTCATAATTTTAAGAGAGTGCATTTCATGTACCTTTTCAAAAAAAAAATTCACAACTATCAATTACATTGATTTTTTGTCTTTTTAGCAGCATGAATTCTATGAAATATGCTTTCTTATATAATATAGAAAAGTTCTATCAACTTTTTAATAAATTTTTCAAATAAGTTGCTTTGTTTTATTGGTAAATTTGTCAAATTCATATTAACTTTTATTTTATCGCCTTCAGTGAGTTGAAATCAATTCCATTAATCATGAATATGCCAGAATTAAAAAACTTGTGTAACTACACACAGAACAATTTTGAAAATGAATAAAGAATCATTTGAAAGTACTCAAGGTGAAAAGAAAAATAAAATGAAAGTTATTACCATTTAAAAATTAATTCACTTAGAAATGTTTCTGAATTTATTAAAATATGTCCCAAAATTTTTTAAAATAAATTATGAAGATAAGCAACAAAAATAATATATATATATATATATATATATATTTACCATGGCAGCTTCTTTAACTTCTTTGACTTCCTTATTCAGTTCAGCAATATCTTGGTCAACATGGGCACAGAATTTATTCAAATTGCAGTCTCTGTCTGCCAAGGCTTTGTCAATAGCATTCCGGACATTGTTGATTGAGGAGTCCAGAGTCTAGAGGGAGGAAAAAAATTGACACATAATTGATACAAGTCTGCTTTGAGGATTTGATAAAACCTGATAGATGGTCAATTCCAAAACAAATATTTTATTTTTTAGCAAATTATAAAATCATTTGTCTCAAGGAAATTGTATACAGTAAAATCATTCACATTTAAAATAGTATAATTCATGGGGTTTCTTAATAGAATTTCAAAGCCAAAATTCAGATATTTGCACATAGATTTATTCAACTACATTTTAATTTCTCAACCTACATAGTACAGACACACTTGCACTGGAATGTCAACTTTCAGTGTGTGTGTGTATATATATATATATATATATATATATATATATATATATATATATATATATATATAATGTTTATTGTCATTTCACCCAATACAAGACCAATGTGCCAATCAAGGTCAAAAGTTACTGAGGGGTGGGGAAAAGAAACTAAGAAATGCATATTATGAGGGCATGTAGGGTAGATATCTCTAAGCCTGGACTTAAAAAGACCAATATTGTAGTTGTCAGGGAAGCATCCTCTTGTGAGTCTGTGCCACAAAGCAACAGAAAGAAAGCAATGATGAAGCCGTCTGAGAGGCACTTGCTTTTTATCAAAGGAACACAAAGGAAATGGTGATGATTTGCCACCATGAATGTGGCATGGCAGATCCTATATCTGTGAAGGTCTGAACTGGTGAATGTAACTGATCCAAGCATTTACCATAGTAATAGTGATATAGGCTGGCAACGTTTCATCTGTAGGATAAGTGCTGCAAGGTTGAGAACAAGTCATCACTCACAAGATAGCATAAGCACTATAGTAAATTTCAGCTGAATGCAAAATGAAATCACATGTGCAATTAGTAAATTGTTGCCGTTTTATAATCCTAATTTTGCACATGCATGTTGTTTGTTTTTGATTTTGTCAATTAGTATAGTAGGGTTAGTTAGGTACAGTCTGTGAGGAAAAGAGCACCGTGATGCAATTCATTCCACCAGAAATTTGGAAATGGCATGCTGTACTGCTTGACATTTGTACTGGAAGCTCCAATACAAACATTTCAGAGTGTTTGGGTGTCAATCTGAGGACAGTGCAGAGGATTGTCAAAGAGTTGGATGAGTCTAATGGTGATTACAAAGGTATGACAGCTCAGAAAACTCACTCTGATTGTTCTGAATAGAAAAGAACTCCTGAATTTGTTGGTGAGGGCCTCAGACTCAACACAGAGGCCTACATCAATTCACTTGAGGAGGTAGTGCTGTCCTGGGTCAAGAGGGTGGCTGCAGAAAGACCATTTGTCAGGCAACAGAAGTCTACACCACACCACACAAACAGGATTACCCAGTCATGGCTGTCATACAATTTCTGCAAGCACATCACCCCTTGCATCTGTTCACCTAACTCCCCAGATTGCAACCACCTCGATTATTATGCATGGGGTGCAGTTGAGTGAAAGACCAACAAAACTCTTTGTAACACCAAAGATAAACTGAAAGCAAGAATTATGGTAGCATTCAACAAGGAGACTGCCAAGATTCTAAAGTTGTCTGGAGTCCGTGGTTAAAGCCAATAGCAATTTTATTGAATAATTTTACTTTCTAATATTTCAAGATATTTTTGTGTAATTTTGGTAAATATATCTGTTAAAATGATATGTCAGTGTTATTTTCATTTTTGCGTAATTTAGATGACAATTTATTCATCGCACCCTATGTATAGATAGAAAGAGAGAGAGAGATAATTGTGTCTTTTTGAGAGTTGACACTGTGAAACATTTTTTCTGTGGCCGTGACCACTGTTATTAACTGCTTAGATAACCATTTGCCTTTTGGTCGTTTCTTCTTTCTTAATTTGATCTTTTTCTTAGGTAAGGCTTTTCTTGTTTTTTGCCTGAGGTCTTTTGACAGGTTGTCTGTTGGTAAAACCAACATTTTTTATTCTCATATATATATATATATATATATATATATATATAGAAAAAGTTTCAAATTAAAAATTATAATGTTTTATTTTATGAAAGTATTTATTTATTTATATATATATTTGATATTTCAAATTGTCCTCAATTTTTCATCAGAAATAACTGTTTGTTACAAATAAATTAAAATTACTGTTTGTTGGCAAGTAGCGTCCTTCGCGAGATGCGGACGTCACGTGATATGGAACGTCACTGTTCAGATATTCCTAACTTAAATCTAACTGTCATAAATATTTTAAAAATATTTTTTACTATATCTAAAGAAATTGCTTAGCTATTGAAATATTTATAAAGATTTAAAACACCTAAGTCCCTATTCAACCCTAATTTATGTGTATTTAATTTTAAAATCCAATATGTTTTTTTTCTGCATGTGAATGTGGAAGTAAAATCGGAATCTATTAATAAACATTTGCAGTTTTCTAATGTGTGTCCTGATTGATTGTAGTGTTTAGCTATGGGGAATAAGGGTTGTTTTGACGTATTGTTTGTTTATGGTTATTAAAACGAAATCTAAAATTGTTTCCAGACTCACCAATATATCCACTATTAGGACATAAGTTGCAGAATAAATAATAGATTACGTTATGGGTATCGCAGGTGAGGTTAGGTGGCTGTATCCTGATATTGGTGTTGGGTACGTAAAATGTATTAGCTATTACTAAATGTTTGCAAACTAAGCAACGAGGTTTGTTACATTTGTAATTTCCTGTTTGGTTTCTATTGTTTAGATATTTGGTAGAGGTGAGGATAGCTGATAAGTTAGGTGATTGTTTCATTGCATTTATGGGTGGTTTATCGAAAATGTCTTTGATCTTGTTGTCTAATTGGAGGTTCTTGTAATCATTTTTTAAATTATGAATAAGTGTGTGGGAATATATGTGTGTGTAAAAGGCTAACGGTCAGAGTCGAATTGGACCAGGAAACAGTAGTATTAAAAAGTGCTCAATACACATATGAAAAAAATAAAAATAAAAAACATGTAGAGCTTTTAACTTTAAAAATTAAGAGATCAGGAAGGAAGGAAGATAGTTAGAAGGATTGGACGGTTCACCAGAGTTCTTAAAAACTGGAACAACAATGACTTCCAGCAGACAGGAAATCAGGAGGCAGCGAGGAATTTATTATACAGAGGGGAGAGAACAGGAGCTAGTTAAGGAGCAAACTTCTTATATACAAGGATATGATCATTTTCTATAATTTCTTATTGTTCCATTCTTTGAAAACAAATCCTTCTAACTATAAATTTAAGTTCTTTTTGTAAATTATCAGGTAGATTCATTTCCATTTCAAAGCAAGGTTAAACATTGATCGTGTCATCTTTGAGCCACATTTTACACCAGTGCACTTAGAACAGGGTTTCCACAGGTGGGCAATTTCAACTGTTGGGTGGGCGGGTTTAAATTTTGGTGGCTGATATAGGATATTGAGTATTAAATTTGTTTAATTTTTGTCAACACTTGTGACACTAACCATAAAACTAACCTTGACCATAAAGCTAAATTAGAACTATAAAAAAGTTATTGGCCAGAGTTGAATTAGATCAGCAAACAGTAGTATTAAAAATTGCTCTATATACAGATAAAGAAAATAAAATAAAAATTTAGCATGCAGAGCATTTAAATTTAAATATTAGGAGATCAGCCAATCATGCTATGTTGGTTTCAATCTTTCAGTATCTTCAAGCGATTCAGGCTTATATATATATATATATATATATTAGTTTTCAATGGTCAAGTTTGCTTTCATTTGTTCTTTAATATGGTAACAGCAGCCACTGCATAAGTCAACATTGTTACCCTCCTTTGGTATATTTTACTCCAACATAAAGTCTGTTTACCAACCAGTAACAAACTTTTACCAAACAATTTTGGTATGACTTAACATCTCAGCTTCAGTCACTTTCTCACTGACATTGCATAGCTTCCCTCTGTGTTTTCTACAAATATTTTCATGGCAACTTCTCTGACAAACTTTTTTTTCCAAGATGCCCTGACTACATAAATTTAAGCATGCTACTAGAGTGGCATCTAGATCCCACCTGTTTAGTGTTGAAATAGCTAAATGAAACTGCTACTTCTACTCCAATAGTTTCTGTTCTTACCTGTGGAACTCCCTTCTATTTACTTGCTTCTCTGACAACTACAATCTTCAAAAATTTAAATGCAACATCAATCGCCATCTTCTATCTTCTTGAATCCCATTCATCTTTTGTCCTTTCCTCAATCCACCCTATACTCAGTCTTTTCACTCCTTGTAACTTCCTGTGCACTAGTAGCATTCCTACCTTGCTTTGGATGAAATGATTAAAAAAAAAAAAAGGTAAAGGTTTTGACTTGCATCAATCCTAATCTCAAAACCTTAATCAAATGTTTTCATACATTTTAATTAACCACTTCATTTGGTTTCTTTTTCCATCATAGTTTTCCCAAATTTTTCCATAAGAATCTATATTCGCTTTCATTTATTTAATATAACTACTTTGTTCTTTCCTGTCATGAAATATTAATCACACCCTGCCATAGAGGGTAAGATATATTAAAGCAATATCAAAAACAACTTACTTGAAAGACTGCAATATCTTCTGGTGGGGTTGGTACTCCATAATATTCAATTAAATCATACATATGTCGAACAACATTTGACTCACTTTCCAAAGGTTCAATCTGAAAACACAAAACCCAGAAATGTTATCAATAGTTAAAAAGATAAAATAAATGTGCATGGTTTCAAAATTACTTCACATGATATTTTTCATATTACCTGACATCAAATTTTGCAACTGATTAGCCAGTTTTTACTTAAGGATTAAAAATTAAAAAGCTTTGAATCTGAGCTATATTTAGCTGACTGATTTTGAACACCAGATTCTGGGATCAACTTGAGCCCTTGTAACTAAGCAAATCTTACTAAATAACTAGAACTTTTATAACAACAGTTTCTCATATTCTTTTATTATTTCTACAGGTTATGCATCAAATTCAAGATTAATCCAGTGAGCCCATTGTACCATTCCGGCATTTAAATATAGCAGTAATGTAACACTAAATGTACCACTTTGTAATGGGTGTGGTTGTTGTCTTTCAAAAATAAATTAAACACGTGGAGTATTTTTCATATATATTTATATGAAAAAGAACATGGCTCAAAGGAAAGAAACATTTAAGGGATTGTGTGTGTCTGTATCACATGGATGGATGAAATTAAGTAGTCAGTTTGCCTGGGAAGAGATGAGGCCCAATTTTTTGCAACAGTGTCCCAGAGCAAAAAAAAAAAAAAAAAAAAAGAGCAAGTTTTTTTCTTTCTTATACCACTGATTAACAACACTAGGTGGTTGGGCAAACAAAATACATTGGCAGACAAGGTGAGTTAATCCAACATAATCCCTACAATACTTATAATCTGGTAAGAACAAGTACTTCAATTTTACTACCTGTAAAATAACTTGAAACACCAAAATTATTAGACAAAGTAGTCACTGACTGTAAGATGACAGAACCAACTAGAACTGTAAGATAACAAAAATGCATGGTTGCCAGCAAAAGAGACCCCCCCACCAACAAAATATCGGTTATATATTGAGAATGTTACTATCAAATAGATACAAAAATGCAACTAGGTAATATTATAAGAGATAGCAGGAAGTGTGATCCTAGAACCTGGAGGAACATGTGAATAGGAAAGGATATTTTTAAAAACTGAAGAAAAATTTTAAGAGTGAAAAGGCAATTAGAAACAAATTGCTGCTTTGTAATGTTTTATTTTAAATATGGCAGAGAATGAGAGTGAATTTTATCACAAATGAAGAAAAGTCTTGAAGTGGCTGAGATGTGGTTCCACAAATGCCTGTTGATGGGAGAATGAGAATACCAGAGAAATTGATGCTGACAATCAGAAAGAGAAATTGGCCCACTAATGCCAACTTTCCCCAAAAATGGAACGTTCAGCATTAATGGCTTATAGACCTAGAATTAATACTGGATTTTTATAAGCATGCAAACTTCTATCTGCCATCTATGCAATGATGGTTCTCCACAAAGAGGAAAAGAAAAACTCTCTCTCCTAATTCCTGTGCATAACCTACCTGTGAGGGCAGCACTCAAGAAATAAATATTGGTCAGGGTGACACTCAAGTCAAGAGATAAACGTTAATCAAGGTGACACTCACGTCAAGAATTAAACGCCAGTCAGGGCGACACACAATTCAAGAGATAAACATTATCAAGGGAGATAAACAAATCAAGAGGTAAACATTGTTTCTTTTTACTCTAGTCTATAAGCAAACAATGGTCATCTATAACAGAGTCTATAAGCATCAACCTGGTAAGTGGGCCCCCTTTTTCTTGGGGGACTGACCTCTTTGTAGGATATGCAATCAGACAAAACAAGCTTTTGCCACAGAAGCTTTTACTTAATCTGGTATTTCATGAAAGTGAAATGATGCAAAGCAAACATTCAAAGGGCAAAGAATCTGGACACTATAAAGCTAGTATGGGGCATGTAGCATAACTTATAAAGGGGCCCTAAATATCATAAATAAAAATGTATTGTTGGTCATTTTTCTTTAAAAATGTATCATTGGCAATTTTACTATAAATATGTATAGTCGGCAATGTTTTTATATAAAAAATGTATTGCTGGTGTTTTTAATATGAAAATGTATTTTTATACCTTCACATTTTGCTTTTGTTTGGGGGGGGGTCACTATTTGCCCATAACTGGGACCCTGACAGGTGCTACCACGCTAGATCAGGGTGGGCCTGGGAACAACAGTAATTAAAAGGGAATTCCACACTCTTCAAAGCCTCCAATCTCGTTATCAGAGGCCTTTGCTGTCAGATGTCATTTAACATTATACACAGGACTAATTTTACTATAAAAATGTATTGTTGGTAATATTACTATAAAAATGTATTTTTATACTCTTCTAATGCTTTGATTTTTGTTTGGGGGTCCCCTATTTGCCCATAGCTTGAACCCTAACAGGTGCTATAACTCTAGGTCGGGGTGGATCTGGGTGGTTCCATGCTCCTCAAACATCCCAATCAGAGGCTTTGCTGCCAGATGCATTTTATCGTCATACCCAGGGAGTAGCAACTTGGTTTATCTTTAACCCTTTTCCGTACTCAAAATGAGCTTTCTGTGCAAACATGCAAACAACTTAATTACCAAATCTTGACAATATAGAGCATTGCCAGTTTTACAAGACAGATTTGTAAGCATTCAGTGCAGTGGGAGTGGGACTTAAAAATGCAACCACATTAATCCAGCTCTGCAGCATGTGCAAAATCAACTTAACCAATTTTCTGGAGATAGCTCGATTGTTGCTTCCTTCAGATTACATTTTAACATCATCTCTGAAAGGCAAAAGACAGCGGACCTAGTTATTAGGAAAGTTCAGCCACAAAATATGCAGAACTGATTTGACTGCCATTTTATTGGGAGTTTTCTTTAAAAACTTCCAGAGTTTTGACTTCACATACATACATGTATATAAATATATACTTCAGTCAGTTATATGCCATACGTGATACATGCTTAGGTGATCATGTATCTTTTAATGCATCACTGACAAGGCAGATTTTTTATCCTGCAGTAGGTAGCCATTTCTTTCTGCAGTAGACCAGTTGCCATCCAAGGCTATAGAACCCAGTCTGTCCTGATATTTACTAATAGCTGGTGGGAGAAGAAAAGGATTCATACCTTTCCCAAGGATATTAGCACGTAAGTGAATGTAATGGATCCGACTGGAATTCAAACTCGGCTCTCCAATTCCTCAATCCGAGCCACTATCCATTACTCCACTGTACTTCCCCAGATATACTTACACGATCTTGAATCTTGTCTAGGAATGTGAGACTCTTGACATATTCTTCTGTACTTGTAGGTTCAAACTCCAGCTGGAATTGTCCATCTTGTAATTCTGTGATCAAACGATCAACTTCCCTCCTGGCTAGAACTGGTAACAACTCATTAATTGCCTGTAGAAAAGAAAGGAAATTATGATATACAGTAATTTCTCAAAAATAATATGCACCCATAAATAATATGCCCCCCCAACAAATGATCCAAAAGGTAAGAAATATATCTATCCTTATGTATAATACGTATCTATAAATTTTATCAAAAAAAAAAAGAAGACATTCTGCTGACCTTGACATTAAGAATAAAATCGAAACTAAACAGTTACAATAATGTTGAAAATTACCATGCAGTTTTCTCGATAAATATAACATTTTATATTGTCATCAAAATGTGTGAGTGTATGATAATTTGTTTAATGACAATTTAGATATTGATTCTATAATAGAAAGTGGTGATGATGATGAAAATTAAAATTTAAATAAATTGTTAACTTGATATCCTCTTTTCTTCAAAATTGGCCTTTATAGATTTTTTATTTTTTTGCTAAAAAAAAATGTGGTTACTGATAAACAAATTTATTGAAAAAAAAAAAATGTTAAAATTATTGTTGGATTTAAAATGAAAATTGAGATAATATCTTTCTTATTTTAGAACATCAAGTATGTATTTATTATTATAAATCAATAACGAAAAAATATTTTTGTTTAAACCTAGTTACAATACACACCTCTACTATCACCTGTAATTTACAGTAAAAACTGCGTATTATTACTGATATACCCTTGTTGGTTAAATAAAAGGCCCAGTTCGAAATTCCCTGAAGGTTACCCAGATTGACAAACACCTAATGAAGGCAGGAGGGCACTACTGCTGAAATGTTATGATAATAACAACAAAGATGAGGATAATCGTCTGCATGTAAATAATGGCAACTCCTCATCTCAGGCAGAAATTTGGATTAACTTTCCTTGTCAAAGGGGGGAAAATGCAAAAACCAGTATCATTATTTTGTACAACATTTAAGAATCTTTTCATGTTTTTTTTCCAATTTCAATATTGATAGGATTTACTTTTTGTAGCTAGCTCACCAATATACAGAAATCAGAGCATTATGTTTTGGAGAAGAACCCATATATTATTATTATTATTATTATTATTATTATTATTATTATTATTATTAAAATGGATCGGAAATTTACACTATTACATTGCTTGAACTGTTGTATTCATCTTTATTGTCATATTCTCAAAGTCTCATTGTACGCATCAGCCTTCCTCAGGTGATATACATTAGAATTTCAAAACGAACCCTTTATTTAGTCCACAGGGGTGGATTGTTCTAGTTCCATGCCTTTTCTAGATATAAAAGGGTCTGGTTTGAAACTCCAACATATATCACCAGAAGAAAGCTAGAATATACATTGGTCAAAACATTGTGAATATAACAATATAGATGAAGACAACTGTCCAAACAATGTAAATAGCATAAATAGTTACAATACCTCATCTCAGAAATATAGACAGATGTGGATTAGAAGTTGTTCTACTGTTCAAGTTAGAGCATTTTAATAGTTTTGCCCTAACAAAAATCTTGCTACAATGTGCTGTCTTTGCTGTATTATAAAATACATGCAAACAAAAATGGGATCATTACAATATAAAGTATTTGATTGCTTTCCCAGATATAAATCATTTTAACAAATTGGATTTAATGCATAAAAACAGCAAAAATATTAAGCATATTACTAAAAAAGAAAACTCAAGTGGCGTTTGAAGAAAAAAAGAGGTGGGAAATTATGTTAAAATAAGAAATAAGTAAATTTGAGAGTAAGGATTTCTCCAATTTTTTTTTTTTTTCCTTTTCTTCATACTTACATTCAAGCACCTTATTGGAGACGGAATTAACAATCCTTTCATTTTAACAGCATCGATCAGAAGCAAACCAAGATTGCATTGTTCTGGGATCCCAAGAGACATTTTATGCTGTTTATGGTAACATTCCAAGGATTTTGAAAAGAATCTTACATCCACTGGAAAAAAAAAAAAAAAAAAGAATTTTTAATTGCCTGAAATTTCCACTTCATTCTTTGAAACAAACACTATGCATAAACAACATTAGATTTAATTGTATTTAAATTTCTTTTACAAAACCAAGTCAATAGTTTTTTATTTGTATCTCTTTCATCTTATTTCTCTTGTTTTTACACCAAGTAATAATAGTCTTAATTTGTCTACATTTTTTTGATGAAACATTGTCAATTACTATTAATTTTAAAGAAATACTTCCTTCATTTACTCTTCTTTTTATACCTAATAATGTGATGATTTAATAGATTTTTATGACTTGACTTAACCCTTTACAGTTTATTCAAAGCCAGAAAATATTTTTAGATTGTAAAAAAAAGTTTTGGAGATAATAATGGCTTAATGAAACAAATCTTACTAATTAACCCATAGCTGGGAGAAGAGGTGAATTCATATCTTACCCAAGAGTATTTGCATGTAAGTGAATATAACTAACCCAACAGAAACCTGCAATTAACAATTCTAATTTATTATCCATTGCACCACTTGCACATCCAAGCTTACAGCACCTGATATTTCCAAGTGGTCACCCATTTAGGTACTGACCAGACTTGATGTTGCTTAATGTTCATAGGGGAACTGGTTGTCCAACATGATGTGGCTGTAAGTCTTAATAATAATGTGATAAAAGAAAAGACTTAATAGTAATAGTAATATTACTCGTTACTTTATGAGGAAAGATTTGGCAATCATTTCCAGTACTGCTTTTGGTTGGAATTTATAAAATCTTTCTTTAAACCAGTTTCTCAGGAAAATTAGGGTTTTCAAGTTTCATAGCTGTTATCCCTCTTTTTATTTGAAGTACTGTGGAATGTCAACATTTTGATTATGTCATCATATTCTTTTCACGTTACATGTGCTATCCATTTTAGTTGTTGCTGCTGTTGGTAGTCCTCAAGTGATGTCATTTCTGTTATTTGGTACAATTTTTTTAATCATTTCACCTCAAACAAAGCGACAATGCCACCAGGATACAGGCAGTTACAGGAAGTGAGGAGAAGTGAGGAGAAAGGACAATAAAGGAACAGCATTCAGGAAGACAGAAGATAGTAATTGATACTGCATTTACATTTTTGATGATTGTAGGTAGCAGGGTAGCAAGAAATCAGAAGAGGGAAAAAAAACAGTTAAGAAAAGAAACTATTAGAATAGAACTAACAGTTGCATCTATCTAAATTAACAGTTAAATGGTGAGACCTAATTCATGCTGTCGTGACACTAAGAAGAACAGCTCATTAGAACAATTGCCATGAAATTATTTGTAGAAAAGACAGAGGGAAGCCATGCCACATCAGTAGGAAAGTTACTAATGTCAAGATGCCAGGTCAGAATTAATTACATTACAGAACCTTATTTGGATTTTGTCAAGAATCTCAAGATATACGGCAGGAACACCAGAGTGAAAGAGCAGGAGAAGACTTTGTTAAGGAGGAGTATGATAAAGAAACAGGATTCAGGAAGACATGATGATGATGATTGATATTGCATTTAAATTTTTTAAGATTGTAGGTATCAGGGAAGCAATTAAACGGAAGGGAGTTCCACAGGTAAGAAGTGCAAGAAAAGAAAATATTAGAATAGAACATGGTTACATCTAGCTTTTTCAGTATTTTGTAAGAAAGATTAGTATATAGATCTAATTCTTCTAGTTCCAGTTTTACAATTATGATATTGTGACTTTATTTTGGGGCCTGGGGAAAGTGGTAATTAATTTATTTTTTTATTTATTTGTAATCAGAGTGTAAGAAGTTACAAAGCACAAAATAAAACATTTTAGTGGTAATTCAGGTGGGAGTGTAAAAAAAATTTCACTCCTTTGATATGCCACTGAATAGACTATATTTAAGTTATCATATACATTAATATTCTTTTTAAGATTTTAAGAACAAAAAAAAGCAAATATAGCTAAAGAGAGTAAGATACTGAAAGAAACGTAAATTCCATAAAATATTTATACTTGTATCTTCTTTGTTGTTGAAATATCATTTTTGGCTGTTGTGTTCTATAGCCTTTCTTGGGTCAGTATTGGATTCAGTTTCAAATATTTCTTTTTTGACCACTTCAATCAGAAGAATAGAATTTAATGATAGGTTCCAAAGAAGCAATAAAACAAAAAGGAGTTCCACAGGTGAGAAGTGTGAGAAAAACTATTAGAATAGACCTGATGCTTACATTCAGTTAGTTCAAAAGAGACCTAGTTGCCAATCTAGTAGTACGCTTAAATTTATGCTGTTAAGGAGTGTAAAGAGGGCAGCTTATCAGAACAATTGCCATGAAAATATTTGCAGAAAAGCTTTGTTTGTGATTCTGTAGTGCCAGTTCACAATATTCAAAGGTGTATGGTCATTACAAAGATCCACAGACTTCACTCGCTTGAGGGCATTTTTCACCATTGATCTTAGAAAGCAATTGCATACAGCTGAAAGTTTAGATATTTCTGAATTAATTTGGCATCGTGCATGACATTCCATAGGAAAGTCCCCCAATGTCTATGCTATTGGTCATTATCAAATGAGACAATCCAAAGTATGAGTGATATAAAAGGGCTATCAAAGTCAACCATGTTCGAAGATGTAAATATCTAAATAGTGTAGTAACAGATGATTCAAAATGTGACATCGAAATTCAAAGACTTTTAAGATTGACAAAAGATGTCTTTCAGAAACCAAGGAATATATTATAACATAAGAAAATATCATTCTTTTTATTATGTGTGTCATGTTCTTTCAGAACAGGCAATTATGCCCTTCACATCTTCCTGTATCTTGTAGCTCTTAATAAGTTTTGTCTTTTTGTTATTTCTCCAAGACCCTGTTCTGCCATCCATTTGCTCAAGCTCATTAAGTATGTCACACATTGTTTTCCCCTGTCCATCTTTCCCTCTACCCATCCTGTGAGTATCAGATTTTCCAAACCCTTCTTCCTCATTATGTATCCCAGAAACTTCAACTACCTCTTCCTGATGTTAAGTTTATTTCCTCTTTGTTTACATCCTCTCCAAAATCTAGTTGTTGCTAACATGTTTGACCCATAGTATCCTTAGCATCCTTCTGTAGAACCACATTTCTGTTGCTGTGAATCTCTTCTTCATCTTTGAGGAGATTGTCCAGCATTCACTGCTATACAGGAGGACATATATCACATAACAGTTCAGTATTCTTTTCTTTGTTTCCAATGAATTTTTTCTTTCTCTTAATACTCAGCTTAGTTTTTGGAATGCATCTTTGGTCCTCCCAACACATCTTCGAACCTCAGTGTTGCACTTTCTGTCCTCTGTTAGAACACTTCCCAGATATATAAATTTTTGTGCCTGCTTGATTTTAGTATCCATGACCTGTAATTTGCATCTTGGGCTCATCGTTTTGCTGATGACTATACATTTTGTCTTCTTGTAGTTTATGCTTAGTCACTTCTTTTCAATCTCATTCCCTACCTTCTGTAGGAGGTTTTGCAGTTTCTTTTCTATGTCTGCTACCAACAGTGTCATCAGCATAATTTATGTTGTTAAGATTGTGGCCACCAATATTTAATCCTGTTGGGATTTCTAATTCTAAGTCCAGTGAGAGGACACATCCCTGTCGTACACGCCTGCGAAAATAGACTACTCCTGGTTGGTAGATTAATAAAAATTTATTTCACTTTTTGTTTTCATCTGTTAGGAGTTTTCCTTTTCCTATGGGACTACATCTGACGATGACTGAAGTATGGATCGGCTGAAATGTTATGTTTATAAATTCGAGTCATGTTCTTTATTAGGATCGTTGTTGACTTTTATATGGATGGTATTTATGACGTATGGATTCTTGTAATTTCCTTTCTGTGTCTGCTATCAATACTGTGTCATCTGCATATCTTATGTTGTTAAGATTGTGACCGTCAATGAAGTCCTAAAGTACTTTGTAATATCTCCTATATGATAGTGAATGCTGGACATTCTCATCTTCAGATATAAACAAGAATTGAAGTGACAGATGTGGCTCTGTAGACCAATGCTAAGAATAACATGGACATGATATGAGTGTGGGCTATCCCACTCAACTTTTCTAAAAAAACATTTCTAAGGGGTGCTCCTTAAGCCTATTAACTAATAGGAAATGATAATCTCACTCATTCTCTTTCCTCTTTTACAATTCTGACTATAAGATGTCGTTGCACATGTTAAAAAAGAGTCCCCTAATAGGGAACATCCACTTTCAATGTCTTTCTTTTCTCTTGTTACTATTTGTACTCTTACAAACACGTGTCTACCATGTAGGCAAACACACATTCTCTAATTTAAATTCTTTATGAAACTAATCTTTAACTGTTTACTTCTTTTATTGTCACTGTATTCTTTTGTTAATACATAAATTGTCATTTATTTTTGTATTGTTTTGTGTTACTCATTTATTACATGGACTCATATTTGAACCCACATTAATTGTTATGGGAAAAATATTACCAGGAAACGTGTTTCCCGCAACATGAGTAATGAGAAAATTTTAAGAAAAATAGGAACAACAAAGAAATATATACTTAGAATCAGAAAAAGAAAGTTGAAATTTATGTAATAAAAAATGAGAAAAGAAGGCCTGGAGAATATAACACTCACAGGACATAGGGAAAGCAAGTGAAATGGTGGAAAGCAATGAATAACCTACTTAATGAGTTTGTGAAATGGTTGGCAGAACAGGGACAAAGATGAATGTTAAAATGTCAGAAGTTACTTAGAGCAACAAAAGACGATGTGGAGAGCCATGATCGCCCATGTTCTGAAAGGATTTATCATATAAAAAATGTATAAATGAAAATGGTAAATTGTCAAAAATTACTCAGAGCAATAAAATACAGGAAGTTGGGGAGAGCGATTGCCCACTTTCTGAATATACTTGGCACATAAAAATAGTAATAATCAACTTGGGAAATAAAAGCTGCCACTGCTTCATCATTGATATATTTGTTCACAGATTTTGTTTAGTGATGTATCAACACCTCTATGGGTTATTAAATGCCAAAATCCAAATATTTTGTATGTGATTTCATGCCTTCAACTACAGATATTTTGTAGTACATAATTTTATACTTTCAAAGTAAACATATTTTTTTGAAATATATAGTTTGTAGATACTAAAATCTATTGTTGGTCATTTTTTTTTAATGTATTGCTGGTAATTTCACAACAAAAATGTATTGTTTGTAATTTTTTTTTATAAAAATGTATTGCTGGTATTTTTATACTTTTTTAGTATTGTATTGATTTTCAGTTTGCTATAAAAATGTATTGTTGGTCATTTTACTATAAAAATGTACTGTGATTTTTGTCTGATAGTATTCAATATTTGCCCATAGCTGGGACCTTAACAAGTGCTATGACCCCAGGTCAAGGTGGTTTCACACTCCTCAAAACTTACAATCTCCTGATCAGAGTCTTTGCTGCCTGATGTAGTTTATCATCATACCCAGGACAAGATATATTTAACCTCTTAGTTACTTAATCTATTCTCTGTGTGTATACTGACTGAAAGATTTGGGATAAAAATAACATGCAGTAATACTAGTAATAAAATAATAGTAATAGGGAGGTTCAAATCCCCTAAAAATGATAAGTCAGAGGTTGATTTTCTAAGTGTAGCTTAGATGTGACACAAGGCTGAAAGTAGGGGGCACCCAGTGAGGATCGAACTCACTAATCCATGATAATTGTTCTTGCGAGACAAGCTTGCTAACCATTGCACCATGCTGAGGTGCCCAAAGTCAGAGGTCCTAATTCCAAGTGCCATGAGTCAATCTTACAAGTCCAATGTCAGAAAATACCAGAGGCATAAATCAAAAATGTGAAAAATTCATTGTAACACACAACAACCTCTTCATCTATGAAGAATCAAGACAATTCTTGTCATCCAAAGTAGCATTCTTTTATTGGGGTAAGATTGGTCAGGAAGCACAAATAATTATATTTCAAGGTCTACTAAAGTCAACCTGATCTTAATTCTAATTTTCCTTTTCAACAGATTCGTACAAAGAATACAAATTCTTTTTATATGTAAAACTTGGTTTTCTTCTTCCTCATCACAATAATGAAGAGTGTCTTGATCCAGACTGTTGGGATAAAAAGTAATGATTAATAACACGAATTGATCGAATCGTTTTTCTATGGCATATCAACCCTTAATAATAATATGGAGCAAAAAGTAGTAATAATGAAAAATGTATTGAAAAATATTTAAAAAAAAAAAAAAGATAAAAAGCAACAATAATATCATAAAAAATTGTAATAGAAAAAACTGCTGAAAAGTTCCCAGTCTGACTCATTTCTATGACCAAACATTAAAACACTGATTCTGTGAAGTGGGTCAAACCAAGAATTACTTTTATATCACCTTGTAAGAAAATTGAATGTTGAATTCTACTTACAAGTAGTTTCTGTCTTCAGATGTTCCAAGTTCATTTTTTCATTAACTTGGTAGAATTCTTGGAATGGAATGAATGTACTTGCATATTGGTTAGCGGCATTAAAAGCAGACAAAAGTGCCTCCTGAAAATTAAAGTAAGTAAATTTTAAAAAGTATTTATATTAGTTTATAGAAATATACCAGGTGTAACAGTAAAATTGTCCAAATCATGTAACAGCATAATTGTCTATCCCACAAAATGTTTAATATCTAAAAAATGCTAAATTAAGTGAGTGCCTTTTTTTCTAGGTTTTTAGATAAAACATTTAGCCATCTTGACACCATTTGTCATACAAATCACTGGAAAATCCTTTGAGCTATTCAGCTAAAAAGAGAACAGGTTAAAATAAGTTTGTGTCAGCCCCACTACGTCTTCTCAAATGAGCAATGGTGAGAGGAAAAAGATCATTCAAGCCTTAAGTAATGGTACCAACATTTATAATCTGGCTTCCATCTTCAAAATCCATTCAAGAACCATCAAGAGAACGATGAATAAATTTAAAAAAGAGGGAACAGTAGAGAGGAAAGCTGGATCAGGAGTTCCACAACAGGAAGAGGGATTGTCATTTCAACATAGAACTAAAGAGAACAATTAGAAATTCTAAAAATTAGAAATCCATAAGACGTTTCACATGTGAGAGAGGAGTTTAAGCTATGACAATCCAGAGAACAGTAAAAAAAAAAAAAAAAAAAAATATATATATTTGAAAATGAAATCAAGATAGAAAGTTAGGTTAGAGAGGGTGAAGATCATCTTGAATAAGTTGGAAAATGATTCTAGAATTTATATATATATATATTATATATATATATATATATATATATAAAGTGAACATTGAAGACAACAGTCAGAGGCGACAGTGTGTTTCATGCTAGATGCAATCATTAGCCCATGATTGTATCTAACATGAAACAGTCTGTCACCTCTGAGTGCTGACTTCAATGTTCACTTTTATATTTACATATGTTCTGTCTCTCACATTGAGCACTTTATCCCATAAATATAGCACACCTTGAAACTATATTTCTTTACATATAAACTTTATTTCAGTACTTTATGAGCTTCCAATCTTTAGCTATGATTAATTAATGATGAACATGTCATTTTCATTTATGATTGATTTCATCATGATTCTTTAAGCTTGAAGAGTGAATATATATTCTTATTGCTAAAGTCAAATCCAATAGTGTTATAAAAACCTCAGAGAATTCCAGTAAGAAGTCTTTAATCATTTCTAAGATACGATTCAAAGCTTAATCTAACAAATGAACAATTTTGCTGTTACACCCTGTGTGCGTGTATATATATATATATATATATATATATATATATGTGTATGTGTGTGTGTGTGTGTGTGTGTGTGTTACACCCAGTATATGTGGTATTTGTGTTCACTTCAGAACATTGTCAGTGTAGATAGGTGTTAGGATAATTATTTTATCGGAAACTTTCGGAGTAAAACAAACTGACTTAACAGTTTAAAATAAATGATAATATTTTTTATTTATTTTCTTTAGAGTGATGAGTGAGTCCTTTGGTAGTTTGTTAATAAGGCAGATGTTGATAGCAGTCTGGAGAAATGCCTGTTAGTGGTTGTTTAGAAGTAAGTCTGCGATAGGGATAGCAGTAATTTCAGAAATTAGGTCAGTAATACTGAAACAGGGAGGAAATGTCAGTAGCCGATAACCTCTTAAATGCTTCTTTAAGTATCACACGTGGCTGTGCTCTTTTGTTTCATCCTCACCTGGTGTTGTTCTGGCCATCCCTGAGATGTCAGGTTTATATCCTTTTTAAATAGGCTCAGAGTTTGTGGCAGGAACTTTAGTTTTGGCTAATTATCAAAAACTCTCTTTGTGTTAATTTTTTTGGATTGGCCAAATTTATTTATTTTCTGGCATTCCTTTTTTTTCATTTTTTTTTTTTTTTATCATTTATGCATGGATTCTCCCAATTTTTGGTATTTTTCAGCCACAAATAAGTAAGCTCTACTCCTGAAAACTTTCAATATTTGGGGCCAGGTTCAGTCTTTTCTTCTTCCTCTTTATCTGAGGGTTGCCTTTTCGTAGGTTGAGAGAAGTATAGAAAAAGAAGTTTAGAGAGAGAGAGAAATAAAGTGATAAGGATTTTAAAGGAAGTCACAATTGCCTTATTTTAATTTTAATTCATTCTTTGTTCGTATATATTTATCAGGACTAACTACATATATTTCCACAGCTTGTATATATGAATATTTGGGCAGCAATGCTATTTTTCTGCATGCTTCATTGAATATGACACACATGAAATATTTTCTAAACATTTTATTCAGTTTTCTTGTGTCCTTACAATTCTTCTCCACCACATTTATTGTTGCAAGTGCTTTTGATTGGTATTTTAATTATTTTCAAGACACAGCTAACCAACCATGTAACTGAACTCAACATAAGAAAACACTTAAACACTCACACCCATAAGGAAAGTCCTTGTCAGACATATTAAGAATATCTAGTTGTAATAAAAGTTTGAAGATATTAAAAGCACTTCTAATAAAAATAAAACCAACCTACCTGAGTTCAGAAACAAAACAAAACTTAAGAATGAATTTACTACCAATCTCACACAACACAGTATCAGAAACAAAATAAAAATAGCCTAACCAACCCATTACCCAGAAAATTAAACCTTCCTTGAAAATGATTAAAGTATTAGTCACAAAAAACTCAAAGAGTATGCACAATTTCTCCACAAATTTGTATATATATATATATATATATATATATATATACAAGATGTCTGTGTCACCCTCTCTTATATATATATAAAGGGAAGAAGTTGTAGTAGTTCCAACAAGAGAAAAGTGTGTATAATAAAAAGAGAGAAACTGCAAACGTTTTTGGTTGTAATGTGGATTCTTTAAAAAAAAAATATTATACTTTATTTTCCATAATTTTGCTACATGTGTTTCTGGTCTTGTGACCATCATCAGGCAAAGAGTAGCTATTTCCACATTATTAAAAGGAATTAATTTTTCTTATGTTAAATATTCTCAATATTAGACATTCTCTTTTTTGTGTTAGTAACCCAAATGTCTTTCTTGAACTGGCAGTGAAAGAATTCTGCATGAAGGGTAATAAAACAATTAAGACTGGTCCAAGAAAGGGTGAGAAAGATACCTATATTCTTATCTTTTAATGACCCCTGTGTGTTCTTAGAACTATTTCCATTTTTTTTTGTTTTTGTCATCACGTGTACACATACGTATATTCCCTCTCCTTATATACATGTGTGTGTGTATTTCATTGAATAATATAGACATATTATGTCTATTTATTTTATAATAATCGTTTCCAGTTTAAACTGTATCTATAAAAAAAAATACTGTAAAAATTTGTTTGAAGAAGAAAATAGCTATAATTACTTTCCCAGACAAAACAAACTACTAATGAAACAATCAGGACTTATCTCAAAATGCAGACATGAAAACAAATTTTTACTGTTACTTAAAAATCAAAAACTGAAAAAAATAGATGAAAAATAAATAAAAACTAATAAACTAAGTAAATAATAAACAAATCAACAAGCCATACCCATCAAAATAACCATTAGAATAATACAATAGACTACCCACAATGCACCATTGACCTGTATATATAAAAAGTCAAGTAAAAACAACACACATGGCCTGATGATTGCATTCAACATGAAACAGACTGTCACCTTTGAGTGTTGACATTGATGTCCACTTTTACATATATATATATATATATATATATATATATATATATATATATATATATATATCAATTTAAATGTCCTTTGGGAGATTGTATCTCTGATAAAAATGTTAATATGTATACTGGTTTTACAACAACAACAACGATGACAAGAAAGCTTACATTTCACTTGAACAATCATAGTTCAATCACAGAACATTTAAAGGAACACTCATGTTTAGAATCACAGTTTAGACAGATATTACTCAAAAATACATCAGTGCTTCATCAAGATTTTAACAAGCAAAAACTTAAAATTATGGAAGCCCTTTATATAAGAGTATTGCAGCCAAAAATAAATAAAGTCGACTACAAGTTGTCTGGTTACTGCCTCCTAATGCTTTGAAACAATTACCAGAGGACACTCTCCAGATTATAAATACTCTGCAATAATTTTTCATAGCCTCTTCTTAGTTTTTTCACTTAGACATCAACATGTAAATCTCTCACAGAGAACACGTCCCTTTTGGGAAATGCATGAATAGACACACATATGCATACGTATGCACATTCACTCACTACACATATCATTGTCACTTGTATATATTTATTATTATTTTCAAATAAACTGTTTTTTAAACTGCAGAATATTGGCTACTTTTGAGAATTTATGTTTTAAATTAGAAAAGGTGACTTTACCTGGATTTCAGCCACCAGGCCTTGCAAATGTTTGTCATCTTCAAACATTGTAGCCAAACTTGGACCATCTCCACAAGACTTTTCTTCAAATTTACCATTAATGATCGGTCTGGAAGAGAAAAACAGAGAAAAACAAAAGTTAGATAAATTTATTTAGATTTTATATAAAATTAGCCTCAAATTTTCCTTGAAATAAAACAGAAATGTCTTAAATAAAATGAATAGCAAACAGAACTCAAAGAAAAATTGACTTAATAAAGATATTGACTTTCCACACTATCTTAAACAAAAAGGTAGGAAGAAAACACCATCAGTAAGGGAAGGAGCAATAACAGCTACTGAAGTTAAGAAACCTACTTTTAAGGGAAAGTTTTTATAAATTTCAACCTAAATCACTACCAATTTCTTGGTCAGTGAATGTCAAATGTTTCCATATTCCATTATTATTATCATTAAAACAAAGTTTCTTGTCTTTAAATATTGTCAAAATTCATTTTTTTTTAAATTTCCATTTATAGGATGTAGGGTTATTAAAGAAGTTCCTTTAGCTGAGAATGTAGGAATAAAAACAAAGACAAAGATATTAGTCAAAAAATTTAAATGCAATGTCTTGTCTTCTTGATGACTCTTCTTCTGTTGCTCTTACTCCTTACTAATGTTCTTTTTTCTTATTCTTTCATACTCAGTAACTTCTTGCTAGATAACCATTCAATAAATATACAAAAATATAAACAGGTTGTAAGACAAGGATGTGTCTTCTCACCGGATTTATTCAACCTATATAGTGAGACAATTCTGAGAGAACTAGAAGTCCTACCAGGATTCATTAATGACGTTGTTTCAATAATCAATAGAAAGAGCAATGCTACCTTTTTATTAACTGTTGCCCAAAATCATCTTTATCATAGAATATATAAAGGGTATAATGGATAAATTGTTGCCATTTTATATTTTCAATTTCACGCATGCGTATTGTTTGTTTTTGATTTTCTCAACTACACAGTATAGTAGGGTCAGTTGGGCACCAACTATGAGACAAAAGCACCATGACACAATTCATTCCACCAGAAATTTGCAAAGTTGTACTGCTTGGCATTTGTACCAAAAGCTCCAATACAAGCATTTTAGAGTGTTTGGGTGTCAATTTGATGACAGTGGGTAGTTAGATGAGTTTAATGGTGATTACAAAGATGCTTGAAGTGATCACTAGTGATGGTGACATTACGCCTCCATTCATCTTCCCACAGGCCTATATCAAGTGTCTTGAGGAAGTAGTGCTGCCCTGGTTCAAGAGGATATCTGATGGAAGATCCCATGTCTGGCAACAGGACTCTGCACCATGCCACACAAGCATAAGAACCAAGTCACAGCTGTCAGACAATTTCTGTAACCACATTACCCCAGAGACCTATTTAGATGGCTAATGGTAGTCTATAACATTTGGATAAACATAAGCCTCCCAGATACCTTAACTTCAGATAGGACCAGGAAGATATTTTTGCAGAAAAAAAGTGAAATTTTTTTTTTTATGCCATCAAATCTGATGATTATAATTTTGAGCTCTATCTATCAAATACTGCAAAAACAGAATGTGCTTTCTTACTGACATGGTAGCCCTTGCAGATTGTGATGTATCTTGAAAAAAAGTATGAAAATACAAGTATCTTGAAGTGGAAATCTCAAAAATGTGGCACATGAGGACCTCAATTCCAGTTGTAGTTGGAACTCTTGGATTTACTGGAAAAGGTTCTAATAGATTCATTGAAGGGGTTCCTGGTATTCTATGCCTTAAAGAAACACAAAAACTTCTACTCACAAGTACTGCTCACATATTACAAAAAGCTTTATTTATGTAAAATGTGTGGGATCTTGGGGTATTTTTTCCCCACAAAAAAATAATTAGTGGAAAATGTCACAAAGCAATTTCTGACCTTAGATCTCTGATTGGGACCCAGAAAGAAATGTGTATACAACAGAAACCAAAGGAAATAATAACATATAAAATAAAACAGCAGAAAATACAAATGGTTTTACTTAGTGAAGGCATCAAAATAACTGTCTGGAATGAGATTTTCGACTCCAAGAACGGTGTCTTGAAACTGCCGAATGACTTCATTGATGTTTTCTTGGAAGGCACTCAAGTCAGGCTGAAAGATGATTTGACTTGGCTCAAGAATAAATTCTGTGAGAAACAGAGGCACGTGTTTTTTGGCAGTCATCATTTCTTCCTCATCCAACAGTGAAGGTATATTTTTTGCTGGTAATGCTTGAGTATTGCCAACCTGGAAAGAAAGAAAGAAAGAAAGAAAATCAAAAGGTCAAAATTTAGGAATCATGATTTGGACTAGTATCTCCATGCTTCTTGTTTTGATTATGATATTTCTACTTTCTGTCTGAATTTCTAATATGAGAGTTATTATTTACATTCAGTCTAATGTCCTCAAGGTTACTGTCACAACATTTCAGCTGTTGTGCTTCCCAGCCTTCTTCAGATGTCCCTAGATTTGGGTAATCTTTAAAGAATTTTGACCTGAACCTTTTCGTCAACATAACTGAGTTCAATCCCTGGATTGGGTAGTATGGATATATCCAAATTCACAGGAAACAAAACTAACACTAACTGACCAGTACAAAACAGATACTCATATTGGAAGCCCCCAAAAAATCGAAAGATGACAATTTGGAGAAAATGGTTTTGACTAGTATCTTTATGCTTATTGTTTTGATTAGACCATAACTGAACTCTTTTATTTGGTAACAATTGTGGGTTCAGTACTTAGGCTGGGTATTTTTTTTTTTCGAATTCAGCTTAAGGAGATAATACCACAAAGACACAAGAGGCTATCCTAAATGAAAGAGAAGGAAAAGATTTTAGAAGGAACCAGAAACCCAGTAATAGTATAATAATAATAATGGCAAATACATAAAAGGAATGAAAGAAGCAGATGTGGACCAACAGAAAACGCATTAGGCTGATAACTGAGACAGAAGGCCTAATTATTGCAGCTCACAAAGCCTCACAAACCAGATCATATCACTGTCATATAATTAAGGATGGAACTAACCCGAAATGCAGTACCTTCAGAAAATATGATGAAACTGTCAACCATATTATCTCAAGATGTCTGGAACTGGCAAAAAATTAATATACCCACAGACATAGCAAGGTAGTGACATATATGCACTGAAAAATATGCAAGAAGCACAAAAAACACCTCCATAAAACTTGAGAAATTGTCCAAATACAAGAACCTGGAGATCAAGATTAACAAGATGTGGGGAATAAAGACTGAGGCTGTACCAGTAGTAATCGAAGCTCTGGACCTTGTGAGAAAAGAAATAGACAGTTTTACTAACAGTGTCCCAGGTAACATCAACATAAAGTTGCCCAGAAGATTGCCCTACTAGGAACATTTTGTATACTATGAAAAGTGCTTTTAATTAAATGACAATTCTCCTATAGGGCCTAAGGACCATAGTTTGGAACCGGCTCTACAGGATACAAAGCAGGAAACATAACATGCAGAAATAATAATAATAGTATAAAAAAAATAGTAAATAAAATTTCAGTTTAAGTGGGGACATTAGAAATAGAGCTGAAACAAGGAATAAAACTTTACTCCTGTCAAAAGACTGGGGAGGAGTGTGAACCACATGACAGGTAAACCTATCTAATTTTATTAATTAAAATTAAATTAAAAAAATCTTACTTATTATAAAACGCAGATTGTGTGTGTGTGTGTGTGTGTGTGTCTGTACGTTTATATATTGGATCAAATTTCCTACATTTTTCAACCGATTTCAACAAAACTTCACAGGACTGCATAAAATTACCTTGCGGTGGTTCTGACAGTGCCAAAATTGGAAAAACACAATTGTTTTTGCATGAAATCAATTTGAAAACAGAATAAAACACAATTCTGTTGCCAGAATGAAAGGGGGATAACTCATATCGAGTTATACTTATTATAAAACCCAGTTTGTGTGTGTGTGTGTGTGTGTGTGTGTGTGTGTGTACTCGTTTATATATGGGATTGGATTTCCTACATTTTTCAACTGATTTCAACAAAACTTCACTTTTTTTTTGGCAGGTAGTGTTTCTTATTGTCTTGCACACTTTTTTCATTATTTTTACATTCAGAATGCTTTAAAAATTCCATTTACAAGACAATTGTTTATAATAAAATTCTATTCAATCGATAGACTCATAACGATTGAAAACAATGTAAACTGCTGGTTTTCCCTGTCACTTTTAATGACATGAGATGGTTGAGAAAACTCAGATCTGGACAATTTGCAGAAAGGCTTATATCTGGATATGCCAGACTGTTCTGCTGCTAACAGGGAAACCCAGATATGACTAACTGCTAGTAGTAAATAAAATTTCAAAGTTTAGGCAGAGATATTAGAAGTATAGAGTTGAAGTAGATTTTATTAGAAACCAGAAATCAAATCCTAAACAACAAGGGATAAACCTCTACTTCTGTTCAGAAGAATGGGGAGTTGTGTGAACCGGGCAATAGGAGAACCTATCTATGCTTATTGGTATATACTTAGACTCACTGGAAACTAGACAAACAATAACTGAACAATGAACCAAGACAAGATATCCCAAGACATGAACAGCAGAATGAGAACATTCTAACCCCTGCAGAATCAATGATTCAGTTTGAAATTCCCTGATGGTTACTCAGATCAACAGACACCTGAAGAAGGCTGGAGCAAGCAGCAGCCAGAGTAATGTGATAGTAACAACAAATATAAGGATATTAGTCAAACTATAAATAATGTAAATACATTTCTAATATCTATTTTTCTTTGCCTTTTCTTGTATAAGTCTAAAGTTTTAAGATTAAGTCATTGTCACTGTCATTATTTCAAGAGAATTACTTGGACTAACATCCTCACCTTGATTGTTTTGATTACCATGCTTCACCTGAGATGATTTGTAGTTTCTCTGGATTATATTGCATCTGGTCATTAACAATTTATCAATCTCTGACCCACAATTCCATAGTTTTTAAGTTATCAGGTATAATAATATTACCAGATATAACATACAGATGAAGAACACTGGAGAGATTACCTGTCAAAACCTGAACTATTTTCCCCTCACCAGATCAAAAGCAAAATGGACAGGGGAGACAGTAAGTCACCTACCTGATGAGTTTATGTGAATTTGTAGGAAAATAAGGTAAGTGGGTGTTAAAGTTGGGGAAAACACTTAACAGGTAACAGATTGTTCTCTTAAAAATTATGGGGAGGGTGGAGGACAGGCAAAGAAGGGAGAGAGATGGGAAGAAAAAAAATGAATAATGAGATGCAAGGCTAGTGACTCAAAAACCACAGCACAGAGGGTGGTACATAACTTCTCGAATAAAATGTGCCAATGGAAGGTCTTTGCAAGACAATGAATCTCCATCAATAGCAAAGTGAACCCACCAAAAGTAAACTGCTGGTTTTCCCTGGCACTTTTAATGAAACTCAGATCTGGACAATTTGCAGAGAGGCTTATATCTGGATATGCCAGACTGTTCTGCTGCTAACAGGAAAACCTGGATATGACTAACTAGCTTTGACAGACATGTCCACATGTGACACAGGGCCTCTTTTGTGTTTGTACTAACACATGTTCACCACAGAAGGGATAGCAGAATAGGGAGTGAGCGGAATGTTAAAAAGACAAATATTGTCCATGTCCTGAAGAAGTAGAAATAACAGTTGATATATTTGTTTTTTTAATTTTTCCTCCTTTTTTTGTAGAGAGTTAAGTACATTTTCAAGTTATGTCTGAAAATTCTCTAATATAGCACAAATGAGTTCTGCTGAGAACTTTTGCACAACCAAATAGATTTGTTTGCTTAGCAGCACATCAATTCCTCATGGGTCATTTAATAACAAAATTTAATTTTCTTGAGAGCTCTAGTAATTTCTTTTGCAAAAATATATTGCTTGAAATATTTTTACTATAAAAATATATTTTTTTATAATCACCCAAAGCAAGATGGGAATGCCACTAGAATGCAGGAGGTTACAGAGAGTGAAAGTGAGAGAAAAGACTGAGTATAGGGAGGATTGAGGAAAGGATAAAAGATGAATGGGATTCAAGAAGATAGAAGATGGCGATTGACATTGCATTTAAATTTTTGAAGATTGTAGTTTTCAGGGAAGCAAGTAAATGGAAGGGAGTTCCACAGGTGGGAAGTGTGATGAAAAAAATGTTGGAGTAGAAATGATAGTTGCATTTAGCTATTTCAACAGTAAATAGGTGGGACCTATATGCCAATCTAGTAACACATGTAATTCGGGTACCAGGGGGGAAACCCTGTCAGAGAAGTTTCCATGACTATAAAAATGTATTTTTATACTTTCATAGTGTTTTGGCCCCAGTTTGGGGTTAACTATTTGTCCATAGTTGGGACCCTAATAGATGCAACCACCCCAGGTCAGGGTGGACAACTAAGAGCTGTTTCCACACTCCTCAAAACCTCCCAATCAGTGGCCTTGTTGCCAGAGGTAGTTTATCATCATATCCAGGACATCTAATAAATTTAAACTGATCTTTTAATATACTGTTAGGCTGAGTCAGAAATAATTTCCGTTTTTGTTAATCCATTCTATTCTTCAAAAAATAAAGTGCAATTCCATTTTTATTCAATCAAATATTCATCAGTATTTGTAACAACTTTGTGACCATTCATCAGGCAGCTCTTTGGTACCTTTTGAGTCAAATTCTGCATATTTTCATGTGAAATGTTTTCAGTAAATTTGTTTTATCATTTGAGATAGCTTTCCCCATCAAAGCATTTTACAGTGATTAAAAAATGCAATCAGTTGGTACAAGGTCAGATGGATATGACAGCTGTCCTGTGAAAGATTTTTGTCTGGCCTGCCAACTTAACATGTAGATGCTAATTATCTCATCATTTGTGGAGCAAGAGGCAGAAAAAATATTGGAGTTAATCGACTTAAAATGTGACAAATGTTTTAAATCAAAATTTCATTCTGAATCAACTGCCGATTTCTACAAGAAATATGTTTTGCCCAGCAGAAAATAAAAGCCTATTGAATAATGCAAAAATGATGGTATCATTATTTGGAAGTACGTATGCCTGTGAACACCTTTTTTCCAAAAATTACATATGTGAAAAGTCAGTTAAGAACAAGATTGGGTGGTGATCACCTAGATGATGTTTTGTTCCTATCATTGACAAATATTTCACCTGATATGGAAAAGTTATTGAACAATAAGCAGAAACAAATGTCTCATTAATTAATTTTTCATTTTTAACTATATTTTATTTGTAGTAAGGAATTTGAATTTTTTGCTGATTGTGTTAGTTGTTGTTATATTGTTCTTGCAGTAAAATAAGGAACTTTGTTTAAATAACATTAACTTTGTTTTTTTTTTCTTCTTTAAAGCTCCAGACCAAGGCAGCCTTTTGGACGGAGCAGTCTGATGTCAAGGCAATTTATTATAGTACATTTGATATCATGGCCATCTCGAGATATTACATAGCTTTCTGGCCCACTCTCTCTAAAAAGTTACTGATCCCCATATTATATATGAATTTATATAGAATGTGTAAAGACAAAAGAACTGAATTGAACATGTTAATATTATACGTTGTCACCCCAACCTGACACTTTGACATGACACTGGAAACAAAGATGTTGAACAAGAGAATATTGATTTGTATACGAATAGAATTCACTTTGCAATTTTCTGCTTAATTATCTTTTACTTACCAGGTGTTTGTTTGTTTGATTGTCTGTGTCCTGAAATTTGAGGATTTCCTCCAAATTTGGAGTTTGTTGAAGATGTTCACTCAGGTTATTCAATAACGTTGTTACAGAATTGACAGCCAATGTATGCATGGTGTTTACAATCAAATAATCAGCCAAATGGATAAAACTATAAAAAGAATAAATAACTTTACATTATACATATAATAAGAATATTATATTACTTATTCTTGAACCAAGGAAAGGTTTATATACTCAAATATAAAAAAAAATTGATTTCAATATTAAATAACCCCAAAACAGGTGATATATCCTTAAATCAACCATTCAAACACTGTAATATTCAGCACATTTTAGGTAGTACCTCATAAACTGAAGCATGGTAAGTATACTTATTATGTATTTGATTGAATAAACTCAGGCTTGTCCATCCCAAATGATGATAATGGTTCAAGAAGAAACAACATGTACAGTAATAGAAGTAAATGGTTAGTATTTATTTAATGATCAGTATTTACAAGTAAATGGTCAGTATTTAACTATCCTTGAATGAAGTAAATTCTTATAGACTGAAATATAAACAACCAATATTTAGCTATCTCCTAACCCAGTAAATCCTTATACAAGTATACCTCACCCTACATTGTTAATTGGTTCCAGAGGTCATGACTTAGATTGAAAAAACAACTTAAGTCAAAATAATGACACTATAAACAAGCATTCGCCATTGTCTATTACAGTGTTTATGATATGTCCATGAATAAAATAATTTCCGCCTTATCTTCCAGCGATATAACCTTACGCTTAGCATTAGCACTGTGACTTTTCTTCAGAGCCATAGGCAAAAATGTATTCTAAATCACAATTGAAATGTAACTGAAAGAAAGTCAACAGCAGAGCACAGATGTAAACAAATCTAAATTCAAAATCAGTGTTAGTGCAGAAAACATAACATGAGTGCTGTATGTCAGCAGGAATTTGAAATAAGAACATCTTCTGAACATACTTTATTATGCTAATGTTTTTGTTTCTGATGATTTTTTATATATATATATATATATATATATATATATATATATATATATATTATTTTAAATTTATTCAAATATGGCTTATTGCCATTTTAATGTTTTGACATTTCTAATATTTTTAACAGCTAACATAAACTCATTAAAAACAACCTAAGCTGTGTTTTATTTTTCCATATAATATTTAAGAAAAATTGACATATCTTCGAAAATGACTTAAGCCAAGGTATCACTCTATACTCAGATATAAGTGAACAATATGTACCTATTCCCTAACCAAGTAAATCCTAACTGGTTCAAATATAAATGACCAATATTTACCTAGCCCTTGACCAAGTAAATTCTTATATACTGAAATATAAATGACCAGTATGTACCAATCACCAAACCAAGTAAATACTTATAGACTCAAATATAAATGACCAATATTTGCCTATCCACAAATCAAGTAAATGCTTATAGACTAAAATACAAGAAAAGACTTATTTTGACATTAAACAACCTAACAACTAATCTGTGTAATATTCAACTTCAATTTTACTTGGTATCTCATCCAATGTGGCATGGTACAGATATTTATTACTGTATCTGATGGCATATGCTCATAATTATCCATCCCAAGGGATGTCTATGGTTCCTTTCAAGAAGGAAAAAATATGTACATAAGTGGATTTTTAAAAACTAGAATTTTTTTGCAACATACTGCTGCATGTTCAAATCCTCACAGTATTTAGTATTGTTGACGTGATCGCTAACATTTTTTTGTCAAGATTTACAAACTCTACCTTTTATTCAATTTTACAAACCAATCAATGAAATTTGAATAAGCTGATTTGTTTGGAAAAATACTTTGACAAAAACCCTACTTCACACATTAATAATTTCTTTAATTTTATAGGACTTCATGGTAAACAATATTTTCTAAGAAAATTTCTTTTTTTCCTTTTTAACAGTGAAGAATAAATTTTTAAGATTTCTTACTTTTGAGCATGCAACATACAACTGCTCATGCATAAATATTTCTTTCTGGAGCCAAATTCCTACTTTTTGAAGGGTTTGGCCTTGTGATTTGTTTATAGTTCTTGCAAACGCAGGGTGAACTGGAAACTAGATTTTTGCATATATAAAGATATGCAAAAAAACAATATTGCATTTTTATTAAATAATTATATATTTTAATCATTAAATTATTTTTTAAAATAGTTGAAGTATTTTGTGTGTTAAATAATAAAACTTAATTTCTCCCAAAAAATTAATGAAAATTTATTGTACTAACCTATGCACCCTAATAGAATCAACTGTACTTTGTACCCACTTATCTGTTTGCACTTCTTCCCAAAATTTGGTTTTGATTGGTCAATATACAGCTATTTTAGAGGATGTGGTGAATGGATAGAAGTCACAGAATTTTATACATAGATAGATAATATCAGTAACTATATAAAAGTAGTAAGCGGTCTGAGAAATTGCCATTACTTACACTATTTACACTCAGGCTATTGTCTTCATCTTTGTTGTTGTGCTCTCTAACCATCATCAGGTATACATAGACCCAGGTTACCTACAAGGAATCCCAGACTGAACCCTTTATTTAATCTAATGGCAGGTAGACTGTTCTTGTTCTGATATCTTCTCTAGTTCTTATTTTTATTACTGCTCAGTTATTGCTCACCCACTTCCACTGAGTCTGAATACACACTGCCCAGCCCATGGATTGAACTCACAATTAGTATATCTCCAAAATGATAAAGGCCAAAGGACACAATGGCTGAAACATTGCAATAACAACAACAAAGATGAAGACAATGGTCCACATGTAAATAATAACTTTTCATCACAGAAGTACAGACAGAAAAATAATTAACAAATAATTTAAGAAAAATGAGTTAGTGGAAAGCCATGATTGTCTACTACCTAAAGGCAGATGGTTTTTTTATATGTAGTATTAGATGTAATAGTGTTCATGCAGTATTTATATGTAGTATTAGATATAATAGCATTCAAATTTCTTAAATGAAGCATTGTTAATTATTTGTCATTTAGAACTAATGTTTTCCATCTAAAACATATTTTCCACATGAAAAACAAATATTATTGAGTGTTTGGCAAGATAATTTTTAGGTAAGCTTGACATATTTGGGGAGAATAATCCAGAACTTATGCTGAGAGCAAACCACCTGCATATGGATAAAACATGAATTGAGTAGCTATACAAAAATAAAAATTGGCAAGGATATGTCTTCTAACCAGACTTATTCAACCTATACAGTGAGGTGATTCCAAGAGTATTAGGAGTCATACCTGAACTCATTGTTGGTAGCCATAATAATTGAGTACTGCTCAGTTATTACTTGCCCTGTTTCCATTGAGTCCATATACACACTTCCCGGCCCAGTGTGAGTGATTGAGCCCACAATTACTATTATCACCAAATGCATAAACCAACACTTTAATCCACTAGGCTATACTTTATTGCCAACATCATATCCTGCAAAACAGTTGACTGATATTGACTTTGCTGATGACCTAGCTGTCACTGCAGACACCATTACCAATGCCACAGTACTCCTACATCATCTAGAAAATACTGCTAATGATGTTGGGCTCTATGTCAATGTCTCTAAAATTAAATTCATAGTCTTCAACCAGCAAGGCTCAATACAAACTGTCTCAGGAGAATCAATAAAATCCGTTGAATCTTTTACATACCTAGGAAGCAAGATAAATTCTACTAAAAAGGATGTGAAAGTTGACATAACTAAAGCTTTGGCCACCATGAATAAAATGTAATCTGGAAATCTGATCTACCAGACAACCTCACAGATTCTTACAAGCCAACATAGAGGTGGTGTTAATGTATGGTGCTACTGCCTAGACATTAACTAAAACACTAGATCAGTGGTTTTCAACCAGGGTTCCACAGAACCCTAGCATTCCACCAGTAAATCCCAGGGGTTTCACAAGAAGTTACACAAGTACTATGATTGACAGTAATTTTTATTGCAGGGGTTCCTCGAGCTTTGTCGTTCTGCTCCAGCAAAAAGGATGAAAACCACTGCACTAGAGTGTAAGCTTGATGGAACCTACCCTTGGATGCTGAGAACTATGCTTAACGTCTCCTGGAGATAACATTCAACTAAATCACAGCTCTATGGACCCAGTCCTGATTTTGCTACAATCTTACGCCAATGCAGAATGTGCTTTGCAAGACACTGTTGGTGAGCAAAACAAGAACTTGTGAGTGATGTACTATTCTGGACACCTAACCATGGCACAAGATGGGTTGGTTGCCCAGCAATCACCTCCAACTCAACACATGATGCTATTCTAAAGACCTTCCAACTTTGATGAAGAACCGTGATGGTTAGGGTCACAGACTCATGAATTTCCAAGCTAGCTCAACTGAATAAAAAATAAATTTTCCCACAAATATAGATTTGCTAAAAATAAAATTGCTAAAATAAAAAGACAATAAGGATTCCAAGAAATACACGTGTATCTTTGAGAAGAGTCAGCTTGCAAGAAATTCTCTATGATCTGAATTAAATGTTATTCAAACTTCATACCATGCTAATCTTCTGCAATGTGCCCGCTTGTTGGCCTGTTCTGTATAAGTCATCTTCTCTGGTGCTTCTACTAATATGTCATAGTCATACTCCAGTCCAGAGGTCACACAGCCATCTGTCATCAGCTCATTTTCTGAGAAAAAAGAAAAATTAAAGGAGATATAATTTCTGGATTCTCTAAGTGCTATGTCTTGTCAGAACATAGTTGATCATGTCTCTCCACAGTATCCTTTTATCTGTAATATCTATCTATAAATTACAAATTGCTATGATTATTGTTCCAAAAGAGAGAGTGGTTTCCTGTCACTTTGTTTTCTTTTTTTTTTTTAATTTGAAATTGTCCTAGACTGGTTACCAACCAAAGCTACAGAGCCCAATCTGACTTTCTATTTAACCCATAATTATGCTTAAAAAAAGGTAGATTCATGCTTTTCTGAAATGCATTAGTTCAAAGAGAATGCAAACTATCTTAGCCAGAATTTGAACTTTGCTTACCAATTCTATCTTTGATAGCATTAACCATATGCACTGCAACCATAACAGAAGTAGGTATATCTAGTGCAAGATAATCTGACGGAGCCCATCCTTCTTCAGGTTGGTTTTGAATCCAGGTATCTTTCTCTTATATTTATTTCTCAGGTAAGTCCAGTCAACCCTAATATTTAACCCATAGATGGGTGGAAGAACAGATGTATTCATCCCTTTCCCAAAGGGCATTTGTGTGGATGTGAATGTAAGAAACTTGGTTGGAATTTGAACTCTGTTCACTGATTTTTCTTTCCAAGTTATTAACCATTGCACCACCCACGCATATAATTTCCAGATTAGAAATATTTTATTAATTAATATATAAATTCAGCCCAACTTTCTATCTCTAAAACAGCTCTTTCCGATGACAGAAAAAAAGAAAGCAACAAAATTATAAAATTTCTGATTTATCTTTTGTCAAAATTCAAAACCATTTTAAAATAAAGGATATGGCAATGCTAATTAGCCATTTCCCTACAAGGAAACATATGGCATTCATTAACCAAGCAACCAGTACTGCGTTTGGTTATTTGTTAATAAAATCACAGAAATGATAAAACAGACTAATAAATTATACAACAGTCAAATGTAACAGAAAAAAAATGATTTAAAATATATTAAATAACCAAAATAATTAAAAATGTAAAAGAAGACAAATGATTAAAAAATAAAAGTATATTAAGTAACAAAAATTTATCCAAAACATAAAACAAATTTCTAAATATAAAAGAAAATGTAAAAAAAACACAAGAAAAAGTAACCAAACATAAAATAACAAAAGATAAGGACAATGTTTACAGTCACTCTCTCACAGACGTCGCCATCACATCCCTCTGTCTTTTCTACAAATACTTTCTTGGTAACTGCTTCGATGAGCTATTTTTGCTAGTTCCCAAAGTGCATGGATTTAAACGTCCCACCCACGTCAAAATGGTAAATGTTGCCATCTGTTCTACTCCCATAGCTTCATGTCTGGCACTTCCCATCTGTGGAACTCCCTTCCTCTTACTTGTTTCCTTGATAGCTATAATCACCAAATATTCAAATGCAATGTCAATCGACAGCTCCAGATGCCTTAATCTATTCCCTGTCCTTCTCTTCATCTTTTCCTCTTTCACACCTCTTTAATCTTGCCCCCACTCTCTGTAACCCCTTGCGTGCTAGTGGCACTCCCAAGTTTAAAGCCAATGACATTTTTATTGAATAAATTTACTCTTTTAGTATTTCAAGATATTTTTGCGTTATTTTGGTAAATATATCTTTTAAAATGAGATGTCAGTGTTATTTTCATTTTTGCATAATTTAGATGACAATTTATCCATCGCACCCTGTAATACTGTGACTGTTTCATAACTTATTTTATATTACACTAGCTTGTTAACCATTACCTGATGGTGAGGAACACATATTTGGTTAGTAATTCCTTTTTTTTTTCTTACAATAATGTTCACCCTGTACAAGGCCCAAAAGCCACTCAATGTAGAGTGTTACAAAGTAAGAGGAATAGTCTATGAGGCTATGTGGGGAAGATAGTAGTTAACCCTAGACTTGAACATGTTTAGGGTGTAGTGATTGAGGAAGCATCCTCTTGGAAGTCAGTTCCACAAATCAGCAGTTCATGAGAAACTGCTCAAGCGGAACTTTGTTGTATCTTGTGTTTTTGAGACAACAGAGTGAAATAAATAAGGAAGAGAAACTTGCAGGTAAGTAATAAAATAGATGTTACTACACGAAGGTATACTTAGCAATTGGCCTACTCTACTTAACTCCGCTTATTTACATAAACAGACAATTGCATTCACTTATGTCCAATATGACATAAAGAAAGAAAGAATTAAAGTGTTGTATCTTGTGTTTTCGTCATAACAGAGAGAAATAAATAAGGAAGACAAACTTGTAGGTAAGTAATGAAATAGAACGTTTACTACACGAAGGTACACTTAGCAAATGACCTAATGTTAACTCAGTATTTACTTGGGCTCCCCACAGAGCAGGATGTGGCACAAGGCTGGTTTAACATTCATTTTTCCAAACCTGAAGACTCGGGCAAAAATTTCTGTAGACCCCATAACAATGAGGTTGGGTTTGTCTACCTCCCCAGATGAGAGACTGTCCTTCACCACAGCCTCATCTGGGTTCCTCTCTGCGCAAAGGCAGAGCGTTCAACATGCACTAAGAGCTTAGCTTGCGGCTAAGACCTAATGCTAACACTGCTCAATTCCGCTTATTTACATAAATGGATGATTTCATTCATTTTTGTCTTATATGACTTTAACCTATTTGAACTAAAACTGCCCTAGAACATTTTCTGGTGAACGTGTTTTGGCGTTTACTCAATACAGGTTAACCTTTGCTTCTCTGTACAAATTTGTTGTATTCGAATCCTCATCGCCAACTATTGTATCTCAAGTTTTTTAGATAACAGAGGGAAAAATAAATAAGACAAACAAACCTGAAGGTAAGTAATGAAATAGGTTTTTCTATATGAAGGTACACTAAGCAACTGACCTAATGCTAACTCTGCTTATTTACATAAATGGGCAATTCCATTCATTTATGTCTTATATGACAAACTTACATCTCACCAATGACATACAAAGGGAATGAAGGTAGTCTGCTACAATATACATGCTATGAAAAATTAAAACTGATAGAATTAAGAAATGAAGCTTGTCTGAACAATTTCCATGGAAATAGTGATAAAGCGGCAAAAGGCTTGCAACGTTTTGTCTTTAGGTAAGAGGTTGTAGGGTTGAAAATGATTCATCACCCCCAAGAACACAGATAAGCTTCTGGACTTGATCAAGACTGGAAAATAAAGACTGTGTAACTCCTGGCAACAGTACTCCAGTGCAAATTCCTCTTTTGGGGTAATTTCGCATTATTTATCATCTCTCAGTTGCGTCTCTGTCCTTGGACAGAGTGCGCTCAGGGGCTTCTCTGTCAAAGGACAGAGGGGCAACTGAGGAAAATTATACTGAAGAGGTGCCCAGCCCTGGGTAACAGCTGCCCGAGGCCGTGCCCTCCCATTGCACAAGAGGGAGGGATCGGTGCTCGCACTGAGGCCAGCGCAACCGACGGTTGCGGGGGCTGAGGTGAATTTTTGTCCCTGCCCGAGTGTACGCGCTCGGGACCCCACATTAATCCGACCTTGTGTCACATCTTGTTCTAGTGGGGGAACGAGTAAATACCTGGCAACAGTACTCCATTTTCAGCCTGATCTGGGTCTTGTAAAGGTAGGAGATAGCAGATGAAGTCAAATATTTACTGGAGCATTACAGAGAACTGATCATTTTTCCAGTATCTTTTAGAATCACCTATTTTACAAGTACACAAATATAATATTTTACCAATTTTAGAGGTTATTTTGTGGAGCCTAACTTGTGTGCCGGCAGCAAGAAACATAAAGCTCACCTTTTTTGTCCAGACTATCAAAATAATAGTCATCTGGGGTGAACCCCGCCTCAAGTAGTGCTGTACGACAAGCTGTTCGGACAACTTCTGTCACAAGATCTCGGAATGTAGTCAGCTTCCCAGCAACCTAAAAATATAAAAATACACAGAGAAATTATATAAATACATATTTCTCACAAACATCAGCATCTAATTTTAGGTTAAAGTATCAATCCATGTTTGGTTATTTAATGTTAAATATAAATTTTACAGAACAAACATCACAATGAGTTAATTGATAGGTAGACATAGGCCTGGTTTACCACATAGGCAAAAGATCAACACTGATCTGGTTTACAGTAAAGTAAAAAAAATGGTCAACACAGGTCCTGTTTATACTCAAGTAAGAGAGTTCAACTCTTGTCTGGTTTACACTAAAGTAAAAAAAAAAAAATTCAAGATGTTCAGTTTACACTAAAGTCAAAAAGGCTGATACATGTTCATTTTTAAAAAAAGTCAAAAAAACTGATGCAGGTCTGTTTAAAAATAAAGTCAAGAAGCTCAACATTTGTCCTGTTTTCACTGTCAAATTTTTCTGTCAAATATTTCTAGAGAGAAAGAAAAAAAACAATGGATTGTTGTGGGCATATGCTGATCATGTTTCAGTTCGGAAAATACATGTTTAACCACTTGGTCAGGACATACAATAAAAAACATTTTTTAATGTTATCCTAAACTGAACACTCCTAATGCTATCCAATGATAAAAACAATGAATGTTTTACCCAACCCTATATTACCAACAAGAAGAATTATTTTATGAGAAATTAAAAAATTAACCCAAGAATCAGGCAGAACAGAAAAGTCATCATTTTAATTACTTTTAGCTTATATAAGCAAAAAATTTATTTTTGTTTTTGTGCTTTGGGAGTGGATGTCTTTAAATTTTGCTTTAGGCTTCTTTCTTCAAACATAAAAGAAATGCATAAAAAAAAAAAAACAATCTTACCATATTTCGTTCCACACTAATTACTTAAAATGAAATTTTTGAAATCAGATTCTGCACAACAGCTTAAATCTGTTTGATGAAAATTAGTTTAATGCAAACATTTTATAATTACACCATATTTAAATATATATATATATATATATATATATATATACACACACACACACACAAAGGCAAAATTTAAAAAGTTTTATTTTTAATTTCCCAAATGACCAATTTATTTTCTAACATGTGTTGAGCAGAAAACTGTTCCATGCATAAAATTATCAACCGTTGATGGTAAGAGATTTTTTTCTTGTAATCGAGTAACAGAACAATGACTTAAAGGTTTTAAATTCCATCTCAAATACTTAGTTCAGGATATTTATTAAACTTAATAAAACAAAATATTGGCCATAATGTTTACTAAACTGATTAAGACCGAAACAGGTGGGGTGGTCAGGTCAAAAGGTAGTGATGACGCATACCCTGACTCCATCATAAAAATTCAGAATGTGGAATTAATAAGCTGTAAACATTTCAAATTTCTCAGTGTATGCATCAAGGTGGGAATGCTACTAGTATGCAAGGGGGTTACAGAGAGTGAAAGTGAGAGAAAAGTTTGGGTATAGGGAGGATTGAGGAAAAGATAAAAGATGAACAGATTCAAGAAGGTAGAAGATGGCGATTGACATTGCATTTAAATTTTTGAAGATTGCACTTATCAGGGAAGTAAGTAAACGGAAGGGAGTTCCACAGGTGGGAAGTGTGAGAAAAGAAACTGCTGAAATGGAAGTGGCGGTTGCATTTAACTACTTCAACAGTAAGCAGGTGGGACATAGATGCTAATCTAGTAGTACACTTAAATTCATGTAGTCGGAGCACCAGAGAAAAAAGCTCATTGTCATGAATATATTTGTAGAAAAGATAGAGGGAAGCCACATCATGTCAGTGAGAAAATGACTGAAATCAAGATGCCAAGCCAGGATTGATTACATTGCATATCCTTCTTTGGATTTTGTCAAGATCCTTGATGATGAATAGCAGGAGCACCAGACCAGGTATGGTAGCAGTATTCATTGCACAGATGAATGGTAGATTTGTAATGTGCAAGAGGGACTCTGATGAGAAAAACCTTCTGGCATGACACAGTGACCAAACTTTCCTTGCAGTAGATGCAGCTATTAAATCCGATGTTGTTGCTCCACTTCAAGTCAGTTGGAAACATGATGCTAAGAAGGCGCATTGTGTTGCTCTCCAGGAGTCTAGCAGCAGCCATTGTGATGACAGACAGGGAAGTTTCTCTATAGTGTTTAAATGAGAGCAGTTTCATTCTGGAGGCATGAAAATTTACAAGCTTATAACAAATTTTATATCAGAGAAAAGGAAATGGGACATAGAATCGGTTGTGTTTAGTATAGTTTTGTCCAACATGTGACAAAAGACCAAATATGAACATGAATCATTTTCTTAAATACCTTCATCAGATCTAAATTCCCACAAAGATCTCATGTGTATAATCCAATTTGTTCAAACTAACATCAATATTCAACAGTTTTCTCTGACTCTCTAGGTCTTAAAGACAAAACTTCTATGCACCATGTCCCTTCAGGATGTGGACTATCATGGCTATCTCCTGTCTTTTTTAGTTCTTAGAAATGTTTGTATTATTGCTATCTCTCCTAAACCCTGTTCTGGAAACCATTTACACAAGCTCATTAGGTAGGTTAAGCACTGTTTAACTTGTCCACTCTTGCCTTGTGAGTGTCAAATTTTCCGAGCCTTCTTTCCTCATTATAGGTATCCTAAAAATTTAAACTTTCTTTCTGATGTTAAGTATAAGTTTCCATTTTCTGTAAAGCTGTCATAGTTGTTCACATGTACAGTCTATGGTATCCTCAGCATCCTTCTGTAAAACCACATTTGTTGATTCAAGTCTCTTCCCCATCTGTGATGAGATTATCAAGCTTTCACTATTATATGGGAAGACCAGTATTACATAACAGTTCAGTAGTTTTTTTTTATAGTTTCTAATGAAATTTTCCTATTTCTTAATACTTTGCATAGCTTTTTGAAGGCGTCCTCTGCTATTCCGATGCTGCTTCAGATTTCGGTGTTGTACTTTTCGTCCACTATTAAAATATTCACAGATATTTAAATCATTGTATTTGCTTGGTTTTGGTATCCCCAATGTGTAATTTGCATGATGGGCCGTCCCTTTTGCTGATGACCATATGTTCTGTTTTCTTGTGATTGATGTTTAGTCCTTTCTTCTTGCTTTCCTTCACTACTTTCTGTACTTTTTGCAGTTTCTTTTCTATGTTTGCCACCTAAACTGTGTGATCTGTATATCCTGCTAAGATTATAACCACCAATAATGAATCCTCATTAGACTTCTAATTCTGTCAGTATTGCTTTCCTGTAAAAGTTTGTTATACTCCAAATAAGATCTTTTTCCGATTCAATCTACACATCAGCTAGATGTGAATTCTAAGCAAACAAAACCAAAAATAAAAAAGTCATCCTCTGTACAGGGGCTCCAAGCATCCCATCTGCCCACAAAAAATATGAAACACAACATAAAACAAGCCAAAATAAAAACATGAAAAAATGATGAGTCTGGGAACCACCACATATGCTTTAAGAAAGCCACCCATAAACAACTGAATCAGCTCCACTGCAAACACCAGGCTTCCCTAAACCACTCCAGACCACTCTTGACATCACCACTGTCACCTCAGTCAACCAACCTGACAAATGCATCAGCTCCAGGCTTTACCAACTCTACTCTTCCTTTAAAGCTGCCTCTCTCATTTAGAGACATCCACCATATAGGCAAATACCAAAAGAATTTTATAGTCACATATTTTATATGTCTTTTCCTTTCACCACACCAACAGTACTGTTGTTTCATTTCTTTTTCTATGCAACCATACTCATGTTTATAACAGTTTGAATAAATCCAGTTAGAAGACACACCCTTGTCTTACACCCCTTTCTATTTTTGTGTATTTACAAAATTTATTTTCTATCCATATACAGGTGGTTTGCTCCTAGTATTATTGCTTACCTTTCAGTTCAAGCAGTTTAACAAACACATCAGCATAATCTGTAAGATATACGTATAAATTCTTTTGTATTTGTATTAGTTTTAGGATATAAAAATTGCATTCCTTGTTCCAGTGTTTTTAATGAAACCACTTTGTTCATGCTTTATTTTCAGTATAATTCATTACACGGTAGCATACTCTATTCATCAGAATTTAGATAAGTTTAGTTTTATGGCTCTTTAGGCTGATTGTCTGATGGACTTTATATTCATTTGCACTTTGTATCTTAGGCAGTACTTTGAAAATGAATCTATTTAGGTCTTCTGATATATCACAATGTTGTATTTTAGTTTATTATTTAAACATTATTTTTAATGGTTGCCTATATTTAAGTAGATGCTCTGTTTTTATTCATTTATTAAATAGTATATTTATTTCAATCTTCCAGCCAGAATATTCAAGAAAACTTGTTAGAAAATAAGTTCCCTCTGGCAGGATTTGAACCTGCTTCTCCTAGGGGAAACCATCATTAACATGCCTTGACCTTTTGGCTACAAAGAAACTCCTCATCAAACAAAGCCCAAATAATGAATTTTGAACATAGATTTTACAAAATTCTCAAAATATACATATCTGCTCAATTTTGTATCCTAACGTAAACAAAATATGCATTCCTAAAAATTGTCTTTGTCTTTGGTACTGCTGCTTTGTTTCTGTTCAATTTGGCCATTGCTGATTCCACTTCAGATCCTTTGATATTTCTGTGTTTTGCTGGTTTTCCGCTTTTGTCAAGAGTTCTCCAGTGGGTTCATTTCATGAAGTATTTTTTCTTTCACTATTTTTACTATCTTGTCATTACATTTTATGTATCCCTGTCAATAAGTGGGTCTTTCATGTAGTTAGTTCCCTCCTTTTTTATGCATATCTGCTTTATCTGTGATATTCATACTTTTCATACTCTTCATTGAGCCATTCCTCTTTAGCCTGCCTGCATTTGTTTCTAATTTCTTTGTGCAGAGTCCTGTATTCTGTTCCATACATTGGTATTGTTTTTTGTCTTCTTTTCATCATACTGAGAATTTCTTCTCTCATCCATTACTTTTTTTTTCTTTATCTAATTTTCTTTGAGATTATCTCAATTGCTTATATTAAGGCTTCTCTTAATGTGTCCCACTTCAAATTGTTTTCATTCTCATTTTGTTTATTGTATCAGCCTTTAATACTGTCCATATATTTCGCCTTCACATTCGGGCCATTCAAGAGGGTTGTAATGCATTTTGGGTGCTGCATTGGTCCTCTTCAATTTCTATAGTTTTACTCTAAATTTACATATTATTGGAAGGTGGTCACTCCTGCAGTCAGCACTTGAGTATGTTTTGCAGTGTAAAATTGTATTCCTGAACTTCTTATTAGTTACATAGTACATTTTGTTTTTTGTTTCCCCTACTGGGTTTCTCCATGTCCATAAACATCTTAGGTGTTCTTGAAAGCACGTATTGGTTACTACCTGATCATTTGCCGTGCACCATTGCACCCATTTTTCTCTGCATTCATTACAAGTTCCTAGTCTGAATTTACCAACTATTTCACCGTATCTCTTTTTCTACTTTGCTATTCAGGTCTCCTATAACAATTGTAATTTCCTGCAATTTGCCATGAGCCTTAACATTGTCCAGTGAACAGTAAAACTTTCAGGGTCTTTCTCTGTACTTTGTGTTATCGGTGCATATCTGGAGTGAATACAGAAATAAACACCAAGTCAAATAACAGGAAAATGCTTACTGAGTCAGAAGACTGCACATCTTTCCAGCTAATAAATTCAATCTTTGAAAATAAATATGTAATGTTTTTCAACCAATGGGTTGCATTCCTGCCAACAATAAAAAAAATAAAAAAAACATGCTTCATGATCACTTTGAAGAGTATTTAACCAAAGTTTTTAGACAGACAAACCAGTAAGGAGAGATAATGGCAACAGGTCACGACACTTGACTTCCTCACCAAGCTACTGGACACTTAAACTTTCCTTCATCACATTTATTTCTTTTCATCTTCGTAAACAACTAAAACGAAAGGACTGTATCCTGACAAATATAAGAACTTTAATGCTCATACATGCTGAGAAAAATTTAGTTATAAAAAATATGAAAATAAAAATATTTTATATTTTTATATTTAAAAACCTTTCTCACCTTTTTCTTTGTTGCACGTTGATTCAAATCTGCAATGCATATACAACTATGATGGATATGTTAAAAATCTTCATATCCCACAACACATTTCTTCATGTCTTGGTCCTATACAAGTCCTACTCTCCTCTCATTTTTCGTTTCACCTGCATGTAAAACAAACCCTGTGTCTCTCACTAATGAATTACCCACCTTTTTTTGAATATATTTAAAATATTAACATTTGTTATAAAATAAAATAAAACATATCTCGGCTGATTTACAGGCAAATACTCAAGAGCGAGAGCCAGACGTGAACGGGACAAAGCCCCATCACAAAATGACCATTATCTTCATTTACAAATGTTCCCGACACACGTGTTGCAGTCGAAAAATAAAATAATATTTAAAGTGCTCTATTTTTCGTCCAATAAAAATGCTTCCCTCCTAATTATAGTCGCTTCATTTTTCAAGCCTGTTAAGCCATAAAAAAACGTTATATAAGAGGTCAAACGGAAGTTCGTCAACAGGTGGCCACAAAAGAGACCTGTCACGGTCAGGCTGAGCTGTCAGCAGGCGAGCATCAACCACCGTCAACATGTGTGAACTACTATGAGAGATTGACCTAGATCTGAAGCCGGCTTATGAACTTTACCACAAGGTAGCTGTCCCAAACCCTCACATTCCTGTTGAAATAAACTACGTAAATCTATTTCTGCTGTTGTTGTATTTCTTTCTTGCAACCATACGCTTGTCTATAACACATTTAATCTATTCATTTAATGCTTTTGGATCTCCAACTCAACTTTATTTATTATTGTGATTGAAGCAGGTGGATAGCAACCCTGTAGGATGAAAAATAAGACTTAAAGAGCAGAAGAATTCTTGAGGAGTCAGCAGCCAGTTAATTAAAGGTGGAGTCTCAATAAAAACACTATGGAGAACTACTCCACTATTAATCCCAAAAACATTCATGGCTATCAATATTCAGTTCATTAGATCTAAAACTTGGCACAACAGAATCACAAACAAAAAAAGCTTTACCAAATAACAGAAACCATATCACTTGAAGACTTTCAATAGCGGCAACAACTAAAATGGGTAGCACATGGAACTCAAAGAGAAAATAATGACATAAGATGTTCCACACTATCTTAAAAATATGGTTTGGAAGGAAACTACCATCACTACTAGGAAAAGTAATAACAGTGGACTTGAGAAACCTTTTTTTAAGAGAAAGCTTTTTTAAATTTCAACCGATGTTAATCCTAACTGTTGGGTTAATGAATGATAAATCTTTCCTCATAAGGTAATGGCTAATGTGACAATTACTAATCCTCAAATGGAAATAGCAATATTATACTGAATATAGTTTAATGCTGGGTGCTCAGAATATCAGTGGATTAACAAATTAGAATATTGTTTATCTTATGTAGCAAGAAAGCTTTAAACTTATTTTGTACCTTGCAAACAATGCCTGCAATCAGTTTCTTCTTAAAAACTATACTGGCTGTGGGATGTGCAGCCTTTTTGACACAGCAGTAAATCATTCTGTCTCTCTCCCTTTTTATCCCATCTTTTTTATACATCAGTTGCAGCCAAAATTTACATATGTTCAAAGGTAATCACACAAAAGAGTATCTGACTCCAGGATTTATCTGGTTTAAATATGTAATGAAGTTGCCATTTCTTTCTTTGAACAGTTTACCTTACATTTGAATCTTTGTTCATGCTGGAGGTATGTTATTTTATTCTGGCATTGCAAAAATTTTGACCTCTGCAGTAGTTCATTAGGATGGCTAAAAATGTTTATTTCAGGTTTGATAATCTAAGTCTGCTTCTATATACTGTTTCCTTCCAGCATGTGGACGAATGTTTTGAATACCATGGAAAGAGCACATGAGCAATGAAGAAGTTTTAAGGAAAATAGAAACTACAAGGAAACTTATACTTAGAATCAAAAAGGGAGAGATGGAATTTCTGGTACACATAAAGAAAGAAGGTCTAGGGTATTTAATGCACACAGGATGTATTGAAGTCAAAAGAAGCAGAAAGATAATAGTTAACATGCTTGATTTATCTGTCTATATTTCTAAGATGAGGTATTATGTACACTATTTACATTATTCGTACTATTGTCCTCATCTTTGTCACCATATTTATTACAATGTTGTAATAAATATGGCAACAAAGATGAAGACAATAGTCCAAATAATGTAAATAGTATGCTTGATTTAACTGATAATAGTTCAAAGGGCTTTTATTTATGAGATGGCTAATAAGGATTTTTGACATGTTAGTTTATATAAAAAGTAAATAAAAAGTAATTGATCAATATTGTAATTATTTTTTTTCCTTTGGTTTTCTCCAAACACTTTCTTTTTTAAATTCCAATATTTTTTTTAATTGAAAGAGAAATGCTTAAAACAATCTTGTAAATTAATTTATTTTTTAAACATTTCATCCAAACAAGGTAATAATGTCACTAAAATGCAAGGGGTGTGAAAGAATATAAGAAAAAGAAAAAGATTGAGAAGGGAGAGAAATTAAGGAGACAAACAATAATGATTGACATTGCATTTGAATTTTTATATCTAGCCATTTCAAATTTAATGATGGCATCTTGGTATCAATCGAGGACTATGCTTACATTCATAAAGTCGAGATATCAAAGAGGAAAGCTCATTAGAACAATTCCATGAAAATATTTATAGAAAAGGCAAAGGGAAGCTATGTCATGGCAGTAAGAATTTGACTGAAGCAGACAAGTGCAAAAATTGCAGTGAGGGTGCCCCTACGTTATCTAGGACAAATTTTTTCACCTTCATCATCACAAATTCAAAGACTGTACAATTCAGAAATTGTCATAAATCAACAATTTACCTCTTGTAACTGGTTGAATTGAAGTCCACTAAACTCTTCTAAGGAGTAGGTATGGTTCCGCTCGACCTTGCATAAACTCATGTCACTTATCCTGTGACACATCTCTCGGACATTTAGAAGAGCTGGACGTAACGACTGCAAAAATATGATACAAAGTTCAAAGAAATCATTAATGTGCAACAAAATACAGCAAAAAAAATTTAACATTCAAATACAGGAAATTTTGGGATTATATTGAACTTTAAGTAATGCATTTTATTATATACTTAAGGGTAGAAATCAGTGTGCTTAGATTGCTCAGCCACTAAGGACTTTTTATGAGGGGTTATAACCAGTGTATGCCTGCACAGGTAAAAACAAGGATTAAAATTTCAACAGAGTGTATTGATCAATTTTCAGAATATATACATAATGTCCAATGCCACTATACTTAGTTGTGTGAAAAGGCAACAAAATTGTTGATATGTGGTTCTTTAGTTGCCATTGGTTGATTTTGTTTAGTGACATATCAATTTCTATGCGTTATTTAATACCGAAAACTAAATATTTTGTACATAATTTTATCATGTGTGTATATTTCTGAGATAGGGTATTGTAACTATTTACATTGTTCGGACTGTTGTCATTTATGCTTTCAGGTAGACATATTTTTACATAATTTTATGCTTTCAGGGTAAAGGTATGTTTTTTTAGATATGTACTATGTCAATCATAAAGTGTATTGTTGATATTTTTATTATAAAAATGTATTTTTATATTTTTTAGTGTTGCATTGATTGTCATTTTGCTATAAAATTGTATTGCTGCTCATTTTATAAAAAAAATATACTGTTGATTTTTGTATAGGGATTCACCATTTGCCTATAGCTAGGTCCCTAACAGGTACTACCACCCGGCTCAGAGTGGACCTGGTAACAATGGCAGTTAAGAGGTAGTTCCATGCTCCTCAAAACTTCCAATCTCCTGATCAGAAACTGTCGTTGTTAAGAGAAGCAATTAGGTTAGTAAGGCTAGGAGTTGACAAATTTGTTAGGTCAGTTGACTGGGGTCATGGTGGTGATGACGAGAGAGGCCTGGAGAGGATTATTGGAGCTGTACGGTAACAGGAGTGAGATGTTGTTATCAGGGTAGATCTCCCTATCTTCAGGGTTGAAATCAACACCATTGACGTTTGTAGATGGGCCAGTTGTCTCATGCTGCAGTTAAAGAGTTGAGCCAAACTGACTGTTGTTGGCAAAACATACCATTTTTATATCTGTGGTTTAACAGGTACTGACTCCCAGGCTCATCCCCACCTTTTTTTGGTGGAAACATTTGTAATTAGCTATTTTAGATTTTTGTGGGAATTTGCCTCGTGAACTAGATGTGATGCTCAGAATCCCCGTGCAGAAGACATTTTTATTTGGGGTTTTGCTTTCTTAGCACTCAAATCCAACCGACATGTTTAGTGAAATGTATTTGTGAATTAGAAAGAAATCTTGTTTAAATTTGGTTTATTGATTTTGTTTGGCAGCAAATCAACCTCTATGGGTTATTAAATGCCGAAATTTTGTATGCACTTTTATGCTTTCAACTACAGAGATGATAAAAATATATTGCTGTTAATTTTACCATAAAAATGTGTTTTTATAATTTTTAGCATTGCATTGTTGGTCATTTTACTATAAAAATGTACTGTTGGTAATTTCTTTTTCTAAAAATGTAATGTTGTTATTTTTACTATAAAAAATGTATTTTTATACTTTTCTAGTGTTTTTATTTTTGTTTAGGGATTTACTATTTGCCCATAGCTAGGACCCTAACAGGTGCTACCACTCTGCTCCAGGGTGGACCTGGGAACAATATCAATTAAAAGATGATTCCACACTCCTCAAATCTCCCAATCAGAGGCCATGCTATCAAATGTAGTTTATCAGCATACCCAGGACTATAGACATAGTGTAATAGGTTTAGTAATAATCTGCAACAGGAAACATCTGATCCTATCATTCATGTAGAAGGGTTTTTTTTTCCTTAATCAAGTGATGTTCCATCATCACTGAGCAGACCCTGAATTTAATGGCTCAATGATATAGGTTTATCATGTCTATGGAGCAATATGCGAGAATATTCAAGATGGCTACTTTACAAGTTAAAATGAATCTAAGATTATTAGATAAAATATGAGATGTACAGAAGTCACACTGATTGAAACTTATAATATAACTATGTAAATTACTTGATTAATTTGAATCAAACTTTTAGTAAGTCAATGTTTGCTTATAACCTGTATATAGGTGACTTCATTTGTCAAACAAAATTTTTGTAAAGCCATTGCATGAAACTTTGATTATCAGACAAGTGTCATTGAATTTTATACTAGTGTTGTCATATCCTACTATGGCAACAGGAAAATGACTGAAAATTGAAGATGATGCTACTGCAGTTGTCTGGCCACTTATATCCAATGGAGGAAATATTTCTGAATATTGCAAAGTGATAAAAGTTGAAGAAAAAAAATGAAACAAGAAAAAACAAAAGAAAAAAAGAAACAAAGAAGAAAAATGGATTTTATAATTCACAAAAATTGGATGCTTCTACATGAAGCAATTATTAGTGAGTTGGTCTTGCAGACTAGTGCTACTGTAAAAGGTTCAATTCTTAACCTAGTATTCCACATATGTGACTGTATCCGCATAAACTAAGCTTCGTAAATTTCTTCTGCAGAGAAATGGTTATCAAGCTAATTTCACAGACCATTACTATTTCTTGTGTCAATCCTTACTGAGTGCCCCGTAATATTAGCCCTGTACCAGACAAAGCTAAATTTAGTAAATATCAAAGACAACTGTACTTAACTGGATCCACAATGAATAAGTTAGCATTTAGAAATTCTTTTACTGCTTTGGTTTTCTTGGAACGGACATTTACTCTCCAGACTGTGAAGGCTTTCCATTTCCAAAAATTTGCAAAAACAGGAATCTGAAAATAAATAAATAAATAAAAAGACTTATTCTTCAAATTATTTCATTACATATCTTTATTGTTCTTTTTTATAACGTTTTGGCCAATGAGCTTCTTATGATTCATGATGATATTTCATCATTCTAGGAATAAAGATCTGAAAATTCCTCATTCTAAAAACAACTTTTCTGCTAAAAGCAAAAGTAGCAGTAGTAACAATGTATCTTCTTTGCCTCATGAAAATCCAGAGTTGACGGTTTCAGAAGCTTCCCTTAACCACAAAATTCTCAGAACAATTATAAACAAATAAGAACAAAACAAAACAAAAAGAGACAAATAATCCTGAGAACATTTAACACACACAAAACCAATAATGTAAATAACATCACAAAAAGAAAAATACACATTCTTGTCATTAATTTCAACATGTCTCAAAGTCTTATTTATTGAAATTATTACGGAGTCGCTAACTGGGTGCTCTGTGATTGGATGAAAAAACAACCAATCACAGGCTACCTTTTTAGACTTTCACCAAATCCCCATGTGAGCGGTTTTTACAAACGCTCTTTCTCTTTTGCTTGTTGGGAACCTCAGAGACAACACGTTCCCCGTCTGCACTCCGTCATCTAAACATCAGGACACGTGTGAGGACTTCGACAGCAACTGAAGCACAGGAGTCAGGACTCTATTTTCTTCAACCAAGCCAAACAGGAAAGATAAAACTGTTATAAGGACACATTTTGCAGATAAGTCTCGCAAACCGACTGTTTGCAAGCTGAAACTTTACTTTTGTTTTCCTACAAATACATGTTTTTTCATACATATTTCAACTGTGTTTGTGTTCCTTTCTTCTTGCCGGCGTCACAATATTTTTGTTACCAATATAATTGGGAAAATCCCAATATATTGTTGTATGTTTTATTCATTTCATTTTCATTAAAAATGAAAAAAAGAATCCTCTATCAACTACTAATACATATAACATGGGGTAACTTACATTAACAACTCAACATTCAACCCCATTACAAGTTCTTTGACTTTTCTCAGATGTACCTTAAAAGTGTTACTTCTGAGAATTTTTTGTTTGATTAGATATTGGACTACTTTTTAAATCAATCTGGTCAAACTGTAAAATCAAGCACATAATTTATCTAGAAATTATCTGTAAGACATAAAATAATATGTCAATTTGTTGACCAAGTTTAACTTGACAATTCCCAAGAGGCTGAAATTTCTTCTCGTTTCAAAAAGTCATATAACATTGATTATGGTCAAATAATGCTTTACTTTGGTCAATATCAGCCTCAACTGAGTTACCCCACCATAGCGCATCATTCATTAAGAAATCTTCAGCACAAAACTTCACAAACCACTTCTGACACATTTGATCATTCACAGAACCTTCTCCATAAACTGCACAAATCATTTTCTTTTTACATTTCTAACTTTTTTTTTTAAAGGGAAAAAGTGACATGCTGAAAATGTTACTTTAAAAAGAATATTGCTATTTTAAGAAAATATTTTTTATATTTTCCATGTTAGAATCAATAGGCAAAAGTATGGTAAGCTTATATAAATATTTGCAGAGAATTTTTAATTACCTCTTAAATACTTATATATTAAGACATATTTCAGTAAAGAAATATATCATAATCATGTCTGAGAAAGTACAAGAAAGGAAGCCTGAAATATTATGGTAAGAAAACTAAAAGCAAAGCATAACTAAATTAACCACGTTTTAATACCACTGATATCAAGATATTTCAAAGTGTGTAACAAAAGTAGAGAGAAAGCAAGTTGACAAAATTAGTTCAAACCTTACTGACAGTCACTGCCATATGGAGGTCCAAACGCTTTTTTTCATTTGCTGCTGATTTTATACTAACATGTCACATGACAACATATCTCAGAGAAAACAACACCCCCCAACTTTTGCCATTTATATTTTATTTATTTCTTCACATGGTTACATGAACTTTACACTTAAATGCTTCAAATGACATCTACACCCTGTCGGCTGGGGCTGTAGAATACACCGACTGCACCTCAGCAGATGGGTAAGACCCCTCCAACCAATGGGGCATCCTGGGTATCATGGTAAACTGCATCAGCGTCCAGGGTAAGACGATAAACTACGTCCAGCAGCAAGGCCTCTGATAAGGAGGTTTTGAGGAGCATGGAACCACCTCTTAATTGTTGGTGTTCCCAGGTGCACTCTGACCCAGGGTGTTAGAATCTGTTAGGGTCCCAGCTATGGGCAAATAGTTAACCCCGAAACTGAGGTAAAAAGCATTATAAAAGTGTAAAAATAGGCTTTAATACCAGAAATACTTTGAAAAAAATTATTACCAGAAATTAATTTTTGAAAAAAAAATATTGCCAGCAATATGTTTTTGAAAAAAAAAAAAAATTATCAGCAATACATGTGATTGTACTCAAAAATATGAGTAACTTAAAAATGGTTCAAATATATATGTATACATATACACTTTTTTTACCAAACTATTGCTATGTATCTATTTCAAAAATTTTGTTGGCATTAAATGACCCACTGAGGTTGACATGCCATAAAACAAAACAACCAACCAATTAAATGACATCTAATAACAGAACCAACTTTTTGATTAACCCAATTGTACCTAAAGTTTAGGGGCACAAGCGATACTATCTTTTGTCCTTATGCCAAGGCTCCATTCTGATGCTAATCTAATCATCTACAACGATAATGTCTTTGCCACTGACCATGAGAATGTTTATAAACAAAGTTTTATGTTTTTTTTTTGACAATGATGTTCACTCTGTATAAGGCCTAAGAGCCACTCAAGGCAGATGGTTACAGAGTAAGAAGCACAGTTATGTGGTTATAGATTTTAATAGTTTTCTTTTAATTTTTTAACATTTTTATAGTTATGTATGTTAGCTTGGGAAAGTAGTGATTCTTTCAGGAACAGAGATACTGAGAAAAAACCTGGAACACAGATTTATATTTTGATAAGATTCAATAGCGGCACTTATAAAAATTTTTCTTCAAAGTAAGTTAATTTCTCTTTTGATAATTATGGTGTTCTTTAGATCAACGTAGTGGTTGAATTTATTTCTAGGTATAACTAATGCATTTGAGAAATTGTTATGTATAAGATCTCTTTTGTGTTCATAGATACATTTTTTTTTTTAAATTTCTGCAAATTTCCCCAATGTAATGTGAGCAGCAGTTCTGGCAACTTATTTTATATATACCTGCTTTAGATTTATTATTGTTACTTGCCTAAAAGTCACCCTTCAGTCAGTCTTTATTCTAGCTCCTGCAGAGGACTTTTGGGTCTTCACCATCCTATTTGCATAAAAGTCATAAAAATTTACAAATAATAAAACTATTTTATCTTTATTTGAAACCTTAATTTGACAATCTTTTTTCATATACGCAACTAATCTACATAGTTTGTTTACATTTATTGTGTGTGCAATTTTTATTTTCTTTTAAAATCATCATTCTTTATGATCCCTTCACATAAAGTCACTCTTAAAAGACATTAGGGAACCTGAATTATGTAATATTTTGAATACATTTGAATACGTGCTAGAAAAAGGAAAAAAAAAAAAAACGATCAATGTACTGTGCCCTGCTTAAGTTTTAATTATGGCTTAACTAGGTGATATTAATTGCAATTGGGACAAAAAACAAAATTAAAGTTAAACCTTTAATAAAGGATTTTAAACCTTTTACTCAGTTTGATATTTTATATTTAATTTTTAATCATGTGTAACTACAGCAGTTACTACTTGTTACTTCAGGTTGTATATGATTTGCTCATATCAAAAAACAGACACACATACACTGTGCTTTATTTATATAAATGAGTATTTTTGCTTCTGATCATATCCATACTTATTTGGAGGTAGTTGTAATTATTTTGAAGTTGTTTAGCTTGGATAAATTGTTTCAGATAGTGAATGTTATGGAATTAGTAAGTCATATTATGTGTTTGCTTTTATCTAATTTATTATTCATAATGTTGTCATCTTTTTTGCAGTTGTATATTTTATATGCCTTTCTCTTAGCATTATGGATGAAATAAAAATATTGAAGGTTTTTGAATGTGTTTTCTACATATATTTCTTCTTTCAGTAAGTATTGGGGACTGCAGATTCTCAGTGCTCTTAAATATAATCCTATAATTATTTCAGATTTCATTTTTGTTACAGTGGTGGGAATAAAAATTCAACCATAACATAAGAATGTCACACTTATCAAAATAATAATAACTTTCTTTGAATGAAAACTCTTGAGAATGCTGCTATTGAATCTTATCAAAATATAAATCTACATCCTGGAATTTTTCCAATATCTCCATTCCTGAAAGTATTGCTACTTTCCCAAGCCAACGTACATAACTATAAAAATGTTAAAAAATAAATGAAAAGAAAATGGTTAAATACATAATTTCATGTTCAGGAAGAGTCAGATGATATTTCTGGGACATGTAATGAGAAAAGAGGGCCTGGAGAATCTGAAACTCACAGATCGAATAGAGGGAAAGAGAGACAAGGGAAAGCAACGTATGACATACCTGGCAAGTGGATGACAGAATGTGGTCTGGGGGAGGTGGCAGAGGGACAAAGCATTGAGAGCTACAAGGGATAGGAGGATGTGGAGAGCCATCATCACCTATGTCCTGAAGGGACACGGCACATAAAAATAAAGAACACATAAATTAATCCCAAACTAAAATAATTCAAATACTAATCTGCATTAAAAAAAAAAAAAAATTTTAGACGTAAAATAAATTTTTTTTTATTTCTTTTAAAAAAGCGATTTGATGATGATTTTTTTTTTTAAAACGATGTTCAGCATTTTAAAGTTTGTTTTTTGTTTTTTTCCGTGGGGCACTATTGAGATGGTCACGGAGATGATGATGATGATAATAATAAAACAAGTAAATAAAAGAAATTTCAAGGAAGATAACTCCAGGTATATCAAATTCTATTCGTAGAGTAGCTTCCCTTACCTATTTAATTCGTTTTTTTTTGTTTTTTTTTTTAAATTATTACAAGTCGAGTAACCGAAATTCCAAAATCCGAAATTTTTTCATGTGCTGACAAGACTTACTACAAAGGGAAAATTTCAGAAAGCATCATGGCTACCTGTACCATGATTATTACGTTGCAGTGTTACAAATAAATTGCTAACTTTTTTTCAGTTTTTTTTCACTGTAATCAGAATCCGTGTTTTTATACAAATACTGTATCTATTTTAATCAAAACACAACATCGTTAGAGACGTTTTCCTTCTCACACCCACAGTGACGTCATCGATGATGTACCCTCCCCGCCCCCGGTTTCTCACACCTGATGTAGAAATAGTGTTTAGTCTTGCATTTATACAGTATAACCCGGATATAAGAGAAACCCGGGTATAAGAGAGATTTTCACTGGTCCCAAATTAGAGCCTGTGTTAATGTATATAAAATAGACCAAACCCGGATATAAGAGAAACCCGCATATAAGAGACTTCTTCTCCGGTCCCGACAACCCTCTTATATCCGGGTAACACTGTATATTATTTTGTAAGTAGTAATCATGTTTATTATAGTTATACAGAAAGTACAAAACATTATTTTTAAATGATACCTTAATTTCATGACTTAAAAATCCATGTGAGTATTACATGACTAGCATCATTACACAGAATTTATTAAATTAAATAAAACTACTTTCAAGGTATATGTTATTTATATGCTCTACCTTCAGCGTATATGTATCAGCTGTGTTATGAAATGTAAAAGAATATTGTGTTTATGCTTGGGTTCCATTCCCAAGCTGACCCATTTTATAGATGCTATATACAAATTAAATAGCCTGTATTCCAAAATCCGAAAATATCTGAAAACCAAAGCACTTTCGGTCCCACCAATTTCAGATAAAGGATTCTGAACCTGTATATGTAATTATAAAGTCAATGTAGGGATATGCAGGAGGTATAAAAAAAAAATATGTTGCTTTGTTACATTAACAGAAAATGGATAAATTCAAGAAGAATTTAGAATGAGCATTCATTATCTAAATTAGCAATTCTCAATTTAAAAAATGCAAAAATAAATTTGATATCTTCTAACCAAAAATACAATGTATCTGCAATGTTGTAAGAATGTTCTGTGTCAGCTACGGTGATTGTTAGCAGCCTTTATGTGAATCTATTTAAAAGGAATGCTCATATTATTTATTTGAATGCAATGCTGAGATACTGCCAATATGATAGATCACCAGTGCCTAAGCGAATCATTTTTTTCTTCTAAAGAGTATTCTACCAAGATTTATAATCTGGGCATAATCTTAACAATATAAGATATACAGGGGACACTGTGTTGAGGGCTGAATCAGAAAGAATACTACAGGACCTCCAAGACAGGGTGGTAGAAAAAAGTGAAAAAAAAAAAAAAAAAGGACTAACAATCGATAGCAAAAAGACAATGTATATTCATTTGTAAGAGAAAAAATACTGTGGAGAATTTGACTTTACAGGTGGGAGAAAACCAATGTACTTACCTGGGGTTGTTTGATTCTAACTGAAAGGTGTTACTTTTTTTAACTAACTTATTATAGTTACAGGGCTCACGTGACTTTATTACCACATGATTCCTGAAGTAGTTATAACAGAGGGGAAGTGTTTTTTCCTCCTCATTGTTTACATTTACTTTATGCAAGTTATTAGATGGTCACATTACATCACAGAAAGGAATCTTATTTCGCGACTCAAGTGCTTTTGCTTCTTTTCCTCAGACTGAACCATCTCGAGATTTTCTCAACAATACCCAAGACGCAAGTTATAAATTGAAGGTGTCAACATCAAGCAGATGCAGACGGTTTAATATCCGAGAAGTGTTTTAACAGAGGATGAAAAATGTGACACCGAGATCAAAACACGTACTGAACTAACAAAAGAAGCATTCCAAAAGCTAAGCAAGGTGTGGAGAAATGGAAAATTTTCATTAGAAACAAAAAAAAAAAAGAGTACTGGCTGGATTGCTCTGTATTATTCATCCTCTTGTATGGCAGTGAATAAATGCTGGATATTCTGCCCACAGATGAGAAAAGTGGAGGCAGCAGAAATGTGTTTCTACAGAATGATACTGAATACTCCATGGACAGAGCGAGTAAGCAACAAGAATCTTAAAGTCAGTGGCAACAGAAAAAACACACATACTCAAAATCAGGAGAAGATAGCTGAAACTATTGAGGAAGGAGGGCTTGGAAAACTTAACCTTCACAAGGCATATCAAGTGTAGAAGAGATAGGGGAAAGCAGTGAGTCACTTACTTGATGAGTTTGTGTGAATTGGTGGGACAGAATTTTTAGCAAAAGGAGAAAAACTGCTAAGGGCCATAAAGGATAGAAAATTGTGGAGAGTCAAAATCACTTATATTCGGAAGGAACATGGTACATAGAAGAAGAATGCAATTCCTTTTAAAGTCTTTTTCAACTCTATACGTCTAACATCTCTGCATAAACTCTAAAATTTTATCTACCATACTTTACTTTTTTTTCTCTCTCTCAATAGGAAAAGATAGGTTCACCTATCATTGGGTTCATACTCATCCCCAATTTTTTGAAGGAAAGTATTAGGTTGGTGCAAAAATAATGACGTAAGAATGTCGTTTTTTGACGTTAAAAAATACATCAAAAAACAACATTATTGCGTCATTATTTTTGCACCAACCTAATAGTTTATTCCTTGTTTCCTGTTTGATATTGAGTTTCCAGTTACTTCTAAAGTCTTTTCATTCTCTTTCACTTCAAGTAGCCCCTCACATCTTAGTGGCATTATTGCCTTGCTCAGGGTGAATTGATAAAAAAAAAGTTATAATAATATTTGAATGTATTATATGAAAGATTGTCAATCAATTTTTGTGATATTATTTCTTTTTATCACATTTCTCAGACCATCTTTTTATGTTTGTTTTGTAATGGAATGTTCCACTCTCCCTATTACCTATTGTGGACTGACTATATCAATAATATATGTAGAATATACCAGTGTCTGTCTTTCTAACTGGCTTTGGCTAAATGCGACCTGTTCCAGCTAAACAGTTGAACTCTCTACCTCTGAGCAGAGAGGAACCCAGACGAGGCTCCACCGAAGGGCAGTCTCGTTCGGGGAGGTAGACTGACCCTGAACCCGTTTATGCAGGTTCAAAAAGGGAATATTTTTGGCCAAGCCTACAGGCTCGGAGAACCCACGTTAAACCGGCCTTGTGCCACATGCAACCCTGGGGGAGGGGGGTAGCTAAATATACTAAATGGCTTTGGGAAGTGTTAGTCAATTCCCTGTCTTCAGTAGTGTATTCTCTTTTATATTAAACCTCTCTTTCTTCCATCTACACCCTTGTTGCTGTTCCTTCCACTCGAGTACCACCTTTGTCTTTTTGTAACCTTTTTAAGGATACAACCATTTGACAGTTAATTCCATGACTAATATCTCTCTCTTATATTTCTCTATCTACAAACCATATATATTGGGTGCCTTGTCATGGTAGAATAGGTAGCAAATTTGTCTTGCAGATTAGAAGTTCCGAGTATGATCCTCACTAGAGGTTTGTCGATTCTGAAAACTTCTGGAATGTACATTGTATTTCTAATTTTATGTCCATAGGTTCAGCTATCGTCCAGTTCACACTCTTCTCTAGTCTTTTGAACAGGAGTAGATGTTTATCCCTTATTTCTTGTTTAGGATTGGGTTTCTGGTTCTTTCTAAAGTATTTTTCATTCTCTTTCACTTCAAGTACCCCACCCTCACGTCTTAGTGCCATTATCACCCTGATTGGGGTGAAATTGATTTAAAAAAATTAATTAAAAAATCAAGTTGTTTCAAGAGGAGTGAATAAGAACAAGAACATCAAGAAGGAATTTTCAGTTACTTACTTTTCTTATCATCATAAAATATTCATATTCTTGTTCCCATTGATCCAAAGGTAAAAATTCTGTTTCATCATTCATTCGGATTCGCATGACACCCCGGTCACTGATTGTACAATAGTCAAATTTGTTGATGTTTTCATAGTTCACTACTCTGAAAAAAAAACATTTAAATAGATTAACTGACAGTAAAATTAGCTGTGCACAAGTCATCACCAATACTCTTTCTTGAAAACTAGAGACTGATTTATCTTCTAATGTGTCATATCACTGCAGGAATTGGAATATAACTCTCCACAGCTTACTCTCCTTTGTAGTTCACAGTGAGGCTTGTTTTTTCCATCTCTCCACGCCCTGTTTTACAACCCATTTACATAAGCTTGTAAGGTCTGTCTATATTTCTCAGATGAGGTATTATGTACATTATTTACATCATTCAGACTATTGTCCTCATCTTTGTCGCCATATTTATTACAACGTTTTGGCCCTTCAGTATCTGTCTATATTTCTGAGATGAGGTATTATGTATATTATTTACATTATTCAGACTATTGTCCTCATCTTTGTTGCCATATTTATTACAACGTTTCGGCACTTCAGTATCTGTCTATATTTCTGAGATGAGGTATTATGTACATTATTTACATTATTCGGACTATTGTCCTCATCTTTGTCGCCATATTTATCACAACATTTCGGCCGTTGTATGCTCCGGCCTTCTTCAGGTGGTTAGGATGTCGAACTGAACCCTTTATTTCGCTCACTGGTGTAGACTGTTCTAGTTCCACGAGCCATGTCTAATGGATGTCAGTTACTCCTGTTAATTCCCCTCAAGGACACATGGCACAGTAGATAAAAGCATTGGTTAGATTCAGTGAAAGGACCCAAAGAGTGTGAGTTCAATACCCGGTTAAGGCAGTGGAGAACTTTCAGAGGGAAATTAACAGGAGATAACTGATGACTGACATCCATCAAACATGGCACGTGGAACTAGAACAGTCTACCCCTGTGAGCGAAATAAAGGGTTCAGTTCGACATTCCAACCACCTGAAGAAGGCCGGAGCGTACAACAGCTGAAACGTTGTGATAAATATGGCGACAAAGATGAGGACAATAGTCCAAATAATGTAAATAAGCTTGTAAGGTAAGTTACTCACTGTGTCCCTCTTGTTATCAATATATCCTGTAAGTATCAAATTCTCCAAACCATCTTTCCTCATTATGTGTCCTACAAGCTTCAACTGTATCTTTCCGATTCTAAGTATCAGAGTATTTTTTCTGTTTCCATTTCCCTTGAAATTTCTTCATCAATCATGTTCAGTCTATTCTCAGTATCCTTCTGTAGAACCACATCTCTATTACCTCAAGTCACTTGATCATCATCTGTGGTTGTACTCTTAATGCAGCTCCTTGTCTCAAATGTCTTGAGATTAAAGCTCACTCCAGCCCTAAAGAAGAATTTCTACCATTACTAAAGACACTGAAAAGAATGGTTGGTTCCATGTAATATTACAGTCGAGTTCGTCCTTATATATGGCTCCTTAACCTGAACACTAACAACCAAACTGTAAAAGAGGTCAGGTGGTGCTTACATATGAATGCTTTCAGCAGCACTAAACAAATCCTGGAAAGATCACAAAACAAAGAAAGAGCTCATCAGCAAATCAATATGACGACAAAGACTAAGATTTGCTGGTCATTGTCACAGCATCACGAATGTAGCCCAGGAAGTTGGATTGTATGTCAATGCGGGTAAAATGGAGTACATCTGCCTAAATCAAGATACAGGTATGAAAAGTCTGAACGGAGAAAACATCAATCAAGTAGACAACTTCAAATACCTGGGTATTGCCTTGACTGAAAATGATGTCAATATCAGATTGGGAAAAGCCTAGGCAGTGTCTAATGAAATGAACAAAATCTGGAAATCAAATCTGCCAGACAAACTGAAGAGAAACTTTTTTTAGAGCTACAGTAGAGTCTGTCCTTGTATATGATTCCTTAATCTGACCACTAACAGTCAAACTGAAAAAAGAGGTTAAATGCTACTTCGAGCAGCACTAAACAAATCCTGGAAAGATCACTCAACAATGAAAGAGCTCTATGGCAACAGACCTTCCTCCAGCAAATTAATACACCAACAAAGACTAAGATTTGCTGGTCACTGTTGGCGTAGCAAAGAAGAACTAGCTGGAGACGTCCTACTCTAGATACCATCCCATGGAAAAAGAACAGAGGATCGACCAAGAAGATGTACATTGACCATCTGATTGCAGATGTAATAGTAATGGCAACCTTAGCGATACTGGCTGACGCAACGTCACTCCTTCACAACATCCGAAGAGTTCATCTGCCTGAATCAAGATACAGGTATGAAAAGTCTGATTAGAGAAAACATCAATCAAGTAGACAACTTCAAATACCTGGGTATTGCCACCACTGAAAATGATGTCAATTGTCAGATTGGGAAAAGCCTGGGCAGTGCTTAATGAAATGAACAAAATCTGGAGATGAAATCTAACAGATAGAATGAAGAGAAACTTTTTTTTTTAGAGCTACAGTAGAGTCTGTCCTTGTATATGATTCCTTAATCTGGCCACTAACAGTCAAACTGAAAAAAGAGGTTAGATGCTAGATGACCATCTAAAAGATGCAATTTCACTCCTTCACAACATTGAAAATGTAGCCCAGGAGATTGGACTGTGTGTCAATGCAGATAAAACAAAGTTCATCTGTCTGAATCAAGATACATCGACAGGCATGAAACATTTGAATGGAGAAAACATCAAGCAAGTACACTATTTACATTGTTCAGGCTAGCATCCTCATCTTTGTTGCCATATTTATTACAACGTTTCGGCCGTTGTACGTTCTGGCCTTCTTCAGGTGGTTGGAATGTTGATTTATTTAGCTTGCTGGGGTAGACTGTTATAGTTCCATGTGCAAGTTCTCCACTGCCTTAACCAGGTATTGAACTCAATACTTGTGCCATGTGTCCTCAAGGACACAAGGCACAGTGGATAAAGGCATTAGTAAGGTCCAGTGACAGGACCCACAGTGTGTGATTTCTAGGTGATAATGTTACTAAAATACATATCAGAGGTTACTGGGAATGGAAGACAATAAAAAGACTTTAGTGAGGATAAAGGACAATAAAAGAACAAGTTTCAAGAAGATAGAAAATGGCGATAATACCGCTAAGACGCAAAGGGTTACTGGGAATAAAAGAAAATGTGAAGACTTTAGTGAAGAGAAAGAACAATAAAAGTACAGGTTTCAAGAAAACAGAAGATGGCAATAATGTCACTATGATGCACGAGGTTACTGAGAGTGAAAGAGAATGAGAAGATTTTAGTGAAGAGAAAGGACAATAATAGAACAGGTTTCAGAAAGACAGGATATGGCAATTGGGATTCCATTTAAATTTTGGCTGTGTGTATTATCAACGTACAGTGATATTACTAATCTCAATCACTACACAATGAAAAGAATAATGGCTTTATTATCACCATCCGGTGATAATATTTTTTTTCTGGTATTTTCACCAGGAATCTAAATAATTTATGGTTACTTATCAATTAGCTCTATAAGAAATTAAAAGGTATTTCACAAAATTAGATTTATTTCATATTAAAATTAAAAGGTATTTTATAAAAGGCTGTGTCTGTTACCACTGTACAGTGAACTTCTAAAGTTTTCGTTCTACCTATGTTGCCTTGGCTGGTAGAAGGAGGGTAGTTCTGGAACTTATTCTGCAGTGATGACAGGAGTGGGAATTGGTCAAAAAACAATCCACTAGTTATTCTGTAACTACTTGGAATGATAAACAAAGCTCCAAAAGTTCTTCTCTCTCTACTTTCTCCTTGTTATTCCCTCACCAGCTCCCTCTAACTACTTCCAGGGCTAAACAAAGCTCTTGATACCTCTCTTTCCGTATCTACCTTCACTAACCTCAAAACACTTTTAACCAATGTCCGTACATTGATATTAATGTCACCTGTGTGGTGATAACAGTCACTCCCTTAAACTTTTTAAGATTGTAGGTAGCAGGAAATCAGATGCGAGTTCCACAGCCAAGATAAGCAACTATTAGAATAGAATTTAACAAGAACTAATTTAACAAGAAAACTATTAAATTCTATTCTTCTGATTGAAGTGGTCAAAAAAAGAAATATTTGAAACTGAATCCAATACTGACCCAAGAAAGGCTATAGAACACAACTGCCAAAAATGATATTTCAACAACAAAGAAGATACAAGTATAAATATTTTGGCGTGGTGTTTTTTTTTTTTTTTGTTTTTTTTTCATTTTGTCGCGCACATTTCTGAATGGAAATTCAAGGGAGATAACTTCTGTAAGATTTGATAAACTTTAAAATGAACGCTTTCGTAATGCTTTGAAAACATTTCGTTCAAACAGAAAATAATCACATGTAAGACCAGAGAGATCTTGTTTAGCACAACCACCCACTTTTTTTGTTAAAGTAAAAATAGGATGAGTTTAGAGACACTACTTAAGTAGACAGGACCACTAAAAATAGGGATTTTTTTTTTTGTCAGAATCGAAAAATATTGATTTTTTTAAAAATCATTTTATAATTTTATTTTTAGAGATGTGTGTTCTTTCATAAAAATAAAAATTAAATATACAGTTACAATATAATCGATTCCTGATAATTTTTTAGTTATTTCAGGAGCGGGCTTTTCTGTGTATGAAAATAGCGTTTGTTTCTTTTTTCTTTAACAAAAAGATTTCTTTTAAAGAAATAACAAATGGATATATATATTTTTTTAATTAAAGGACAAAAATTTAACTAAATTAATATATATCTGTTTCGTAATCATTTTTCCCAAAATAAATCCTAAATAAAATAAAAAGTTTTTAAAATTTAGAAAATTAAACAAAGAATATGCAGATATGAATGATGATAGATTCAAATTTTATATTTTTGAAAATATAGGAGTTAGGTTCAGTAACTCTGCAAAAAGTCAGTGTCGATTTTACACTATATATATATATATATATATATATATATATAATTTTTAAAACGATTTAACACAAAATTAATATTCTGACAAATGTCGTGACTTGGTAAATGATAAAATGCTAATAAAAATTACTACCCGAAAACTTTTCCAATATTTTTACGACGGACCAGCCAATTTAAGTTGGACCACGGTTTGAATACTATCAAAGAAGATTTTTTTTTTTTTATTCTTACTTTAGATTATAATAATAATAGTTGACAGAAGATTTTGGAACTGCTGGGCTTAAATAGACGAAACCAAGGTAGGATTTTTCTCTCATGGTCTGCAAAACCAAAGGGATATTACTCTGTCCTTCATATATTTGGATACCTATGGAAAAAAAAAGAAAAAAAATTAATACATTTCACTTGTTCAGTGGCATTTGTCAAATTTTCATCTCTTCTTTTTTTTTTATTGTTTCAAATTCCAGGTTTTAATTTCAATAATCCGACTGTCTTAATTTCAAAATTTTAACTAAATAAAACTAGAATTGTTAATATATGTGTGTTTTTGTGTATGAAATATATATATATATATATATATATATATATATATGGAATTTATTATATATATTATTTATATATCATATATACACGGTACTTATTAGAAAGTGCTCAATATCAGTGATAGAGCTAACATATTTAGCTGGACTGATGTGATTTCGTGACCCTGGGTTTTATGCTTTTGCAATCGTCAGGCAAACTCGTTGGTCAGACGATCACAAAAGTGTAAAACCCAAGATCACAAACTCACATCAACCCAACTATATATATATATATATATATATATATATATTTGGTTGGATTGATGTGAGTTTGTGATTCAAATTCCACGCTTTTGCGATCATCAGGCAAACAGGTATGTCTGCGATCGCAAAAGCGTGAAGCCCAGGGTCACAAACGCACATCAATCTAACCAAATATGTTAGCTCTGTCTCTTATATTGAGCGCTTTCTAATAAGTACCACGCATATAATATATAAATAATTATATATATATATATATATATATATATATATAATTTATATACACACATTTTTCACATATATATATATATATATATATATACATACACTTCCAAATGAAATCAGTTTGAAAGTCTAGAGAGATATCTTTATGATACCACCTCTTATATAAATAGACAACTGGGTTGGGCACCTCGGCGTGGTGTAATGGTTAGCAAGCTTGTCTCGCTAGATCAGTTACAACTGAAAAGTGAGTTCGATCCTCACTAGGTGTCCCATACTTTCGGCCTTGTGTCACATCTAAGCTATGCTTGGAAAATAACTAAATAGACAACTGGGAAATTTCTGGATAATTTTTTTTTTTTTTTACCTTTTAGTTTCCTAGTATTTTGTGCCGATTTTCGTATTTGTCTTGACCACTGACGTCGGGGTCTTCCTTCTGGAGGCTCTGGAGAAAAAACAGGGACAGGTTGCACCTGTGAAAAAAAAAAAAAAAAATGGTTTTATTCAAGTAGAAACCATCACAAAAAATATCTTTGTACACTTAGACCAGTTTTGCTTCTTAAAGCATGTATCTATTTCAGAGTATAAAAATAAATGTTTCATTTAAGAAACAAAATAAAAGAGACTAACTTCATTCTTTTAATTTTTACAATGTTATTCACCCTGTACAAGGTCAGAGAGTCACTCAAGGTAGATTCGAGGTAATTCAATAAAACTTTTGTTTTTAATTATTTTTTAATAAAGTAAATTGAAAAATGCAGAACAGAATGAAACACTTTTTGTTTTTAATTATTTTTGATAAAGTAAACCATAATGTAATTTATTTTTTAATAAAGTGAATCTAAATTCTTATTTTTTATATGCCAATTTACTCTATTAAAAAATAAAATTTACTTCATTAAAAATAAATTAAAAACAAAAACTGGTTTATATTTTACATAATGCTTTTTCAAATGCCTTATTTGAAGAAAAATATTCACTAATTAAGGTTTTAATTCTTAATAAATTACTTTTATTCAGTAATAAAAAAAAAAATGTTATGCTTTTCTGGTGCTGAGTTGTCTCGGTCCTGAGTTGTTCCAGCACTCAGTCGGCAGTGGCGAGTTGTCCTACACCCATTTTGAAAGAATTGTGTTAAAAGCAGGAGACCCCATACAGAGTATTTAAAAGATAAGTAGGATATTTTCTCATTAATACTAAATGTTTAGATCATTTCCAGACACAACTCATATCTAAACATTGGCAGAAAAAAAAAATAAATAAAGAGCCTTGCTTACCTGTGTAGATTGTAATGGGCTCAAATGTACAGGAGAAGTAACCCGATTTGTAGAGAATGAAAGTTTATCATGCTTGGATTTCTTCAGGCTGGATTCCTGCGACATTTGCCCATCCATTTTGGAAGATCTGAAAACATCTTCATGCTTTCTTCGACCAGAGTGACGCCGATTTATCTGCTGATAATGGTTCAGACATGACTTTCAAAAAGAAAAAAAAAATGCAAAAATATGTAAAAAAAATTTAATAAAAATGAAATTTAAACTTATTTTCAAATTTTGAGATGCTTATTTACATTTTTTAAATTCTTTTTTTTTTTTTAGGATTTGGAATTTTATAAACACTTCTGAGAGTTTCCTGACAAAAATAAACATGATCAATTTGGAAATTTTGATGCCGAAATCAGCCCCCTCATCTATGATATGAGCTAGTCCCCACAATCTATGATACAGGTCCCCCCCCACTCTACATCAATTGAATAATTCAACTAGAAAAATTTTAAATAAATTCAATGTATCTAAATACAAATTAGAGACATGTCATAATAGATCATTACATCTTAAATTAATGGCTGGTGGTATTACACACTGACCCTGGGCAGAATAGTTTCTAGTGTTACAAGTTTTTAAAGATAAAATTGAATCATTTAGAAGTAAAAAGATGCATCTACTAAATCTAAATATTATTGACTTAAGCCTTAATTTGTTTTACTGAGTGGATATTTTGAGATTTATCATGATCATTAATCCTTAAATTGTTTGAACTAATATTCACATCTTTGATGGGTTTTTTATTATTATATTTTGGCCAATGTGTTCTTCAGCCTTCCTCATTATTTGAAATGAGTCATCATAGTATAATGCTGATTGTTCCTTAGTACATACATTAAGCCCTACCATATGAGTGCATAGCCAAGGTGTTAGAATGTTTACATTCTAACCATGAGACCCAGGTTCGAACCTCACCATAGTCAATTTGTCAAGGAGGAGATCTCCTGATGTTATTGGATTGGATTGAGGTCGATCCCAATGTGCGACACCTTTGGAAAGTGCCTGAAAACCATGCCACAGGCTGACCCAAGCCTTGTGAGTGAAATTGGGTAGATGGAACTCTTGTGGTCCGTCGATAGCTGTGCTAACACAAAGTCACAAGTCATTGTGGCTGAGGGCTTGAGTGTGCTGGCCTTGTTCAAATTGTTGATCATGCTAGATAACACACTCTCTCCCAGAAACTGTAACTAAAGTTTGCTCAGCATATTTGCAGCATAATTCACAGGTGGGCTCTGTGGGTGTTGAGCAAACACAAATGTGCTTGAGCGAGCATCTACAATATGGATTGGCTAGCCGCCCTAGTAAGCAGGTATCCTAGAATAGGAGTGGCCAGCTACTTTTTTTTTAAGCCCTACCAATACCTCGTAAAAAGGGATTATTCCATTTTGATCACATGGAAAGATAGAAAAAAATCATATCACAGCTGCTGTTTGGCTTCAGTGAGAAAAAAAGAAAGAGGAGGTGATAACACTTATGTGTTTATTGTCTGCTTCATTGAAATGGAAAACCTTGACAATGTATTCTCTAGCCTTCATCATCGTCTGAAATTTATAAAATGAGTCATTATCATTAATCCTGAAATTTTTTGGGACCCAAAGATGACAACCATTTTCTGAACAAAATAAAAAAAAAAGTAAATTAGACTTCCTTTATTTAAAATCTTATCTATTCAGTAATATAAAACAGAACATGACTTTAATTATTTACTGGTCATTTCAACAGGATCTGCCTGTTTGTAATGAGATATTCCTTGTAATTGTTACAATATGTCAATAAATGAACATGTCTTTAAATAACAGAATATCATTAATAATTAGAAAGAATATTTTAATATATTACTTTTTATTTCTTTTGTGTCAATTTCTTTTCTACTTTTAATGATTTCAAAAAAATTTTTTTTTTATAATAGATTTCATTGTACAGGTAAAAAGTTTACTTGTTAAAATATAACCAATAAATTGTAAATTTAATCATATATTACAGTTTTTTTTTGTTTTTTTTTGATAACACATTTAAAATATACTTTTTATATATCATACAATCATAAAATTACCACCACTTTTACCATTCTCTATTTAAATATTTTGAATATAGAATAGTGAAAGACATAATGAAACCAAACCAGCCTGAAGATCCAAGGGTTTAAACCACAGTAGCTTGGCAAGGTTGCTATATTTTTTTAAGATAATAGGTGTCCATAAAGGATCTTTACAATTTAAAAAATATATTACAAAGGCAACTGATGTGGCACCACAACTAGATGACCTTCAACCAACCAACATTTTCCACAAAGATGGTGTACTACCACATTGGGAACTACATGTTCATGGATTCCTAAATCCAGACTGGTGGATTGAAAGAGATGGCCCAATTCCCTGGCCACCTCATTCACCAGACATCACTCCCCTGGACTTTCTATGAGGTTATGTTAAAGATATCGTGTATCAAAAAAAGATATCGGATATCACGGATGCTATTTCCACCATTAATGAGGCTATGCTACAACGAACATGGTAAGAAATCAAGTACCGCCTCAACTCGCCAAGTTTTTTGTTCACCACTGCAGTAGCCAGGTATTGAACTCACAACTCTTTGGGTCAAGTCACTGGATCCAACCAATGCTTTTATCCACTGAGCCATACCCAGTAAACAAAATGAGTTGAGTTAAAGGGAGATAACTGAGATATCCGGAAGAGGCATAACATGTGGAATGAGAACGAATAATATACCCACCCCAGTGGACTAAAAGTTCAATCACCTGAAAAAGGCTGGAGTATACAACAGCTGAAACATTATAAATATGGCAACAAAGATGAGGACAACAGTTCAAACAATGAAATACAATAATACAATCTAACAATACAATACCTCATCTCAGAAATATAGACAATAATTAAAAAGTATCACTCACCAAAGGTTCAACCTTGTTTTCTATAGTTATAGATGGTAAGCGTGGAATTTTTGATATCATTTGTTTCACTGGAAACTGGCGAATGTGAATGTTTTGCATGCCAAGAACTGGATGCATACACTTTTGATAAGATTCATGGTTTGGTTGAGTAAGGTGTGGATCCTGAGCAAAATTTGAAGAATCTGGGGATTCCATTCTTTGGGGTTGCAGTTTTATTAAATCTTTTCTTTTTCCTTTTTCTTTAATCAATTATCTAAAAAGAGAATGATGAGACTTCAAAAATATACATATATAAATAAATAAAAATACATTTTCAAATTCTCAATTTCATCAAGTCTAAAAATAGACATGTAAAAGCAGACTTAGCGGCAGCCAATGTGGACATATCAGTAACCACCCACATCAAGTGACCCTTCCTAACTAATAGTAACAGGACAAAAAAAAAAATATTAATTTTTTTTTTTTTATCGTTTAGAGCCTATCCCTAGTCTATATAAAAACACAGGTAAAGCCACTCATGGGACACCCAGTGAGCACACACATAAGTACTCCCAGCAACCACACCCAAGAACCGACACAGTGTTTTGGGGCATTCCTCCAGAAGTTTTGTGCTAAGCACCAATGATGTTGACTGCAGAAAAAGAAACCTAAGTGAGTATATCATGCACACACTCACACATCCATGAACATTTTATTGCAATATACCTTTTATGAATAACTTTTTCAGTGCTTCTAAGAACATCATTTCTCTTTCACTTAATTGTTACCATTGTTATTAAATTTGATTAAAAAATGTTAGATGTTTTATTGTGCATTTTCATACAACAGAAAAAAAATGTTTGTTGGTGCTTTCTTTCTCTCATTTGACTTTGGGTGCAAAATCACCTTCCCTTTACTCTAAAGAGAATTAGTAGTAAACATCTTCACAGTCAAAACAAGGCTAGTAAAAATCAGCATCAAAACAAGAAAAACAAAGAAAAATAAAGGTGTTATAATGTTCAGTCTTGTATCTCTACTGTTGAAAAAAAAAAATTAAAAAAAAGTTACTTACCTAAAGAGATGAAAAAATGGCTGGAAATGAATCAGAGGTAATTTTTCTTCTGATTAATTGCCCTTTACCCTCTTTGCTATTCTTATTGTTTTACGCTACTGAAATTCTTCCTGATTGGATTATTATTTTCCTTAATATTATTTAGAGTATTTTTTTCTCTAATCATTTCACCACAAGCAAGGTGATAAATCCACTAAGATGCAAAAGGTTACTGAGTAAAGAGAATGATTGATTTGTTTTACAGCACATCATTCCAGCTTGATCATTTAATGACAAAGAAAGTTTTCAGGTGGATAATTAGAGTTATTTTCTTCTGAGAGCAAAGGATTATATAGGGGAAAAATTTGAATTTTTTTTCAGCAGTGGGAAGAGATATTGTAGATTGTATAAAATTAGTTGCAAAACAATGTACTGGGTGTTCCAAAAGTCACATGACAATTGGCAGAAAACCAATAAAAAATAGCAACCAGAGAAAATTTGTATGACATCATCATCTTTCATCCGACCAATAAAATTTCTTAATATATTGTCACATACAGAAACAGGATTCCATTTGGTAAATGATTATAAAATTTACAAGGTTATCAATAGCAATGTGACTTTTTGAACACCCTGTAGGTAAGCAGGTTTGGTGAAGAGTTCTTTTTTTATATATATTTTCCTGTAGAGCCTAAATTTTTTAAATGAAATTTATGATGTTTACTTGGATCAGTATTTTCAAATAGATCCTTTAAGTTATTAGATTTGTAGTATTTGTTTCCGGTTCAGTGAAAGTAGAAAGCAATTTAGTAGTATGTGTTTAACAGTGCATTGTTCCTGGCATGGGACACATACTGGCAGTTCCTCATTCTTTGTAGATGTTGATGGGTTATGGATATAGAGTCTGGCTATGTGTCCTATATAGAGTCTGGTTAGTACCCCCCTTCCTCTCTCCTTATCTCTCTGTAACTTGGTTGTCTTTCACTAATGATTGCTTGGATGTTGTGTAATTTGTTGTTTTGACAGTTGTTCCAAAATTGCTGCCATTTTTCTTTAATGATCCTCTTTATGGTGGGCTGGAAGTTGGTGTGTGGAACTTTTAGAGAGGGCCATATTCAGCGATTCCTTTGCCATTTTGTTAGCATTTCCATTTCCTTGTATGCCAAATTGTGGCCTGGTATTCATCATAAGACCTACAGCATCTTTTTTTTTTTTTTTTAAATAATCTGCTGAGTGGTTTTGTTTGCAATTTGGGCATAAAGGAGGGCCTTTCATGGGGTGACACTTCATGGTCAGTCTCAAATTCCCCACATCTTCAACAAACTGGTACTCTCATACATTGATCTTGTAGATGGCAAACTTTCTGACATTTGTGACATCTACAGGGATTAATGATGTATGGCTCTACCTTAGATATTGCGTATCCTATTTTTATTTCTTTCAGTGGGGAGATTCATTGAAAGTCAAAATATATGCACTTGTGTTTATTGATGCACCATTTCTTTTTATTTGTATTCTTTTGGCATCTGTTAACGCCTTGTTTTTATAGGGTGTCATCATTTTTAATTTCTTCCAATGAACAAAGTGACAGTTCTGGGCATTTTATTACTTCCTTAGAGGAGTTAAGAAATTGGTAGGGGTAAGTCTTTACTTTCATGCTGTTTATTCAATTGATTTTTACTATGTTTTGTTTTTTTTTTGGTTTTTACTTGAATTAAAAATTATTTTTCGTTCATTTTTTATTGATTTTAGTTCTATCATGGGTGATATAACCTTTTGCAATACAAAAAGTGACACTTTTGTTATTTAACCTTCTAATGATTCTATTACTATGAAAATTGGAAATTGTTTTTTTCCTGATATTCAATTGTCATTTTCTGTTTCAGAGTCTTCATTCTGTCAACTTGGATCGTTTATAAGATTTAGTCATTGTTTTTGCTACCTCGGAGTTTCAAGGGATGCTATCAGTGGGGACTAATCCCATTCACCGATCTGCTAGGGCTACACAGACAATATACTTGGGATGAAAGTGTCTGTGAGCATCTGCATTCCCCCATCATGTCTACAAAAGTATAGCATGGTGTAAGGTTTCACAGCCCTATTGTAGCCACTCTCTTTCATCCCAATTAGTTAATTGGATTGGGCTCGGCTATTCCATCAACCCATCTATCCCAGTTTGGGACTTAAGTGATGTATTGCGGAAACTCAGTCACCAGAACTCTCTCCCCGGGCATCGCAGGGCACCACCCACAGCAAACAGGTGGACCCATTGAGGAGGATTTTAGTTTTTGGGTTTATCAGTTTTCATAAATGTGTGCTTTATATGGGTATTTTTTGTATGGACAGGTAATTTAGGTATAGCATTTTGTGTAAATATTTTGTAGATTATGATTTTGTTGTTAGTTTAAATATGTTTACTTTTTCAATAGATTATATAGAAAAACTATATTATTTTTCCTGAAGGCATAATCCTAGGTATAAATGGAGAGGTTTTAAGCACTATCATATCAGCTAACATCATTTAGGTGATGTTTCCTCATACAAATAATTAGTTTTTAATCAATCTTGCTTCATATACTACACCTGGTTAGAGTTTAATGTCCAACCGAGGACATAGGTGTCATCATTTTACAGTTGAAATTGTTGGATGGAACTTTAAGCTCTATGCTAACAATGTCTTCTCTTGCACTTCTCACTTGTGGAACTCTTTCAGTTTCTTGCTTTCTAGCCAACTTTGATCTTCAAAAATTTAATTATTATCTTCTGTCTTCTTAATTCTTGTTCTTTTATTGGTTCTCTCTCTTTAACTGTGTTTTTCTTTTTCTTATATTCTTTCACACTCAGTAACCCTTTGTATCTTAGTATCTTTATTGTTTTGCTTGAAATGTAAAAAAAAATAAAAAAATATCTAAAGGTCCTTATGCATGTGACATTATTGTGGTCATATGCATAACTAAGCTATATCTGGTTAAAGAAAACCCCATAGAAGTGTGTATATAGATGGGTCACTTAAAAAATAATGCCTGCTATTTTATCATGTTAATACACAATAATGGTGCCTATATGAAAAAACATTTCTAGTTTTTGGGAATCGATTTTCATAAATGTGTATTTTATATAGGGCAATTTTATAGGTATTTTTGTATGGACAGGTAGTTTAGGTATAGCATATTGTGTTAACATTTTGTAGATTATGATTTTGTTGTTAGTTTAAATATGTTTACTTTTCTTTTTCAATAGATTGTTTGTATGGAAAAACTATATTATTTTTCCTGAAGGCCTAATCCCAGGTATAAATGGAGAGGTTTTAAGCTCTATCATATAAGCTAACATCATTTAGGTGATGTTTCCTCATACAAATAATTAGTTTCTAATCAATCTTGCTTCCTCTACTACACCTGGTTAGAGTTTAATGTCCAACCCAGGACATAGGTCTCATCATTTTACAGTTGAAATTGTTGGATAAAACTTTTTCTATGCTAACAATGTCTTCTATTGCACTTCTCACTTGTGAAACTCCTTCAGCTTACACACAGTATAGTCTGGCTGAAAGTGGTCACAAGCACCCGCATTCCTCAATTATATCTACCCAAATACAATATGGTGTAAGGATTTGCAGCCATGTCGTAGCCATTCTCTTTCATCCTGACTAGCCCATGTCACTATATGACTAGGCAAGTGGAACCAGGTTGGAACCAAAGTGGGGTGTTGTAGAAACTTCTGGCTATTTTATACTAGTGACACAATCACCAGGACTTCATCCCTGGGTATAATGGGTCACCACCCACTGCCCCACTGAAAGGAATTTGCAGCTTTTGGGAATCGGTTTTCATGTGTGTTTTATATATTGCAATTTTTGTATGAACAAGTAGTTCAATCATGGCATATTGTGTAAACACTTTGTGGATTATGATTTTGTTGTTTAGTTTAAAAGTATCTGCTTTATTTTTCAATAGATTATCATCATCCACCATAAATAGAGAGATTTTAAGCTCTATTGCATAAGCTTTGTACAGCATTGTAGGTGAAG